TTTTTCTATAGTTTTTAATAAATTATTAGTAGTAATTAATAAATCTAAAGAAAGCTTATATTTCCTTAATAGTTTTTAGTATTTTCTATTCTTTAATTATAATAATTTTATTTTATTCTATTTATATTTTATTTAATTAAATAGTATATCTTAAGAAGTTAATTTCTTATATATAGAAAAAACTCTTTTTTAGTTCTATAAGAAGTTTTACTTTTTCTAATTTTTCTAAGACTTAGTATATATATTCCTTATATATCTTTAGATTATTAGAGAAAATTAAAATATTATTAAGATAAATAATTATAAAGATATTAAGATACTTTTAGAGTACTTAATTAATTATTTATTAGAATATTATAGATATATTTATTAATCTAAAGAATATAATAAGATACTTATAGAGATTAAACTTTATTCTAAATACTATTTTCTATTTATTTCTTTTCTTAATTTATATTAAATTATAAGCTCCCTTTAGATCTAATATTATAAATTACTATTTACTCTATAACTAATTTCTAAGCTTAGTAATTAATAATAAGAGTATTCTATCTTTATATATAATCTTATTTAGCTATTAATAATTAATTACTAAATAGAGTTTATTATTTTTCTTTAGTATAAATATTATAAGGTATTCTATAGATAAAGTTAATAGTTATATATAGTCTTTTACTAATATATTATTAATATATTTATAGAGTATTTATAACTAGAGTTCTATAAGATTATATAATTTATAGAAATCTAATTCTCCTTTTTTAATAATAGAGATTTTATAATTCTACTAGCTATATTCTAATAGCTTTATTTTAAATTCTTCTATAAATAATATCTTTTTAAAATAATTATATTTCTATAGAATATTCTTAAGATATTCTTTCTATCTTAGATACTTAATTTATTTATATTTATACTAGATATCTTTTTCCTTATTTTATTATATTTTTTACTTATTATTTATTTAGCTTTATTCTTAAATTTCTATATTAAATAGTTTTAGAAATAGTTTTTTAATTTCTTTTTACTATTAACTATATTTAACTTTATATTCTTATTATTATTCTTTTATTAGTTATTTCTAATTAATAAGTACTAAATCTATATCTAGAGATAGTTCTTATTTCTATATCTAATCTAAGATTTATATTATTTATCTTAGTTCTTATTATAATAGATTTCTTATATTATTAGATTATAGTATTATTAAGATTAATACTACTATATCTACTTATTATTATAAGTTATTAATATTTTTTATAATAGTACTTTTAGATATTAAGAAATAAATATATTTTTCTAATATCTAATAAAATTTTAATTTTTATTAATTCTAGTTTTAATATCTAAAAGTATTTCTTTACTCTATTTAGCTAGTATACTAATTTATTAGTAAGTTTATATTTTATAGCTATAGAAATCCTAATATAATATTATAGAATTCTAATAATACTAGATTATAGATAATATTAAATTTCTTTCTTTAGATTTTAATTATAAGATAATTAGTTTTAGAATTAATAATTCTATTATTATATTTAAACTTTAAATCTTTAATATTTATAACTATATAGATTTCTTCTTTCTTTTTCTATAGTAAATAGAGTTAGTTAATTACTATTAGTAAGATATAATTTTTCTATACTTTATAATTAATAAATACTATAAGCTAGTTCCTTTTAATTTTTATTTCTATAAGAATATATATAGAGCTTTTTACTTCTATAGTTTTTAAAATTCTCTAATCTATTATTAATTTTATTTTATACTATAGCTCTATTATAGATAGTTTAGATTATTTTTTATTTAATTAATTTATTTTTAAAGTTATTTCTAATTTTTATTATTTCTTAGTATCTATTTAAGGATATTCTTAAGATCTTTTAATTCTTCTATATAACTAGAAATATATTTTATAAACTTAATTCTCTAATTATATAGTTTCTTAATTATTATAAATATTCTATTATTAGAATAAGCTTTATTCTATTCTTTTTTATTAATTAAAATTATTTTTAATTTCTTCTTATTATTACTTTCTTTACTATTTATAAAGAATAATTATTCTTTTAAGTAATATTCCTAGAGTTCTTTCTCCTATAGTTATTATTATTTAAAATATAATTTAATAGTATTTATATTATTATTATTATTCTATACTAGTATTAGTACTTTTTACTTAATCTCTTAATAGTTTTTATAATTCTAATTATAGTATTATTTAATATAGCTATTATATTTATATATTATCTAATCCTCTGCTTATTAGTAATTATACTATAGTTTAATCTTATTATTTTTATAAATTTTATATTTCTATTCTTAATAAAATTCTACTAATAGTTCTCTATCTATATACTTAGTAGGATATTTTTATAGATTTACTTTAAATATAGTATAAGATCCTATTCTATAGTATTAGTTAGTAAATTATTATATTTATACTATAGTATACTTTATAGATATTCTCCTATCTAGATATAGAAAGAAGTTATTTATTACTTTCTCTTACTAGTATATAGTATACTATATATTATAGTATATTATCTAAGATTCTAGTTTATAGTTATATTCTTTATTAATTTTTATATAAATTAGATTATTATATTTATTACTAGGGTAGTATATAGTATCTATAGTATCTCTTCTATATAGTACTATTCTAAATACTTTCTTTAGATTTTATATTTATATCTTCTATTAGTAGTAAATATAGAGTTTATTATATTTAGCTTTAATTTTATTCCTAGTAAATATATATTATTTCTATTTCTTAGAGATATATTTAATAAGCTTATTAATATAGTAAAATATATATTTATATTTAATAAGAGATCTAAGATTTATAATATTCCTCTTATTTTTATATTTTTATTTAAATTTCTAGAAAATATCTATAATATATTAGTAATTTCCTTCTAATACTATTAGTATTTTACTAGTTTCTAATATCTTATAGAATTCTAATATAGATTATCTATAAAATATAGAAACTATAATAGTTATATAGTTTTCTTTCTAGATAACTTTTCTAACTATTCTAAGTATTTTTATTTTAATTTTCTTAATTATTTCTAATTATTTCTTACTTTCTTTAGTAGATTTCTAATTCTTCTACTTTTTAGGTTTTAGATATTAAGATAAAATATATCTAACTTTATTATAATTATAATATTTATATTTTTCTATAGCTTCTAGTTCTATAGGATCTATATATATTCTAGAGACTATAGTTTATTATTACTATTATAATTAATTAATATTAGTATAATAGATTATCTTTTTATTATAGGTTTACTAATAATATTATTAATTATTAATTCTTATAACTATAGTTATATATTTATAAATATCTATCTTCCTTATAGAGTTCTTTCTAGACTTCTTTCTTTAATCTATTAAAGTAGTAAGATATAATATATTCTTAATTCTATCTAGTTTTTACTAAAAGCTAGAGATATTTACTATTAAAAGTAAAAATAAATCTAATCTAAGAAAGTTTATTAATTTTATATTTAGTTTTATATCTCTTATCTTAGATTCTAAATATTTATTATAGAGTTTTTATAAAGTAATTAAAACTTATTATAATATTAATAGTTTATTAATTTCCTTAACTATTAAGATATTCCCTTATAATAGGTTTAAACTAATTAAATATAGCTCCCTTAAGTTATAAATAGATATAGATAACTTATTATTTATTACTATTAAGGGTAATAGGGAAATAGTTAAAGTATACTTATAGTTAGATTATAAAGTCTTAGAGCTTATCTTAGGTTCTATTAAATATCTTAGATAGTAATAGCTTAAATAGTACTTCTAGCTCTCTTCTCTAAGCTATAGTCTAGGTCTAGGCTTAAAGATTAGTATTCTAAGTAGTTTATTACCCTATAAGAGTTATTATATTTACTAATTCTAATTATAAAACTACTAGATACTTCTAGAGCTACTAGACTTATTCCTATAAGAGCTTAACTTAAGTATAGTTATTACTATTACTATTACTATTACTACTATTTTTATCTATAGTATTATTATTATTATTTAGAGTAGATAGATTATTAATAATAGAGTTCTACTACTAAGCTAGAAGAACTATAATAGCTATAATATCTTCTTTATTATTATATAGTAATTAAGATAAGATAATTAGCTAAATAAGAGTTATTAATATATAATAGTTAGATAACTTATACTAAATAGGGTTTAGAGTAGATTAGAGTTAAACTAATTAAAGTATTATTCTAAGTAATATAATTAGATTATCTTAAGCTATATAATATAAGTTATTATTAATATATAATAGTTATAGAGTATAAGGAGTATACTACTTCTAGTAATCTATTCTTATCTAGCAATAGGAGTATAATACTCCTATTACTCCTATCCTTTAGATAGTAGGATATATATAACTATATAACCTATTATAAAGATCTTTATTTATAATACTAATATAGATTAACTCCCTACTCTGAGCTTAAGCTATTTCAGATAGTAGCTATTTTACTAGAAAGTAAGTATTTATTATAATTACTATTTTCTTATTTAGGAAGATAGTCTAAAGTATATTAAAAATTATTCTTTATAAATAAAAATATCTAAGAGTAATAGCTGCTTTAAAGAGATATATCAGGTTCCGGAGATAGAGGCTAAGGGATAACCTTTTAGATACTAATACTCCCAGAATACGAGGATATAACGGGATCCAGTACTATCTCGCAGGTATAGTCGTAGATGTGAGCGGGTGATGTTATTCGGTTCATATTGGCGGTCCCTGACTCTCCGGGCAGTGAATCTCCGGATAGTCAAGATGCGTGACCCCCGCATTCTTCAAGCCATGATGATCGGCGATTCTCCGCAAGAGAGTGTCCGGCAAACCTCCGACCCCACCTCTCAGGACATTGCCAACCATTTCGAGGAGAAGAGGAGGAGATAATGGCTCCTTGATGATACCCATGTTCTTTTACGTGGAATAGATACACATATTCGACAGCATTATGAAGATTCTCATTACTGGGGCCTCAGGCTTTGTAGGCCAGAACCTGGTCCAGCACCTCCTCAATGATGAAAGCGGGCAGTATAGCTTGGTCCTGACCGACATCGTCCTACCCACAGTTCCAAAGGGTGTCAAGTGGCCAGAGAAGGCAAAATGCATCCAGGCAGACCTCTTTTCCGAGGCCGCAGCCGTCGTCGATGAGGACATTGATGCAGTTTACATGTTCCACGGCATCATGTCCTCGGCAGCAGAGGCGGACTTTGATCTGGGTGAGTAAACACATCAAATTGGGAATATTAGAGTAGACAGGCGCATCTACTAACTTATCCAAGGAATGAGGGTGAATGTTGATTCAACCAGATCATTACTGGAGGTATTGAGAAAGACCCGCTCAGGAGTCAAGGTCATCTATACTTCCGCCGGCGCGGTACATGGCGGCAAGATAACGGAACCGGTCACTGAGGGAGCGCGCACGACACCTCAGAGCTCTTATGGGTGCGAGAAGATGATTTGCGAGTATCTCATCAACGAGTACCACCGCCGGGGGCTCATAAATGCTCTCGTGTGCCGCCTGCCTTCTATATCCGTTCGAGCTGGAAAGCCCACCGCGGCGGCGTCTTCCTTCATCTCAGGCATTATCCGGGAACCTATGAAAGGCCTTCCTTGCGTCGTTCCCATTAAGGACAGGCAGTTCAAGCACACCATCTGCACGCCGAGAACCCTTGCTTATAACCTGATCCACGCGCTTAGCATCCCTCGTGATGCGCTCCCAGACTACGACAGGGTAGTTAACATGCCTGGTCTCCTTGTTACTGTGCAAGATCTGCTAGATTCGCTTGCGAGAGTCGGCGGAGAAGATAAGCTGCAGTATATTACGGAGGTAGAAGACCCGAAAGTTAAGGCGATTGTGTATTCTTGGGCCACCGCGTTTGACCCCAGCAAAGGCTTAAAGCTAGGCTTGAAGATTGATCAGAATTTCGATGATGCGGTCAGAGACTTCAAAGATACCTTGTAAGTCAGCGGATTTGACTGTGGGAGGAGTCTACGAAGAATCTCGGACCACCATCTGCGGAATAAAGAGACTACATGCACCCAGTTGAAGATAGACATATTGATGCAAAATCCTCATTTGATGTGCAAAGTAAGCCAAAGCTCCCGGATACCGAGCAATAGTCGGGTACTTGTAAAGCCCAAGTAGCTATTTCTGGCTTGGCCGAGTGCAAAGGTGCGTGATAATCAGTCACCAAGAGAATGTCTAGCCAAAAACATGATTTTAAGGCATATAATATTAATGTCTTCCTCGCCTTGTATCTCCCTTAACCTAGACCTCGTCTTCCGCAGCATCCATATGGACCCATTCGCTGAGTAGCTGATCAAGTTGGGCAGCTTCTTCGTCTGACATAACCTGGAACCTCGACGCTGCTACACCTTTGGGTCTGCAATCGGTGGATCCAAGATAATTCAAATGGTCCTTGATACGGAACTTTAACGAGCTCCCGTTGCAGTCGGAGTTATTATTCCCCTCGCAGACTGTGATATTGGCGATTGGCCAGTTGCTGGGGTCTGCAGGCTTCCCTGTGAGCCAGTACTCGGGAGACACATGACGATATTTGTAAGGCGTCAAGGCGGAGGGAGGAACACGAGGCACGGGATCGCGGCCGTGTGTGATTCTGTGCTCCTTGCCCTTCTGGTTCGTGATGAAATCACTGAGGGCGCCGTTTCCAATGCGGGGAGCACCGTAGCTGTATAGGTCCACGTCGTAGCCTGCCTTGCGGAGATATGCCGTCGCAATGGTTGCGACCGCACCGCCAAGTGAGTGCCCAGTTGCGATGATGGAGTAAGCTGGATGGTCTTTCTTGGCCTGCTTGACTGCGGCCAGTACTCCCACAGATATCTCTTGCCAAGCGTTGCTGAAACCACCATGAATCAACCCGCCGTCGACAAGGTCCGAGTTTTGTGCGACAAACTTGAGGTTCGTCAACCAGTTTTTAATGTTGGATGTGCCTCGGACGGAAAGAACGATTTGTTTTCGTGAATCGATAGTGGCAACGTAGGCCGCAATTTTGGTGAGAGGGCCCCTGATCTTTTCATAAGCTTGGGATCACCTGGGTTTTTTTGCGTTACTCACTCAAAGCCTTTAACAATCTTAGCTCCGTCTGATTGTACCGTTGGGCAACCGCCTTGGCAAATGACTGGATTTCCAGCATCGGTGTCGTAATTACAATAGGATGCAAGAGCGTATTCAGCGTATAGATCGAAGTTGCGAACGTCCTTCTCAGTGACAGGCGGAACTAGCACTGACATTAATAGTTAGTTAAACCCGATCATATTGAGAAACTTGGAAGTCATACGGCCATCCCTCTGTAGGAGGGGTTTGTCATTGTAGTATGATTTATCTATCACCGAGGCAGCTGCCAGAGCGGCGAACGGGAAAAGGAGTATCAGAATCATCTTGGAAAAAAGCACCCAACTAGGGAAAAACTTGGGGGCTAAATCAGAGTGCAACTAAAGTCCAGGTGACTGCTTCTGCTTGAGATTGGATGAGAGCTCTGGTGACTTTAAATGTTTATAGGTGGTCCTGAAGAAGGGGCGCTGAGTTAGCAAGATATGCATGAAATGACACATTCCACATCTTCAGTAGCCAAGAAACACATCCTTCAAGTATTGTCGATACAATCCATGGGATATCTTTGATTCGTAGTAGTACTATTGTTTCTACACCACTCGGCCTGCCTACATACTCAATCTTCGGCCAGCATATTTCGGACAATTAACAGTCACAATCAGCTTTAAATTGGACGCCAGCATTCTTAGATGAGAAGATCTCTTAATATTTAGGAATGTACCACTAGGATTTTTTTAATAATTTGAAGCCCTGATTTTTCTGGATTAAGGGACCATGGGAAAAATGTCGCGGAGCTCCCTTGTTGATGTCTTGTAATCGAGTCCCTTGATAAATTTTAAACATTCAATCTCTAAGCACGAGACAATTTCCAGCCCGGCTTAGACATCCGTACCGTGGCCTCGGTAATGGGGAATTATTTCTGCTACGATGTATCTTGATACCTCCAAGTTCTAGGTATCACCATATTCGGGCCGGATCTAAGCCAGTGTAGACCTCTTCTTACACTCCCCAGACGGTGCTTGGATCTCAGTTCCCGCAGGGAGCGGTGGCGCAAGCTGAGGTGAACCATCCTCATTCCATTGGACCTGCTGAATAAACGTCTGCCTCTTTGCGTCGCAGCTCCCGTTGGAATTTCTGTTCGCGTGGAAGACCATCCAGTCTTGTGTCCCATCGGGGCTCTTGAAAAACCCGTTGTGTCCTGGGCCATACAGCCCGTTCTCAACACTTGTGACAAGCAAGGGCTCCTGCAGCTTGGTCCACGACGAGGCCAGCAGCGGATCAGCACCAGGCGAGAGCTTCATGCCTCCTAGCTTGTACTGGGGGCCGTTGCAGCTATCAGCGGAATACACCACCCAGACCTCTCCAGAGGGAGACGTGATGCCTGCGGGACCTTCTAGAACTGCTGAGGCCTCGTGCTCCCAGTCGAACTCTGGATACGCGATCATCGTGGCTGGACCGACAGTTGTAGGGTCCAAAAGCTTGGAAATCCACAGTGAAGCACCATTCGGCGATTCGTCGTCGCTGGCCACAGATGAGAACTAATTCTGATGTCAGATATTATTCGGTGTTCATGCAACTGAGCTACTTACAATGAAATAATCTTGGCCGTCGATATTATACACGGTCTAACCATCGTCAGTATTCACCACCAATAAAAAACGGCTCCTTTTAATCTTACCCCATCCAGCATTCCGCCGTGGTAGTTATCTGGACGTATTTTGCCGACGAGGGAAAACGGTTCGTCTAGGGGCGCTCCGGTGCCTCCCTCCAGGACCCATTGGGTAAGACTTGGGAGCATTTCGCCCCAGGTGCCATTTATGCTCGTTGAGAAGTACACATACCAGCGGCCATTGAGACGCCAGATTTCAGGTGCCCACCAGTTTCTCGTTCTTAAAGGGTCTGATTTGTCGTCGTAGATGACAGTCGGGATGGCCGTCTTTAGTCCTTCAATTGTCCGAGCCTTTGTGATTTCGACTGTGGTCCAACTTGTGGAAGTGAGGTAGTAGCTGGAACTCGATGGTTGGCAATGCCTCATTAAGTAGTGGACGACAGAAGAATCACTCACTAGCCGTTGTCATATACCATCTGGGGATCACTTCCATTGAGCGTCTTGATTGGGTTCGTGAAGGCCAATGTCAAGGAAGACCAAAGCCAAGCCGCGGCTAGGGCTGATTTGGTGATGCTCAACATGATGCCGTTCGGATTGATAACGCAAACACGGGAATTTTGATGAATGAACTTGAAACATAACAAACAGGAGTTGAAAATGCAGGGAAATATGTCATGCTTATAGTCTGGTGAAGATGATCAATGTCGGGGAATCATTGGCCGAGCTAACAACGAGGAAGCCTTGTGTGAACCACAAACGGTACCACTCCTCACTTGGGACTCTTCCTAGTTGTGAAATGGAGATCTTCTTGCCGCCATCACTCATTGGGTCGCTTACTAGAATACCCGCGATGCGACGATGACTATGGTGATGGTTGGGTAGATGGTGAGTGTGTTGGTGATGGTGGTAGTGGGTGTGGTTATGGTGTTGGTGTTGGCTGCTATGGTCATGATGAAGATGAGAGTCGAACTATGGCATTTTAGATTAGGATGTCGGCTTAGCGATTGGGAAAGGCATCAGCCAACTCACAGCAGAATGCGAGGTCATATCCTGGGTTTGCGTAACGTGTGCGAAATGGTCATGCGATGAGTGTGTGTCAGCGGCTGCTGCCGAGGAATCGCCCCCATCGTGATGCATCGTGTAACGAGTATGTATCAAGTCAATACTAGGTCAGGAGTAGAATGAAGATGTTGTGTAAGCGAAGAAATCAACAAGGCATACATGGTAAGGCGTTTCTCTACCGGGATCAGGAGCAGCTTCTGCCTATAATTAGAGCCTGTATTCGCGTTTCATCCTGCTCCGCCTCACTAAACCACTAGAAAAGGGCCAAAAGCATCGCGCCTCGCCAAGCAGCTGACTCCCCTGAACACCACCGTGATTTCAACCCAGCCTCCGCCCAGTTGTGATATGGTAAGACAGAAAGAATAAAATATAGTCGTTGTTATAGACCAGTCACTCCATTTCAAAATAGAGGTCATAGTGGTTTGCGCATCCAGGGTTGAAGGCGGCTTTGCATGTAGGACAGGTTGAGCCGCAGGACAGATACTCATCAATGCTCAGTTCGCCACGACAATTGCCGCAAAGAATGGCCTTGGCATTTCGCTCGTTCCTAGGCCAGACAGCAGGATCATGCTGGGCGAGCGCCTCATGGCAGCTGATGCAGGCGTAGTAGCGGCCACAGCATTTGTGTCGGATGGCGATGATGTCGCGGTCCGAGTGCCAGTGCGCACATTGCGTGAGACGAGTCACCTCTAGGCCATGGACGACGGCTTCCTCTCGCGCGGTAGCAGTTGGACAGGTTGGAGAGATCGCCTGGTGATCCGGAGCTGGCGTCTGGGCTTCCGGCATTGAGTAAGACGAGGCACGGGTGAAGTCGTAGATTTCTGATTGTGAGTTGACGCCCAGAAATGACGCAGAAAATATGCCCCAGATGCTTTCAGTAAAGCAACCATCCAGCTCTCGTTTAGCACCACACCCATCCCCGTCCGTCAAGTATGAAATCTACTCCCGACAGCCATTTCTCGCGTTGGGGACGCATGCAATTGTTCTAAATCTGACCAGAAGCACGATTGTAAGCGTACATCTAAAAATTGTCCACTTTTTGTAGGCACTGGACAAGTCCCGTCAGCTTAACAACCGTCCGGGGGGTGTTAAGATTGCTGTGCAGGCAGAGTTTCAAGTTAGCAAGTTAATAATGGCAGCAAGGATCAATAGACGAAAAGAGAGTAAAGGCTGTGCAACTATGGATCTGTAGTTGAGGCGCAAACTCGTGGGCTCCGTCAGTCACTGAACCCCAACTGATGCACAGTTCTTGGTTGGGCGCCATTGGGCTTCTTTTTTACTGGCAGCGTCTCATCAGCGTCAAGTCCAATGATACCACTCGTATCGGAAAACGTGGCAAGGTGGCGGTGCAAGCTGCATGCTTATTTCAAATGGCTGCTGCTGTGGTGAACTCATTTCAGCCGTTCTAACCTCATGATCACCACCCCGCATCTCCCGGAAATGAAGCATTGCATTCTTGATACCGGCATATCGGTGGCGTATGAGCCTGAAAACGCCGAACCGATTGTTGAGTGAGCAAACTTTAAGGAGAAGCCATGTGTCAAATTACTAACCCTAGTTGTATAGCTTGGTCTTCGTACATGAGCTCCATGGCCACCAGTACAAGTCATGGACCAAGTCCACTGAAAAGCGCAAACCTTCATCTCCGGCTGCTACGGGGAAGGCATCTTTAAATGCAGACAAGGATGGGAGGGAAAATCTCATCCGCCGTGCTCTAGCACGCCTCGGAAGGTCGTCATCGACGACATCGCCGGAGACGGCATCCCAGCCTGGCTTAAGCGAAGCAGATGACACAAAGAATGCTCTGGAGGCTCTTTTCTGGCCAGCAGACCTATTACCTCTTGAATGCCCGAATTCTAGAGTTCTAATGTACGGATACGACTCCAAAATAACCAAGTACACATCTGGAGCCACAAATAAAAGCAGTTTGCTATCTCACAGCAAAGACCTCTTGTTCTCCCTTGCTCGACATGGGGTCCACAACCGGCCTCTCATTTTCGTTGCCCACAGCCTAGGTGGGATTGTTGTCAAAGAAGTGAGGTTCTCCACCGTCAATGATATGTTGCTTCGCTAACCAGCTACAGATGCTTGGCCGATCATCTTCATCAGCGGAGGACGACCTTCGCAACATTGTCGAGTCCACCGCGGCCATTGTCTTTCTCGGGACTCCCCACAGAGGCAGTCCGGAGTTCGCAGCTATTGGAGAATCTCTCCGGTCAATCGTCAGCAGCCTAGGAATGGAGACGACTCCAGCAAATCCTGACGCTCTTGGCTTGAAGACTACGGATCTAGAACGAGCGCAAGAAGCATTCTCTACAATCTGGAATAAGTATGACTTTAGAGTCAAGACTTTCTAAGAGAGCCTGAGTATGACTGGTATCAAGCTTGGCCCTCTTCGGAACAAAGTTGTGCCTGATCACTCTTCGCTGATTGGAGATGTTCGTGAGCGGGTCGAAACACTTCAAGCAAATCATAAGGACATGTCTCGGTACAGTGGGCTTGAGGATCCTAATTACCGCAAAGTTGGCGGAGAATTGGGCTTTTTGTATCGGTCATTAGTAAATGTGAACCCGCAGCCACCCATCAGAGCTGGCCCTTCGACCAAGCGAAAGAAGTCGAGGTCTAGGTCTTCCGACTATGAGAAGTTCATTCCACTCAAGCATTCCACACTCGATTCGTTGTGGTCCCCAGCGATGCATTCGCGGTACCAGGACATCGCGTACCCGGCGGATACCACGTGCTCGTGGTTATTCAACCATCAGTTATACCAGGACTGGTACAGTGAAAACAGCGATCGCAACCAATCCGGGCTTCTATGGCTCAAGGGGAAACCTGGGACAGGAAAGTCAGTTATCATGAAAGAGGCCTTTCGTCAAGCAGTTCGGGACCAGAAAACGTCCAATCACCTGACGGCGGCGTTCTTCTTCGGTTCTAGAAGAACCGAATTACCAGATTCTGAGTCGATCCTTTTTCGCTCCTTACTGCATCAGTTGTTAGTGAAAAGCGACAAATTGTTCTTGCTCTGGTATGACAAACTTCAAGAAGAGTCTACTACAATCGAGTCTATGCTTTCTAAACTCCAAGAGCTGAAGCATTTCTTTCAACATATCGTTTCTTAATCCATGTCGAAACGAATTATCCTATATATTGACGCTCTTGACGAATGCGATTCAATGTATGTACGGGAACAAGCCTACTTCTGGCGTGAGACTACCGTCAAGGCCCGAAAACGGGGAACTCAATTGAGTGTCTGTCTGTCTAGCAGGCACTTCCCAAATATTTCTTTGGTGGGCTGCCCAGAGATCATCATGGAGGGAAACAACCATCAGGATATTCACCAGTATATTGAGGACAGGTTTGGGCTTGTGGACAGAGGAGACACAGAGGACGATTCTTTTTTCATAAGAAGATCATCTGTTGTTAGAAAGTGGAAGGAGAAGAGACTCAAGGATGCCATATTCCAAAAGTCGAGAGGGGTGTTTTTATGGGTTGTTTTGGTTGTCGAAGAAGTCCTCCGCAAACGAGACGACGGAATGGATTTCGATTACTTGCTTGGCAAAATAGATATGGTCCCCAGGCCTCTTGAGAGCCTGTTCAAAGAGCTGCTACGATATGTCAGCAGGGAGGAAAGACGCATTGCATTGTGTATTTTCCAATGGGCAATCCTGTCGGCTTCCCCTCTTCGGCTGTATGAGTGGCATCATATCTTAGCCTTCATCCGATTCCAACACCTGTCTTCGCTATCAGAATGGAGACGCAATATTCATTGTATCAAGATTGATGATCAACTGGAGAAACAGATAAGAAGTCTTTCAAAGGGGCTAGTTGAAGTGCGAAGGATAGCAGCAGACGAACCCCAAGGGGCAGCGTTTGATTCGTTGTCTCTACACGCTGGGGCAGGCTCACTCAACCTCGACTCAGGCGGAACTCGAGTTGTTCAAGTCATCCATGAATCAGTACGTGGATTTTTCCTACGCAGAAATGGGTTTGCTTTACTAGACCCAGACCATGCTTATGGCCCTATCGGCTACGCACACATGGAAATCATGAACACATGCATCAACTATATCCATATCCACGAACTCGACAAAATTGTGGACGCACGGAATCGTACATAAAGGCCCCCGGTCAAACGACCAAGTTCTGCTAAGCAGGCTGTTTTGCAGCCTGGGGAAAGCAGATCATCAGTTGGAGAGAGATGATTTGAACGAACCATGGACCCGAGACTATCCAATCAACAGTTCGAGCCTTACTGGTCTGCTTAAGCCGCAGAATTTTGACAAAGTCGAAGTCAACAAAAAGGCGTTGACTAGGAAAGAATTGGAAATGATGCAGAGCCAGTTTTCCCCAATCGACATCCCTCTTTGGATGTCGACGAACAAATCCGAACTGGACGATCTCTCAACTAGCGGAGCCCCAGCTCTATCCATCGCAAATTCATCAATATCTGGACGATCCCAAACTCTAGAAGATCATCCAGCTCTGCTCTCATATGCTACGCAAGAATTTTTCACCCATGCTAAATTGGCTGATTTGTCGTATACAGACCCCCACGACCTTCTGCATAGACTCTTGAATCTAGGAGCGTGGTCACGTTTGAAAGCCCTGAGGGAGGACATTCCCTTTGGAGCCCAGATTTTGGAATATGCCAGCCGGCTTGGCCTTGTTTCGTGGGTAGCAGATATCCTTCTAGCCCAAGTCGAATCAATATCTACGGACACGGAAGAAGTTATTGCCAAACTCCACTCTGAAGACAACTACAGGCGGCTTGCTTTGAGTTGTCCTCCTTCCTTCGATATCAGATCGCGTCTTTCCGAATTCATTATAGAGGACTTCAAGAAAAACTTCCCTCGTCCTAGTAAGTGGATTCTTAGGGAGCATGAACTGCGAGATGATAAATTTGTCGAAAACCCCGAAGAGCGGTCTGCCACTAAGGATAGAAATTTCGAATCTCCCCCCCGCGGGGAATGCTTTGGCTCAATAGCAATACCGAGGAAACAAAGAAGTATTGAGAGCTTTGGTTCAGCTAGCAGCCATTCTGGATCTATACACGGCAACTCTGTTGAATGGGATGACGCGTTTTTTTGAGCCTGACTACATCGGAGTGTTTTCCTAGGACAGACTTTCAAACATAGTCCGAATTATGAATAAAATAATTTAACCGCATGGACCTCTTGATCATTCTAAAATGAACTTACCAACCGGAAGTTGTTCTATACTTTGCTTTTCATGCACCACATCTCGCGCAATGGGTGAAGGGTATTTCTCAGGATGATATGATTTATGTATGAAAAATAAAGTTTGTTTGGGCTTCGTTACTGCCTGTCTTACTTATGATAATCTACTCACAGCATGTGACTTAACAGCTCTAAAAGTCGAAGGTTTTAGTTGTATACACGGGCTGTGCTTTACCATCCAGAGCTTCCTTGGCGAAGTCCCTCAGACCTACAAACTTGAAGTCTGGGTACAGATCTTTGGAAAGTAGGTAGCCAAGATATGTCCCAGTTTCTGGCAGGTTGTCACCTCTAACCCAGTTCTGGTTCGCGTACTGCTGGACGATCAACAAGACGAAATTCTTGTAAGATGGGTCCTGCTTATATGCCTTGCTGGCTTCTTGGATTCCCGCCTCGAGTGCTTCCTCTGGGACACTCTGACGCTCAACAGTCTCTCCGCTCAGCTCCTCAACCAGTTTGAACATGGCATCGTGAGTCCAGACTTCGTTGTAGGCAAAGACATACTTGTTCAGCGTGCGGGGGTCTTTGATGATAAGTGCAACATATTTGCCAATATCCCCCAGATCAACAACGGAAGTAGAATAGTGCCCATCTCCGTATTGTACATTGGAAGGGATCTTTGTCATATAGTCAAGCTTGCCCGAAGGAGGGTTGGGGAGAGATACTTGATACCATCCACCAGCATCAATGACGGTGTAGGGCAGATGGAGTTTCTTGACATGGTTAATAACCTCCTCTTTCTATATGAGTAATTAGCAGACGTTAAGACGTTATTATATTGTAGGGCATTTCTCTCAATCTTACGATTTCTCTCAAAATATTGACCCCCGTTGGGGGGGCAAGAGGTGCAAAGAAACTAGGGATAAACCTCTTAACGCCCACTTGTTTCGCTGCATTTGCGAGCTTCTTCTCGATATCAGAGGTATGAGGCATAACACCAGAGATGATAATTTCTTGTCCTTGGAACGCCTTGACAATTTCTTCGAGCGGCGCTGCCTCGAGGTCAAGAGGGATGATTGGCACTCCCTTCTCCTTGAAGCCTTGGAGCTGTGGCTTCTCGGTGGAGGATGGCCTGACATACGCAGTGATGGCCTGCGATGATTAGCGACGAATACAAGACTCAGATATGCTAGAAATTACAAATTCTTCGCTCTCAAGCAAGGCTTTGACGATTGATACACCAGTTTCGCCGGTTGCGCCAGTGACGGCGACCTTAATTTTCTGAGCAGTCATAGTATGGAAGGGTAATGATGAGGGATATTGTGATGCTTGGACTGTTGGTTGTGATTTGAATACTGAAGGTACATTCAGTATCTTCCATACATGGCCCTTTTATATCAAAATCGGCGGAGTGTTGTCCAATGACGAGACCGCCTCCTCCGCAGCAACTCCGCAACTGGCTTGAGGTTGTATTACCATTGTCCCCTCCCTTCGTGAAGCGAATGCCGGTGCAGTGTTAGACGGTAGGCTGATTTATCGCCTGATTGCATCGTATCCACCGCATTGATTTCAAATCGGGCACCGACTCCCGCTTAGTGAAGATAATGCTGCAGAAGTCCCGATCTGACACACACAAATGTCACCAGCTCCGATACCCCAGCCAACTTTTCATGCTGTTGGTGCTGAAAGCGGACACGGCTGAAAACATGTGACGCGTACAGGCCCAAAACATAAATAAACAGTCTTGCAGAAATGCCGCCGAAGCATTGAGAAATTTTTGTGTTATTTCTGGCTACTGGTTCGTCTACTACGGCTTTTAACCTGTGACTCTGGCTTATTTGACTAACAAAGCCCATGATTACACGCGGAATAACATATAAGATCGTTAGATTGATCTGAGTAAGGCCCTGCCAAGTGTCACGGCACTGCATGACACCACTAATTTGGACAATTACCCGAATGCAAGTCCGACACCAAATATGATTAATATATTTGTCAACAGTTTACTATAAACCTTTGCGGAGAATCTCTCTTGATGACATGTAGCAGCGGAAATTGCTGCTGTCATCTTCAGAATGCGCTTTCTAATACCAACTGCTCAAGGTGGGTGATGTGCTCACTTAACATTGTCCGGTCACGATCAATTCAAGGAGCTGTCATCGCATTAAGTTTCATCTATGATCGCCCGTTACAGTATCAAATTCAAGACCAAATCCAGAATTCGCTGCCCTAGCTTATGCACAGCATTAGGATTGCATCTCAGAATTGCAAGATAGCCTCACCTAAGAAGTAATCTAGAGCAGGCGTTATCCCCCTGCACATAGCTGGCTTGAATGGTTTAGATTGGAATATTCTAACAAATCTAGAGATACAACAGAATAGTTATAAACAATCAGTGACAGCTTTAACACATCTTGCGGTCTGTAAGAAGGTTGATATCGATGGTCAGCGGGAAACGATATACCGGAAAGTTATAGGCCCTCCGAGAGTAGAAATAGTTTCCAATTCTCACTCGTGGTAGTTCTTACTTATAAATATTTAGCCTAGGGTAATTTCTATAGAGGTTTCACATCATTCTTAAGGGGGCACGATACCCCTGAACATATAGCATATGTTCTTTTTAAGACTCAACTTTTTTTTTTTAGTTCTTATTGAACTTTCAAGATAACTACCGAGCCTTAGGGTTAAGCACCACGGACCTCTGGCTTAGGTACATCGGGTTGATGATGCCTGGGGGAAGCGTGATCTTATCCGTGTTTCTATCATGCTTGGAGGCTGGGCACAGTCATTGTTGGTGTTGAACCTTGTACACGGCCGGGCAAAAAGGCTGAATTTTCATGTGTTGTGATACTGGGTATAGTGTCAAGTTGTTAAATTCTTGGTGTTTTGGGAATTTCCCCTTTTTTTTTCAGCAGCTGCATAGCTCTCTCACTTACTATCATGCTTGGTAGAGGCATAGCACAGAAATAGATTTAGGCTTACTCAGCCTGGCTAAGCTGTCAAGTGGAGGCGATAAAGGAGTGAGCAACCCTAATTTTCAAGCCGTTCTAACTGAGAGCCAACACCGAAAACCAATCCGCCATACCGCCTTTGATCACAGTCACTCTAAAGTATGTATACTACGACCGACCACCCCTCTCCGTAGATATCAACTAGGCATTTTCTAATCTTGACTATCCACATCCTAGCGTATATCTTGCTTGCTATATTATCTACAAGATGGATGAAAGCGTGCTCAAGGATCTCTGGATTGACAACGATCACGGTCCATTCAAGAGCTCTTCGTACACGCTGGTTTTTGGGGGTCCTGGACGGAAATCTGTTAGGGTCGATACCGGCGATCGCGACATTATACTCTGCGTCTCTGCTGACGACACGGCTACCCGCCTGCTTCACCTTCAAAACGTGCGCGACGACACAGTTGAGGAGGCCAAGGCTGCCATTACACAGCTCCTTGACGAATTGAAGCCTCAAGATGAGAGCAGAGACGAAAGACATCTGCGACCAGGATATCTAAAAGTAGAACATGCTATCGACTATAGTCACGAGGATGTCCGGCAGTTTCTTTTCGCAGAAGCCAAGAAGCGCAGCCTTGGGATTACTTGGGATGAAGGAGGATATTCACGCTCAATGCTGCGAAGACTCTATTACCAGCTGTGGTTCAAAATCCGTCTATTAAGCGATGGCAGTTGGATGACAAACAGTGGAACACGCTTCCAACAGGTGAAGAACCGAGGCACATCCGAGAATGGTGGAAACGACAGTGGTCAAGATGCATAGAAGGTAGCATTTGGCAAGATCAGGGCCATTCAAATCCATTCCGTACACTACCAGCCTGTATTCTTTTCATAATATACTTCGCTCCTCTATGACGCCTCTATGATGTTTTATATGGAACTGATGTCCCTGACTGTTCAAATCGGCATTGTCGAGGCTCAGAGCCATGATTGCAATCGAATTTCGACCAAAAACATGGGTTGAAATCCGAGGCATCACGACCAATTATACGAAGTTTCTAGGACACTTATTTACTTTTTTTTAAAGGAAAAAAAATAAAAAAAATAAAAGGACTGTAATTTGTTTTGTTTCCCCCTTTTCCGTGTTCATAAGATTATGTTGAAGTCCGCTAGTTTCGCTTTTGATGGGCAAATTTGATACTTGAACGGCTGTAATCTATCAAGATTATTCACAATAGTTGGGCGGATTCAAAACCATCCTCCCTCCCGTACTCGAGGACGAGCAAATGAACGCGCAGCTTTAGACAAAAAGATTTTAATATATTCATAGGTTTGGCAAAAAAAAAAAGTAGAGAGTCTATTTCGATATATAAGTACAGGGGAGAGGAGGGTTGGATGATTCTGAACCTCCGACGCTGAATTTTCAGGGCTTCCGGAGTTGCGAGTTCTCTTTTTTTGTTGAATGAGAACAGGCGAGTCCATCTATCCCGCTCTTTAGATTACCCTTCGTTTGTCCCTCTATAACTTCAGCTTCCTCAAGGATCGAGCGTATAGCGATACCCTCTCGCATCTTAGCCGCTTGACTCTCGTAGAATTCAGCTCTCTTAGTCTTATGATGCCAATCATCAAGCCCAATAGCCCGGCTCATAGGCTCGGCAAGCTTGTTTAGCCCCTCCCAGATGTTCCCCTTGGATAGACCCTGAAGATAACCTTCAGCATTGGCCCCACGCTTGAGAAGGGCATCGCGAAGGAAGCATGACTTTTCCACGTGCTGTGTCACCGGCCCACGACGCTCATTGGTATAGCTTTCAAGAGCGGCATTCAGATCGGCCAGAGGAATAGGTTGATTTGGATAACGGGCGCGGAGTCGGCGATAGTGGTTGACGAAACTGGCCACTGACTCAATAGCTTGATTCCCACCCATTGCACCATTGGGGACCATCTTTAGCAAATTAGTCATTCGTGGCCATATAACCCGTGGAGCGTAGAACACTCACCTTATGACACGAGTCACCAGCAAGGAACATACGGCCGGCATGCCATACAGCGGCAATCCCCTCCTCAAGAGACACCGTGGTAACATCTCGCCTATGCGCATACAAATCACCAAAAGTTACGCCAGGTATAATAATAATATCCTTGGACTTCTCGGCAAGCGCTTCGACATATTCCGGAGTGTACTTGGGGGTCTCCTTGTATTTGATGGGCTCTTTGAAGTCATCAAACAAGAACCAATAAGGCCTGTCATCCTTTCCGGTGAGAATGAAGAGGCCAGTGTTTTTCCGGTGGCTGTTAAAGAATTGACCACCCGTGATGCCAGCTATACGATTGGAGCAGCCGAATATGCATGCGGACCTAGATGCAAGATCTGAGCGGGTGAGGATTAGCGGGATGTTGGATAATCGAACATGATAAGTAAGACGAGGAACACACAGCCTGGAGAAGGTGTAACACCCGCGTAGACTTCAATCTCACGACGCACCGCGCTGTGAACTCCATCAACCCCGGCGACAATATCACATCTTATCTTGAATCCATCTTCTGTGGTGACAACAGCACTGGTCTCAGAGGTTTCGACCTTGGAGACTCTGCTTGAAGCCCGCACCTTGGAATTGTCAGGTAGATTTTCGTACAGAATCTTCAATAAAATCTGTCGAGGGATTGCGTGACTTGAGTATCCAAGACTAGGAACGGAGGTTATATCAGTTTTGCTTTCCACATATGAATATTTCGCTTACGTACAGAGGTGGCAAGTATCGCCCTGCTGTCAACACTCCATAGAGCGTACCGTCGTCTCCATCACGGTGCTCGAAATAGTCGTGCGGCACGGCATGCTCCATCAGCTTTTCATACACGCCAAGCTGGTCTAAGATTCGGAGTCCGTTGGGCATCAGACCAATACTTGCGGCCCCGGGTGGTGCGATGGCACGATAGCTTTCAAGCACCAAATACGAGATATTGGCTTGCTCGAGCATGTTCGCCAATGCAAGGCCTGCGACGCCTGCGCCAATGATGGCGACTTCCACTTGAACTTCCGAGCTCATTGCGACCGCGAGGTGGTGATGTTGTTTCTGTCAATGCTGATTTGTTTACACTGCCTTAGGGACGTATGTAGCGGCTGTAGGGGGTTTGGCCTTGGCACATCGAGACGAGATGGTTGGACATTTATATTCTTTTACGTTAAAAGTTCTGCCATGAACAGAAGGAGTAAAGCAACAATAAAATGCATCTCTCGTTGGTGCCGCCGAGTGCGGAGACTGCCGGAGGCTACGATGAGACCGGACATTTCCCTATTCAGAGAGACGATCAGTTTGAGGAAATTTTAACTCCGCGACCGAGGTGAAACAATATTTCGATGTGTTCCTTTGTTCGGAAAACGGCCGGAGAAAAAGTACGAGTAGCACCGGGCCGAGCCGATGCAGGTTAGATTTGTGACACGTCCTGAACATGGAGATTTGATGTTCCCGAGATTGACAAGTTTCGCAGAAATGCAACCTCCGAGCGGGCGGAAGCCTGCTGATTGATCGCTACTATTTGGACGAAGAGCGCTTAAACGGCATGGAAGCATTGACCGGCCTGATTTGCGTTTGGGTTTACCCGCCTGGTTAGTGCATAATTCCTACAAATTCAATGGACGAACATATCATCAGACCTAATAAACACCGATCATATCCATCTTCTTGACAACTTCCTGAGATACGTCTTTTTCTCCTCTTGAGAAGGTCTGCGTGAAGTAGTCACGTCAACACGTGCCCTGTGCCCGGAAAGGCTGATGGCTATGTTCACATTGGAACATCTTATCAATTCCCACAAAATCGATTGACTATTGCCAGTGTCCATCCCATTAGCTTGGATAAGTAATGGAGAATCCCCTTTGATTATATCAAAGAAGGAGTAGTATGTTACTCGGCGCTGGGCTCAACGGCTAACCACCAGTGAAAACTGGTTTTATTAGGTTGGGCGTAACTCGTCCTTGCACTGTAATGGTGGAACCCTCTTGGAACCCTCGATCACTGGCTCGCACTCGTTGTACGCATTAGAGATTCTTTCATTCAAACATTTGTCCAATAGTCTTTGTTCCTCGTGTATTCCCCAGACCCAAGAAAAACCCAGGCAAGGACATTATCTATCGGAATGTGGCAGCTTGGCGGTAATCAAACCCGCATCCTTCACGTTAGAGCTATTTTGATTTCAGACTACGAGTGCCTTACATGCTCCGCGTGATGAGTTTACGAAGTATAGAAAACAAGGAGTGACGACTTTTACGTCAACAAGAAGACAATAGTCTAACTTTGGTTGTAAGAACCTTCGCTGGGTCCAGCTTTGAATGCCGAATACTCGCTTTGAGCAGCAACGATGATTGTGGGCGTAACCACGCACCAAAGTCTCATCGAAGACCAACGCTATGTCGAGAAGATGATCACTTCAAGCTAAAATAAAACTCTTAGAGTGGAAATAATGGCAAAAGGGCATACTGGAATATCGGGATTGGACTCTATTAGTTCGAGTACGGAGGAGACCAGTTATGACCCAGTGAGCTTCGTTTATGTCAGCTCTCGAGAGAATTCGGGGTAAACAGACATTATCAAAAGCCTACGTCTAACTAGAAATTCATTTTTACTTGAGCCAGGCCAACTAAACCGACTAAAGGCCGTTTCATGTTCTCAAACAATAAGGTGGTGGCTTGCAAGGTCGTCGCTCGAAAGCATGTAGCAAACAGTCCGTAGAGCTATCACGATATCGTTCTTGGTTACGCCATGGCTACATCAGATATTAGATTTGAATAATTTCAATTGATCGTTGGCATACTGGCAATTTATGGCATTGGCGCCGACACGGAGGTGCTCCCAAATCATCATATTGGCAAAAGGCATGCAGACGGACACTGCTGTAAGCCTCGACTACAGAAATCAGACGCGGCCAGTTTCACTACTAAAAATAAAATTAATCATTCTTCGATAGTTTGATGTCCAACTGTCCAACTCATTGATTCGATGATAATGTGGGTAGCAACGTGGTTTAGAGGACAAGGGAGTGTTCATGGGCATCATCCTAGCTAAAGTTTAACAGCTTCGGTACTAAAAGGGATACGCTACACCTCCGCAATTTCCCAGACAAATCAGAAGCTGGGGCTATCTAGAGAGTGAAGAAAGACACCATCTAAACTGGCTAAGAGAGTCTCTCAATAAGAAAGCAAAGCATCGATTACTGGATTCTGGACGTGATTTTACGAGACGGAAGCATTTGAGCAGGAGTAGATCTAGAATTCCTTCACAGAGCTTCCGATATTTAGCCAATAAATGAATTTTGAATGGATCTACGAGCTGGGTGTGGATAAATCAAACAAATACCGTTTTTGATGAAAGGGGCTTCAAAGACCAAACCAATTTACCACAAATAGGGAAGATCCGCATACTTGCTTCTCGCTTAGAACTTCTGAGGTTTCTTCAGCTCCAGAGCCCAGCGATGAGTACATTGACGAGTAGGGTGCCTCCGAAGTGGGGAGAACTGGCCGCTTCTTGGTTTGGGGCCTTGGCAATCGGTGATCCTGTAGATTCCATATATTCGTTGGGCTTCAAGGGTGCCTTCTAGTTGTGATTGATTGAAGAAGATTTGAATTAGATCGGGGTGATGATACTGTCTGTATGCTTGCTACATTAATAGATATGAACTCATTAGAACTTCGCCCAAAATTTCTCGTAGACTAAGTAAGAAAACAACGCGACATGTGGTGTTAAGCTTCAGTGTTGTTAGACTTCAATTTCTTGCAACGTAGGGTTGGCTGCGGACACCTCAACATACTCGGAACGAAAGACTCCCTAACCTAAGATGATCCAGTGGCTGTATAATAAAGCTGGCTGTTGAATATAGGGAAGCAACGAATACTTCGGCATGTGGGCATGTGTCAAGTATTAGAAATACGAGACGAGTGGTCTCATGCTAAGTTGCCAAGATTATGGGCCTTACAAATAGATTATTCAAGAGGAAGTCACCAACTAATGTAAATCCCCTCACCAACTATGCTGTGGCAGATGAAAGGTGGAGATCTCGGAAACCAGCGAATCCCTAGCGACCGAAAACCAAAATGAAAGGGTTTTGCTTCACTCCTGAAGATTTTACATCTACTGTGTAGATTCTTCACCGTGGAGCGGGCAGGACTGGGCTCTAGCTGAGTTCATCTCCGTGCCACACAATGTGGCTTTGATTCTGTGCCTCTATCATTAATCTTTATTCCCTCAGAGGAGCCGCACTTGCGTGTCTCACAGTATGTAGTTCCCTGTGCCGCGTAGACTTGTGTCCACCGGTTATGGCGAGTATTAATCCGCGTACTCCAAGTCTCTGATCGACCTAACTTGTCTTTCTCGTCCATTGGTAGCGGTCATTGATTGGCCGTTGTAGGTCATTCAGGCAGGATCTCGATGGATTCGATGAAAGGTCATTGCTTCTATTCTAAGAACTCGAGATCCGGTTTGATGACATCTTCGGTATTTCGTATGCTGCGGGGGAACTACCGAAATGACTCTTGAATCCTTTGGCTGCATATCCGAGATCTTGGTATGCCCCTTAACCCGTGGTGAAAGTAGACTATGGGCATTTGGACCCTGGAGTACAAACTGGGGCTTAATCACATGGTGACGAACCTATACGGGCGTCGATTGCTGCCACGCCGGCAGTGGGATCCGAGAACCAGGAGTCGTGCATCTATTTAGAGGCCCTAAAATTACGCAGGATTGCAATCTTGCATGAAGTTTGAAACTGCAATATAATGATCGTGGGCAAGAGAATGGGGAGCTGGTTTACAACTGAGCGCTGGGTTACGTGCACGATGTCACATCTTGGCTTCGTTTATGAAATGAAATCAGGTATTATTAGAACTTCCAAGCACCAGAGTAATATCTCCTATCACTGGACGGCGCAGCATCGTGTTAGCCACCTTTGCCGGCAGGAATTGAACTGAGTTACGCTCGCCCCTTTGGAGGCATCAGCAAAATCTCTCGACAAGATAGTTTCAATAATCACTCTCAACAAGGCGTGAAAACTGATTATGATAAGCATCAAATGGCCTTTTTGTGCACAGTCCCGTCTCCCCAGAGATGATTTCTAAATCTACAAAGCATTATAATGCTGGTAGACTTGCGTGCTTAAGCATGACCAAGCACATGGTGAACTTCCTCATGGATCTATCAACCGTCACTAGATTTATTGGCTAGATACACTAATCCCACCCTAGTATGGAGCTCGATGAGGTGGTCGAAGTAGTAGTGCATATGCATTCCTTCCCGTTTTTTGTAATCAGCAGCCCTGTCGGCAGCCTTGTAATAGCTTGATTACGAATAGCTTCACCAAGCAGGGTTTGATCCTGTCATATTTTGGTCTCCCGCTTCGATACAGCTAGATACTATGACTAAAGTAGCAACAGAACATAAAGTGCTTCCTAACATGCCATGTTACCTGGGCTACCGCTCCTGAACAGGGCGGCTGAAGTCCACGAAAGGCAGGACATTTGAGCAAAGGGGCACAGGCTGTATCCCAAGACTCAAACTAGTGGGAGCTAGTGGCGATGTACCGACTCTCAAACATACACAGCCCACAGAACCGGCAGTTGTGAAGGCTGATCCCCAGCAGAGCTCTTTTGTGCTCGTTATGGCCTGTGCGTACATGAGCATTGCCGGATTTTGCCTTATTATACACGCGTGCGCCAAGCTGGAATGTCATCGGGAGTGTTTCTTTGGAGGCTTTCATATCTCCGGATGGATCCCATGGCTTTGCCGCACATGCACAGAAGAGCGTGCAAGGGACGCTCCCCTGGAATACAAGACTCCATTTTTTGCCCAGGCTGAACCATCCTGGAACTCTCGCGTGGCCGTGGTATGAAACCGGGGAGTGGCATCTAAATCCAGTCCATCTGGCGCAGGGACCACAGATGTCGATGTGTTACAGCCGCCAAAGTGCATTACAACCCATGGTCTTTATTTTACATCATGCAGGTTCAATGATACGATATGGCGGCAGTCCGCTAAATTTAGATCGAATCTATCTTGTTTAATTTCCATCCCACCATCGGCTCTTGGCCGTGACATGCCATCTGATCGTGGGAACCGTTGGATATCTGGTAGTTCAAATATAGGTACCTTGTGAAACGGTAACGCCTGGACTGGGGCTCTCCGCAAGCCGGGAGCAGGTGCATTATATAATTTCACCTACCGAGTAGTGCGAAATGGATGTTTTTAGAGCCCTGCAGGATCCGGCCAGGACCGTGCCTTGCGTTCCGTGAGTGAAATCTGAATTGTGCTACTGCCCAAGGGGTTTATACCAACTACGCTTGAGAAACTTCCCCGTACTTGGATAGAAGTCCGGTATTTGGAATCATATTGAGGGTCCTGTCGGAAGGACATGCGAGGAGAGGAGAGAAAAAGGAAAATAAGAATCGAGCAGGGTTGCGATTTCATGGATCAACGCCCCTCCCCTGTTTCTTTAAGGGCGGCCGCGTGGTGGAGAAGACTCCATCTGGCACAATTCGAATGGTGTTCCTTTTTTATCTAGACGTCACCAAGCAAGTTTGGGCGCGGCATGCTGCGGACTGCATCAGCAGATTCGCGGGTAAGTCTGACAAGTGCCCGCTTGCTCAACAGCTTTGAGGAGCCGTGCAGTCTCGGTCTCCTGGCAGAGGCAAATTAGATGCACGCATGGAGGCATCTGTGCCGCATACACAGCTGGTGTAGAGGACCCCATCCTAGGGCATCTCTGAGTGGACGGTGTTGGGGTTGATATGGGCACGGCCAGGGATCGCCCGGCTCTCGCCGCCTGCTGGGTGGCTTGGAGGCACACTTCTCCTCTTTATGCGTAGCATCCACTGCCGTGCCGCCAGAATCATCTCATCTTGTCCTGCGGCTATTTATCCCCTTATGGAGCTCCAGGGCTGCTAGAGGCCGTTGATCAGTGTGTGTGAGAGTGTGACCCGTGCCAGAAGGATGAAACGTAGACGCGCCCGCGCCGCTTTCACGGCTCTACGCCCTTGCCTCGGCACTCTCATCAATATTCAGGTTAAGTTCATGAGGTGGTGCGCTTAGTTGCCCCCATCTTGCACCCCCGGTCAGCGTAGGATCCAGAGACGTTGAGCTCAAAAAGAGGGCTGCTGACACGTGGGCTGCAACCTTGTAGCATGGCTTGCCATCGCCATACGGCAGATGTAGTTGTTTTGCAATGATTAGCCCTGCTGGGAGCGGTATGGAGATTGCTCGCACCGCTGCCCTCCCACTCGGCTTGGCCCCATCGCATCCCACTTGGATGATCCAGGTCTAACTAGAGACGACGGGACGTTTTGTAGTCTGTTCGTATTCACCACCATGCCTGCCCATGCTATCTATAGCTTATTTGGGTCCTAATCCAAGCTACCTTGACCGGTTATCCGGTTTCTCGGTCTAGTACCCGCGGAGAGCCATCTTTTGTGTGGGAGAAGGGCCGAATTCTCGGAAGCCCAACTCAGATCGAGTGCCGACGGCTGAGCGGGTCTTCAGTCTAGTCTCCTAGCCTATGGACGGGGAAATCAGGGCAGGGAGGGGGTGAAGGTTGACCGTGTGCCTTTCTACTTGCTTCCCAAAATCGACAGGGCAACGGGCCAGGGTTAGACCTGGGTAGCCTAAACGCTTTTTGTCCATTCTACCATACTCTGCTGTCTGACCCAGCCAGCCTAACTCGTACATCTAGATTTGGAAGGGTTGTGCCTGGGTCTACTTGTTTTATACCTCACTCTCCCCGGGTTATCACAGCGGTCGTACAGGTTGTATTTCCGGGCGTCGATCAATCACAACTCCTTTTCTACATATATTTCCTCCCAACGCTTAAGCTGTATTAGATTCTGAACCTCTCTTTGTGGTCTTAGCCAAATAAATCCGACAGTATTTGCCAAGCAGTAAAACTGCGCCAAAGGGAGAAGACTCAGCGCTGACTACCACTGCCGTCCACGCACAACGACAAGCCATCCACCAGGAGCAATCCCAAAGGGGAAGCATTCAGCTCTTTCGTAATCCTCACACATACGCTATTGAGCAGGCACCCGCCGCTTCTCAGCAGCCATGGACTTTTCCCAACAGTACCAATATGCAGGTGGCCCTAGTCACCAACCGTTCATGCCCGTCTCGCCGCCCATCGCAAATGCTAGTCAATCCTCATCAGAAGAATACAACAATGACTCCTCACCTGTCAGTACTAAGATCTCGCCCCTCTACATCACTCCCCCAGTAACGCCTCCGGTCATGGTACCACATCGCGATACAGTTAGTGTGCTTTCCAACCTGGCAGATCACTGGTTTTTTCCTTCAATCGAATTCTAGGGCTGACCTGAGGTGTGTTTTCTATCGTACAGAAGCTCTATGAGCCGCCTGCGAGTGATTTTCTGCCTACGTATCGATTTGGGCACAACTTCCAACAACAGCAGGGTCCCAATTTCGGCGGTATCGTGGGATCAAACAGCCCTATTATGCCATCTTCATCTGCAGGAAAATCTTCATTCATGCAGCACCACCAACACCCTCAAGCATCATATGAAAGTTCCAGTGCCAGTTATCAAGGCCATGTCTTGGCCCTCCGGGGCAGTCTCAGAGGGCAGCCGTCCAGCTTAGATACTGACGACCAGTCCGTTGGAGTGGGCGGTGACGATATGATCATGACCAAGAGGAAGGCCCAAAACCGTGCCGCGTAAGTTTTCTTCTTGCAAATTACCGATAGCTGTGTTAGGCGTAGATTATATATTTACTAAAGCCAATCCAGCCAACGAGCTTTCCGAGAAAGAAAAGAAAAACACGTCAAGGACTTGGAGACCACGCTGAATGAGCTTCGCGAGTCCCAAGAGAAAGCTACTAGCGAGAATGAGAAGCTCAAGAAGGACCTCCAGAAAATTACCACGGAAAACCTCATCCTCAGAGCATCAAAGGGATCCGATGATTATACCTCCATGGAGGTGCTCGTCACTGGGCCTACATTACAGCAGTTAAATAACTCAGCGTTCGCCTCAGATACGCTGCCAAGTCTGAATAGCAAGGTCTCCCATCGAGTTGTTGAAGCCCCCGACGGCACACGGTTACTAGCTGCAGGTGCAGCATGGGATTACATCGTATCACATCCCCAGTATCAGACCGGCCTCGTCGACATCAGTAGTGTCAGCGATTACCTGATGAAGAACCCCAGTTATGATGGCCAAGGTCCCGTCTTTTCAGAAAAGGACATCAACGACGCTATCGAAAGAAGCATGACCGAGGGATCCGACGATCTCCTTTAATTTTTCTCCACGGCATCTTTAATCATCATTTTTCAAAGCCCAAAGCGATCTTCTTTTTATTTTTATTTTCTGGTTTGATCCGCTTTTTATACAGCACACGATTCCAAAGAGAGACGGTATTTTCACTCATTATGTGGGGAATCCCTCATGCATTTCGGCGTCTATTTTGTTTTAGACGAGATGAAAAACTACAGCACCTTTTGGAACTTTGAGGAGTCGGGATGGGAGGATGGGGGATGATTGGTATGATCAATTTTGCATGGGATAGGATATGTGTTTCAACCATATCTTGGTAACTGCATAGCATCTTTTCAATATTACAGTTAGCAGAGCAATGAATAATTACACTCATAATGGTACTTTGTTGTGAACTTCAAATATAGAATGGTCTACGTAACCACTTGATGTTTCCTAGGCAGATACCAAGGCCAACTCCCACTTTGCCCAGAACTAAACCCACCGGTGATACCACGCGCCACCTAAATTGACGACCTTTTAAGAAGACTAAAATTACCTCTCACCGTCAATAATTCGTATTCTCAGAGCGGCGAGAGTTGAAGACCATGTGTCAGTCCCCCCAGGTATTTCCATTTTTACTGACTCCTTCGCTGCTGGAAAGTTCCACAGCTGCCCCAGTCCCCTCGTTTTGCCCTGTAATGCTTTGATAGCCCGTGGAATTGGATGCTGACATGGGGATTCATCATCCAGCTAGCAGCCTAAGCCCTGGCTTAGTCAAGGCACAGATCCCCATCAGGGCGCCCGCCCCCTGTTTGGAAGCTACTGGTTAGCAGCAAACTCCTTCGGTAGTCGCTGGAATGGCTGAAATGAAGGTTCAAGGAAATCACAAGGTGTAGGGCCCATGAAGGACCCATCAGCACCCCCTTGACTCCGGCGGGCGTCGAGTGACTCTCCTTGCTCTCCACCACGACAGGCGCCTCGCCCTGCCTCATTCGAGTCGATCCTCGCCGACCGGACTGCAGTGTGGTCTTTGCTGCGTGAGTACCCGCCATTCTCCCCACTGACGCGTTGTTTCCATCGACTCAGCCCTGGTGGAATGTTTCGGATCTGCTGCGCGCGAAGATGAAGTAATCAACGCCGTTTCATTTCCACAGCCTTTGTCAGTCGCGTGTCCCCGCGGACGTCAATTAACAATCAAGAGGCGCAGGCTTCAGTTCTGACGCCGCTAAGCGCTTTGAGGCTCTCGCGTCCTGGCACTTACACCGACAGCTCGGCACTGGCCCTGCAGCTCTCGTGCGTCTTGGCTGCCAAAGATGCTACCTCGTATTGTCTATCGCGGTTTTAGGTCCTCACCGCGTCCTTCCTGTTTTCTTGAAGCAACCAAGGCCTTCTCGTATTCACATGGAGGGCAATTGGCGAGACGGAGCCGCAACATGCATTGCAGATACCCGCCACTCGTAGCCGCACCCTCTTGTTCTACGCGGCCGTCAGGCGAATGGAAGTCTCTAGCCCACCGTACCGTCTACAGCTGTTATTAGATCATTTGGGCTTGGGGCATTCTGGGTCAAGGATGCATGGGACGTTCCGTGAAGTGGGGGCTACAGACAAGAATCAAGGATGGAAGCTCGAGCGAGAGACCAGGGAGCTTACTTGGCCAGCAAATGACAGCGTTACCCGACGTTCTGGTTGGGTTCTCATTGAAATTGGCGACATACGTAAGAGCACATCACCTAGTGTCACCCGCACTGAGCCAGCCCCTTCAGCCTCCTCTTTTCTACCATTAGCTCGGCTCTTGCTTGTTTTTAGTACTTTAGTCTGCCGCCCACTTAGATCAGGCCGTTAGGAAAGCAATAAGGCGGCCGGAATTAGTGACGGAAGAGGAAAATTCGACGGAAGGGGTAAGTCAAGCCCACCACGCTTCGCTTAACCTGGGCGATGCATTGCAGCGGCGACGCCGTAGAACAAGCGTTAATGAGGGTAGGGGAGTGTGATATTGGCATCTGAGATGTGACTGGACTGGTTGACGGATTGATGGCTGGTTCAACTCATGCGGAGGGGAGAGGATGCAGCTCCAATCACCCGCCGTTACATCGAATCCCACCGCCCATGTCACGGCGATTCCGGACGTGCACCCATGCCATGGGAAGCTCGCCGAGGACGACACGAGCCATGCTCGCTTGTTTTCCGTGCGTTTCTCCCTGCCGCTGGGTCTTTTTATAGAGGAGACGCCCTCGTTAGGACTAGACTCCGATCCTTTCTTCTCCCATAATATCCGCACATAACGATTGATAAATGCCAACATCATCAGATGATAGATCGGACAGAGCGGATCACTGGCCTGCGAGTCTAGGTTTACCAGCCGATCGCCCCCCTGCCCTGCCCGCCGGTACCTTACGTGCTACCCTACCCACGCCTGTCTCCCGGCACTCCGAGCAAAAGGCGGAGGCCACTTCTGGTCTCGCTCTATGACCGAGGCGAAGACCCTAAGCCCTACTGCATTAGAGCTTGCCGCGGAGTTGAGTGGGCATTTACCCCTACCCAGGCTGCCAGGTGACTATAAGGCGGCCGCTGCACAAGCCACGGTCCGGGATGGGCGGAGGAGCACAGAATAGGGAAAAGAGTTTGATGTTGCGCGTCTTGAGCATCTAGTAACTTGCTTGGGAAGTGTCGCCGCCTTTCTTACGCCGTGGCAGACGCCGAGATTGTGCAGCAACAAGCCGAGAATGGAGCGAGTCCAACGTCATCGCACACCCGAGACTGCCATCACCCGACGGATTATTTCTAACAATGACAAACACCCCTCAAAGACGCTTTGGTGATACAGTCATCAAGCTACTGCAGAAAATACCACCGGCAAGTGATTGAGACAACTGTAACGGCATCTGACGCAATGCAGTGCCTCTCATATCCCGGCCCGCTCCTAGTCCCAAATCGCTCATTTTACCGAACATTGCATGGTATGACATGGCACATCACCTCTGCTTCTTGTTCGTGACAAGGCACAGCTGTTGCAGATGTGATATCTCAGTTGAGAGATGCCGGGAGTCCGGAGAGAAGAACGCAGAAGGCCCTGATAACAAATCCCTTAGGCGGCAGATCTCCCGGCGATGATACAATACAGTTGCATCGAATGCAGACCAACGCCGTTGGCTCCGGATGCTCAGACGGCATAAAGCTGTCAACGGCACCGCAGAGAGTCTTGATCCTGTCCCGGCACTTCATCAAGCACTCTCGGCCTGAGTTTCAAGCCCTGCCTCCCCTTACACTAAGCCCTAACCTTCCCGACACATACACTCCCCTCTAAGCCACGAGCCCGTTTCATATCTCCAAGATGGGTAGCTCGCCATTGAGTAATCCCGCCGCCCCTGGCCTGCCGTACTACACTCCAGCCCAAAACCCCCCGGCTGGCAGTGCGCTGGACCCGTCGTCAGCACCCACTCTCTTCCAGCCCCTGCAGATCCGGGGCACGACACTGCACAACCGCTTCGTCGTCTCGCCCATGTGCCAGTTCAGCTCCCAGGACGGCATCCTCTCTGACTACCATCTCGTCCACCTCGGCCAGTTCGCCAAGGCCGGCGCCGCCCTCACCATCGTCGAGGCCACTGCCGTCGAGGCTCGCGGCCGCATCAGCCCCCAGGACGCCGGGCTGTGGTCCGACCAGCATGTCGCCCCTTTGAAGCGCATCGTCGAGTTCATACACAGCCAGGGAACCAAGGCCGGCATCCAGCTGAGCCACGCCGGTCGAAAGGCCAGCGTTCTGGCTCCATGGATCAGCGAGGGACATGGCAAGGCCCTCGCCACGAGCGAGTTTGGGGGATGGCCGGATGACACCGTCAGCTCGAGCGCGATCCCGTTCGCGTCCAACTACGCTACGCCTCGAGAACTTTCCGTGGCAGAGATACAGAGTGTGGTCCAGGCATTTGCTGATGCCGCCAGTCGGGCCGTGACAGCTGGGTTTGACACAATCGAGCTTCACGCTGCGCACGGCTATCTCCTGAACCAGTTTCTATCCCCCCTTTCTAACGTACGTGTTTACATCTTCGGGTTAGGCTCTAGGATATCCAGATGCATACATATCCCTCGCCTGGTTGCACACCCCCTTTGCTGACCCGATTCTCAGACACGAACAGACGATTATGGTGGCAACTTCGATAACCGCACCCGCCTGCTACGAGAAGTAATCTCCGCCGTTCGCGCCGTAATCCCCGAATCAATGCCCCTATGGGTACGTATATCCGCCACAGAATGGATGGAATGGGACGGGAAGCCGACCTGGGACATCGAGGAGAGCATCCGCCTCGCCCGCATCCTCCCCGGCCTCGGCGTCGACCTCCTCGACGTGAGCAGCGGCGGCAACAACTCGAGCCAGAAGATCGAGATCTCCAAGTACTATCAGGCGGACTTAGCGGGGAAGATCCGCCAGGTCGTCCACGACGAAGGCCTCAAGCTGCTTATTGGCGCCGTAGGGTTCATCAGCGAGGCGGAGATGGCTCGAGACCTGTGCCAGGAAGGGGGTGACACGGCCGTGGTATCCGAGGAGAAGGGGGTTCCCAAGTCAGACGTGGTTATCGTTGCTCGGCAGTTTCTCCGCGATCCTCACTTTGTGTTGCACTCGGCGCAGGAGCTGCAGGTGCCAGTGAAGTGGCCAAATCAGTATCAAAGGGCACCCCGCCGAACCCACTAGATGAGGTTGCTCTGCGGCGTACAAGTTGGGTGATCTTTTAGAAGATAGTCCCCTTTCTAACACAGGTTATGCTACTACGATCTCCTTTGGTTTTAGGGGCAATTCTTAGGCACAGACTTTGTCAATTCTATCACTGTAGCTCCCAGCCTGTCTTCTTAAACATAAAGCTCCCAATTTGATACTTCTATGAAGAACTATAGATCTCCCTCTGTCCGTGAATCTTGATGCTTAGCTTCCTTGACATATCCAAACCAGTCATCTTGAAATAGCCGCCTTGAATATCCAACGTCACCCGCAGCGGTCAGACTTTCTTTGCATACACCCATACTGAAGTGGAGAGAAGAGTAGAGCTACCCCCAGCCTCAGTCCCTGCACCAATGCCTGCCTAGCACAGCTTTTAGCCCATGCTAATGATCAGCCACGCTAAAGTGACAGACCGACACGCCAGGCGGCCGCCGCTAATTCAGGGGCGTTTCCTTTGCTGGGTGACGAAGACTGGGGTGTGTTCTATCTAGCGAGGCGAGTCATGGATCGGGCTGCAAGACGGAAGGGTTCCGTAGTCTGGTATTGATTTGGAATTCAAGATTCATGCGGCAGTGGTCGAGCGGGTGACAGGAGGAATGATGTATCTAATGGAAGAGTGTTTATGAACAGACTACTATATACGATCAACAGAGTAATTGAGGATAAAAGTAACAATGTACGCTATAGTATCTCTTAATTACGGATTATTAGCACTCAATAATATGATAATCTTGGTCGCAGAGTTGAAAATAAGCAGCTCACTTGAGGTACTCAACTTAAATGTCACCCACTTGATGGCGTACAACATCATGATAGGTCTCATAGATGCAGTTGCATATTACGCTGTGATTTGTCGTGGTTCCAAATACAAGGTGGACTGACTGATGGGTAATCCGTCGAGCTGCATGGATCAGCATTTGTAATCCTGACTGAGTGCAACGTACAACGCATGATAACCACCACGGCTGGATTCCAGATCGAAATATTGGTGGCAAAATCCAAAATACTAAGCATAATGTAAGGCTTCAATAATATCGAGAAATAAGGCAAGACTTCGATTTGGAATTGTTGTTGTTGATGCAGTTGAGGCTTGCCACCCCGAAGCAGCCGGTCTCGTCTGATAAGGAATTACACACGCTTAATGAGTCTTGAATAAACTGAAAAACTGAAATTCGATTCACTCTTACAAAGTCTATGTAATCCGTCTATTCTCCAGTATTCTATTATATTCTATCGTGTTCATTTGTATAAAAGGAAAACCTATGTCTGAGCTTTTTGTTCTCTTTGCTCGACACAGAATCATACAACTCGTTAAAAGCCTCCGTATGCAGAGTATTCCATCGGTTCTTCAAGCCGGCTAGTTGCCTCAAAATGAGCTGAGAGTGTCTCTTGGTTTATGAGACGATTCAGCATATCAGAATCAATACCGAGCCCCTTTATATCGCTGAGTCGCAACAATTGCTGCAGCATCGAGTCGTCTATGGCTCTTGGCTTGGAATACTGCCACAGTAAGGGGGCATTGCAAGGCATGAAAAGAACCTGGGAGTCTTGTTCAGAAGTCGTCTGCGATGTGGTGGGCTCAAACTCTCCACTGGGTCCAAATGGCTCAGTACAGACGTCTGTCTTGTTAAACTGAGCCTGTGGTGGGCTTCGGCTGCTTTCATCATCATAGCAAGGTTGGAATGTTGACGTCTCCCACGCATAGGAGAAATCATCGAGCTGTGATGAGGGGTAAATTTGATAATTTCCCAGTTCGGAACCCTCCGCGAGAGCGAGCTGTTTGCTGGCAGTTCCAATATTCTCTGGGGTGTAGGACCTCTGTAGAGAGCTGTCCTGGCCCTCAGGGCCTGGAACGCACAACTCGTGGTCCAGATCAGAGTGGTATTCAGGGGAGTTGGCCTCTGTACTGTAGCCACTAAACCCGTCACTACTCTTGTTGGAGCCGTCCTCAGCCTCCAAAGTCGCCTGCTGCTTCCTGAGGATACTGGCAAGATGCTCCATGCCCTCCATGTCCTCGGGGAAAACAGACTGGACGGGAAGATCTATGTCCCCATTGGAACGAATACAGGCCAGCTTCTGGGCAATGTTGTGAATGATGGCTTGCCCACGGTCATTGCAACGGGGTTCTCCAAGACGCCACTCGTCATGATTACGAACCATTTCGTAAAGCTTGCGGATCGTCGCGACAAGAACCAATTGAGTGTTCTCCAGCACCTCGGCGTATCTATCCACTGCCGTTAGTAAATAGCGATCGACTCGGGTGCAACACCGTAAGGAAATTGTAATATGGGCTCAAGACATACCCGCTTGGCAGCTGTTTATAACCAGGTCTCTTTCTCACGCTCGCAGTGCAGATCAAACCATCATCGTTGCAACGCTGGCAGGGAAATTCACCATCGCACTAATGATACTCACAGTTAGTCGACCACATATGAGAAAGTAGACTCGACATTGATGACTGAATAATTCATACCTTGGTCTTCTTCATGCGACATCGCTCGCAAGCCTTCCAGACCCGTTTCCCTCGACGACCAGCGCCGCCATGAGCATGAACGAGGTGGTCATTGTAGGACATGGTAGATTCAACATGAGGGCTAGTCCGCTTTGTAACTCTATGCGAGGAGGATGCCTTGGATCGTGTGGATGCGGATCGTGTAGATGAGGGAGAGCTCTTCCTCAATCCCGAGGGCTTCGAGTCCCACGTTGAGACCATCGGCAATTGAATATTTGCTGACGACATGATACTTCAAGGCTTGTGTGCTTGTGTTGGGAGTTATAAAAACATATATTGATATAGGGTGTGGAATTTTGTTCTTATTAATTGAGAATGGTGATGGGTTGAAGTAGACCGAAGCTGATCTGGCTCTGCAGTCCGCCACACAGAAATTGAGGGAAGCGAGATGCTTATATGTAGGGCAAGAGGGATGCCTTTCATGTTCTCGCCCGACGAGGAGCATGAGAGATAATCGCGAGTATCTCACCGTTCCTGGGGGACGCGTTGCCCTGCGGTAAGAATTGACTCAATTTAGATGCCGGTGCCGGTCCCAAGGCCTCTCGGAGGCGATTCGGCTTGACAGATGCACTGTCAGCGCGTGTAAAAGAAGACAAAGCCAATGTACAGCTGGGGAAAACGTCACTCCCACCGACGCCCAGTGGGACCAACGGCATATTTTTTCCGTGCATTTATCTTTGTTTTTTTTGCTGCACGCTGATGGATCTACACCAGAGCTAAATGCAAGGAAGCCGTCATGGAAGGACAGAGCAGAGCAGGGGTATTGCACACGAATGCCACGATGCCCTCCTTGCGACACATTGAAACCGCTCGGTTACCACCACCCTGTAAATTGTACAACGCAATTTTGTTCACTACTGCCCATTAATTATTGTAATTTCTTAGGGCCTTGCTGTTACTACAGTAATGAATAGCTTATGTGCCTGAGTTCTGCTACCGTATGGATAGGGGTGAAGCTCGGGGTTGTTAGCAGCCATTATGATCAACAAATTGCTGGCGCAATCCTCCAGTGAAGAGAATGCCTTGGCTTGGATCCCTCACCGGAATGTGGTGTCGAGAGACGACCATCCGGAAATCTGTCGGTCGGCTTCGCTGTTCGCGGTCTCGCGTGTAAAAAGGCCCATGACAGGGGTCTTCTGCGTCGAATCTTCCATGCTTAATCGACCGGTGTCGATCTCTCGGGGCCCACGGCATCTTCCTGGATTGCTTGAGAATGCCATTCGTCTGGGATGGCGAAACTCAAATCGAAATCTCTCCATCTCATTTGTGGATTCATCTTCTGCCCTGCGAAGGGAACCCTTGCTGCCCTGGTGCGTCACTTCGGTCTGCTTACCAGCCATTACACTCACTCACGTTGGCTCTCCTGTAGCCACAGTGCTGCCTGGGCTCTTTCTCGTGTTTCCTTGCCCAACAGGCAGTCCTGGTTGGCGGACGGCCATAAGCAAGCAGCTTGACCAACAGGGGGACCTGGGAGAACCCGGCTCGCTTCAAAAAGCCCCAGCCAACTTCAGAGTCGGAATCCGAGCACGCACACCAAAAGACAGTCCAGTCATTCGTCAGATTCCGCTTCGCAGCCCCTGTGATTTTGCACACGGGCGACCATGACGCCATACAGCAGCAAGTCTAGTGCCAGTCCCCGCCACATTTCAAGCTCGGATCCGACAACGCGAGTTTATTGCCAGCCCTGAATTTGGAAAAACGTCATATTCCCGGTGATGGAGACACCCGTGAAGGCCCGTTGCCGGTTTCCGGCCGTTAGTACGGGTGAACAAGCTTGCTTTTCGCCCGCCCGAATGGTTCGAGGATCTTATTCAACGAATGAAATGTGGCCAACTAATAAATCTGAGATGGCTTCGCATCGCTCGCGATGTTGCTCGGCGCGAGGATCTTTATGGACGAATGAGATGCACCAGATTATTAAGTCTTTGATTGTTGAATCACCAAGTTGTACTACTCACCCGATCTTCCATCTTTCATTCCTCGAGCCAGCAACAGAAGCGTGTCCATTTGAACCAAATACCAGCCTTCGCCCTGGTAGTGATTGTTCAATTTTACACTCACCCCTTAAGCTTCTAGCTCTAGAGGCTCAGCTCAAACACTACGGTCATGTCCATTTACATTCCCTAACTGATTTTCCTCGCTTAAGGGAGCGACATGGTACACAGCTGGCTAAAAACTTACTCAATACAGGTGCCTAACACACGAGCATGCTCTATTGTGTCCAACTGTAGCTGAAGAGTGATTGAACAAAAAATATCGCGAGTATCTTCGTGTGATACGACAGCCTGTTTATGGTTTAAGAACAGCCTAATCCAATCAAGTTGTGGCAGGTGGCCAAAATGACCTAGTCTTTCACCAAGATATACCTATTAAAGTAATTAACTTGCTATATGATGCAACGATCCGTGCAACAACGTAGCAAGGTAAATGATGTTATGAACGAGGTATTTGTGGCTTCTAGTTACTTAATACAGGGTAGGAATCCAGCGGAATGGAGAAGCTGAGTAGCTCTCTAGAGCCAAGATGAAAGCATATTTATGGGGCCTGGAGTAGTCATGTTGCCAAAGAATTGGCCATGTTAAGACGTGGCAGCTGCTGGTCTTTGAGAAGAAATTCAAACGAGGAGTGTTTTCAATTCAAATGAATTTTTCCCAAATTGCCTCAAAATTAGGTCTTCCAAGTTCCAGGTGATCGGTAAGCCTGAGAGTTACATTATTAAGAGACATCGACTGAGAAAGGCATTACTAAAGGGTTGCTAAGGCCTGACGGACGCTTCCGAACTTAAGCCGCGTGGCGATCACGAGCAGCCGGAATAGAAGATTCTATTGATATGGTCAGCTTTGTAATGTTTCTTGATTATTTGAGTATAATTTTGGCACTCGCTGCATCTCCTCAAACTGTTTCCTAGAACATACCTTCACCATCTAAGTCATAGGTGAGCCATGAGCTTCCCCTAGACTTGCCTCTCTACTGCCCCTGATCCAGCCGACACGATTTGACACTGCGAAACTGATCCAGCATGCTATGTTCGCGTTTTTCCTTTCTTCGACTCTTTGACGGACGAGAGATTCCATATACTTTGAAGAAATCTTGGGGGCAAATTTTGTTCGGCATCTTTTTTTCATCTTTACCGAGTACGATCGAGGAATTCTAGTCCGACGCGAAACATTCTCCAAACTCGTGCCTCCTTCGAACACAATATCACGTCCTAATCAACTTGTTTTTCGCTAAAAGAACACGTTATAGAAAGTCATTCAATGTTATCTTTGCGATCTCGATCTGCTGGTAACAAAACGACCGTCGGCTCAAGTGGGCGCTGGTCACTCCCAGAACTCGACCGATCTACCCATCCAAGAGAACGTCACGAAGTCAATAAGAATACAGGAAAAGAGGCTTAGGGTCGACCGAAGGCTAACTGCCTCACTCCAAGTAATCCTATTCTCAATTACCTAAATCGAGTACTTAGAGCGCGGTACGATGCCGAGCGCGACGTGTTCACGAAGTAAACGACCCAACCTCCCCCATCAAACCGATACGAAACAAAAGAGATAGCCATATAAGAGGTCTAGCCCTTATTCTTCTACAATTGCCTATTCTTCTACGTCTAGTACGTGTAGTTGTAATATAGGGTTGGAGAACGGTCAGCGGAGTGTCAGAAGTTGTAGTAGTCTTGACAACTCCGGGTGTGGAAAAAGTTTGCGTAGTCTCCAAGGGGAGATGGGACAGAAAAGCTCTTCCGATCCTCACATAAAGCTGTTCCTCTATTTGGAGTCCCCGAACACAGCTCGAGAAGTTTTCCATTGCGTATGCTCCCCTATGTACCCTCTGTTTACTTGGTTGGGCCCCCCTTTTGGTAGTCACAATACGGTATGCAAATCGGGATACCGTAAAACACGTACGGCGAGAAGGAGTGAGCTCAGTTTTACGGCAGCAAGGTTTGTGTAAAGCCACTAATGAAACCTCGTCACGCGGCAAATGATCTTTTCTTTTGTTTGGTCGCACCTGATCAATCCCAGACATGCGGCAATAGATACGAGGTTCCGCATTTGGTCCCCTCATCAATATGTCCCTCATCGTAGCAACTACTTCGTTTCAATTCCACATTCAGGAGGTAGCAGACATACTTATCACCAAAAAGTGCAGAATTCCATAAGATTCCATCTTCACATTTCAAGACTCTAAATTTGCCACCAGGAAGCAGACACCTATTAATGATGACGAGAGGCTTGCTCACTCAGATCAGGTAAGCCTTTGTCACCGCCACCAGAGTGTTCTCACTAGCGCTTTTTTAGTTGATAGGAGGGCATAGGTGTTGTGGGCCTATGATTTGGAATAAGGGAGGAGAAAGCAGGGAATCAGAAAGGGAACATCATACCATACCCCCTTCCCCCTTCCTGTGCATAAATTAGGGACTGTTCTCTCAACCTCGTTCTAGCCAGGTCTCCACCCTTCCAGGCTATACAACGCACCGTCGTCGACCAGCTTCCACACCCCCCTCCTACACAGATTAATGGGGGAGTAATGGGTGAGGGCGGCCGCTGTCCGCTCGGCAGTCGCTCAGAGCGGACTTGACTTCCAAGTGCGGAGTGAGTGTCCTCCACTTTTCATCACCTTGCCATTGTCTCACGTCCACTGCCTGCTCTCTCACATTGAAGGAACACCGCTACGTAGAGCCCTGCTGGATGCAGAGATCCGCCGCTCCAAATGGAGGGCAAATAGCACACCGTATACATACAAGTATCTTGAATGGCCATATTATGAATTGATCAAAGATTAAGGCTATCTTATAGGACAATTCAATCCAGGCCTGAACCCGTAGCAATCTCAGAATGGATCCAAACCTAGCACCCCAGCTACTACCAAGATTTACTGCGGGGGCACATAGGCTGCGATTTGTGCTGTCAGGAACCTTGGGGCAGCTCCAATGGCATCATCCGCATAGAAAAAGTGAGATGGCACAGGGATCATAATTCCAAGACAGACTGCATCAGCATATTCGCAAAACACTGCCGTCCTCTCTGGAGGATAGTTTGGAATCTGGGCCTTGTTCTCCAAATTTTTGGTGTACCCAAAGAGAGTAACCCCCACAATGTTATTCCTGACAACCTCGTCGAGCTCAGAGATTGCATTCCAGATAACGGCTGTTCCTTGGCTATAATAAGTTAGACGATTATTACGTAGGTTTTATGCCTTGGGGGTACTTTACCTATAGCCGCCTGCAATGACTGGAGTCTTTGGACATTTGATGTTGGCTAGTTGGAAGAGTCTCTTGCCCTCATCAATAGACTGCCGGTTTGTCCCGTTCGGAAGATAGTTGGGAGAAATCAGTGCTGTATATGCACCGCCAACGCCTTGGACCCAGATGTTGTCATATTGGGCTTGGATTGTTGCAGCAAGGGCGGGACCAGCCACAAGACCCTATAGAATATGAATAATATCCGTTATTGCATAAAGAGAACATTGAGCCATACCATGTTGCCCGGCTCAGTAGAGCCACGAGCAAAGATTAGAATAGCCTCTGGGCATTGAGAGGCAGGTCCGGCTTCAAGATCGTTTTGATTGAGAAAGCTCCGTTTCTCGAGATGTGAAACCTCTTCTGAAACTTCAACGTTTGTTGTTGGGAGCGCATTGGTATGCACAACAGCGAGCGCAAAGAGGATAGTGAGGAACTTCATGGCAGGCTCGAGGTTTGGTTTTGATAAGCTAGGGATCAAGTACTTGAATTGTATCGAGACTGATTCAGAATCGATTGGTCAGAGAAGCTTTGAGATTATTTATACACAAGTTCTCACGTATCTGATCTAAACTCGGGATCTCATATCCGCTGCTTACGGCAAGAAAACAAACATCAATACATAAGTTCTCAATTGAAAGAGGAACCCTGACGCCGGAAGGTTTTGCATCTCCGACTTTGCTTTTGTTTGCTCATAGAAACACTAAGTTCAATACATCTCGGACCAATCCAGTCGGGTTCCGATCCTCTTTCTGATAGCATTGACGCCGTCAGCACCGACCCACGAGCGCAGATACAAGCGAAGGCTCTCGAGGTCGCAAGAAAATACGAGCAGGAGACCACTGTCGGTGAGATGTATTGGAAATATGACCCCGCTTCTGACTATATGGGGATCGAGTGTATAGTCTGAAGCAAAAACCGTGTCCAGAACGCCGTGTAGCTGAAAAGCCACTCATTTTCCGAGCATGTTTTCGGTATGCTACATGGCGATCCATGCTAAAGTGCTGAGCTTGGACTCTTGATTGTCTTATCGACGACATGAGCTGATACGGTCAGAATAATACAGCTCACATATATAACAAAGTTTAACAGCAGAACAATCAGTTGCTTCTTATAAGAACAAGTACCGTGAATGAGGTGAACAGGTTTCCTCGAACCAAGCCTCTGTTGTTATTCTACACAATAGGCCTGCACTCAAAGAGATACGTTTGATCTGGCTATTGGTGGGAGGCAAGGAACGATATCAATGCAACTTCCTCCCAAAGGGGAATTCTTTCGTTTGCTCCATGTTCTATCGAACCTTGATGTCAAGCAGGCAAGATCGGCCCGAAGATTCATGGGTTGTTTAGAGTTATCGGCTGCATGAGCCGTCCCTTGGCGAAGTGGATGTTGCGGTGCATAAAATGTTGTGTGCCACAGGGTTTCAGCTCGCCACTGCCGGTCAACTACCACCATCGGCCTTCGCATTGCACAGTCCCCAACAAATCAGACGCAGCAGAGTGCCTCGGTATAACTGACCCAGTGCCCCTATCAGCAATATGGCGGGCAGATATTCCCATGTGATTGCTGACGGAGAGGGAACAACCAATGGTGAGTGGCATTCCTTCCGAATGCTGCAGTATGGGACATCCCCCTCTGCAGAGGAGAAAATCTTGCGCATGATCTAAAAGATTTTACGTCACATGATAGTCCTGTCTTGAATCCTGTATTGTTGGCAGTGAAAGAGAGAAAATGAGATCGTTGGAGTAAATGCATGTAGGCAATCTAGCACGTAGGTTTCATTTAATCTATCTGAATTCTCCTAGACAACCGAGGAATCCTAGCTAGACTTTCTGTTACATCTTTGGCTTTGGTGTCTCTCGGCCTGTCTTGATATCTGAAGCCAGTTTGAAGTCACGGAGCACAATGTCCGGGTATTTCATGCCACCACTACTGCCCACGAGCTCTGGCATTCGCCAAGCTCCCCCATCTACGACGAGAACATGCCCATTAACGTAATTCCCCGTTTCTGCAAAAAGGTAGACTGTTGCATCAGAAATCTCTCGGACCAGCCCATATCTGCCAAGCGGAACTCTACTGCCTGCTTCGCCCGTATCGCGCGTCGCCTTGCTTGATAAACGTTCCAGTCCTTCAGTGTTGCCGATACCTCCAGGACTGATCACATTAGAGTTAATGCCTCTAGGGCCGTATTCTAGTGCAATTGATGCTGAGAGTGCATCTACTCCAGCTTTTGCGGAGGAGACGTGTGCTTGAAATGGCATTCCGGCGTAGTGAAAAGTGGTCGACATGAAGACGATCCTCCCCCCAGTTGTGGAGGACGGATTTGGGTTTTTGGAGGCTGATTTAACCAAATGCTCCGCTGTAGCCTTAAACGTGTTGAATGATCCTATAAGATCGATGTTTACGACTGTTTGGAAAGCATTTGAGGAGAGGCCGCTGATGGGAGCCAGGAAGTTTCCCGCAGCACCTGCACTGGTTCAATCATTAGCAATGCAAAATCCCACCCATAGAAGGAGCATTACAAGAAATACATCACGTAGTCAATCCTGCCGAGCTCGCCTACACAACGTTCGACGGCCTTCTCAAGGCTTTGCAGGTTTCTGACATCCACGCCGCCGATTCCAAGGACTCTAGACCCAGGCCGTGCCGTTTCTAACTCAACTGCCATCTGCTGGGTCTTTTCAACATTCCTCCCGACAATGCAGGCATTTGCACCTAAATGAACAAGAGCACGAACTTGGGCAGACCCGATTGTGCCTGCACCACCGGTACAAAAGACTACCCTGTCATCTGTGGGAGGAAGACGTGAGAAGGACTCGACTGGCAGTAGGGGCCGAGCAAGACGAAGACTTACCAAAAATCCCATCTCTCCAAACAGAAGAGACATAGTCTTGCTTTGAAATTTTCATATCTCTGAACGGTGGTTCTATTGCCCCAAGACGGTCTGATAGTTTGGTCAAGCTATCCATGCAAGTTTCGTACATGTACTATCAAATCATCGAATGGCTGGATTAACCGTCCTCACACATGTGCCATCTTTTATTCTTATGCTATCACATGCACATAATCTACAATCAGGAGCCGCGGTCTGTGTAACCTGCTTACATGTTTGCTTGACTAAGTTCCGATTGGATGTGAAGGTAGTCGGCTTAGCCGGCCACACCCAGCACCATCAATGGGATTGCCGGTGGCACGTGTAGGGCCCTTCTGTCTTGGAGGCGGTTTCAAATTAGAGTACATGAGCTGAAAGACCATACCATATTTTTTTTGTTGAGGACATGTATGACCACCTGACCTTGGGCATCACACCAGGATGAGCATACGCATGTGTTGCTGCCACAGTCTCTAACCTTGGTAAAACACTTCACATGTAAGAATGAGAGATAGCCATGGTTGTAAAATGAATGGTAGTACCTATTGTGTGACAATCTGCGGCTCCTCGGAAAACACAATTGATCCAAACAGAGGTAGCCTGACTGGTAAGGTAGTAAAGAATGATAGGGGACCTCGGAAAGAGTGTAACGAGGATAAAACAAGAAGGTTTGGGGAGAGAATTAGACCGAAATGAATACAGCAAGTAGAAAGTGACCGTAATAAGCAAGACATAATCCCCACGACTACGGCATCTTGGTCGTCAAAACCTCTTCGTGCGTGTACTTCTTCACGCCCGAATCATCCTCCTTCTCAGCCTCGCCGAATCTCTCCTTCAGCCCATCAACCGCCTTCTGGCCCAAAGCTTTCAGGCTGCCCACTCCAAGCATCTCTAGCACGCTTATGTCTGTACCAAACGATGACTTCCACCAGCTCCTCATTTCAACTGCCACGAGACTGTCAAAGCCTATCTCCTGCAGAGTGCTGTTGACATCAATTTCAGTGTCGTCGTCGACAGGCTTCATCAGAAGCATCATGAGCTGCTTGGTGATCTGAATGGCCACAAAATCGACAGTGGTAGCTTCTGAGAGAACCCCAGGGTTTCCAACCACTTGCGACAGGAACAAGGAGAGCTCGCTCGACGCTGCTGACGAGCTTGACCCTGCAGCACCAGAGGCGCTATTCAGGTAAACACCCACTCGACGATCACCCTTCCAAGGAACGCGATTGGAGGCATCAGTCATAGGTGTGGTGCTGCGCATGCCGACAAGCAGCTCACTCTTGCTAACGAAAGGCTTATTCGACAAGCGCTCGCGGGTGGCTAAACGAGGTGCGATGATAACGGCCGTGATCGCATCAAGCATCTCGGCAATTCGAATGCCGTATATTCCCTGAGACAAAAGGCGCTCCCGCACGATGGGGTTGTCGGCGACATAGCCATGGTCAAGCATGACACCAATGTTCACGGCTGAAGCATTCAGCCCGAGGCTCTGTCGATATTGCACGAAACTGTCCAGGAAGGTATTGGCACCGGCGTAATTGGCCTGGCCGCGTTGACCCACGATTCCCGAGATGGAGCTGAAGAGCACGAAGAAGTCGAGATCAAGCTTACGAGAAACAGTTGCGTTGTGAAGGTTCCAAGTCCCGAGAACCTTGGGCTCAACACAATCAACCCAGTCTTCGTAAGACATGTTTGCAAAACTCTGATCTCGAAGGACCATGGAGACATTGAGTATTCCTTTGAGGAAGCTGCCGGCTGTCGCCACAGCCCGCTCCACGTCGGCAATCCGGCTAACACTGCCCTTGATCGCGGAAGCAGTACAGCCTTGGCTGCGCAGCTCTTCCAAGAAGGCTTGATCTTCCGCAGTCTCGCCTCCACTGCGCGAGAGGAAGACTAAGTGGCGAGCTCCGTGTTCAATCAGCCAGTTGGAGACAGCACGGCCCAAACCGCCCAGACCACCGACCAGCAAGAAAGAGTGGTAGGGTTGCAGTTCAATTTTACGAGCTGATTGACTTGTCGCCAAAGATTTCCCTTCTGGAAGGTCCAGCGTGATAATGATCTTGCCAATATGCTGACCCTTCTGCATATAGCGGAAACAGTCCTCAATCTCGTTTGCTGTGTAAGTCTTGACGGGACGGATAGGTTTGATATGGCCCTCTTCGAAGTATTTGGCAACCCTCTTGAGTAAACTAGAGAACAGACATTAGTTTCTCCTCTCGTTGCTTTTTGTTTGGATCTCATTAGTGGACTTACTTGTTACCAATATCCATTCTGAGCTCCATGATGTGGCCAAGGTCGATGCCGTGGTAGCTTCTATTGAGCTCGAACACGTTCAACGCCAACTTGCCGTTCCCCACGAGATCACGTTTACCGATTTCGATCAGCTTTCCAAATTCCGCCACGCAATCCCAAGACGTGTGCAGTAGTTCACCAGATAAAGAGTTGAGGACAATATCAACTCCGCGGCCTTTTGTTGCTGCCATGATATCGGCGAGGAAAGTCTTGTCCCGCGAATTGAAAATGCGGTCTCTGGGCATGCCAAATGTAGACATGAGGTACTGGACCTTCTCTTCGTTTCCTACGGTGCAATATATCTCAGCGCCGATCATCTTGGCTATTTGGATAGCCGCAAGTCCGACACCACCGCAAGCAGAGTGAATGAGAACCGTCTGCCCGGGTTGAAGACCGCCCTGGTCAAGAAGCCCGTGGATGACAGTGGCGAAAACACAAGGCATCGTAGCAGCATCTTCAAAACTGAGGGAATCGGGGATCTTGGCAAAGACTTTCTGCGGTAGAATCAAATGAGTCGAGAAACAGCCTTCTCCAAATGCGAAAACTCTGTCGCCTGGCTTCAGATCATGGGCATTCGGGCCAACTTTCCTGACGATACCACATGCTTCTATGCCAAGAGTGGTCTTAACTCGAGCGTCGACAATCCCCATAGCAATCAGCACGTCCTGTACGTTATTAGGTCAGTAAACATTGCAGATCGTGAGTATTCTGACTATGGGGTCGCTGCACAAACCTTGAAATTCATTCCAAAAGCCCTCGTTTCAACCAAAATCTCGTCATCGATCAACTCCCTCACGGGGATTGCAGTCCACGCCAGGGTGTTAAGTCGTCCAAACTTGCCGATTCTCAGGTCGTGGCCCACCTCCGGCCGATTGTCTGTATCTGACTCACGGAGCTCCTCGTTTACTGACACAGGGAACAGTCTAGGAATCTGGATCACACCCTCGATGATGGCGTATTCAAATTCGGGAAGCAGAAGCTCTTCCGAGCGACGGTGGTTGAACTTCTTGAATACCTTGACGGCGGCAGACAGATTCTCCGCATTGACCTGATCCAGCTCGCAAGTAGCCATCTCAGCATTCATCTCGCCGCGAATTGTTCTCATGGCACCGATGACTTGTCCCCAGCGAGGGTCCTGAGAATTGAACTGCGAAGATCGCGTGAGCCAGAGAAGACCGACTTCTAACGCAGCAATCTCTGATAGAAATTCTTGAAGGGCGACAAAGGAGCTCTTGCTAATGTTTTCAAAGAACGGTTTGTAGAGGTCTACCACGGCAATCACGTCTTTGCCCTTAGGAAGTGGTCCTGTAGCCCAAAGATGCAGGTCGATGTCATAACCATCAGATTGAAGCTGCTTTGAGAGGTTTTTCGCAAGCTGCATCGTCCCGTAATCATAAACGAGAGTGGCAGCATGGTGTCGTGGGGCTTCGACGGCCGGTTTAGCTGTCATTACAGCCATCAGGTGATTTGGTCGCGGACAGTCGAGAGCTACATGCTCCAGGCCATCGAAACCAGCTTCTATCAGGCTATTGTGCCAGGTCTCGGGAGAGACATAAGGCTCGTCGATGCGATTGTCATCCACACCGAGCCACCAGCCAGCGAAAACGCCCATGACAAAATTGATGGCCTTCACGTCAGAGCACAGCTCTTCCATATATAGCCGGCCTTCAGGATGAAGTAGCTTGCACACATTGCTGAGAGTTTGCTTGAGACTAGGAGTAGCGTGGAGAATATTTGCTGCGACGATGAGGTCATACGAGCCTGCCACAAATCCTTGCTCGATCGGATCCTTGGTGACATCTAATGCCTGGAAGTCCATATTTGGGTAAGTCGCGAAACGTTCTTTGGCAGGTCCAAAGAATGCCGGTGAGATATCTGTATATGTATATCTGGAATACATAAGAGAGCCGTTCTCAGAGTTCGTAAGATTCTGAAGAAGGGTATTGGTAGTGCCACCAGTACCGGCACCGATCTCAAGAATTCGTAACTGGGGCTTTGAGTGCCCAAGTGTCTGGAATAGTTCCTTACGGTCACAACGATCCAAATAATTGTAGATGTTTGCCAGCGTATTGTCTGGCATCAAGATAGCAACAGGATCAACTTCACCCTTGAACATAGGGACAATGTTTTCAAGGATTACCCTAAAAGCCACGACGAGGGGATCCATTGTAGTTGCTGAAAGAATACTTTCAAGACCTTCCCTAGAACTATCGGGCTTCGGTTGTGGCTGCTTCTTCATCCATTCCAAGAACTGCTGGAAATGGGGAATGTCTGTCGAGATACCTTCAAGCTTGGCAAGTGCCTCCTGGATGACGACACGATTCAATTCTTCGCAGAGCTGCAAATATTGCTGTTGCTCATTATGAGGGGTAATCAGAGAGTCAAAGTTGACAAAGTCCATATCCGGTCTCCAGAACGCTCTGGCTCCAGCATGGGGATCCGGGTTCTCAAATGCTTCAGCCCCCTCGATGGGACTGAGTTTAACACCAGTCATCTTCATTGCCATCTTACCATCAGTTCCGAAGCCCTCTCCATCACCACAAAGAAGGCCGCGTCGAGTCTGGATTGCTTTGATTGCCATGTCGATCTCCAAATCACACTTGTAAACTTCAATATTTTGAATGTATGTAGGAACATTCATCCTATTGAGTTTGTGGGTTAGGCCATTGGTGGCTGCCACACTGAACAACTGGAGGAAGAAGTCAAACTTCGTGGGATGCACGCAGTAGGACGATTCTCCATCATCCTTAACAGTATGGATGCCTCTTCCTTTAGATAGATTTCGAGTTGTTGAGCAGGACAAATTAGACAAGCCTTGGAAATCGTCTCCGTAGTTTGCTCCAACTGTACGGAGAGCCTGGTACCATTTATTGGTTTCCACATGTCGAGAGAGCTTGGTAGCGTCTTCTGCTCGTTCTGCGGTTGATAATTCCGTCAATGCAGAAATTTGGGCAGTGCAGTGTTTCATCCACGTTGTTCCGTTGTAGGAGCTTACAACAAAGTCCCACCACACGCTGTCGAGACTGTCTGTGAGCGCCGCCCGTCGTACGCTGGTGATGACCTCGGTTGACTTGGAGTCTGTCAGAACCATGGCTGTGTCGATCACCACGTTACGGAGAGCAAAGCCCTCGAAGTTGCCCTCACAAAGCTGCCGTGCTGCTTCGCCAGCCATTCCCACGTATGCGGCACAGGGGAATACAACATCTCCTTTGATGTTGTGGTTCACAATCCACGGAACAGTTGCCAGTGAGATGACATTCCGGAAGACAGGTTCATTCTCTGTGCTCTCAATGACACGGACACCCAGCAGTTCGTGGTGACGGAATTTGCGCCAACGCCACTCCTTTGCCACGCGATTTTCGAACATGTACGAATTTTCATGATTCCAAGGGTAAGTGGGCAGATCTGGAACAACGCGGGAAGTTTTATTTGGGTTGGTTAGCTGGTCGAAATCGATATCAACGTTCTGGATCCAGAGCTGGCCAACAGCCGAGAGGAATGTTTCACTGGCATTCTTGTTGCGGATGATGCATGACGTGTATGGGTAATTGGCTGAGAATTTGGCCAAGATTTGACGAATTGGGCCGCCCAATGCTGAATGGGGACCTATTTCCAAGAACATGAGGTTTGCCTTGGTAGTTGCACCATGATGTGCGACAAGATTCGACAGGCCAGTGTTGAACAGCACCGGTGACTCAAGGTTTGACTGCCAGTACCTTGAATCTAGCTGATCAGTATTGGTAAGTTGTTTTCCAGAAACAGTAGAGAAGAAAAATGCCTTCTTCTTGGGGGCACTGTGATCTTTGCCGTTCGGGATGTCATGGAGATGATGAGAGGTTAATGTGTGATATCTCTCGCCAACCTCTTTCATGTGATGGGAGTGATAGGCTGTCCGGACCTTCAATTTCCGAGCCAGCACGTCTGGATTCTTTGCGCGGACTGACTCCAGGACTTGCTCCAGTGGTTCCGTATCACCCGAGATCGTAACGCTCGAGGGCGAATTCTCACAGGCGATAACAACGCCTGGAATCAGGAACGGCTCCGTCTCCTGCCTTCCCATACCGACTGCAGCCATGGATCCAGCCTTCTTTACCTCTGAAGATACAACGCCGCGGTAATAGGCTGCAACGATGGCCTCAGAGGCGGTAAGATATCCAGCGGCGTATGAGGCTGCCATCTCACCAGAAGAATGTCCAACAACACCGTAAGGCACGATGCCAATCTCGCTTAATGCATCAACTAGGGCAACCTGTAGCGCGGTGCACAAAGGTTGGGAGAAAGAAGCAGTATTGACGTTGCTTGTTTCCGCGGGCTTAGAGAGCTCTTCGATGAGTGACCAGGAAGGACGGTCGGGAAGGCTTTGGAGTACCCGCTCCATGGTTTCAATTGATTTTCTGAAGACAGGATTTGACTCCAAAAGCTCAAGGCCCATCTGTGCCCACTGAGCACTCTGTCCAGTAAATACCATGACAACGTCAGCCGATGAGGAGGGAGCCTTGGTGAAAGGCGCTGTGTTTGGTGCTACCCCTTTACCCGCGACTGAGAAAGATCGATGTGGTAGATGGGTTCGCCTTGAGCTAAGTGTGTAGGCAATATCCTGTGTCGCCGATGGATGCTCGTCAAGGTATTTTTGGCTCTGCACAACTTGTCGCCTCAATGAATCTGCTGTGTTGGCCGAATACAGCATAAGCTGTGGGTGGTCTGGCAACTCTTCGCCCTCACTTGGTGAGTCAACGGTGCCCAGGTAAGCCTTGGCCGACTCAATGACTACATGAGCATTCGCACCACCAATGCCGAAAGAGTTGACAGAGGCACGCTTGTCTCTGTCCTCTGGCCACGGAGTAGGTTCAAGAGGAACCTTGAGCTTCTTCTCCTCAAACGGAATTTTTGGGTTGGGCTTATTAAACTTGATGTTGGGAGGGATCGTATCCTTCTCCAAAGCCATGACTGCTTTTATCAAGGAGGTTAGGCCAGATGCTCCCTCAGAGTGGCCGACGTTGGGCTTCACAGAGCCAATATAGACGCCACTATCGCCAAAGACACTGGCAACTGCAGATACTTCAATGGGGTCGCCGGCTGCTGTTCCAGTACCATGACATTCGACATAGCCGGTCCTTGTGATGTCATCGATACCAGCAATCTTGTAGGCTCTGCGAATCATAGCCTCATGGCATGCTGAGCTTGGGACGCTGAGCCCGAGTGTCTTGCCATCGGCATTGTTTGATGTTCCACGGATGACAGCACGGATGGGGTTGCCATCGCGGATTGCATGATCGAGTCGCTTGATATAGACAACATTGAGAGCCTCGCCACGAGCGTATCCGTCGGCATCAGCATCAAAGGTAAGACTAGAGCCGTTAGGGGACAAGACTCCCTGTTCGGACATGCAGACGGTGAGTCCTGGTGCCATGATGAGGTTGGTGCCAGCCACGAGAGCCGAGTCACATTCGCCGTATCGAATCGCCGTGCAGGCCTCATCAAGGCATATCAAAGCCGAGGAGCAACCAGTGCGGATCACCATGCTGGGACCCTTGAGGTCATATTCGTAAGAAATCCGGTTGGCAAGTACGAAGTCACCATATCCGGTGATCTTGTAAGTGCCATTGAACTGGGGATCCTTGACAAAGAGCTCGAGCCAGTCCTCTCCAAAGGAGCCAACATATGTGCCAATAGTTTTGCCACGATAGTCAACCTCTCCAGCACTCTCAAAGCACTCTCGAGTGAGTTCAAGGAGAATACGCTGCTGTGGGTCTGCACGCTCTACTTCAACCTTGGGCATGCTAAAGAAGCTCGTGTCAAGAGCTCCAATGTCTACAGACTCATCAAGGAAGTAGCCATATTCGCTGGCGACATGGCCTGGCTTGCGAGACTTGGAGTAAAAGCTAGATGCCTTGTACCTAGACTCAGGAACAGGTCCTCTGGCGTCTCCTTTGTTGATAAGGAAATCCCAGAATGCTTCTGGGGTAGATATGCCTCCTGGAAGGCGAAGTGCCATGCCACAGATGGCGATTGGAATAGCATCATCAGTGTGTCCATTCTGATGGATCATGGGTGATCCTGAGTCCTGGCTAGGAGTTAGCTTATTGTTTCAATGAGTTGTGATCGAGACATACCGAGGATGTCGAAGGGGTTGAGCCCAGGTATGGAGCCATGATTCTGTGAGTCTGGCAAGTGAAGGTATAGGTGTAATGAAGTTTATAAAGGAAATTCCAAAAGAAAAAGAAAAAAGAGCCGATGAGAGATTTTTAGAATGGAAAGTTTAGAAGTGTATGAGTTTAATTCAAATCTCTGGAGAAGATGAAGGAACCTTTTCGAGGGGATCTCGCTGGTAGTTGTATTTGATCTGAATTCACCTTATCTACTCTCCGATATTCGTCTAAGTTCGCATCATCCTATCATTGTAATACAAGTTTGCATCTGTTTTCGCGATATACCTCATATGATGCACGTTCATTCCATAAAATGCGCAGTTGATTGGATATGGTTTCACATTGCGCGATCATCCATGCATCCCCCTCACCTTACATCAGTTTGATTCCAAGACTATATCACTATGCATTGAGATAAACAAACCTTCCAAGCGAGTGGGAGTTTCCAATCACAGCTGGATCCTTGTTATCTCCATACAAGGAACATCGGCACAGATTGCGAACTAATGCGGAGACGAAGTCTCTCCAGAAATCCAGTTCTGTCTTGAGTTGAGGCAACGTAACGATACAGTTGCAACCCAACTCAGTTCTCCGCAGCAGGAACTTTTTCACAACCTACCGCGCGATCTCCAAGCACAGAAACCGATAAAGCTGTGCTCCCTTGGCGAGCACGTACACAACCATCAAGGGTAGAATGGGCGCATATGCACGAACCTCGTATCTGTAATGCTACAGTCTAGTTGCGAATCCGGTCTGTTGAGCATAAACATGTCTCACTTCTCGCGTCAATGTCGCCTGTTTGTGTTGAGAAGTAGGCTTCGTTCAAGCGTCTATCCGCTTGATAGTGCATTGATAATGCAGACAAGGAGGCGTTCTCAGCTGCATGCCGTGCAGTGAAATAGTTCGTCGGGCTATATCCCGATTGGTTCAGTTGGGCTAAACATCCGAGCTTGATAAGAACGATCGGCTGAGGACGAGACTCGGTCAGCGAATACATGCATGGACAAGGGTGTTGGGATCGTCTGAGATACGCTCTCACTGAACGATCCATTAAGGTGTACGACCTGCAGCTGCAGCCGCTCTCCAAACGATATGATTGGCCCCATGCCATATTACAGGTTGCAATCAGGCCAGCAAGGCTTGTGACAAAGTTGGCCCCGGCAGCGGCAGACCATGTATTGCCACAATGATTATGGCTTATAAGCTACATATCATGATGACTTTAGCATCCAAGAACCAACCTACGGTTCGGAATGAGATCAATACCGCTTGAGGTGGGGTGATAGGCCCAAGGGGTTTAGAAACAAACTCCTTTGTTTTTCACACGGGCTCTAATGCGGAGATCTGCATAGAGCTGCATCTACATCTCTACTATACTCAAAGGAGAATTATGACGATTTCATAGACTGATCATGGAACCCCGCACTTCCCACTCTGCACTGATACGATATCACCCAATAATGATCTTGGCAACACGCCCTCGCTTCGCGATGAAGCGTGGAGTGCTAATCAAAGTCTCCGGAGTCAACCAGGGTTCTGTTTTTGTACACTTGCATGGATGGCCTATTGATCTTCCTATCCCCTGCTACTTGCTCTATGTGATTGCTCTTCATATCATTGGAAACAGGCCCATCCATCCATCGGAAGTCCCGGCTTCACACGCAGGTTTCAAAGATATCCCCACAATACTCTCAACATTCATGTTGTTCCAATCACAGATCCTAGATGCCGCCCTTTCCTGCATGGCAACGTGTAGCATTACATCCCAACAGAATATTTATGATGTGTCGATGCGTGGCTTGCCTTGCGTGCAAGCATTTCTTCCTTGGATTTCGCCACAAGGGTTAAGGTGCATGTTAGGCGCAGCTGAAAACATCATCACCATCCAATCAAAACCATGAAACAACGCCAGTCAGACGGAGAAACTTGTAATGGTCGGCAGAATGAATGGGAGGCTCGCCACTTAAGCCACCAATTCTGAAATAAGTAGGCAATCAAAGTAGGAACAAACCTTCCGACGAACTGTAGGGTTGCAACACATGGAGACAGGCGAGAACTAATGTGACTCAGTGGTTGTCTCATCCTTCAGACGTAACCGGTGGCGTATCAAGACTGAACTTGGAGAGTCACCACACCACGCTGAAAGGTGGCTGGCTGAAAATAAGCCTCCGGGGAGATCTGAACCAACGAAGGATCATAATTAATCATCGCTAGCAGGATAGTTTGGGCGGTTGCGTAGCTGAGGTTGGATATGCTGTTGTGCGACTCAATATTCATGCATGCAAGCATACCTAAATGGCCGTGCCGTGCCCAACGCCACAGTTACAGCTCGAATATGCACTTGCATTGCAGGATACCAATTCTGTATCTAGCTGAGTCTAGATTTCGGTCAGACCTGTAGAAGCGCGAGGGTTCCTCTTTTCCGCGGAGTAGAGTGATAGGCATCCCTTGATGTGTCACAACCGGACAGTCAAGAGGCTCGTTGCATCCTATCTGCACCTCTCAACATGCCCTATCGCCAGTGAGTATCTGAATCAAATCACATGTCACATATTGGATGATAAGGAAGTAGATAGTGGAGGTTTCATTGCATAGACGACGCGGCATGGCAAAGCTTTGAGGATGCTGTCTGGTTCGTCAGGGTCTTTGATTCACGCACTACATCCTATCTAACCTCGTATTCTATCGGGTTGAGATAGGCGCTTACTGTGTTCTCCGTAATTTTGACTTTAGAAGTACTTGACTGAGCCTTTTTTTTACAACCTGATCTTGGCAATCCGTCTGACCAGGGGTATTCGGATGTCCAAATTATTTTGAAACTGTGTTGCTTTACGTCACGGAAACCTCCTCCCCAACCAATCTTGTTTGTGGTCTATCACTAGTCATCGAGAGATGCTATTTACCAAGGTTAATTCGTAAGCCTACACTTCTAAGAGCTGTCTACAAGCTTACACTGTGCTAGACAACGGTGTTCATTCTCAAAATACCAAACTTCGGGACCGTTTTCTGTTCCACAAGTGCTAGCAACCTGTTAGCGTTCCTCTCTGGTCTACTATCACCACATCAAAGCTCTTCAAGCCCTTCATAGCTACGTTAAGCATCTTTAGCCACCCCTCTCTTTCCTTATCTGAGCCCTCTGTCCTGTCACCTATCAGCAACGAGCCACCAGTCGAAGTCAACAAAATGCAGAAGCCTCCATTCACAATCCCGTCACCTGGCTATGAGAAGGTTGAGGGAGAGACCCTTCCTCGCCGTAACCGCAAGGCCAAGGATGGTCTCATTGATAGGCCAGCCAAAGGTGTCGGTACTGTCTGGGACCTGATCAGTCGAAGCGCTCGGCTCTACCCAGATCGCAAGGCTGTAGGCAGCCGAAAGCTGATCACGATTCATAACGTGACTCAGGTGAATATGCGAGATGTAGACGGGAAGCTCCAAGAGGTTGAGAGCGAATGGAACTACTTTGAGCTTTCACCCTATCAGTTTATCACCTACGAGCAGTATTACCGTCTCGTTCGGCAACTAGGCTCCGGTCTTCACAAGCTGGGGATGCCCCGCCACAGCAAACTACATATGTTCGCTACTACCAGGTATGTCTCAACTCGCTTAGCGCTCCAAGTCATGCCGATTGCAGAGAATAGCGCTCATTCTGTTTACAAAATAGTGTTTCTTGGATGTCACTTGCACATGCCTGCGCGTCTCGGTCTATTTGCCTAGTGACTGCCTATGACACTCTCGGGGAGGATGGCCTCGCACACTCTCTCGTCCAAACAGATGCAACAGTCATGTACATTGATACACACTTGCTCCCAAAGGCCCAGGAGCCCATCCGTAAATCCCAGATCAAGACTGTCATTGTGAACACCGAATGCATCTTCGGCGGTGGCGTTAAAGAAGTCGAAATCTTCAAGAGAAATAACCCAGATCTCAGGGTGATCACTTACGAAGGACTCCGCCAGCTGGGTGAGGACAATCCTGCAACACCCTACCCACCTATGCCTGAGGAAACATACTGCATCATGTATACATCTGGATCTACAGGTGTTCCTAAAGGTGTCTCAATCAGACATGAGTCTCTTGTCGCCGGTGGTATGTGACATGAAATCCATCCCCCCTTCTTCAAAAGAGTGAAACCCATCTAATTCAAGTCTCCAGTCACCGGTCTTTTCTCCTGCGTTGAGGACTGGGTCGGCGAAGATGAGTGCATTCTGGCCTATCTCCCATCTGCGCATATCTTTGAGCTGGTCGTTGAAAACCTCGTGTTCTTAATCGGCGGCTCTTTGGGATACGGCAGTGCTCGTACTCTTGCCGACACCTCTGTCCGAAACTGCGCTGGCGACCTCCGGGAGCTCAAACCCACAGTCTTGGTCGGCGTTCCTCAAGTTTGGGAGACCATCAAGAAGGGCATCATTGCCCAGGTCAATAGCATCACCAGTTCTGTCCTTCGGGGCATCTTCTGGGGCGCTTTCTACTACAAGGGCTTCATGGTCGACAACAATATCCTCGGAGCTTTCCTGCTTGACTTTGTGTTCAAGGCGATCCGAGAAAAAACTGGCGGCAGGCTGCGATACATTATGAATGGTGCCAGCGGCATTGCCCCAGAAACAAGGCGATTTTTATCTCTTGTTCTTGCCCCAATGTTGGTTGGCTACGGGCTGACTGAGTCGTGCGCCAACGGTGCCTTGACCAACCCGTCCCAATACACACGCAATACAATTGGCCCAATCCCTGCTTCCATTGACTTGAAACTGGTCTCCATCCCTGACCTGGGTTATGTCACAACTGGCAAGACACCCCAAGGTGAGATATGGATCAAGGGAAAGCCTGTTCTCTCAGAGTATTACCGTAACCCTGAAGAAACAGCCAAAGCCGTGACTCCAGATGGCTGGTTCAAAACCGGAGACATCGGAGAGTTTGATGCCAAGAGCGGCAATCTCAATGTGATTGATCGGGTGAAGAACCTAATCAAGATGCAGGGCGGCGAATACATTGCTGTCGAAAAGCTCGAAGCAATCTACCGCAGCGCTCATTCAGTATCCAATGTCATGGTCCACGCGGAGGACTCATACCCTCGGCCTATTGCCATCGTCATTCCCAACCCAAGGGTCGTGATAGACCTAGCGCAAGACCTCCCCAGTGGGTGCAAGTTTAACGAGTCTAATTTGCATCTGAGTCTCGACGCCCAATCAGTGATCCTTCATGATCTACGGCTGACTGCCTGGGATGCTGGTCTTTCTGGCATTGAGATCATAGCGAATGTAGTCATATCTCACGAAGAGTGGACTCCTGCTACAGTAAGTTGAATTCTTCGCCCCAAGTGGATGATCTGGCCACTGACTCTTTCGATCTGGCAGGGCCTTGTGACCGTGACTGAGAAACTAAACAGAAGAGCCATTGTCAAGGCTTATCACAGTCAAATCAAAGAGGCCTTCAAATTAGATCAGCTGCCTCTGAGGTAGGAGAGGAGCACGATAGATGATTCAACTGGCGTCAGTATTGTCTTTAGTGAGTTCGGACTACCTGGGGACGAGTAGGTAGAACATTTGCACTAAGTATGCCGCATTTCTTTGGCCTGTTCTTTGATTTGATATGAACCCCGAGAGTACAAGTCATAGCTTTTATCAGTCCTCAGTCTAATTGTGGAATTTCTCTAAGTTACTACTCAAGAAGCTAGGAATATATCTAAAATACTATATTTGGCCGCTCGCTTCATTATTTACTTGGTGAGCAGCGGCGTTCTATGTTTTTATGATATTCATATTATAGCCGACGAGGAATCCATTTTTTGCGCAGGAATTGATCAGACATCCCACCCAGCCTTCAAGCATTCTTCCCGTAGCTCGTTTACGCTCACCACCTGTTCAACCTTGCCGTCTGTTCCCCATTTGAGTATGTCATAGCCCGTAGTCCCAGATACCTCCGGCCAACCGAGATCTACCGGTCCTTTGTTAGGATTAGACAAGAACGCCAAGAAGAGGTCTTGCATGCGCTGGCTGGTTTCTTTCTCTAAATCCGTCGCAGGCCCCTCAGTCCCGTACGTTCCGAATACAAGGGGCAATTCAGAACCATGAAATGCACCCAGCCAGGGACGGGGCGAAATGTCCGAAAAGTTGCCCCCGTACATGTACTGGAATGTTTTGCCACCAGCTACAGCTCGGAGCTGGGCTTCCTGGAGCGTAGTACACTGAAGGTTGATTCGGAAGCCTTCTGCAACAGGCACATAGTCGGTTGGAATTTGAGTCGCAGTCTCGCTTCCGTTGAAATTGAAGGGGATCACGGCGGTACCCTCGTCAGTGGTTGTACCAGTCATGAGTGGAATATGGGAGGGAAATCTGCTACCATCCCGTTGGATCAGGGACTTGTAATCAGGAAAGATGGTCACATTGTCCGCAACAGTTCCAAAAGACAGGCCATCGTCTGCGGCTCCGCCCTTGCCAGCGGCTGCCTGCAAATATTGTTGAATGTCTGAGGATGGTACTTTACGCATACAAGCAAGCTCGTCGGCCGGTGCAAGGTTTCCGCATCCAAGTTTATTTGCAGCGACGGAAAACATTGTGTTGTTTGTATGGTCGACATTAAAAAGAGGTACCGTAACGGCATTCCCGGAGGACGCAATGACGCCGCTCACGATGGGGTCTTTGGCCCATGCAAAGAGGTAACTATCCGTAGCATATGCTCCGGCACTCTGGCCCCAGAGGGTGATGCGGCTGGGGTCGCCGCCAAAGCGACCAATATTGTCTCGCACCCATTCTACAGCAAGCCTCTGATCCAGAAGCCCTAGATTCAGGTTACGGCCCTCTTGTTCGATACCGGCCGCGTTTGGAAATCCGAGCAGGTTAAGTCGATATTGAACTTGGACAACGATGTGGCTCTGGCTGCGTGAGACCCAGCTGGGAGCGAGTTGATAGGGGATATTGTTTCCCCCAATGCTGTAGCCGCCTCCGTGAACCCAGATGAGAACAGGAAGGCTCTTGTTGTGAGAGGTGTCTTGCGAGCGAACTTGACTTTCTCCAGCGTGCTTGGGTGCAAAAACTGACAGGCGAAGACAGTCCTCACTTGTGTTTCTATAGTCTCCACGCTGGAACGCCAGTGGCTGGTTTCCTGAAAATCCCACGGTGCCCTCCAACATTGGTAATACATATTGGAAACAGCCAGGTGGCAGCTCAGTAGCAAGCACCGCCTTAGTGCTATTTGCGATGCGAGGGACAGGTGGTGCAAACCGAAGCGGTCCCACTGGGCTTTCAGCAAAGGGGATGTCGAGAAAGGATGCTACTTCAGGATGTTCGCTCGGGAAATAAGGCAGAAAACGACCAGATGTAGTCTTCACTGGTGATGAAGAGTTGCGTTCCGAACAACCAGAGGCTGCGGCAACCAGGGGCCCGATTGCCACGAGGAAAATGTGAAAATTTTGTAGAATCATTGCCTTAGTTGAAATTGAAAAATGACTTCTTTGATGATGGGTTAGAAGATTAATGGTTATTGCTTTGATGGATTCATGTCATTATGTATATTCTATTCTACCTGTCTACCTGCTCCTGAGAATCTCATAATTCCGCACATAGGAAATGTGAAAAGTCCGGCCAGGAATTGAAACCAACTAAGTCGACCAAATCCGTACGATTTGTCATCCGTCTCAGTAGTATCTCATTGTGCTAAACTCATCCTTCTGTCCCAAACCCCGGTGCAGCTGTTCCTGACGCCAAGATATCTCCGCTAACTCCGTTTCCTTCATCTAATACCCAAGTTTCCTAAAGCCGTTTCATGCTGATGAAATTAAAACATTACTCGTTAGTCTACAAATTTGTAATCTATTTCCTGGCTTGTACTTGAGTGACCTTCTATTGACCGACAACAGGATTGATCTGGTATCAGCGGCTCTTCAAACCTCGTGAAAAATGAGATCAGTTGAACCTGCTTGTTTTGCTGGGAAAAAAACCCTGCTCTGGAAGATGGAAATATTTTGTCCCAGTTTCTGGCCGAATGAAATGCATTTTGGTCTCAAGAATTACAAGATCCAGTTGATCAAATAAGCCTATAATCATATCTCATATCCTCCTAGCCATATTTCTATAAAATCCTGTTTTATTGCGGCTTCTTACGAGGCTCCAGTTCACTTACAAACCCATTGTGTAGTACGATTCTCTAAAGCACTACTAATTCTTAAGAAAACGGAACAAGTGTAAGGCCTCCCCGGGAAGAGATCTGCCATTGTATTCAAAGTCTTCATTCTCATTTAACAAATCGGCTACCCGAATCTAAGAATATGCCTCTCAACATTCCGACCAGACGCTGCAGAATATCGCTGTTAGGAAGTCTCTATCTTGTTCACCTTTAGCCTCATAACGGCAGTACAGGAAGATCAGATGCCAATAACTTATTCTGCACCAATAAAGATACGGCTTCCACGATGTCAAGCCACCGTCCAAGCTCTCTAACCTCAATGACTCCGTTGCCCTTCCTCCGTATACACACAAAAGCTACCCTTGAGATACCAGGAAGTCAAATTTAAATGAACAAAAATCATTCCGGTCTGGCGAAATTGCCTTCATTCTTCGCCCTCAACTATCCGAGGTAAGCGTAAATAGCCGGTGTGATAATTCTGCCGTCTGCTCTGACGGCTGGTGGCATTCGGTGTTCAATCAATTGGTCTCAACACTTGCAAAAGCTGCCAGCCATCTTTATAGTACTAGGTAGAAAGTCCCCTACCCTCAGCCTCAAGTAGACCTAGGGCAAGGTCTTACGGCCTCTTCATTGATCAGCGTGGCTGAGGTCAGATTCCTTCTCCACCTAAATGATGGGACGTGCTTTGTTGATTATTAGACGGCCTCGCAAGGCAATTCGTCACCTTAATGCTGCGGTCCGAGGCGCTTCTTATGCCCCAAAAGTCTTTGGGCATCAATGCTCCGACGACACAGATATCTAGGGAGTAAGACTGTGCTCTGGCAATAATAAACACCAATCGCCCGGGATAACTGCTGCCCAAGATGCCTCCGTACGATCCCAGTCAGCAGTCTGACGCTGTCCGGCGCATCCAGCACGACCAGAGCGCCATCACCATCGAGGGCAAGACCCTACGATATGCCGCCTTCACCATCGGCGAGGCGCCTTCCAAGGGCTTCCCGCTGTATATCGCCCTTCACGGCGGCGGCCTCGCCCCAGCCAACGTCAACGACGAGGCGTGGGAGGGCATGAAGGAGTACTACCGCTCCAGCGTCCAGCAGGGCGTGTATGTGGCCGTCCGCGGGATCACCAACACGTGGGACCTCCACTTCCAGGCCGAGTCGTACATGCTCCTCGAGCGGCTCATCGAGAACATGATCCTCTTCACCAACGTCGACTCGGACCGCGTCTACCTCCTCGGCTACTCGGCCGGCGGCGACGGCGTCTACCAGCTGAGCCCGCGGCTGGCCGACCGCCTCGCCGCCGTCAACATGTCGGCCGGGCACCACAACTGGGTCAGCCTCGCCAACATGGCGTCGACGCCCATCTGCCTCCAGATGGGCGAGAGGGACGGCGCGTACAACCGGAACAGCGCCACGGCCGAGATGGGCGAGACGCTGGACGTGCTGGCCGAAGTGAACCGGGGCCAGTACGAGCACCAAATCTTCATCCACAAGGGGCGCTCGCACGGCTTCGTCGACAACGACCCGCGGAGGAGCCTGTACCCCGTGCTGGACTCGCCGCAGCGGTGGCTCAAGGAGGGGGACACAAGCGCCCATCTCACGGACACGAACGCCGCTGCGTGGGTCAGCCAGTTCACGCGCAATGCGCTGCCGTCGCGGGTGGTCTGGGACCTCACCACGCGGGCGGCACGGACAAGCCGGGGGCTCTGGTACTGGCTAGATATTGGCGACGAGACGGCCGAGAGTTTGGGGACGGAGGTCATCGTCGCCAGGCTGGAGGCTGCGTCCAACGGAATCGTCATAGAGAAGGCCAGGACGATCCTCCGGATACTGCTCAACGACGAGATGCTGGACCTAGACAGACCGATCCAGGTATCGGTAGGGCGTCAGGACTTGGAGGTACAGGTCCGAAGAGACGAGGAGCTGCAGGTCGCGACGCTCGCACAACGTTGTGACCCGCGTTGGGTGTTCTCTGCCGCCATTGACTTGGTTCAGGATGCAAATGGTTGGCATATTCTGCCACAATGACGGAGACACGGCGGGGTTTCTGATATGATTCATGACATTTAATGAGGTAAAGGAAAATATGTTATCAAATATAGCTATTGGATTATTCTATTGACAATAAGAATGAATGGTTTATGTTATGTCGTGAGCCATGTAGAAAGCAATCAGAACGCCACGCCAACCGAAACAAACAAGCAAGCAGGAAGACTAGAAATATTCCTCATCCTTCCCGAGCATGAACACATTCCCTTCATGATCCTCGTTCTCCAACGCCATCGTCACCTCTCTATTCATCGTCGACCTCATGGCGACGAGGTCGTTCGCCAGCGACGGACTGAGCGACTTGTAGCCCAGCGTCATCACCGCAGCCGGCGAGGCCGATTTCCACGCGAGAGCGACCATGTCCTCCATGTCGTAGAGGCCCGAGACCATGTCCATCCGCGTGATGATCAGACCGACGACATAGGCCAGCACCGTGATGGCGTACAGGAACAGGACGACCATGGCGAAGATCATGGCCGCGCCCGACTTCCCGTACCCGTACCCGAACCTCTCCGCCTCGAGGTACATGGTCTGATACTCGTTCTTCCACGAATCCACAAGCCCGTCGAGGGTCGTCACCCCCGCCGGCCACTGCATGCTCCCTGTGGAAGTACCGTTCGCAAAGAACTCGGTCCCGTCCTTGGCCTGGCCCTGGATATTCTTCAGATTCGTCACGATGATGCTCTTCACGCTAGGACTCTTCCCCGGCCGCGCAACAGCCGCGCTGATGGACGCGCCCGTCCTCGCGATGGCGTCCGTGACGATCGTGCCGGTCAGCTTCTCAATCGCCAGCTGCACCAGCCTGTCGCCGTCCTTGGTCGACTTGCTCGAGCTGCCCGGCGCGAAGATCTGGTGGTCGGGGGTCAGCCCCATCCCGACCATCGGGTTGAGGAGGTAGGCCATGTTGTCGAACGCCGTGTAGTTCTTCCCGTTGCTGGACGGCGCGGCCTTGAGGTCCAGGAACGGCAGCCACGTCTTCTCGATGTTGATGTAGGACCCGACGGCGGCGCGCGAGCTACTGGCGTTGCGGAGCTCGGTACCGGAGAAGATGCTGAGGTCCGTGACGTTGGACTCGGTCCTGATGTTGTTGCTCGGGTCGACCATGAGGGTAGCAGGGAGCCAGTGGGCTACGTAGCTGCATGTTGCGATCCTCTTGCTGGGCTTGCCCTCGTGGACGTACGGGAGTCTGGCTGTGAAGACGAGGAAGGACAGGTCGGCGTTCTGAACTGTCTTGCCGCCGACGACGTTGAAGAGCGTGTCGATGTCGTCCCTGTCCCAGACCACGCTTGGGATGACCAGCTGGCCGAGCTCGGTTCGGATACGCTGGCATCGGTCTGTGGAGTCGCTGGTGAAGCAGTTGAAGGTATTCGGGAATGACATGAGCGGGATGTCGGCAACCTGGGCATAGTCGTTGCGGTTATAGATGTTGCACTTGGCCTGGATCAGCGGCTGGAAGGACTGCGACTTGGCCGTCACCTGGATCTTGTAGTCCTTTGTCTGGGAGATGGATCCGACATTCTCGGCGGCGATGTAGTTGTTCAGAACACCCAATGTTCCAACAGACAGGGCGGTCGGGCTGGTGAAGAGAGTGCCGTTCAGCCCGTTGGACCACATGTCCAGCCGACGGCTCACAGTGCCAGACGAGTCTCCAAACGTGACATTGTTGGGAAGATCTCGCGACGTCCACCCGAACTCCCAGTCATAGATGGTCGACAGGCCCGCGGCGGGACAGTTGCTCGTGTAGCTGCCCAGCTGGCCCCTGCAGAACCCGAGAGCCGCATCGTCAAACAGCGATGCGTTGAGGCTGGTGGGATACACAGCCTCCTGCTTCCCAACAAACACGGGCATGTACATATTCGAGAACGCGCCGGGCAGAGAGTACCATCCCAGCTTGGGGATGACGAGGATGGCAGAGGCGGGACCGACGAGCGCGCAGAGAAGAACGCAGAGGAAGAGCAGGGCCGACAGCCAGACAGCACGGGGAGCTGCCGACCAGAACCGCGGACGGAGAATGTACATGACATCGAAGACCCTGTAGGCCCCCGTCAGGAGGGAGAAGGGAAGCCCCTGGTGCGCAAAGTGCCATTTGAAGATGTCGAGGATCAGGGTGCCGAGGGACGCGACGACGGAGATTTCGAAGAGCTTGGCGGCGAGCTGGAGGGAGTTGAGGACGCCGTTGACGGGCGTGTTGTAAGAGCCGATGTAGGAGCCGCGGTCACGGCCGTCGATGCCGGTGAGCGGGAACCAGTAGAGCTGGGCGAAGTTGATGTAGGCGAGGATCACCGTGCAGGCGATCGGGACGAAGTGCAGGACGACAGCCCACCATCGGGTCCGTCTGCCTTGCACGACAGTTGTCGGTGTGTATGGCGGGTAGACGACCATGGCAACGGGATGTGGGAGGACGTTGCCGGTGTGGTTTTGCCGGTCAATTGATCGACGGAGCAATCAGTGGAGGATCAGCGGGTGCCACAGATCAGAGGACTTTGGGGAAGTGGTAATTATTAGATTCGGATGGGAAAATAAAAGAAAAAGGCTGGCACAAAGCCAACCCGCCTCGAGAGATGCGACAAAGACGTAACCCAGCACAGCCCACAAGGCAGTTCTCAGGCAGAAGAGTGCTCTTCCCAGACAACAAGTCCTTGTGCCATTCTGAATGGGTGGCTTGTGCATGAAGAACAGCCCTCACACGTAGGGAGCGAGTGCAGCCATCATGCGTGATTGGTCTGCATGGCATCTCGAGCTCGGAAGTCTAGACCAAGCCACTCAGCCCAAGCCTGTCACCCGGCCTATCGTTTCCCGCCTATTTCTGCAAGTGTGCCTAGAGCTGAAAACTTAGCCTGGCCCCGGGAGCTGTTGATTCAGTAGTCGACCAGACTATTCACCAGCTGAATCAAGGCACTGCTCGGCCACTTGGCTTCATTCCAAGCAAGAGGCACCGCTGAAGCTTCTTTTTAAGCTCGTTATTGTCTTCATCCAACACCAGCATTCATCCCTCTGAGGCTTGAGCCAAAATTCAAGCTTACTCTTTGCCTTCAACATCAAACCCGACCCCGGCTCTCGCTCACTCAGCTAGCTCGGCTCGACGCGAGATCCCCGCATAAGCTTGGATACAGGAATATGGACCTGGGACAAGGGTCTGTCCATTAACGGATCAACACTGCCACCATCATGCTGCCCCTGTCTCGGTAGGGCTGGCTTTAGGTCGTGGCTTTGCTTCGATAGACACTGCTGCCACTCTCCAAATAGCCACCAATGAGGAGAATTTTCAGAGAAGCAAGCTAAATTTACGATACCGCTTTATTCCTCGGCGCCGTAGCCTTGGGTCCAAGTGCCAAGACTGGCCATCTTCTTGGCTGGCAATGCATCGCTCCAATGAGTCTAGATCACCACGCTACCTTTGGCCAGATACGAGCCATTGACAGGATCCATTACTTGACTCCCGCAGCCTCCATTCACAAGCGTCAAAATATGCTCAGCGTAGAGAGAGTAGAGGGTGCTAGTAAATACCTCGCGCGGGCGATAAGGCTAGACGATCAGATGTTCGAGACCAGATGAGATTTGCTCTGGAATCGCACACATACAGCTGGCCTACAATGATGCTCTACATCGTAGAGTCCAGGCTCCCACATCGCCATTGTTTCGGTCGGCCGCCCAAGATACGACGAGACCAGTAATGGCGAGTTTCACCCACGCCCCGCCTCAATTCCCCCATCTTCCTCGAATTCCAGCCCTTTGTCGCTCTTCAGTCTACATTTTCCCCTTAATTGTGCGCGATCAATCAGTCATCTACAGGCGCATTGTTAGAAAGAGGCGCCGGGCCGGAGGGCAAGAATTGGAGCCGACGATGACACGAACTTCCTCATTCGCGGAAATCTCACCGCGATGAAGCTCGTAAAAAACCCCGTGTCAGACCACTACTGTTCGTCAAAATTTACGCGATTTGGAAGCTTTGTATTTATTTCGTATTTGTCGTGAGTGTAGTTCATCATATTGGCATAGTTGATCGATTTTCAATTTTTGATTCCCTAACATCCACTCAAAGACACAGCAGTTCACTTAGATTTATCAACAGAGCATGTCCTATTTGTACGGTTTCTTTCAGGTCTCCCTCTCTCTTTTTGTCCGCTTTTGAATAGGGCTTGGGAGCCTGCAAGTCTCTATCTACGCACACGAACATGATGTATCGCTCCGTGATGCCGCTGGGACCCGTTGTTGGACTATTCTTCGGGCATTCCAAGGCAAAATCGCTCCCTGAAGCTGCTGTTGTTCGTTCACTGATAGATGATTCCGCCTTGGGCCAAACCCACCAGCCCTTCAAGGGCATCGAACCGTAGATCGTATTGAAGCTGAGATCAGGTCGACGCCGATCAGCCAAGTAGACAAGTCTTTTCTGCCAGTTGGTTGCTGTCATCTTCACGGCCCTCTCCGGTGTGATATAGCTGAGATCAAACTGAGCCAGAGCAGCAGCTTCTTGTGCAAATACCAATATGTGACCAAGCCATTCCACCTTGTCGCCTTGTGGCTGGAGCTCATATACTCGAACGTGCTTCCAACGACGGTCCAATCCCCAAGCACGAGAACTGACCTTGTCGTTCAGCGCGACATATCCTTTAGCCTCATTGACATCGCCAGGGCCCCAGTAAAACCCCTCGCGCATGAGTCTCGGAGTATTGCAGGTCCATATCCTCATGATGGCTCGCCATTGGGTTCCCTTTTGTCGTCGCCCCAGCAGCCCGCTTATGAATGACTTTTTTGCCTCATCTGGTTGGAAATGGATCTGTATAGTCGGTACTTTTGACATGTCAGGTTTATTCCAATCCTTTGGGCGAGATGCGATCCATGCTTTTTGAATTCTTGCGCATCGCTTAGCTAGTGAGAAATCGTCTGAGGGTGGGATTTCATCTGGGAATGTTAGCTATGTAACGTACGTGATCAAAGTTATGAGCGTACCTGTAATGATTTCATGTAACAATTTGAGTGTAGGTACTCCATGAGTTTTAGCCATTGCTAGAATTTACCTCACTTCTAGAAGGAAGTCGATCAAGGAGAGTATATGCAAAGTAGGTGAATGGTCCTGATGAAGAACGAGTCTCTTATCGAAGGACCAACCTTGGCTTTTTATAGCCTCAATCATGTAGGGACATTATGGCGGTAAAGTTCGGGGCCATCCCAGAAGTTTAACTTGGAAATTTCTGTTAGCCAACAACTAAAACCAATTACACTTTTATCATCGTCGCATGGATCTGAAAAGGTGGAAGATATGAGACTTTTCAACCAGCGCCGGCGTCAAAATCAAGACAGAAGGTGACTACGCCCGATAAATCACCCTTTTAGCTCGCTATATTGAAAGGTAACAAAATGATTTATCGCCGAGACAGTATGCATTAAGAAAAACAAGTCGCTGTCCTAGTACAAGAAGGTTCGCTAGGAGGTGAACAAGTGGCATCGACACGAACGCTGATTGGAAACCAATATACGGGATGTCAAGCACATACGACCATAAGGGACCCAAAGGAGAGTTGGGGATCCCATCAAATAGCTGTGCGAAAAACAGGGACTACAAAGTCACCTCGACAGAATTATTGTAGCAGTCAGTCACATAATGGCGCCTCCTACGTATTATGTAGCTAATAATAGATACCTACTATCGAATAATTACTTGACAATTTATTATTATCATGCCGATCTACAAAATCACGATGTAGCAGCTCTACAGGTCACGGAGTGATGATCGGGTTGATCTGATCAAGGAACGCAGATCGCCAAACGTCCATATGATCGACATGGAGTCATAAGGTACATGTACACATGTACATGCCAGGTTGAGAACCATAATCGGTTCTCTCTCCTAGTTATTATATTAATCAGGTCATGTTCTACAGATGACGTTTGGTTGGTCTTCTAGCTTGCCTTCTTGCACTATCATCCCAGACGACAAAGGGATACTATCTAGGTACGTTACAAACCAGCCGACAGATCGTCAAAGCCATTTCCAATGCACAAAGCACAGACTACGTCGACGTGCTTCTTCTATTTTAAACATATTAAATTAATTTCTTCTTCTTCGGTCTGCCCCGCGGCTTCTTCTTGCAGTCCTTGATATGCTCAAGAAACCAGAGCACATCAGACGTCTCGAAGCGCTTGCAGATACAAACATCGACGGCATCCGGCCTGGCGGACGCGCACCTCTGGGCGCCGCTGGAGCTGATATGTCGCTTGATCACGTCCTTCCTAGTGGTGTGATAGCTGCACCTGCACCTGTACGACTCCGGGTTGCGGGCGTGGACGCTTTGGAAGTGGCGCTCGAGGTCCTTGGCGAGCTTGAACGACTTGTCGCAGTCTGTGCACTGGTGTCTGGCTCTGCGTGTGACTTTCCGTTAATAGGATATTCCAGGTTGGAACAAGGTGAGCAGGGTAAAAGGGACGTACCTGGACGACGCAATCGACGGCGTACTTCCGTAGATGCTGGTGCGAGGTAGCGAGGAGGAGGCGAGGGAGGATGAGTCCCAAATAGAAGGTCTGATCGAGGATTGTCCAGCCGTTGACTCAGGAACTGGATGGTTCCTCCGAATGGTGTCACCTCCCCGAATGGGAGAAGGCACGCGATCCAGGCCTGGGCGAAGCTCAGGCAGACCACCGGGGGGTGGTGGTGGCAGCACTGGGTGGGCGACTTGGTCATGACCGGGCCTTGCCAAGTCCGAGTTATCTGAGATTCGGCTGTCAATCAGATACTCGGATTTGGAACTGATCGAGCTCCGCTGGTACTCTCTCATGGCCATCTCGTCTTGGAAGAATGTGGGGAGATCGGGCGAGTCGCGATCTCCATTGTCCAACTTCTGCGAGGCGGGCTCATCGGTGTTCTGGCCAGCTGGTCTGTGTGTTTCTCCTGCAAGCTTGTTGTAAAGCCTTCCAGGAAAGGATTCTTCTTGCTTCTTGACCCAATCATTTACATCATGTTCCGAGCCAGAAGATTGGTGGGTGTCGCAGTTTGTAGGTATGATGCATCCAACACTGCCTTCTAAGCCTTCCACGCGCGGGAAAGCCGAAGGGGAGGGTTGGGGATCTTGACAAAGCAGGCTCCCCGAGAAGTTGAAGGGGATTTCCGAGACGACACTGAGGGTCCCGGCGTCTGTGTCTGTGTAAAGGTGGCGGGGGAGTTCGGTCGCGCCCAGCTTTGTGTGCACGACCGAGGCCTCGATTTGAGAGGCCGTGCAGCCCAGGGACTGAGACTGAGGGGGCGTGCAAATGTCCTTCCTGGCGTGTATGCCGTCCGCTTGGCCGGCTACACTGCGCTGCGCCTTGGGCAAAAGGGGCCGGAGGTTCGAGTTCGACGACTTCCGGTCTCGAGAGCGGGCCATCTTGGGATTGATATGGGATACATTGAACACTGGGACATATTCTATCACGACACCCGTCAATGGACCCCGAGTCCCCAGAGAGAGATGGTGTGGGTACAGATGCAACTCGGCTGGCGGGAGGCACAGGATATGGATGGACGTCCGAGAAAATTTCATACAAAGATGAAGATTGCTCGGGCACAGACTGCAGAGTTGGGATTGCGGTGAGTCGCCCTTGGGCCCTCCGCCCATCTGCCAATCAGTTCATGTCGGCCGTCGCCTTCGCTGTCTAGGAAGCACGTGTACAACACTCGATCGATCGGCTTTGGTGGTGAAGGGTTGCGGCCAATTATTCGGTTGGCCAATCCGTCCACCACCACGACTGGCCGGTGATTGGGCTGCGAATGCAACCCAAACCGCCATTGCCCAGTCCCACGCAGACAGTGCCTGGGGGAGCTTGGGCAGAGAGCGCTAGAGGATGGAGTGGCTGCATCATTTGTGGCTATTTCTGCAATCGATGTCTTGGATCTGCAACGTTGCGAGGGTTTGGTTCGCGAGACGTGATTTGCAGAGACAGGTCAAGCCAAGTCATACGAGCGTAGCTGTCGCGGCCTCCTATTGATGCGAATTTACTTTAATAAAAATACAATATGGCTCTATTTGTTCATTTATCCATCTATAGATGTACATCCCTCGTATGCTCATTACTTTCCCTACGGCGACGTATACTTGTATCCGTACTTCTCCTTGGCAGCCAGCACCTCCTTCTTCAACTCTGCATTCTTCTCTTCCGTCTGGGCATCACTCTCCTTGTTCAATACAGACGGCGGGGGGTTGGGAATAGAGAAACCGCGCTGGACGGCTGGGCGCGCAGAGCAGCGCTCAAACCAGGCGACGACGTTGGGGAACAGCGCTTTGTAGTCGATGGTGATGCCGCCGAGGCTGTTGGCCCAGCCCAGGAGAGCGATATCGGCGATGCTGAACTTGCCGCGGCCCTCGCCGACAACGTAGTCGCGGTCAGCCAGGCGTGTGTTGAGGATGCCGTAAAGGCGCTCTGTCTCGCCGACGTAGCGCTGCATGCCGTAGGGGACCTTTTCACTCGCGAAGCGCACAAAGTGTCCAGCTTGGCCTTGCCTGGAAAGGGTTTAGATGTTAGCTTCCGCTTCTAAAGCAAACGATGGTGGGGGATGGGCAGATTTGCCAGCACTCACATAGGTCCTACACCGCCGTGCTGCCAGCCAATCCAGCTCTCGGCACGAGTATAGTCGTCGGAGTCGACGGGGAACGAGAAGAGGTTCTTGGTGTCGTAGCGACGGGTGAGGTAGCCAAGGATGGCATTGCCCTCAAAGACGCCGAGATCGTTGTTGTCGTGGTCGACAATGGCGGGGATTCGGCCATTGGGGTTGACGGCAATGAACCAGGGCTCCTTCTGGATGTTCTGGCCAATGTTGATGCCCTGCCAGGTGTAGTCGAGGCCGTACGCCTCCTTGAGCTCCTCGAGCAGGATCGAGGCCTTGTAGCCGTTGGGTGTGCCCCAGGTCAGGAGCTCGATGCCCTTCTTGGCGATGAGGCCGGTCGGTCGAGACATTTTCTGGCGGCGGTCGGAGGTCTGGTAGAAGGCGGATGGAGAGGAACTGTGGAATGCGCGGGCGTGGGCAAAGGCTTTGGATGGGTTGGTCGGTTTGAGTGCTGCGAGGCGTGGTGATGCCAATTGAGCTGGGAGGGCGCATCGAAGGCCTCTTAAGAGGACACGGGAAGCAACAGAATCCATTGCAACTGCCGCAATTGGAAACCTGATTTATCATCAGAGTTTCAGCCCGCGGCAATAGTGACAGCAGACAGACGCAACACCACCACCCCATCCAGGTCTAAATCCAAAATCCGACATTGCGACCGCGATGGGAAAAGCGCTGGGCTGCGGGGCAGCTTAGTCATGGCAAACCGGAGGCCGGAATTTCCGTCGCGAGATTATCAATCAACAGCGAAGATGGCAGATGGATTCCCATGCCACCTAGTCGAGCGCTGCATGATGGAAAATCGATAGTCTCTGCCAGGAGAGGCAGAGAAGATAGACATGGCTGCACAATTTGTCATTCATACGGCATGGATGTTCGGACAATGACGATGACTCGGGTGAAATGCATTATCAATCATCTCTTCTGCCCCTCTTCTGCGTCATCTCCACCACCAACAGCTACCTACATAAGCTTAACAGTGGGGAAGCCACTGATATGACAGCTCCAGCGGTGCGCCACCCATAATTGTTCTTATCGCCTACTTATCGCCTGCTCCCAGGACCAAAGTATCACTGACCCTTCTTTTCCATCAATCAACCGCCCAAAGTACGCGGCACCCATCCCCTTCAATGCCGTTTGGCCAAAGTCGTACTCGCCCTTAGCAACTCGCCCATCGCATTTGATTCCAAGGAAGACGACTCGCCTCCAATCCGACCCTGGCGCTCCCGTGCGTTCCACCACTTACGAGACCCAAGCCGGCTCGCTTCTCCTCCAATACGAAGCCATCGCGACTCGACCCGTAACGAGCACCAACGAAAGGATGGTGCCGAAGGATGCTGCAGCTATTCGTAGCGTGCCCAATTGAAATCGTCCCTATACCCAGCACTGTTCATGTTCGCTCAGGCAAAGTTAATCCAAGTCAATAGACCATCAACTTGCACCCTTCGCGGGCTGAGATCGATCCAACGAACGACACGATGCGGTACGATGCGATCAGAACGCCATGCTCCGACTACGATCCTGTTCCGAGCTGTCGGTACAAACCCCCCCCCCGCACGTTGCCTGGCTCAGCTCGTAGACAGCCCTGCAAGGCGCAGTGCTGGATCGGCCGATGTTGCATCTGCAATTGGTGTCGCAGATTTATTAGGCGAACGTAGTGCGTCTAGACGCGGCGGCAGAAGACTTGCAGATGCGACAAACGATGTTGACGAGAGACGCGACATCAGTAGACAGAAGAGTATCAAGACTGGGACACCGAGCGGTGGAATCGGGGAGATTTTCGTAGGCCGACCATCCCCAGACGCATTGCTCTCTGAAGGATACAAATGCCTAGAGAGAGCCTGCTGATTTCTTGCCGTCCCCACGCCGAGAATAAGGTCGATTGAAGACGGGCATGCGCAATGTCTGTGATTGAAATGTTCCAGGTGTTCGTTTAATTGTAATGGTCCCTCAAGGCCTGAAACGTAGAAAGCTAAGGCTGGGTCGTAGCCATACCAACATTTCGCATCCTCTGTGGGATGCTTGAAACCCCAATCGTCCCAAACGTGCCAGATGACTGATCTTTCATCCCATCTAGTCATGCCAAATCGTAGTAATATCCCAACCAGTTCAGACGAGCCTCAAACAGTGTCTTGGTCAGCCTTGGCCCCAAGCTGCAGCTTCATGTGGTGGAGGATTCCAACCATCAGCGCGGCTTACAGATAATCTGACTGGGGAATTCCCACGCGTCGGTGCTCCAAGTGTCCGTCGGGCCCGTCACAATGATGCGGCGTACAACTACAGAAGTCCAATAGTCATCTCTTTATCCCCCTTGATGCTCTCCCCGCTCTCCCGCTGCAATTGGCACGCGACAGCACACATGGCTTTATGCCGAGCAATCGGAGTGATCAACCCCCAAAGGGATGAATAGAGAGGGCAAAACCCACCCAGATGGAGACGGCGCGCGAGACGCTCACGGTTACGACGATCGCCTTAATAAACACACTCCCTTTCTCTTATATGCAAGGTTCAACCACCATCTGCGAAACACTTGATCCTATCGCGAAACACAATAGTTCGAGCTTGAAGCCGACCCTTTGCAGGGGTTATGGCCATGGTGAGGGTGAAGTCCGTCTCCTCCGATGGAATCCTACCCTATAGCTCTCATTTCAATTTGTGAATATTCGGTTTAATCAATTTCCATGTGCTCTGTGTTATTTTCCTAATTAGTATAATGAATACATTGTTTGATAAATACTCATAATTTGTGGTTTATATTTTGAAACATTTTCATTCTTCCATGTTTGTGTCCATTGAGTTCTTACGGCAGTGAGCTTTAAGTTCATCTTGAAGCCATCTCCAGAACAACCAACAACCACGTGGATCAGGGGATCCCTGGGCCACGACGCACAGTCCGCAACAAGGATTCTTGGGTAAGGTATGGAGACTCGATTCCGCATACGGGAGATTATTGGTGCAAAAGACGACAAGGACTAAAGACATGATCACAGTAGACATGATCACAGTTCGCACCATACGAGCTGCGCACACCGCCAGCTAACCGGAGAATCCAAATCGAAACGACCTTGGCTGGCCGCCTGACACACTCTGCTCGATTGGGAGCCCAGGGGTATTATTTTTAAATGCCCACCGTTCTGAGCAACCCGCTGAGTAACCTGTCAGGTACGCCATACGCTCGGCGTGTCCCAAGTCTCGTCAGCCCGCCCGCCCTGCAGCACAGGAGAGGTTATTAATCGGGGCCAGGTCAGAGCGTTGGGCCATCATCACCGTTCGTGGAAGGGAGCCGTGGAGATGCTTCACGTTGGCGGTGATGATTGACGCTGACGGACTCGATGGGACGAACCGTCTCGCAACAAGCCGAAGATCAGCGATTTAGCCAGCGGCAAGTTCTCACCAAAGCCCTCTTCAATTCGATCTGCCGAATCATAAGACGTTGAGACCTGCTGTCGCGCACTCGTGCGCTACGATGAGATACTATCTCTACATTTCTTCAAGACCCTGAGACTCTCGCGACGTTATCAAGAACGCTGTCCGACAAACCAGCCGAACCTCTTCTGTCAGCGGTGCGGCAGCTTGGCGAGGCAAAAATAGCTTCAGCTGAAGAAATTACGGGAAACCGGCCAAATTGCCATGTGCCAAGATCGGACCCAGTCGTAAGGCTCACGCCAAGATCGAAAGAGGTTGCAGACGCAGGCCGGAAAAAGTGATATGGCGGATCAGGACTGCCGTTGCTGGACGACTGTGGCCGAGCGTGTGCCCCAAGAAGCAAGCAAACGTAAGTGAAACCCCGATATAACCTGCATCAGACGGCAGACTCTGCTCCAGCAAAGCCGAGACCAGCATTTCCGGCCATCATCTGGTCCGGAGGGGTTGCATGGGCCGGATCCCTGCGGTTTTGGCAGGGATGGTCCAAATTTAGCCCAGGAAATGTATTCTCGTCCGCTTACTGACGTAATATCTGCCATGGCAGAGTGAGATTCGACTGTGGCCGCGTCTTACTTTCCGTCCAGCGATGGCGATGGACGGCACGAGATGGGAACCGTTTGCTCAGGGTCTTGAGGCCCGTGGAGATTATAAGACTCGACGGGCCCGGATCCAGCAATGATGTGTTATCCCTACTTGTGAATCCAGCCAGGCCATCACGTTGAGTCAACCGCCAATCACTCACTCACTCACACAGGCAAAAGTAAGTCCAGATGGATCGCAACACCAACACATACCGTCCCTCAGGGTCGCCTGCGGGCTATCGCCCAACTGGCGATGCGCGCAACCCGAGCACGTATCGACCTACTGCTCCTCCTGCCCCTCCCGCCAACGTGAACCGCCAGACCGCAGGTTCATACCGACCGACTGTGACCCCGAACCGCAACACGGCACAATCGTACCGTCCCACCGGCAACCCTCACCCGGCTCACCAGTCCCAGGGATGGCGCCAGACGCAGACCTCCAACAACACACAGAACAACGCCAGTCGCGAGACGGCGTACACGTTCGACTACCGCCACACGCAAGATATTGCCGATGTCAACCGCCAGACCGCCTACACATACCGGTCTGACAACCGCGATGCTTCGCGCAACACAGCATGGACCTTCCGTACCCAGAACACGGATCCCAACCGCCTGACCACCAACACCTACCGCAAGGGCGGCAAGAAGCGAGGCCGATCCTCCCGCTTCTCCATGCTCTCCATGGATCTGATGATGGGCATCACGCCCGCCGTGCCTGAGCCTCCCTCGGTCCGCGTGCCCACCTACTACCAGGAGTTCAACAGGAAGAGCCGCTTCAGCAAGTACCTGTCCGTCAACGGCCCCGTGTGGCGGCCGTCCGGCGCCGACTCGCAGGGCCACATGCGCCTGGGTGACATTGACGAGGAGGCCGAGGGCTACTACGAGGAGGAGGAGGAGTACGAGGCCTACAGCATCTACACGCCGCTCCAGAAGACGTTCCTAGTCGTCGGCAACGCCTTCATCGCCTTTGTCGGTGCCCTCACCGTGCAAATGTACCTGCCCGCCCTCAACGTCCTCGCCGAGGAGCTCGATGTCTCGTCCTCCATGATCAACCTCACCGTCACCGCCTTCCTCGCCTTCCAGGGCATCAGCCCTCTCATTTTCAGTGGTTTCACCGACATCTACGGCCGCCGCCCCGGCTACATCATCTGCTTCATGATCTACGTCGCCTCCAGCGTCGTGCTGGCGCTCAGCGACAGGTACAGCATCACCCTGGCCATGCGCTCCGTCCAGTCCATTGGAACCTCGACCATCATGATCCTGTCCCAGGCCGCCGTGGCCGACATCGTCACGAGCGCCGAGCGTCCCCAGTACATTGGCATCACCTCCATCCCCACCATCCTCGGTCCCAGTCTCGGCCCCGTCATCGGCGGCGCCCTCGTCCAGACCCTCAAGTGGCGGAGCATCTTCTGGTTCCTGGCCATCTACGCCGGCTTCACCTTCTTCGCCGTCGTCGTCTTCATGCCCGAGACGTGCCGCAAGATTGTCGGCGACGGCTCCATCCGCCCCCACAAGGCCTACTACACTGTCGTCCAGGGCGTCCAGTGGAGGGAGGGCAAGGAGAAGCCCATCGAGAACGTCGCCAGCCTCGAGCCCATCGGCAACAAGGAGGGCGAGAGCGGCGCCATGTTTGCCCTGCGCACCCTCTTCTCCTCCGTCGCCCTGTTCGGCTACATCCAGCTCGTCCTCCTCGTCACCGCCGCTGGTCTCGCCTTTGGTGCCGTCTACGCCCTGTCCACCGCCGCCCCCAGCATCTTCCAGGACGAGTATGGCCTCACCGCGCTCCAGGTCGGTCTCATGTACCTGCCCATGGCCGTCGGCTCCATCGTCGCTGTCGTCATCGTCGGCCCCGGCATGAACTACAACTACCACCGCCACGCCGCGTTGGCCGGAGTCAGCGTCGACGAGGGCGAGAAGATGGACCTCGACAACTTCCCCATCGAAAAGGCCCGTCTGGAAATCGCCATCCCCCTGCTTGTGCTTGGTGTCGGTGTCATTGCCGGCTTCGGCTGGGCGCTTCAGTGCCACGCCCACCTCGGCGTCATCGCCATGCTCATCTTCCTCTTCGGCATCAGCATCGTCGGCATCAACAACGCCATCCAGGTCCTGATTGTCGACATCTTCTTCGACCAGGCCGGTGCTGCCCTAGCCACCAACAACTTCATGAAGTGCGCCCTCGGTGCCGCCTCCTCCGCCGTCGTCGCCCCGATGATCGACAAGATCGGCTTCGGCTGGTCTTTCACCGTCTTTGGTGGCATCTACGGCCTGCTTATTCCTCTTCTCATGATCGTCATGTGGAAGGGTGCGGACTGGCGACCGCGCCCCAATTAAAGTTAATAATTCTTTCACGGCCGACCTTTTTCATTCTTCTTCTCTTCTTCTTACTTTTTACTTTTTTACTTTGATGTATATACTTTTACGATATTACCCTTTTTTCCTATGTTGCATAGATGTTTAGCGATATGAATTTTATCTTTTCATGACTTTCTCACTACTACTATTCTGCTCAAGATCCTCTCTATGTGCATGGTGCCACCTGAAATGAATGATGACCCTTCTCGCGACGGAGCAAGGCTTTGGCTGTAGCCCTGTGCTTGGCTTCTCTAATTACCCAACCCCACTAGAGAGTAATATTTCCGGTCACCCAACCCCCCGATTCTCCATGGAAATGCACAGACGGTGAGATAAAAATAGCACCTCTCACCTGAGCAGGGTTAGCTCCACTATAGGGTAGCCACTCTATCTTGAAACTGTTGAACTTGTCTGCTTTTTCTGGGGCTGCGCCGCAAACGCGCCCCTTGTTAATCGAGTTTATTAATATCTGCTTGGGCCTCTGATCTTGCCGATGCCGAGTGCCGGGTTCAGAGATGTCATCGCGGCCAGACTCTCTTCGAACATGGGGGTTTCGATGGCTTCCCCTTCGAGTCGCTGTGCGAGCCCGTCCAGCCCGTAGCTACTGCGCAAACGATGGCCAGCATCGCCCTCCGTAAGGCCTTGGTGGTCCATCGAAATGCTATTTGAAGTAGCTGCTCGGTATATTGCCTTTTGAATAGCGCCCGCTTCTCCGATCCCTGTCTCTCTCAAGTGCCCTGATAATCTCCCGTGCGGACCCCATGCCCGTGCAAGGACCTTGATATCTCTTGTATCGTAAATTTTAGCGACTCACATAGCTGGTTATTCATAGTTCTGGAGATATCTCCAAGATGGTACTAAAAGTATACCATAGTAAGAACTTAATACCTCACACAAGATGACCACAGGTAGGAAAAATCATGCTTGATCTGCCCTCCTGACAAATGATATTCTGTTCAGTCCTGTGCCGACGTACATCCACGTACCAAGAGTCACGAAGCTAGCAGTCAAAGGCCGCACAGAGGCACACGGGCCGGACGTAACTCTGTGTTTGATTCGACAGAGTAATAACCTTTCAATACGGGCGGCCACTGTTGACATTTTGAAAACTTGTGGACAAAAGGCCTGTTGGATGAAGAACATCTGGTAGTGTGCAGGGATCGGAGACTTCATCGCATTCCCCTATAATCCTATCCTTTAGATGGCCAGTGTTCCCTCGGGCAATGGATGCCATCGACCGAGCATTACCATTGTCTTGGCTGCTTCTATACTCGGCACCTGCGTTACCAGTTCATGGCTGACTGGTCTGTCGTTACGTCTTAAAGCCACCGTCGCGATGGCTCGCATATAGTGACTTTTCTGAATCAAAACTTGATTTGATTCTGCGCTTGCATCTTGGTTTAGAAGAAGAAGGAAGAACTTGGTTTTATTTTAGTGACGGCTTTGCTGTCTGGCAGGGATGTTACATACCTACCAAGACTTTCAATCCTCTTTAAGTGTTTAATGGACGTTTTCTAGTCTCTCTTCATTCACCGTTTTGCTTCTAGCCTCCAAAAGTCAAACCGAGTCTCGTTGTAAGGCCAGTTTGCGAATGTCCAAGTGCTTGGCCAGGGCCTTGCCGCATGGCCGGACAAAGCTATTGAGAATATTCAGGGCCATCCACTTTATCCATGTGTGTCTGGGAGGACTCTGGTAAATTTCAGAGTTATGTCGCCGATTTATTTTCTCTTCATCTTCATCGGGGAGAAGGAAATACAAAGCTGAGAATGCTCGGGGTTTACATTTTTCCGAGGTTCCTGTCGCTTATTCTCTCATGATGCGGCTGATGCCTAATTTCATGTCGGGCACACATGTAACCCATGATTCTCGATCTGATCGACCTCGGAAAAGGTCTGCTATCATCGAGATTAATGGGTTTGCTTGTCGACCGTCCAAGATGGACTCGAAATCTCAAGCTCAAAAACACATTGAAGAGATCGCTCATGAGAGAGCACCGGAAAAGAAGACCCGCAACATACGAGACCTGGAGAGATCCGTTCAAAAGTATGAATACATGCATTCGCTCATATCTTAAAGTCTGTGGCAAGATTGGGCCATTAACTATATCCGCTCGCCGCGCTCTAGGTTCGCAAATGAATTGTACCGGAGCGAAACACACTTCCTGCTCGAGCTGTTACAGAATGCAGATGACAACCGATATAACAAGACGTCACGGCCAAGCTTCTCCATAGAATACCGTGAGCGTGGTTTACGTATTGATTGCAACGAAGATGGCTTCACAGAGGCAAACGTGGAGGCCATCTGCAGCGTCGGCAACAGCACGAAAGCGACCTCTTCTCCTGGCCATAAGTACATTGGCGAGAAAGGCATCGGCTTCAAATCCGTCTTTAGAGTCGCAACTAAAGTCTGGATATATTCTGGCGACTACAAATTTGCTCTTGACCGCACCAAGCCTCTAGGTATCATCACTCCTACCTGGGAAGACTTTCCAGAGACTCCGCCTGACGGTGGCACTGCCATGTATTTCCAGCTCTCAAATGATTGCGACGAGAAATTATTCTGGGATCAAATTCAAGTCTTGGATGCCAACACACTGATCTTTCTTACGAGGTTGAGGGAACTGAAATTGGTTATACCAAAAGCAGGTCGACCTCATGAAAGAAGGCTTTGGCGGGAGGACAAGCGGATGCATCACCAAGCTATAGAATCCAGGATTTTCGAAAACGACCAACAGATTCTACACTACTTGATATGTCAATATACGACCCAGGATATGCCAAAAGAAGAAAAGCGTTCCAGCCGTCGCACTTCAGATATCTTGCTGGCATTCCCCAAGCTGGATAATTCTAACTCTCGCCCTCGGTCGCAAATGATGTATGCTTTTCTTCCAATCAGAGATTGTGGTTTCAAGGTGTGATGTTACGATGATAACCGACACAATCCTTAATGCCTGTTAAACTAACTGTTGCATGCTATCCAGTTTCTCATTCAAGCCGATTTCCTGCTTGCGGCCAGTCGCGAAGATATTGACGAGTCCAGTCCATGGAATAAAAAGATCCTCGTCAGTTTACCGGACGCATTTGGGAGTGCGATTGAATACCTAAACAATACCGAATTGCGTTTCACTTGGCCTCGGTATATCCCTAGACAGGATGAAGTTCAGAAGGATTACCGCACCGTGAGCCGTTCCATGGTTACTGGACTCTCGAAACGGGATGTTCTCGAGTCGGAGACTGGCCGATTAAGGGCACCTTTGACGTTAACGTATATCCCGAAAGAGTACACGCTAGGAAATGGAGAACCATTGAGCCTCAGCAATGCTTCGAGCGACCGGTATCTGTCTAGAAGATATGACCACGGTGACAAACAAAACCTTCAACTTATAGGGGCTAAAGCTCTGACATTCCACGACTTCGTACGGGATCTCCACGAGTCTATTCGCGAGCAGGCAGCCAAGGACCGACCACCAGAATGGCACTCCCATCTGGCAATGGTTCTTGTGAAAAGTCTAATAGCCCGTGACGTCCGTCATTCAGCGGTGTCGAAAATTCCAATCATCCCCCTTCGCGATGGGAGATGGGTTACGGCAGATGAGAGCTGGGACAGGCTTTTCTTTCCTGCAGAGGAAACCTCGACATCAGTCCCGGAGGATACGGGACTCATGGAGGTCCACCCAAACTCTGTGAAAGACCCCTTTCGCTTCCAGCTATTTCAGCTACTTGGAGCGAAGCCCTACAGCGCTGCGCAAATTTGTCAAGCCATTGCCAAGATGCACAAGTCTTCTGCACCACCTGTCGTCACTGTCAAGACCTTAATTTCACAGACCATCTTCCTATTCCTCCAGTCTTGGATCTGCCCTGAAGACATTGATCTCTGGGTTGCAACTGATCAGGAGAAGTTCCACAGAGCTTCAGAAGTGTACATGCGACCCTTGGAGGTAGGGGGAAACAGGTTTCCCGCTTTGCATGCAGATTACCTACCGGCCATGCCCGAGAGACAGGATAAATGGAGAAAGTGGCTTCGTCAAGAGCTCCATATATCTACGGTCCCTCGCCTTATTGTCCAAGTTGGCAAGCATCATTTTGTCCTGTCCCCCGAGATGGAATTGATAAGAAACCACTGGTCTTCTGCAGACTTTCTCACTTTGTTGCGAGACAATTGGAACAATTACTCCGGGTGGTTGGAACCAAACAACCATTGTTCATGGCCTCAGGCTTGGGAAACTTCACGAGTTCAGTTGCAGAAGCAAATCGCAAGTTTCAAGGTTCAATGCAAAGGAATGCCTGGTTCATATCCTTTGGACCAAACTGTGCTTCCAAACGTGCTTCAAGATGATGGAGAGGAAGTGATCACGTACTTCCGAGTCATAGACATTCCAGATCCGGGAGAACCATCATGGGCATTTCTGGAGAAGTTTGGTGTCATAGTTCAGCCGAACGCTACTTTGTTCCTTCAGGGATTGGAAACGGCCAAAAAGATGGCATGTGCAGCCGAGTGGGTTTGGTTCTACGAGAAAATTCAGATATATGCCTCCCAGGAGAAGGCAACAGTAAAGTATTCCCAACTGCCTGAATTAACCATGGCCATTGAACATTAGAAACTAATAAATCCTGCAGAAAAGCCTTCTCCGAAAATTCATTGATTTTCATTCCGCAAAGCCCATTTAGAGCAGCGCAGTGGTCGAGACCCGACAACTGCATCTGGTCCAGTCCATCATTTTTCAAACGGACCGCGGCCTTGGTTGGCATGTATCCATCATGCCGGGGCCTCTTTCAAGATATCTTGGGTGTTCAAGATGCAGACCTCCAGACTGTATTGACTGAGCTCTTCTCGACCAGCCAGACAGATGGCTTGGGCTATTTTGTCAAGCTGTTTACATACTTGAATAGGCATACCAGTGCCAATGCTCGCGCGTTGATCACCAGGAACGTTGAAAGTTTCAAGACAAAACCGGTATTCCCTATCGATACAAAGGGGGAGGAGCCGGCAGTGCATCACTTGGGCTCAATCTCTGCCGAAAGCATATGGTATATTGCGGACCGCCCTCACCTGCGCGAAAAGTTTCGTGGAAGAATTCCTTTGCTTGCTTTTGATAATGACCAGCTTGAGAAAATGAAGTGGATCTATCTATTGCCGTCCATGACCAAGCGATCGCTCTCCAACTTAGTTGTATGTAAGCCTCTGCCAGGGTTGAAGAATACTCTCCACGAGCGCCTCACACACCTACTCAGAAGTAGAGCCAAGCACATAGTTCTGTGAGTTTTGGCGTTTACTTTGTTATGGGCCTGGACCCAGCGAATCTAATACGGCCTTAGACTTGTAACAGACCCAGCAGCCAGACGAAACGCTGAGCATGAATTGGAATCCGCTGGCGTATACAGCTCAGAGAAGGTTTCGGTTCGGTGGGAATTGATCGGCCCGTCAGGTTTGGTGGCTACTAGCCTGCCAGATGTCAGCAACGCGGCTTCTGTTTTGGTCGAAGGCGAACTCCGAATCTATCTGTCTCGCATGGTTATAAATGCAGATAGCGCGCCTCTAGAGTTATCGCGGACTTTAGCCACTCGATATGAAATACACCAAAGACACTCGCTGACACTATGCGGCACGCTATCCTGGACAGACGCAGAGGTTGAGGATCAACTAAAGCGTGACGGGATTTCACATGACCAAGACGTCACGGCCTTTGGTGAGCAAACAATCCGTGACTGTTCAAACTGACCGTGTTTATTCTGATTATTCTAGATGTGTTGGAGGAACCAACTGTAGAATCAGACGAATTCTCTGGCTGGCCTCCGAAACCGGAAACCTGGCTCACATGGGCTTTCAAATTGACAGGTGCTGGCATCACTCAGTTACGCAGCTTGCTTTACGTTGTCCGTTTGTTTTTATTCACTCGAGATACAGTTGTCTTCGCTGTACTAGGAATTGGCATGTTCACATTCATGGATCCTGCATTTGGTCTCCTGCGCCCCCAACTGGATGGCTGGTTACTCAAAAAGAAAGCAGATAGTCATCCAGATCTTGGTACAAGCGACGGACATACTGTACCGCAGACCCGACCGCCAGAATTATCACGGTATTGGTATCCAAATTGGGGACATACAGCAGCACAGGAAACCTCGCCAGCCCAGGGAGCCTATCGAACGCCGCCTCCTCCAGACTACGGGCCAGTCCGGACTTCAGTGCCCTCCAACAAACCGACTGCGACAAGCTCTACCCACAGTAATGACATTGGAAATGCTTTCCTCGCCCAATACCTCACTGTGGACATGCTGCCAGACAGGAAGGTAACCTTGATGCTTTTATTTGCTGTAGTCCTACTTCTTCTGGTATGGTTTGGCGAACCTAGCACAAGTGACCAATCTGCCCACATGGAAGAAGCCTCCAATGTCATCAACCCTGCATCTCACCAGTCTGATGAGAAATCCGAGGCTGAAGAAGGGCGAGTCCGAACGATTAAAATAGCCGAGAGGGAAGTTGATTGGGAAAGCGATTCTACAGAAGACAATCTTCCAAAGGAGGAAATGCCTCCTAAGAAGGACACGCCGAAGATTGAGGGCAAAGAGGTTATTCAGGCAACCTCACTCCCATTTGATTTTGGTCGCTACCTCTCAGCATCTGAACTTGACCTCCAGAATCATTCACAACTCACAGATCAAAACACTTCCGCCTCGATAACAACGAAAATAAGGAGTTTCGAATCAGATGAAGGTTCCGTCACTGAAACTCGCACAGAAATAATCGTTGCTCCGTCTTCATCTAGGGAGGGCAGCTCCGTGGAGGTTTTAGGGCACCCACCAGAATTGACGAACCCAGAGGGTACCAGTGAAGCAGTGAACGAAGCGTTGTTATCAGAAAAGACCGGATTCGACTATGTTGCAACGAATACTCCCTCGTCCACTCCAGTGGAAGCGAGCCAAACATCTGAGGAACAGCATTCAAAAGCAGGGGATAGCAGAACTGGAAACGTTCCAAGTCCTTCTTCTACTGAGAGTGTTGTCGAGGAGAGTATGCTGAGAGACGCTAGTGTTGTTGAAACAGAAGAGACAAAGGTAAATAACATATCAGCAACTGATGAGAGTCCAAGTAAGGAAATGAGAAACGAGCATCATGAGCCTACGCCGGGTGGTGTAACGCTTTCAAGTCAATTACTGGATCAATATAAAGATAATGTTGAACTGGCGACTGGTCAGCCAGTCAGCACCGCGCCGATGATAGAGGATCACCAATCAGGAATAGACAATCCTGTTTCGCTCGGAGATGTCCCCTTGAAACGACTTGATGGAGAAAGCTCACCGCCGAAATTACTCCCACCTGATGGCCAAATAGAAAGATCTGAAGCACTGGAGTATTCCCCGATATCGTCATGGAACACGGCATCGGGATTGCCAAGCATACCAATGGGCAAAATGGACCAGCACAGCTTTGGAGGCGGTGGTGTGTTAGCACCCGGAGATCGAGCAGTGACGTCTGAGTTTGTGGACCATTTCATCACTCGGCAAGACGACAACGAGTTCGTGAACACGAGCACAGGCGTCATTTATAATCCGTCACCAACGACTATGTTTGTGGGAGAAGACACCGATGAAGCTCGGTTTTTGGGAGAACTTTATGTATCCAAAGCCCCGAATCCTAGAAGTGGGATATCTGTTTTGTTTCTGACAATTATCTTCTTGCAGGTATCGCAACACCTAAGCTTGCTTCTAGGACCAGACATCTACCAACCAGAAGAGAATTGGACCAGCAGCGCGCGATCTCGCAACGGCCACAAGCCATTTGATGCCAAAGAGCCAGCTAATTCCACATTCACTATAGCAGAGAAGCCTGGGATAGGCAAAGCAAGGGGTTCAGTATCTCGGGCATTCAAGATGTCCGATCCAGGGCTTGAGATGCGCAGATTTCACATCCAAGTTTGCGTTACTGCTGGCGGACTCCAATCGCCCTTTCGATTGTCTAATGCGCAATACACCAAGGTAAGCCGCCACACTCAGTAGGAATAAGAAGATTTACTGACCTAGAAACCAATGGAAAAGTGTAGGGATATGACACTGAAGGGTCAAGCAAAGCCAAGCAATGTGTATATTCTCGCGCGCGTGTACCATATACATACCAACCCTCAAATCGCTTTTTACACGGATCCTTGGCAACTCTATCAAAAAGGCCTCATTACCCTCGAGTCTTCCAGCGCATTCCGTGGAACCGTCTCGAGAGCAGCACCGGCAATCCCTGTTGAATCTAAAGACGCTGCCACAGCTTCGGAAATGCAGAGTATATATCAGAGCAAGAGGCTCAACCCGGATGAGATCCGTCTTCTCAAACTTGAAAGTAGTGTGGACCTGAATTCACCACTTGTAGGGAAACTCATTGTCAAATCGACCAAGAAAACTAATGATTCACTGCGGTACTGGGCAATCTCATACGTCTGGGGTTCCGCGCCGACACCACTTTCGCCATTCAAGTTGGTGATTAATGGAGTGAAAATTCCAATCACCGAGTCTTTATGGACCTGTCTTTGCCGCCTTCGGAGTGAAAATGTAACAGATTATATCTGGGCTGATGCGATATGTATAAATCAAACCGACAACTTGGAGAAAGCGATGCAGGTTCGTCAGATGGGAAGAATTTACAGCAAAGCTGATCGTGTTCTTATTTGGATGGGTGGTAACCAAGACAAGGACTACCACGCCATGGACATTCTCAAGGCATTGAGAGGGCCTAGAAAAGCGCAACAGTCGAGGCACAACGAGCAATTATCGGTGACTGAGAAGGAAAAGGAACAGGTTTGGGCTTTTCTCCAACGCCCCTGGTTCACTCGAACCTGGACTATTCAGGAACTTGTCCTCGGCAACCGCGTCTCGATTTCCTACCGAGACGCCGAAATGGAATGGGATGACTTTATGGGGTCTGTCTTGCTCTTTGAGGAGAAGATTTTTAGAACCAAAGGCGGTGTTAGGGAGCTTTATGTCACACCTTCGAATCCAGCTCGCGCCCTTGATCATATTAGGCAGACATGGCAAGGGCATTCATTAGAAGCTGTGGGGAGCCGCTTGAAGCTCCCCATTCTTCGACTTGTCGAGATGTTTTTTTACGCCCAAGCAACAATGCCGCGCGACAAGCTCTTTGCGATGCACAGCATAGCGTCCGACACAAGCTATGAGATCGAAGCATTTAGACCCGATTACGAGTCTGATGATTCCACAATCCTAGGAAGATATGCCACAGAGTTTGTAAAGAGAAATAAAGTTTTGGAGCTTCTATATAGGGCTGGGAGAGATAAAGGGAGCAAGTTTTCATCCTGGATCCCAGACATGATGAACCATGCCCGGCGCCCACAATACGGCCCGACGATTTCCACTTGGAAAGCGATTGGGACGGCCAACAGCTTCAGATTCAGCGCAGGGGCATCTCAATCCCCAAATCCGACCGTCACACACCCAGTACGCTACCCTTGTCTCACTATCACGGGAAAGATGTTTGATTGCATTCAAAGCGAACGATCGCTCAAGATCGGCGATGATGCTACCGCCATAAGCTTTGTCCAGATCCTGGAAGAGCTCCGCCAGCTCCTATCAGATCTGCCGTCGTATCCAAACTTGAGTCACAAGAAGCGCTGGCGTGACCATGTACTCATCCAGACTCTGATTGGAGACGCAATTGGCCCACAATGGGGAACAAGTCGCTCGGTTTTAACTGACGACAGTCAAGAAGAGGAGGAGATACTAGAACGTTGGCCATTGGGCTTTGAGCAAGAGATTTTGTCCATACGGTCGGGGCGAGATAGTCATCAATATCACTCCAAGCCAGCCGAGGCGCAGGAAAAAGTCAACGACTTTTGGCGTACTGCTGCTGCTTTTCTTGGAAAACTTCCCAATGCAGCGCTATGCGTGACCACAAAGGGTTATGTCGGGATTGTCCCTGGAGGAACCAGACAAAAAGATAAGGTCCTTCTCGTCCACGGAGCTCGCGTGCCGTTTGTCGTTCGTCAAGAGCCAGTCACAGGCCACTATGAGTTGATAGGGGAGTGTTATATCCATGGGACCATGTACTACGACGATGCCGTGGCTGGTAAGGTGGTGGATGAGAGAGTCATGTTAGTGTAATGGAAGTATACCGCTAGGTTTGAATATTTCGTAGGGTTGGAACACCTTAGTATATCAGGTAGACCGCACTATCTACTACGTAAATTGTTAGGCATAAACACACTCAAAGACGGAACATAGTGAAAGTAAGGAATGGAAAGGGTTTCCTTGCTGGGTACCAGTAACTTTGTTTCTTTCAAAATATAACTTATAGGATAGTATTATATGAAGGACTAACTTAAGTTAATCATTAGATGGCATAGCATGCTATGATGTTTGATTCCTTTGAACTCTCCAAAAGAATGTTGACCAAAGCACTCTGTGCTGGTTCGTACGATTTCATAACTTAGAAAAGAAGGCAAGAGAAAAGAACACTCAAAACACAAAGATTCTTGTGTCTTCATTCCCTCTCCAAGGGCCAGATACCATACTTTTTTCGAATTTCGTCCATGGCACGTTTAAGGAGCTTAACGCTCTTGAGGACCTGCTCGGCGCTGGGCTTCTTGGTGAGATCAAAATCCCTGTCATTGCTGTCACGCGCGTCGGCAAGACATTCCCGAAAGCTGGGTTCCAGGACCCTTGACGAATCCCAGAATAGATATCACAGGCGCCGGAGAGGCCGGGACTTATTATCGGAAAATGGGATGGTGGGATAACCGAGCCCATCTTTGAACATTTCACAGTTGAGATTCGGAGATGAGAGGTCATTGTGATTGTTTCGGCTATCTTTGTGGTTTCCAGCTTCTTCTGGTGTAGCTGGCGGGGGATAGCTTGCCCACCTGCTCCCAGGGGAAATCCTCTTAGGGCGTTGAAATCTACATCGTTCAGGACGTGGGGCAAAAAAGTCCCATGCTTGCTGGCATTGCGTAGAAACAGATCGTATTGTACATCTCGGGGGGAATCGAGAAATCCAGTGATGTACATCAAACCGAAAGATGTAGCGTCGGACACCCAATGATAGAACCACTCTCTCTCATGTGATGAGAACAGCCTCAAAACCGGTTCAACCGACCATTTAAATTCGTCAAGGTCGTCATCGTCATCAGGAAAATTCTCTTTGGATATGTCCTGAGGGCTCTGTTGCTCCTGACTGGGGTTTCGGTGAGAAGATGATAGTGAGCCACGAATACCCAGAGCAAGAGGTGTTGCGGGAGAGCACGACTCTGGAGTACGGTCTAGCGGCCTCGTGTCCTGTAGGCTCAACCTGATGGCTCAATACCATGTCAATCATTTCATCTTCCATTCTCACGAGGGTGGGAGCAATTCGGCCCATGAGAAATTGATGCACACAGCACATTTCCTCCACTTCATATGGCGCGAGCCGGCCAAGAAAGTGTTCGTGATGGGCCCGTCATGCTTTTCGTTGTCGAAATGCCCGTCATGGAAATTCTACAGCTCTCCAAGCTGCTCCTCTTTCGGGGCTACCGGCGCTTCTGTGGTAGCAATGGCAAGGCGTTGCGCTGCAGGCAGAATGGCGCGTGCAAGAACAGACGCGATGAGGTGTTCTCGGGAGGCAAGAAAGGCCCGGAGGAGAATAGGTGATGCGCAAAAGGCCGAATGAAGATCGGCTGGGCAATGCAAGCGCTCAAGAATGAGCCAGAGCAGCTCCGTTGGGAGCTCTGCGAGACCCATAGTCAGGAACTAGGATCTACTCGTATCGACTCAAAGAGGAGCTGGCTTGTTAGAGTTGAATCTTTTTTGGATTGTCACATGGAGGAATAAATATGTAGACGGCTGACCTTAAATTGTCAGCAGTCTGCAAGAACCCCGCTCAGCACCAGGCCTTTCCCTCAGCCTCCAACCAATCATGGAATACGGACAGTTTGATTTGTTCATTATATTGAGATATCGGGTCTGGTATCTTCCTTTGGGGGTTCTTTTTTTCTTTCTTAAACTTAATACTCGAACTCTCATTAGGGTGGACAGTCTGATTAGTTTGCTTGGTACATATATGGTATAACAGTGTTGTAGTACTCCTGGTTACCCTACAGAACCTAGGCGAGCGACGACCTAAGCAGACAAAACCTGCCCTGATCTCGACATCTTTGGTGATTGAGCCTTGAAGGGAATTCTTTTGAACATTGGGACATGTCCTGAATTTTTTCTCTTTCTATTGTTTCTAATTGGTACAATATCGTCCACTTCACAGAGTATCTCCACGTCAGGTAGTCATCGCATACTCTCAAATGATTCCAGTTCTATTTTGTCCATGAGAATGTAATTCACAATTGAGTGAAAGGAGACAGAAAGGCTCAATTACTTACCAAAGCGAGGACTCCGGTGGCGCTTAAACCTTTTCCATAGACTCCAGAACAAAACGATGACGGTGGGCAAATTTGCCATGAGCGTCACGACCGCGATTATAGCCTCCGGTGTAAGACCCATGTCGAGGAATATTGGACAGGACGCAGAATATTGAACTTGTACTTGAAACAAGAAGGGGGCGAGACAAGGAGCAACTCATGGGCCCTCAAGTTGCTCAAGAAAGTGGGAGATGGGATGGCTTATATGCCTGAAACCATAACTAGAAACGAGAAGTGCAACTCGGCCAGGCAGTACATGGCGGGAAAAGGCATGCTCTGAATGCAAATAGTGGCTACAGCCAATCCGACGTGGGCTCGGCATGATGGCGGTGTCTGGAAAGCAAAATTCTGGCTTCAACCAATCAACGGAAACCAGGCCAGCTTCGATCTGCTACACGGTCGAGCGTGACTAGAGGCTGCAAGTGAAATCCGATTAGCGTGTAAACAACAAAAGGAGCAATACTCCGTCTTGTGGACGCAAATAGTGGCAACAGCCAATCCGACGCTGGCTGGGCACGTTGGCTGGGCATGTTGGCTGTGCTTGAAACACAGATTCTGGATTCAGCCAATTAAAAGAAATCTGACTAGCCAGGATCCATTTTAGGGTGGTGGCTTGCAGAATACGTGATGAGAATTCTGGTATTCACCAATCAAAAATGAAGGAACGGTGCTGTGGTCAGCACACCGTCACCCTACCTCTGGAGGAAATGCAATAGTGCTACAGTTTCTAGGCCTAGGTATATAAGGCAGGGAGACGGATGCTTGGCTGTGGTCAGTCAGTTTCAGTTGATCTGCTGTACGTCACAGTGTTCGTCTACATAAACTGGCTTGCCACCCACCCGAGAAGGAATCCGTACAAACCTACAAACCTGCCCAGTAAATTGGCATTCAAGGATTGGCTGTGGTAAAATCAAGCCCGACTTCAGTTTTCTTTTCCGCTTTGCCGTCTCCCTTTCCCGTATTCACCGCCAAATCATGTCGGCGTCCAGGATCCCTCCCTCCGAGTGGGAAAAACACCGGCAGGTTGTTCACAGCCTTTATGTGGACAAGAACTTGCCTCTTGACGCTCTTGTCAAAGAAATGGCAACAGTTCACGGGTTTATCGCCACGTAAATGCCAGCCATTCTCCTTCCTTACCGATCCCAATCTCCATACATCCGTTGCTAATTTGCGAATACACATAGAAAATCACAGTACATACGCAAGTTGGCAAGCTGGAAGATTGGAAAGAACGTTACTAAAACTGCCTGGAAAAAGGCCGCTGTGATTATAAAAAAGCGAAAAGACCGGGGCAAAGAGTCTGAAATCTACATTGATGGGAAATTGATCCCTTCCAAGAAGATGAAGAAGGAGATAGCAAGACACGGGCCTTCTCTTCCAGAGTTTATTGAGATGTCAGGTAAGCGCTCTTCTGCCATCAACTTGACCAAATTACTAATCTCTTTCGAAGCCCATGAAATAGATCTCCCGGGAGATTTTGTCGTCCAGACTCCACTCACGACAACGTTTCATCCTCATCGATGGAAGATGCAACTAGATGGTCTTCCTTGGATGAAGTTTCAGGATGGTTTGATGTCACATCCAATACTCTTCGCAGGGCCTGGTTTTGACAATGGCCCAATGAACCTTCTAACAAATTTCCTCGTCCGAACCAGTACTTTTACAACATTCGCCACTGCATCCCGGACGGTTCAGCAACATGATAGAATATTACCGATAAAACTAAGCAAGATAGTCCCAACAACGGGGAACTCCATGCAAGACGGATCTTGGACTCGATTCATCCTCTATTTTGCTTACCTCGCCTCGAATAATCTCCTCGAACGCCAACAGATTGAAGACATCCTTAAGTGGATCGACAGCACAAAGAACGCCCAAGTAATAAAAGCTCTCCTTCAATTGAAGGGTCCAACAATCGAATCCTGTGCCTCTGCCCTGTTTTTGGGAGCTGTTTACAATGGGCTAGCTAGTATAGTTCGACTTTTCCTCTTGAATGGGTATGACCCAAATACGCGAACCCATCATCCCTACCGCTCCTCTGGATCCACTGCGCTGGAGATTGCGATCACAATGAGAAATATCTTAGTGATGAAACTCCTCTTGAAACATGGAGCCGATCCAAACAATCATGGAGATCGTTCACTTCACCCTGCCCGCAAGAATGGAGACGATGCCAACGATAGCCTTTGCATTGTGAGTCACCGAAGCTTGTTAGCCCGCTATATTGACAGCGATTGTGACGAGGATATTATCCAATTGTTACTTGATGCTGGGGCAAACATCGATGGTGAATCAACTGGGTCAGTCATTATTGGCGATGACGAGGAACATTATTATCGTTTCCTTGATGATGACGAGGAAGATGATGATTTCAGTGACTATGATGATTTCTGTGACGATGATGATTTCTGTGACGATGAAGGTTTCATTGGCGATGACGGTGGTCCCAAGGGTGTACCGCTTGTGAAAGCCGTTTACGGGCGTAATACCCAAGTAGCACGATTCCTGCTCGGGGCAGGCGCGAATGCAAATCAAATCGATAGAAAGGTGGGATCGGCGATTCAAACTGCCGTCAAGAATGGTCACATGGATATGGTCGAGCTGTTAGTCGAGGCTGGGGCTGATGTCAACCTCAACAAGGAACGGTATAGCCACGCATGGAGTTTCTGTGGCCTAGGACGTATCCCGAGGAAGCTATTTTCTCCGCTTCAGTTAGCGGCACGAGCCAAAAACTCTGAAATGATCCAGTTTTTGCTTCGGGAAGGGGCTGATACGAATGATCTTCCCGCTCTTGGCATCATTGAGAGGCCTCCCTATGCAACACATCTCCGATCCGGGGAGTATGAGGCCCCGTTGAATTATGTTGTTCTTGGTGGCAGCCTGCACATGGCCGTGCTACTCCTGAACTCGGGCGCAAACCCTGACGCCGTTTCCTTTCAAGGACATACAGCGTTTGGGAATGCGTGTAGGAAAGAAAACTTAGATATGGTGAAGCTGCTCCTGGCCTATGGAGCTGCACCTCAGCATAACTTAGGCCCAGAACTTGGGAGCACAGCACTACAGCTTGCAATTCTCCACAAGGATCTGATATTGGCCGACAATTTGCTTCAAAGAGGAGCAGATATCAATGCTCCCCCGTACTTAAAAGGAGGGAGAACCGCATTGCAGGCTGCAGCAGAAATCGGAAATGTCTCGCTCTTCAAACGTCTTCTTGACCTGGGTGCAAACATCAACGCGCCTGCCGCTGCCGAGAAAGGTGTGACATGTCTGCAGGCTGCCATGCTTTCGGACAATGATGAGATCATCACCACGATCTTGAATCATGGAGGAGTTGTAACGGTGAATTACATATTATGCGCCGTCAAGACACATTCTTTCAAGATGGTAGACCTTCTGATGGGGCTGGGCACGGATGTGAACTCGACCGGCATCGCTGATTTAGGTCCAGGCCTCGGGCGTCGTCTTGTAACACCGCTTGTCTTGGCTATATACAACAAGGATTTCGATATGGTCGATAAGCTTCTATGTTCAGGGGCCAACGTGTCCCACATATACTGTGAATCTGAAGCAATTTTGCCTTTGCACCAGGCTATTCGTGCCCGCGATCTGCGTATCACGAAAATATTGCTACTATTTGGAGCAGATCCAAACCAGTTCGAACCACATTCTGGACTGACCAGCCTTGTCTTGGCCACAAGTCTCCGTCTTACTGGCCGGGGGGATTTCCCACTCTCTCAGCGGCGGCATGGCCTCAATGAGTCGCTGACCGTCATCGTTCGTGAGCTGATAGATCACCACGCGAAAGTTAACCTGATGGCTAAAGGGATATACCCAATCGAAAACGTGATGATGAGCGACGAAGTAATGAAGATGCTTATCGAGGCTGGAGCTGACATTCACGTCAAGGAGGGCAGTCTGTTAGCAAAAGCCATCTGTTGGGGCTCCGGTGCGACTAGATTGTTGCTCGACAACGATGTCAATGTAAATGGCCAAGACAAACAATGCGGAACGCCACTCAAAGCCGCCACCAAGGTCGGCAATCTTGATTTGGTTTTAGAGTTGTTCGCAAGGGGCGCCGATGTTAATGCAGGTCTCAACAACCTTCTTGCTTGCGCTGTCGATTTGCAACAGCTACGCATCGTCGAGCTCTTGCTTGAAAGAAATGCTGACCCGAATGGCATAAGCTTGCCGAAGCAGGATTGGTGTTGCCATGGACGTAAAAGGCCGGATCGCTATGAAGATCCCTATGTAGGCAACAGGACAGCGTTAGTGGCCGCGGCTGAGCAAAACAATTTTGATCTTGTCAAGGCTCTGATTGAACGAGGAGCGAACGTGGAAGCAGACAACGCGCCAAGGGGATCAACTCCAATCCAGGCCGCATCAATGAACAACAACTTATCGATGGTGCAGATGTTGCTTGCGAATGGCGCAGATGTAAATGCCAAGCCGAGAGGCCCCATCATAGATAGATCCCCATTGTCGAGAGGCTGGGAGTTTGGTCTTAGGACTGCGCTTCAAGCTGCGAGCGAGAATCGGAATTTACAATTGGCTCAGCTTCTGATTGAAAAAGGCGCAAAAGTCAACATGAGACCTTATGAGAACGGTGGAGCATCGGCACTTCAGTTTGCAGCAATCAATGGGGACATCCAAATGGCTCTACTCCTTCTTGAGCATGGGGCAGACATCAATGGCCCTGGGGCTTCTCACAAAGGCCGAACAGCCCTTGAGGGAGCGGCAGAGCATGGCCGGCTCGACATGGTTTACTTGCTGTTACAGAATGATCAGGATGAGACAGGTCTTGAAGCGAGGTGTGAAAAGGCTGCCAAATATGCTGAGAAGGAAGGCCATTCAACCATTGCGAAAATCCTAAGAGAATGGAGACAGCAATGACCAGGAGTCCGGGGACAACGCGAATTAGGCCATCTTCTTTCAATATGTTTTGAACAGTCGCTCTTCCGTTTACTAAATGGCTCCTTCTCGAAATATTACGTGTCAAGACTTTTGCGAGACTCTATGAAACAATAAGAGTATTATCGACACTATGATGTAGAATGTAATTGGTCATGGGAGATGACTCTAGCGATACGATATGACACGGGCAAACTTGGGAGCTGCCCAACTAACATTTGAGAATGACACCGAATTGGCCAAAAGCCATTGTTTGACTGCTTGTGCAGTAAATGCGCCCCTGCACTAGCTGAAACGACAGAGGAGATGAGTCTACGGCAAATCGAAGGGGCATTCTGACTGCAATGCAGGACTGATGGCTATGTATTCTTTTCTCCCAAAAGCCCACTGAATTGTCGATTTTCCCTTGTTACTACTTACTATACATCTAAGCAACAGTGCCTGCCCTTTCATCATTTCTCAGTAAGTCTAAGCAGGGATCTGAGGGACTCGGTCTTGGTCAAAGTAGGCTACACTGAATGGCTGAATTTGGGGACATGTATAATAAACGAACTATAAAGCCCCGAAAACTCCTCGGTGCCCTTGGGAAGGGTCTGAGAGGCCCCTCACCCTGAAACAACACGTCAAACCAGTCTGGTTGCGCTCTGCAACACTGTCACATCAATATTATGGGTGTAACTAGCCAACAGCCGCAACTGTCTGGTCGATATCAGATCTTGTAATAATGATATCTGGCCGGGAGACCAAAAGGTTTAATGACTAACTGAGAATGTAACCTTACAGAGCACGGGGTATTAATCACAGCCGCAGCCCCTCCTGACCCCCACCTACATACTAAAGGCATCGAGCTCAGCCGCGCCACCACACGGTCCGCTCGGATCTCAAGGGTCTCTCCCACACTCCCGCTATCTGGTCCTCCTTAAACAACACCTTCTGGATGGGTTTCGTAATACTGTGAACCGCAGATGGTATCTTGTCGAGACCGGGCAGAAGGAACTGGGAGGCCCTAGGCGGCCTCCTTCCCCTGTCTGCCACGCCCTACCCCGGCAATAGTATTCTGCAAGCCACTGGACCACCGGAGCAGTTTAATTCGAGGAATTCATCAGTACCCTTGTAGGTGGGGTTGCTGCAGGTGACATTGCAGGCTGTAAAGAACGTGCTGGTAGTTCCCACTTTGCCCCCTCTCTTGCATGAGGACCCTACTCCGATTAACATCTTGAACGCAGGGATAAACGGAAGACCAGGAAGGGCCATAGGCGAAAGAGGGAGGGACATGAAGGCCTGCTGAACTACCCTGGCCTAGAGCAGGATCAAAAGCACAATATCTGCGCTAGAAGCTGCTGCGCCGTTACAATTGATGGTAACAATGAACTTTCGGGGACAAAGACAAATGCCGTGATTGTTCGTAAGCGACGCGCTTTGCAAGGGCAAGGGTTACCATCGCCTTATCAAGATATCCCCTGGTTATATCTGCGACAGTTACGACCAGGACGTTCGAGGTGGCTCTTCAACACTGTAACGTTTGTAGCAAGGGAGAGTATGACATGCGCCGAAAGTGTTTGGAAGAGGGTACAACCTGCATAGCGGACGGATGCAACAAGCTGGATCACTTGTTGATCTCACCGCAAACACAGACAAAAGGCGAATACTCTTATTAAACTTGGTAGATGGGTAAGAGTAGTTCAAAAGCATCGATGTTGGCTTGTGAACTCTTTGTTATCTTAGTCCTTCCCGAACACGTCAGGCCTGGCTCGCTCCACTCATGCTTGGCTTATCGTTGGTTCTCCTCTTGTCCGTAAACGCGCCAAATATACCTATGTCTAGAGCCTACATCCCTGTTGATAGTTCATCGTCGGATGCAGGAGCGTATAAACGCTGCAGCTCGGCTCTGTTGTGCAAGCATATGCAGCCCGGGACGGTTGCTGGGGATAGCTCTGTCCTTTTTCTGTGGAATATTCTTGCTATGATCTAGCCTCCCACACGTCACATAAAAACCCAAACCAGGCTTTCGTATCAGTTGAGATTTACGCGATCCATTAGAGAAGAAGAGAGAAAATCCCTCAATGGAGAAAACCGCCAATAATGGCTGGGACATCCGGGGGCCCGGTTCAATGTTTACGTTGAATTTGTCAACCCTTGTCCTCGGCAAACCAATAAGTTCCACCCCGTACGCGATTATTGAAAGAATAAAGAGCTTTATTAGCTCTTCCTGTCTCTTCCACACGTGGCTGTGGGGATTCAAACGTTTCTGGTCTCCCGGTTCCGCCCTTCGTCCCTTGTCAATCAAGGCCGCGATCCCCGTCTTTGTGCATGCATAGGATGCTTGAGAACCAATTGGGTCAAGTTTAATTTACCAGTGCTGATTGACACCACCACACTCGTCAATACTGAAAAGCAAATCTTCGGAACACAGGGAACGAGGGAAAGAACTTGCAGCAAATCACACAGCCAACCTCGCTCACACGACCCCAATGAAACGCTTCGTAAACACGCACAGCGGGTCTTTGCCAGGGCCTGACCCAAGACTAATGCGATGCGGCTGACAACGCTATTCTAATTGGTGTCTGGTCTTGCCTGTTTACGTCCATTTGGCCCTCCCCCCCCGCGCGTGTGTGTGGATTTCTTGTATCGAGATGCAGCACTATCAGGTGATGACTGTGGTGGTAACCGAGTGGTGCCATTTTCCAAGGGAATATGACCTTCCGATAAGCGATCTTATACGATCAGTCCCCCCGAGGCGAAAAAAAATAAATCCCGAGATCTGCCTCTCATCCTTCTCAAACCAAACTCTGTCGGGGAATTACTCACCCAGTTGCAAATCCTCCCCCACGCTTAACCGCCCATCCCAAAGCCGAGCCGTATCATGGCCGACTCAGACAACAGCATGGACAGCAGCAAGAGCAACGAGACGGCTTCGGCTTCGGCGGCGGCACAGCCAAGCGTGTCGGAGGAGAGCAAGAGCGAGATCGATCCCACTGAGTACACCCATCACCGCAATCTCTCCAAGCCTCTGATCGACAAGTGGGATGCAATCTACGCCCAGGTCGAGAAGGAGAATGCCGAGATGACGGACGAGCAAATCATGGAGAAGTATCCATTTATGAGTGAGCTTCCCTTATAATTGCGGCGCTACGATGTCCCCAAGCATTTGATTAACGATACGGATGATAGAAAATCTGGGACCCAGCACCTGAGCCGAAACTTGATGGTCGGAACAATCGGAACGTGTCATTTCATTGAAGCACGGATGGTCGGCGGCGGCAGGCTTTTCTACCCAATCGGCGTTATTTCTTTTCTTTCTTTTATTTCGAATTCGATATCTCGAGAAAGCCGTCTATGGATGACGCGCAAGAAGCCCGAGGCTAATCGAGCGGAAGTTCGGTTCAAACTTCCCCGGTGGTTGTGTTAAGAACTGGAGGGAAGTGACGCACATACACGACAGCATTTTACGTTGAGGGCAATTATTGTAGCTTTGTTCAGCACTTTAAAAATACAGGACTCTTTGTCTATGTTTTACCAGAAAAAATTGAGAATCCGTGTACTTATTGTGGTTGCCATGTTCGACGGATGTCTATGCCGAGTCAAGCCTTTCGAGATGGTCTCTGGGCCACTACCTTGTATTCGAGAACAAAGGCAAGTTGAAAGTGGTATACTGGCTTATAGAGGTACTGAAACTAATTTCTGGAAACTATGAATAGCTACTGGGTAACATTGTAGGATGGTTCTTGGATAACGGTAGTCACTGCACTTTGGGTGTTAGCTTCAATGATGCTTGTGCGTACCCAAACCACTATGCGACTAAATCTTAGTTTACATGGTCAATAAAATAACTGCTGCATCATTGAACAAGATGAATGAATCTTCAGACACTACGGTGCTCAAAAGTCTATTTGAGTTTGATTCTGATGTATTTTAGCCATTTGATAGTAGAAGATTAATAACTTCTCATATTCTGAAATCATATTGAAGCTCATTACACGGCCAATTGAGGCACATCCTATTACTGCAACCCGCGAATATACTACAAATAGAGTAAAAAATGCCTCCCAAGAAGATAATTCTCCCAAAAAGGTCCCATTATTCAAAAAATGCCGTGACTGAAACATCACCAATGAAATACCGGCCCAATCAGAATACAATTATTTGGTAGCGAGAGCATCGTCAATAATCTTCCATGTATGCTCCTCCACCTTCTTCAGATTCTCCTCGCTCCAGACTTCCTTGTTAGGGACAATGCGGCCCTTGTCGTCAATCGAGTTCCAGACCCTGGCGTCCTTCTCGCTGGCCGCTGTTACACCCTTCACTAGATGATCGGCGCAAGACTCGGGAGAGACAGCCAGCACGGCCTCTGCGCCCTTTGCCAGAGGCTTGAGGTACCAGGGCAGATTCTTGAAGATCCCGGTGCTGACGACTCCGGGGTAAGCGTGGAAGAAGTATCGATGGCTCGTGCTCGGCTCAGCGGGCTGTAGCTTTGCGGCGTGAACCTGCACCATGGCATCCGTCATGGAGATGCAGTGATCGGCAGCCCTGCCGAGCGAGAAGGTGTTCTTGAGATCCAGATCGTCCCAGTTCAGCTTGGACGAGCTGCCCCGTGCCCCGTCCAGCACGATGAGAACCTTGGCGTCGTCCTTGAGGACGGGGGCGAGCTCGCGAATGAGGAGCTGCTTGCCGTAGAAATGCAGGGCCATCTTGTTGTCGATGCCCTCTGGGGTCTCGGTGCGGCCGGCCATGGTGAGGATGCCCTGGCTCATGACGAGCAGGTCGAGCTTCGGCTCCTGGGACGCCTTGTACTGGTCCGTGTACTGCTTGATGGCGCGCATGGACGAGGCATCAAGGGCGCGGAACTCTATGTTGCTGTGAGAGAGTGAGACTGGTTTTGTACGTCCGCTAATGATGACGGACGAGCTGGCTTCAGAAGCGATGCGATTGGCAATCGCGTAGCCAATGCCGGCGGTGCCGCCGACCACGAGTGCTCTGATGCCCATGGTGATGTCTATATACTCTGATTGATGAGTGATTATGCTTGGAATGTGGCCGGAGAGGCTGGAGATGGGATGACGCCTGGCATTTATTCACACGTGAAACTCCGCCCAAAGTGTCTGATGACAACTGCAATGGCTGCCTGAGGAACGAGCTAAAACTCCGCAATTAATGTCACTGAGAAAACTGGTGCGAGCCAAGCCCAGACTGTTGGCCTGATTTGGTGCTGGTTCCGCCACTCATCTTCCCTGTTTATGCACGCCATTATTAACTCCGTCAAACTCCATGAACCAACAGAACAAAGTCCAAGTGATCCCACAACGTGGCAGGCTGAATACAAAACGTGGCGCGTCGTGCGAATTAGGTGGCAGACAAGGGACTCAAATCGTAACAAAGGCTCGCGAGACAGCTGTGATGGGGCTCAGGGCGCTGTGAATTAGCATCTCAATTAATGTGCGACCCAAAGCTTTAATTAAGGAATTTTGATAGTTCCCGGAATACTGGTTCGAGATGTATAAGAATCGTTTTTTCTCCCAGCAACCAGGAGTGAATTTACACAACTATTGCAGTGATACAAATTCCTTAACCTGGTACCAATTCCTCAACAACTGATACCAATTCCTTACCAATCGATACCAATTCCCTATTAACTGATTCCAACTCCTCAGTGAGCTAGACTGGAAAGCCAGCACGCTTGAAACCACCATGACCACCTGCGGTGTTGAATGGGTTGAAACCCAATTTGGACCGAGGCCAGAATGGACGAATGAACCTAACTATGAGGCTATATTACAGGCGGCTCGGCAAGCACTAAATTTGAACGAGCTATGCTCTGTCAGATTTCTCGCGCAAGGAGTCTTCAGCAGGGTTTATGTTATAAGTTCACAAAGCGAAGAGTATATCTTTCGACTCAGCCTACCGATGTATCGACGTTGGAAGACAGAAAGTGAGATTGCGACTATGGAATGGGCAAGAAAAACCACATCTCTCCCCGTTCCTCGAGTTTTGGCACACATGAATGATCCCTCACAAGCGGTTGGCTACGAGTGGATAATCATGGAGAAAGTATTAGGAAACCCCCTTGAGCAAGTTTGGGCAGATATGGACTATCCTTGCAAGAGCAGATTCATCAAGCAACTGGCCGCATTCTCAGCAGCCACCTTTGAACACAAGTTAAGAGGAATGGGAAGTCTATACTACTGTAACAGCTCCCTGTTTCCGGCACTCCCTCCTGGCAATTTAGAGGAAAAGACATATCCAACTTCATTCGACCCATATGGCGAAGGCAGCCCGGGATTCCCCTTTAGACTGGGACCGGGAGTCTGTCCGCTATATCTCTGCCCCTACCTCGAACGCGATCCCCAGGGACCTTTCTGGACCTCTCGAGAATGGGTAATCTCGTTATTGAAATCTGCCAGCGAGGACCTCCAAATACGCTTGAAAGAAGGAACAGGGAGTTTTGTCCAAGGGCCCGAAGGGGTGGAAGCAATCACTATTCTTCAAAGGTTAGGAGCACTATTGGATGCCTTTTTCCCACCCCATTCCGCCTCGGAACCTGAGCCCACCATGCTCTACCATCACGGTCTCAACGAGAAGAATATTTTGGTTGATGATGACGGCTCAATTGCTTCAGTCATCGACTGGGAATACATATCTACTATGCCACTGTTTTTGGCATGTGACTTCCCCGAATTTCTCATCGACGAGTCTTACAACACTAAGCCAGACATAGCTGACTATTACGAAGGGGATCATGACCCGCGCTATTGGACTCACCATAGACAATACGAGTTAACTCGGCTGAGGGAGGATTTTCTGGATGAGATGAGGCGACTGGAGCCAAAATGGGTTGAGATATTCGAGTCTACCCAGCATCAGAGAGATTTTTTCGCAGCCATTACTAGTTGTCGGGAACATTATGGGGAGCCGATGATGTGCGAGATACTTAGCAATTGGCTCACTGATATAGAATCAGGTGCGACGGACGTCATGGGTTTGGACGAGAGGGTCTTTGACGCGCTTAATTCGGCGGATACATTAAGTGAGAGGTCTGAAGACATGGAAGACATTGAGATGGGTCAATAGCTCTACCAATCATCGAGGTCTCATAAAAGCAATTTGATTTCAAACCTTTAATTAAACCATACTATCGGCGCTGAAGTGAGGTGAATGCCGGGCCATTGCTTCTTCTACAGACCTTCTACCTGGAATTTTGACCTGATTGGTGGGAACAGTTCGCAAGGAGCCATCATACAAAGAAGTTAGTTAAAGTGAAACAAAATTAGTTAAGTCTGGATGATAATTTCAATCATTGAATAGCTGAGGCCCCGTGTTTCATTATAAAAACTCCAAATCGGCCGTGACATCCCCCCGTTTCGCCTGCCACATGTCTACATAAGTTCTGGGGGTCTTTACAAACTGAAACCTGGATATATAGTCATGACGCCCCGGTGCCACACATCACACAGAACAGACAAGCTTGGTCCCCTTATCGCCCCAAAGGACAAGCCCATCCTCAACTATGTCAATCTTCGGCGACCTGCATGCACTCATGGTCCATCAGATGGTTGACACATTTACGAACGTTCGAAGATGGCAGGACTCTTCAAGTCTCATATATTCAAGTCCATCATATATGTTCATGAGACAGAATTTCATCTTATGTGATCTTTACGACTTTCCATTCGTTTGCGGCTCAGGTAAGGCCTCAATAATTTTCATCATGTCATGATCCTCCATAGCCGCAGAATATCTCTCGCACATGGCGAAGACACGCTCTTTACGTTGCAGTTCAAAAGGAGTGAGGCACCAGCTATTACTTGTCAGTTTGCTTCCTGCAGGTAATAATTTGAATCGAACAAGTAATTGGTACCTACCCAATACCAGACATGGCATTTTTCTTGTACTCAGTCACGACTTCCTCGTCCTTGATCGAGAGCTTGGGTCCGCCGAAGCGAGCAACAGCCTCAAGGTAGTGCTCAAGTATCTCAAACTCATGCTTCCGTCGCTCCTCGACCGGCAACGCACCCAGAATGAAATAGGCAACGTCATGGAAAACAGAGCCAAGCTGGACGGTCTGCCAGTCCAGGAACCGCGGCTTGCCGTCGCTAGTGATCCATGTGTTACCGCAGTGAGGATCACTGTGCGTCACGGCGAGGAACTTGGGGTTGTGAGTCTTGAGGTGCTTGCTCAGCGCAGCCTGGAGACGCTTCTGGTCACGGATGCTCTCAGGGAAGGGCGGGCGGTTTTCCCCGACGATCATGTCCCAGTTCTCGGTAAGCGACATGATGACGAAGTCATAAGCAGACTGGAGCCTGGAATAATCAGCGTCGTCGGTGGTTGCGCCCCAGGTGGAAGCGTGGAGACCGGCCAGCTCGACAACTCCCTGCTTGACCATGTCGACTGACCAGGCTTCAGTCGGCTCGCCAAAAGTGTTTTCCAGGCTAAGATCCTCCATGATGGAGATGGCCTGGCCCTGCTCTGTGTTCATGGCGGCCCACCACACCTTTACGAGGGCGACATTTGACAGCCTCGGGGCAACAATGTTGAAGAAGTTGATCTCGTTCATGTACGCCATTCTGAGGGCCTCCTTGTAGCCCTCCATGTTTACCATCTCCGGGTTGAAGCCTGCCGTATCGTTAGCAAACCGCATTGCCAGTGGGGGCGAGCTTGCCGTGGGGATGCCGTACCTCCCTTGAGGCAAACGTGCTCAGGGCGGTCGTTGCCAGCCGGGCCATCTTCGTATGTGAGAGTGACGTAGACCTTGGATGCAGTCTGGTTAAGGATGGTCTTTGTGATCTCGCTAGTCTTGATGGGAAGCTTCAGGACGCTGGAAAGCCACTCAGTAGTGACCTCCTCAGGTACTGAGGGAAGCTTGCTTGTGGTAGTAGTCTCTGGCATTGTTGTAAATCTAGGATAATGATGGCAGGGGTATTTCTACAGATCTTCGAAAGGAAAAGGAGACAGAATCCGAGCTTTTAAGAGAGATTGGATCAGCGGCAATGGCCATGAGGAATGGGGAGGAGCTTGCTGATATCCATGTGAAATGTCCAGCGGATGGATATATCACATACTTGCTATAGGTACATGCATCTCCTGGCTCTGGCGGTGAACAAGGACCCTGCACAAATCTATATGCAGTTTGGAGCTAAAACCAACGGAACTCTATCCGCATACATAATGAGTCTCCATAATGGCGGGGAGCCACATGGATACGTTTTGGAGGAGGTGAACCTTCCCTTCTCAAACAGTCCCGTCCTTGGCATGGCCCTACTTGTGCCTGGCGCTAGCTAGGCGCAGGTTGTTACCCTTGGCATGGCCCTGTATGTGAATGTTCAGCATCGTAACTTCTTGCTTTTAGTTGAGGTATTACGAAAGGAGGGGATTTCGGCCAGCGTGACGATGGCCACTTCTTCTGGCCGGCACAACACCGACGAAGCGGTGTTTCAAGATTTACCCGGGCATGCTCTATATTTGAATCTTTTGCACAATCTTTGATGGGCTACTCCGTGCATGGGGACGGGTTACTTGTAGGCTTTGGAATATCAGCCTTGTCAGGTCATTGGCAGCATGGGTACGGAAATGGCTGTGGATAAGCCCCATCAAACGGCGACCTGAGCCGGCGGCTGCCTAGAAAGGAATCAACCGAGCATGTTTTCCTAAAACTAGTACTCCGTCGAACCGTTTACTAGTGGAACTATCCGCAATGAGGGCCTCCCAAAGTGAATCAGTCCTGGATTCATCTCTTTCAAGCAGTTAGAACTCCAGTATGTGCCTTATAAGGGATTGGCTGGCGTGTTAGGGCCCTGTTAAGAGATGCTTAGCCCTCCGGCTATTTGCTCCCTGAGCTAGAGGCGTTGTAGATCTGTACCCTACTTAGATGGACTTTGCCACTGTCCCAGAATTCATTCAAAATACCATGGTTTGTAGATCCCCCAGGTCAATTAGAGTACTGTTTGTACAGAGTTCATAAGTGGAGAAGATACATCACTGAAGTCCTAACTGCAAAGAGATTGTTGACATCAAGCCAAGATAGCTAAGGCTGGGATTGCGGCTCCAACAACTCCAAGTCGGACCATCTGGCTCTGAACAAGTTCTCCATTAGCTGAACAGCGTCTACCAAACATGCGAGCACCATGGATAAAGGCCGGCTACCATCCGCGCGCCACGACGGGGTCGCAGTAGCCCTTTACATATTAGAATGTGGCCAACATCCCGGAAGAAAGTGTCCTGAGTTTTCTTCCCCCCTGGTGCAAACTTCCCACCTTGGCCGAATGAGGGCGAGTGTCCCCAATCAACAAGGATCACAAGCCTCGTGTCAGAAGTTCACCATTGACTCCACTCCCACCCACTTTCCTGTGGAGCTGGGAGTCTTGGCTGGATGATTCTTCGCCTTGGTATATATCTGCCAATGATCAGCTCAGAATCGTGCAAGATTAGGAGTTTCACCACCAGGACCAGGTCTGCAAGTCCTCAAGCCGGGATCTTTGTCGTGTATGTAGAAATCAATCATACCCCTTGATCTCGACAAGAGATCCAAGTCAGTAAAAAGGGGCATCCGCTTTTATTCGTCTCTTTGCCTTGAAATTATCCATTTGAATTCTCCGTTCTTTTTCTCTGTTTGTTTGTGGATAGCACCGCGTACCAGTTCTGCCAACTGCCCTAAACCGTGACAATGGCCGAGGCCCGAGAAGTGCTCTGGCCCATTGGGATTACCTTCCTCATACTCAACATCCTCGGGGTCGGGCTTCGATTCTGGGCAAGGCAGACTAAGAAGGCTTTCGGTTACGATGACGCCGCACTGGCGCTCTCGTTGGTAAGCTCAATGGTTCCTAGGCGATCATGAGCCAGTTTACTTACCACGCGTTCCAGGTCGGATTCATTGTGTTTGTTGCAATGGAATTTGCTGCTCTCCACTATGGTATCGGAGCGCCTGCTGAAGAGGTGAAGCCGTATCATAATCCGATAAGTGCGGCAAAGGTTGGCAAAACTGTTCAACCACTATCTATCTGACGGCTGACTCCAAACGCAGTACTATACGATTGCCGCGATTGTTTATATTTTGACGACTGGGGTTTCAAAAGTCGGTGTTGGCTTGGTTCTTCATCGCTTGTCCTCAGGGGCTGATATGAGGGCGATCCAAATCGTCCTCGTTGTAGCGATGAGTGTCATGGGAATTGTTGCGTTGGTCATTGCTATCATCTTCGGCCTCCAGTGTCGGCCTTTGAGCGCAGCCTGGGGCGAGTCCGTGGGCACCTGTATTGCGCCGACGATAATTGGACAGTCGGCGATTGTCTTGTCTGCATTTGATGTGGCTGTTAGTTGGCTTTTTGCGGTACGTTGATTGCCAAACAGACAAACGATGGCCGAAACTTGAAAATGGCTGATATCCTACAGTTGCTCCCTGTCTTCATGCTTCGGAAGGCCCAGTTGAGGTGGAAGGTCAAGATAACCATCATAGTTGTCCTTGGCTTGGGTGCAGTGTTAGTTGAGGAAACTAAACGAGGCTGAGCTATCACTAACAGACTTGCAGGTCCTCCGTCGCTACCATCGTCCGACTCAAGTACGCTGTCCAAGCGGCTGACCTCACCGGCAAAGGCGGCGGCATTGCAGGCGAACAGCTTCTCCAAATCACACTCGAGGCAACCATCTTCTCCATGACCGAGATCGGGCTGAGCATCTTCGCCGCCACTCTCACGGCCCTCCGACCCCTCATCAAGCGCCTGCCATTCCTAAGCGACTTCAGCAGCGACGGACGAACACCTTCCAAGGGCCAGTCTGGGTCCCGTCCCATCGCTAGTTCGAACCACATTCGAGGGCCCAGCTACCGCCTCGACGACATCCCCCCGTCCGACGGAGACAGCGAAGAAAACATCATTGCGCCTCGCGTCATGAATATCAAAAAGAGCTCCCACGTCGAGGTAAACTACCAGAGGGACCCGAACCACCCGACGACAAGCGACTTCTACGCGAAGGAAACCCAAACAAAGCTTGGATGGGACCGCCAGCATTAGCGCGTCAGGCATTTGTTTGAAACGCCAGCATACTTGTGACTATGGAATATTCTCCTGTAAAACAATCGACATATTAATAGACTTATTTTCAAACCCACCGAGAGATCTCATTTGATTTCAGACGGCAGCTGCCGGAGTGTGACCGCTTTGATGAAAAGCTTAGCGAGTTCGGGTGATAGCTCGCAAAAAAGATTGGAGAGAACACTGCCCAAGAGGTACACGAACCACAAAATAGACGACGCACCTGACTTCGGTAGAGCGGCGAAGAGAAAACTTATGATGAAGTGCGTGTCCAATAATGCGAGGATATATGTCGGGCTTCTCTGAAGCATTGTGACTCGCTCTGCCTTGTCCGCAACGGACGGAACAAGCGTCACGGCTGTGGCTCCGCTCCCGATGATGACAATATTTTTGCCAGGATAGTCGTAGGCTTTGGGCCAGAACTGCGGGTGGATGACTTCACCCCCAAAGTTGTCGATCCCAGGAATATGTGCTTGAAGCGGCGTTTTATAATTATAGTAGCCAGTCCCGAGGAGCGCGAACTTGGCCTTGAGGATAATAGGCTCGTCTTTGCCAGCCACAGAGACTTCTAACTCCCAATTCATCGTCTTTGATTTCCAGCTAGCCGCTGTGACGGTGTGGCCATAGCGGATTTTGCTAGCTATTCCAGATCTCTGGGCGGCTTCGCTCATGTAGTTCTTTATGTCCTGCCCGCTGGCCATTGACCGGGGCTGGTTCCATGGATCCCAGGGCAGCCCGAATGTGAACATGTCGGAGTCGGAGCGAAGGCCCGGATATCGAAAGAGATCCCATGTCCCCCCAAGAGCGTCTCGGCTTTCTAGAATAACGTAGTTCGTGCCTGCGGATGTCTCGTTCTGCACTCGATAGGCAGCGTTGATGCCGGACATTCCCGCGCCAACAATGACAACGTCAAAGCAGGTCGTTGTAGTCGAGCCCTCCATCTTGCATACGGGGATTATTAGATGGCTGTTCGAAAACTGCTCACCGCCGCACGATTTATTATGGCGCAATTCTTTAGTGGGTGCTATCAGAACGAGAGCGAATATTTAAGCTCGCACAGAATTTGATTCTGATAGCTGGTACAGTGGGCAATAGAATCGATAAAGCGGGGAAAATACCACGCTGGAGAGTAAACGAAGATCCGAGTGATGCTATGTAGAATCAAGGTTGAGGTTCGAGAGAAGCTGGCCACAGGATAAGTGCGGCTTAGCTTCTCAAGAAAATGGCACTTTCACATTTATTCACGTCCAAACGAGTGACATAGATCTGAGCGAAGGCAATGGTGAGAGTTGGATATTGATCCTCGTGCAGGGAAATAGGGTTGCGCCGAGGCTCCCACGATACGTAACTTCAGCTGATACTCGTAGCGATGCCAGCGAAGCTCGCAAGAATGACCCCAAAAGGAAGTGCGCAGCGCTCCTTTGTGTTACCGAGGTTAGTGTATGCCATCATAACGATTCATGGACGTTGATTACTCTCAGCGATGAGGTCTAGGAATGCATCTGAACGTTGTCATGGAGATATTGGTTGTTAATCAAACCTAAACTATTTCTCAAAGTTGTATACGTATTGTATCAGATCCCGCCATCATGTCAACTAACGGAGAGCCTTTTTTCTCTGTTGTTTTCAATACACGAGGAATGGCTTTGATATTGTGGTCAGGTTCTTTCTGTTCGGAATGAAAGCTATCGAATTTTGCCGTCTGCCTTGTAAGACAAAAATATAAATTGAATCTCCGATGTAGAGAGCTGCATTTCAGCTACTCTTATCCTTCGTTATATGACGGGCTGCTGAAATTCCAATCCCATTTTGAACAATCTCTTGTAGCCATAATGGAAGACCCCTAAACCTGGAAATGATCCCAATATTCCGGGGAACCATCACCTGCCCTCCCTTCTTGCTGAGAACTTGGCCGACAATCTGCTCAGCAACCTTCTCCGCAGGAAGCATTCTCACGCCCGTGCTGTCAAGAACGCCTTAGATGTCTTCAACAAGCGCCGTCTGCGCAAAGTAAGGGTGGACAATAGAGGTTAGAATACTGGGCGTTTTATATATATTCCGCAGCTCTACCTTCAGCGCCTCATGAAATGAAAGCGCTGCGGCTTTGGTGCTACAGTAATCGGCTGAACTTGGGAGCGTCACGAAAGAGACAGTGCTGGCAACCGTCATCACATGCCCTTTATTCTGCTTGATCATGTGTGGGAGGAATTCCTGTGCTGTTAGCCACAATACTGATGGAGTTGACACCAAACACCGTGCGTACTACAGAGGGAGGAGTTTGCAGGATGGGGGCCGGCCGTGTGTACCCGGCATTGTTCACAAGAATTGATGGATGTCCAAAGTTCTTACGGATGCCAGCGGCGGCAGCAGCGATGGAATCTTCAGAGGTGATATCGCAACTGTAGTGGCGGATTCGGGGATTACTTTCCAGAGCTTTTGGAAGCTCCTGGACATCGAGAACAGCAACTCGGACGCCAGCGGCAGCAAGCTGTTCACAAATGTGCCTGCCAATTCCACCGGAGCCACCCGTGGCGACGGCGACTTCACTCGGCCAGTCCCAGCCGGTGGCAGCAGTCAGGCGGAAGTTGTTGGCGGCGATGGAACTCGCAACCTTGTTGAGTCTGTCAATGACGCCAAACAGGACCAGCGCTTTCAGTATCCAGACGAGCTGCGGTGAGTCCACAAGAGTGGGGGATACGTGTAGCCAAGGGAAGCGCCCAGCAAGGGTTTGCAAAAGGTGACGGACAGAACCGGGCGCGAAGTTTGAGGGCAGCGAGTATTGGGCCATTCAATAGGGGAGAGGTGATGGCTCTTTGAAGGGAATGGAGAGCATCCCAGCCGGGTGAGTTCATGGTGACTCAAATTATGGCTGACCAGTGATTTCTACAGCGTCTGATCTATTGTTGGCTAGAAATGAGCCAAAGTGTGCCGCGTAGCTTGATGTGAGGCGAAATTGAATGAGATGTTAGGACTTCAGGAGTTGTGATAGACTTAAACAGCCGACTACAGCGAGGAATACAGGCAGATCGACCGTGGGCACAGGGGTTATCTTATGCCACTTTGTTTCAGTCATCTGCCCATCTGCCTCGGCGGTTGCTTGGCCGGACAGGGGCCAGTCCATTGCATTTCATTCTCATGCTTTCACGCTACCCCACTGATGAGGTAGACAGGCGAAAAAAGGCATGTTAATTGGAGTGATCCGGGGTAAGCCCCAAGTCTAAATCACGGAAGACGCCCGCCAACATTTGTAGAGTTGCGGACTTTCTGGCCAATTAATATTGAAAATAGACAATTAGAGATGGAAGATCATATTTCATCGAAGCTGTTACTCAGCAATTTCCAATACTATGCATGGGCTTGTCTTCCCATGATAATATAGGTATCGACAGATTCTTGGAAGTGCTCTAGATCTTCCAAGGCGAGAGAACTCACGGTCGAGAATATGCAGCCACTTAAATTTCAGTAGCATGTTACTGTTAATACCTATATGTAGGATAAAATAAGTCTATTGAATCATGCATCGTAGGGCCCATTAGTCCTGATAATATTAACCTCCGCAACTAGAACAGTGCAGCCAACAATCATGGCGATGGCAATGATAGGAAGGTTAACACGCGCAAAATCCAGGCTCCGAACACGAATATGTTTCCTGAAGAGAATGTCTCTCCAGAGAAGCCCAGCCAGGGAGGCGCTGAAAGAAGTGCTGAAAGCACCATAATTCACGCCCAGCGCCATCGCGTAAACCGTTGCCCAGAATGTGCGGTCACTTATTGAACTAGCATTGGGCTGTCGATGGATCTCTTCCCATGCCTGTATGACCCGCGAAAGAAGAATCGTGGTCCCGATATTTGTCCCGGCAAACTGGGATCTGAGTCAGTATCATCGAGTTATTGAGGAAGCTGAACAGGAAGCTCACGTTGCATAGAATCACCGAGATAAACCCCATTCCTCCAATTGCTCCCACCGTACCAGTATTTCCTACCCAATGGTCCCAGCCATAGGCAAACACAGGAACCCATCCTTTCGTGACAAGTGCCTGCACAAGGATAAACATGCAGAAGGCAAAGGGAATGAGTGCGAAGGGTAGATGTACTAATACAGTTGTAGCGGTGGGGAATGTTTCTTGTAGCCATCGGAATACATCTTGGGCAACGGAAACGAGAGTTGTCGGCTTAGTATGATCCCCCTCAACTGTGGCTGACAGAGTCCTAGGTATATTGCTCATTTCGAGGTCAGTTGGAGAGGGTAAAACTTCCTCCCTGACGGTGCTTAAAACCACTTCATTAGGGCGATTCTTATTCTGGGTCGCATGTGGCACTGAGTTCCAGATCTCGCTGGAATCCATTTCCTTTTCGGATTGATATACGGGATCAATCCCCTTGGAGGTGACTCCAGTGGCAGTCTTCTAGTGTTTCCTCGGTCTGAAGAACCCCATCTTGACTCTGGCGAAGATTGTTCTGGTCAGAGGAAGAAGTTGAAGAATCAACTACAGCAGATTTCTGCAGGGCGCCATGGGCCAAGGAGTCTCGTCTAAATTCCTCTTCTCGAAAAGCCCTTTCAGCCCTTGTGGTCTCGACATCTTTCCTGCCATTGCGGGCGATGTTGCGTGTCTCCTTTCTATGATACCATCCCGAGGCAATATCCCAGCAAAACATGACAAATGCCGCTGGAGCGGTGACATAACACACGGGATGTTTCCCTGTTTTTGTGCTCGCAGCATTCAAAGCTAATACCGTAGCCAAAGTCGCAGCCATGATAACCGCACCGAATGCTGCGCCTCCTTTGTCGAGGAAGGGGTTCATGATCTCCTCCAAGGAAAGAAGTTTTCCTTCCTCGTTATTAGCCAAATCAGCCCCATCGTCATCAATATGGCCTCTGGCGAAAGGGATATTTGGATTGACTGGCTTTTTGCCTTTCACATCGTCAGGAAGGTCGTGGATTTCAATTGAAGTAGGGATTAATGCATCATCCTCGAAGATGATATAGACCAAGAAAGGCAAAAGGATGACGCCAGTAATGACCACTGGTACCACCATGTTCGCCGTGTAGGCGATGAATTTAATATTGAAGGCGCCAGCGAGTACGAGATTCGTTGGATTTGAAGAGACGAGGATTGCTGATGCAATATTGGCGACTGCAAATTGGGTATAAATCCACGCACGCGGGTGCACTATGTTACGCGAAACTCGGGTCATGTAAGCCAAGAATGCCGTTCCAGAGAGGATAATCGGATCATTTCCAATAAAACTTCCTAACATAAAGAAGAACGTATAGAGGTAGCAGAATAGTCGAGGCCCGGCTTTACCACCCCATTTGAGGACCCTGAAGGCTAGATATCGGATAAGGCCAGACGCATCGATTGATATAGCAATGTAAGCCAGGGTGATGAAGAAGACCATGATGTCCAGGGGATCGATGTTATCTGTACCGATGGTTCCATCGTGGATCTCGCGTCGCCCAATTGCCCCGATGGCAAGTAGGAATAGGTCCGCGATTAGAGGCGCAGTGACCATATTCATCGGAGCTCTCAGCTTCACAAATGACTTGCTGTTGTCCTTAGGCGCATCTTTTGTTGAAATGACTCGAAGGCTGCTCAATGCGTGTAAGAAGCCATTGTAGAGGCTTTTTGGAACATATACTGGAACATGGAAAGGGAAAAGAACATTGATATCTTGAATGAGCCATTAAAGAGTTAACGTCTACTTGAGAGCTCCTGGACTGAGGAGACTTACTGGTGAGAACAAAAACAACGAGGGTGACGACTGATCGCCACTCAATGATTTTACCTGTATCGAGATCTTGCTTCATCTTGCTTCTTGGATCATTATCCGTCTCTTTGAACCGTGAAGTCCTTCTCTTGGGTTGAATTGAAACTGCCAAATTTACCCCTCTTTGCAGTCCCCAAAGTTACATCAACGATTATATGTCGGTTCTCGTCTGCATGCATCTGGCCACATCAATCAAGTACTCCGGCTTCTGAGATGAACTGATTGGGCCATTGCCTCCCTTGCATTCTGCTTATGTGAGAAATACACAAGTTCCAGAGCTCTAATGCTCCATTTTCGCCCTGCCAATGCTGGTGTACTATTTCTTTCACTTTATGCAGCCTTTACGCGCCCAAAGGGGATCGATAGACTGTACATCCTCTCGACTGACTCTCCTGACGCTTACCGCCATGCTGTAGTCCCCAGGGACCCGGATATTTAGAGACATCCCCCCAATCGAAATGATGGGAATGGTGGAAGCCTAACCTGTCTCACGCGGCTTAGACATGCTTGGGCACCGCCCATCGGGCGGGCGCCGTATAGCCCGGGCACGACCCGAGAGAAACCCTGTCACTTGTTGCCACATTCCGACTTTCTCGAATGGTGAGGCCCTGAGGCGATCCTCAGCCCTGCTCTGCAACCCCGTGGTCAGTCTGTGTTGCCCTCCATCCCACCCACCATTACCAAAGTTCACTTCAAGGATGCCGCAGAGGATGAGGCCCAAACTCTCTGGCAGATTAGAGAGCCTCACGGGCCTGGGCAGTTTCTTTTTACAATTCTCACCTTAAAATATTTGGATGCAGATTTATCTACTTTCTAAGAAGTCCTACATGTTCCCAAGTGATGATATGTACCTTAAATCAAACCCTTTATCCATTAGTTTGTAACCAATATCATCATTCGACGCAGGAGCAGTCGGGCCTCGAGGTTTCCTCTGGCCAAGCCTAAAGCATCATGGCGCCATTGCCTATGGCAGACAACTCCGCATACGATCTGTCACGAGTTCTCGAACCTCGAAACGACACCGACAATTCTGGTGGGGCTCTGCAAGTCATTTGTGCATGGCCAGTCTCCAGCCAATATGGGCCTGGGTCGAGGATCCTGTGAGTCTTGCAGAAATTGATTCAATCCCCACATGCAACACACCAGCCCTGATGTTAACCGCCGCGAAATGGCTTGAGACACAGGTTCTATCTTCTCATCGCCGCATGTGTACTAGCTAGGAAAGCAAACTGGATCAAGGACGCCTGCTTAGCTGCGGCTCTTTTGCTACCAACGATAGCTGCGGTGCACGCCATTGCCCTGGCTGCCCTCCATCGTGAAAGTGAGACGGCTACAAGACATCGTTAGAGTCAACTTCTCGGCTAACATGATAATAGAAGCGGTAGATATGGACATCTATGGGGCTTTTCAGTATTGCTCGATAGGGGTAGTTGTCGCCCCTATTACTGTCCGGTTGTCACGCACCTATCTGTACGATCCTGGCAGAAACGCCATCTTCGTATGGGTGGGCCTTCTTCTTGCTGGTAAATCTTTTTCGGTGTCCTTTACGGTAAATGAGGCAATGAGATGCGTTCTGACTCTGAGTGTAGGTTTACTTAGCTTAACCGTCACGTTCTATCGCACCCAAACCTTCAGTTGCCCACTCGACAATGCCGGAAACCCTCTTTCGCCCCACGCTTCGAAGTTCCCCTACGGAGACCCCCCAAGTTGCGGTCTGACTTGCTCCGAGAAAGACGGCCCATTCTCTCCCATGCGGGGTGGCTCGGCCAAGAATGTATACATCATCCCAGCGCCGAGCGTGTTCACATTCGGCGCCGGCACGCTGTTGTCGGCTGCATGCTGCGTCCACGCGATTCTGTGGCTTATATCGATGGCGGATAAGATTCTTGAGATTAACTGGAAATCACAATCTCGCAAACTCGGCGATCAAGAAGATAGAAGCATTGACGAACCAATATCAGGCACGAATGGGGCAACAAAAAGAAGGATGAAGGATGTCAACGAGAACGTCCGATTCTACCTGAGCATGGCCGTGGTTCCGGTATTTGGAGGGGCAGGCTTTGCCATCCTTGTTGTTGGGGAAATGAATTTCTTCAGCCGTCAGGTTAGCTACGAGATTGAGCCAATGGCTGCCATTGGTAAGCTATCTGTTACTTGTCACCATTTTGCAGTGAGGAAGAACCAAGTAATTTCGGCTCACTGATTTGTTTTCACAGGTCAATGGGGCTCCATTGTAGGAGTTGGTCTCGCATTGTTGGGTTCGCTTTATCTTCTCCTGGCGGAGGACGTTGAAGACCTTAAGGAGAAGGAGAAGGTTGCCGAGGCTGACTGGTCTGGCAACCCGAATGCATCGCGAGATGCTTCTGTCACTCCACAGCCTAGCCCCCAAACTACCACGCCACAGCCTGGCTCCAAAAGCTTTGACCCAGAGAGGCTTGCCACAGGAAACACAGATCATCCTGGCGATCCTAATGAAACAATACCGAGCCAAGAGAATGGTACAAATGTGGGAAACGCTGGCAGGCAGAAGTTCGCCAAATTGATGCTTGCCTTTAGCAACTCGTTGGGCACTGCCGCCCACGAACGGCTTAGTGACTCTGATTTTCATCGTGGATCAGTGCTTAATTGGCCCGAAGTTCCCGGTGAGAAATTTAGAAGTAACAATCTGCAGGATATAAAGAAGATATATGATCCTCCCAAAGATCAAGACGGCAATGTGACTGCTATACCTCGTTCAAGTTCCAGAAACATTAGCTACTCTGATGAAAGCGGTGGATCTGGGAACGATAACAGGAGTGGAGAGAGACAGCCAAGTCCATCGAGACGACGTGCCCGTACTATGCCCACTGAGAGATCCTCATACCAGGCTCAGTCTGATCTTTCGCTCAGTCCTATTCCTAAGAAGGAACGGCCGAGAGGAAGACCTGCTCTACGGGAAAACATGTTTGGAACACCCTCTCGATCTCACGAGGAGTCAAACGACGAATCATGTTACTCTCCACTATCTCTCTCGCCCTGCATTCTTATGAGTGGGGGCCAGGGAGTAGACTTGGAGAATAATGGCGAGGGCTTTTCTTTGGCACAGAATTTGCCTACCATATGCCTGTCCACTGAATCTTTGTCGGAAGTGCCCCCCAAGTCTTAACGTTAGGTCTTAGGGACGGACGGGCGTGGGGATCAGGGAGGGAACAAGCTAGATGGTTTTAAGTCTATAATGATGAATTTGCTTCTCGATTTCGATGAAGTGTATCCATTGTGATCAGATATACCGCTTCTGAGGAACAACGGAGACAAGACAATAAGTAAAAAAAAGGATGAAGTGAGATGATTTACAATCTTGCTTGTTGTAACGCCGGATAACCTGCAAAGCTCTCTCACTTACTTCTACTCCTTCTATAATTCGTCGTTGAACTACGAGTGTAATTTCCTGCTGACGTATAAGGTGGATCAAATCACACTCTATTACATCTCTAGAATAACCTATTTGTATCCTCGCCCTAACTAAGCTGCGAAATCACTGTCTAGCGATCGCACTCCTCCAAGATTCTACCCACGTGGGATTTGGCGATGGAACGAGCAAAGGTTTTACCGAGGGAGGTCATCACAATCAAACCATCTCACGGTCTGTATCTGAAACTTCGGCCACTGCTGAGGGAAAAGCCAACTCAAGGATGAGATTTGTCAATAAGTGATTTCATATGATGTTCTAGATAAGATAGAGCACGAATGTGGATTCTTTCTTTCATCCACACCTTGGCTTGGCTTGAGTCGTCTTATCTCGAGATAACACGCCCTCGAGCCTCCTAGGGACACCCCTGTCGTATCAACACCACATCGAGATTGACAACTGAGCTCTTGAAAATAATTGTCAAATTTTCTGTTTAATTTTTTTTGGCTTTTTCTTTTTCTGGTTGGACGATGGGTAAAAGAAGTATGACATGTGTACAATGCCAGTGGTGTATAGATCTCCTTGATCTCTCACCTTGGGCGGCATTTGTCCCTTTTTTCCCAAAGGAAACCCACAGGTTCTGCCCTAATAAACACACAAAGCCGGTGCTCCCTCCATGCTATTATTTGGTCTAACGTATACATGGCCGTAAAAACAAAGACTTGGATCAGCATTGGGAATGCTGTAGCTGGAGTTCACTATGAAACCAGGGTGGACAATGGCGATGTTTCACCGCGTCCTTGTATGCACTGGCTACCGGCTACGGTAATATGCAGACGAAGGGGTCCCAGAGTCCAATGTGGACTGAGGAACAGTCCGGTTCGTCTAATGGCACGGGACATCTATGCCGACTCTTTGCACCATCGGTGCCATCGACATTGTTATAAGGAGCCAGTAGCCCTTAACCCGGGATGGGTTGATTCTCTTCGGTGGCCACATTGATAGCTCAGTCAAGACCTAGGTCATCCATATATAGCCAAACCGAGATATAATTCGCTCAAGAACAAACTAGGTTTCGTATATTTCAACGAAAAATTCGAAGTTCAACCCCGAATACACTAGTGGTTCTGGCCATGTCACCCATTTGTTTGAGGATGGGATATCTCCTGATACGTCGAGGTTTCTTTTCTTGCTTTCGACCGGGTTTCAGTGCCCTCATCACGCGACGTAGCATTTTCGGCTCGGAATATTCTCAAATAGAGTCGGAGTGAAGGTAGGATGGAGATTATGAGACAGGTATGCGCATCTGTCATGAAAAGAGCCTCTATGTTCTGGTGTTAGCCTCGATCTTGGTTGAGGAAGTGCAACTTACGATCAACAGCGTAGGTACTTGGTGGAGAAACCGGCGAATGTACGAGGAACCACCTTATAATGGTGATACTGATATTAATAAATCCAAGGCCAAAGGTAAGGCCTGCGCTGACCTTCTGTGCTCTGGACATCTGTAGCCGGCTAATGCAGACGATCGGTAGGATGAAAACTGTTATAGAGCTTAGCTCGGATGCCCTGTGGTTCCTAAACGTCTTATCAGAAGCGAATACATACTGCCAATGTCTGTGATGAAATGAAAAGCCCATGCCACAATATCTTTCTTGAATTGACGATCCTCGTCACGTTGTGCAGCATCCATAGACCTATACATCATGCCGTTGCCATTAGTAACTACCGCTCAGCCAAGGACGGACGGAAAAGGCATACCAGGTGGATCCAAAGGGGTCAGCGAATAATAAGAGGAAGATAGTGATGATGAATCCACTCATACAAAAGCCTGTAAGGATATATAACGAGATCCGGGTTCTCCGCGAGCGCTGTCCGAAAATTTCGAAATAGAGGGTAATGAGCGTAGCTTTGGTCAGGTATAGCTGGAGATAAAAGGTCGAATACGAGACAAAAATTATCTTAGTTCACTCAACCATTAGTATCGTCTTTCTATGATCAATCGTTAAGCTGCTGGGCACCCACTTTGAGAGCCCGGACCATCAAATCCTCTGGGCCGCTCCATGTATCATTGGTTTCCTCATACAGTTCAATTCCGCTGGTCCATAAGGCGGTGTCAATGGAAGTATTGACAAGTCCGACGGCAAGAGCGGAAAAGTAGAATATATCCCTAAGGATGAAACCTGATTGGTGATGATGAAAGCGTAAATCGAGGCGAGCGAGGCCCAGGAGGAAAGCTATGCCGATTAAAGCCCACTCGATGCCCTAATCTGAAATTAGTACGCGCGTTGGATACTCACCAATGGGATTCATACCATAAGAGCTCCTCCTGACAGCTTGATGAGCATTTTCCTTCAAGGTAGGACAATACGGTCCCGGGCCGTGGGTGAGAGTCAACTTCCATCGGTGCAGCCAAGTCCCTGCTTGGCGTGAATCTTGACAAGATAAGAAGCATGAATGGGGCGTGCGGGCTCTTGTAGATGCAGTTGCAACGGTAGAGTTCGATCTATACCCGCCGTTCTGGTCAAATATCCACAAAAGCCAGCCCTCTGGAATGCTCGCTTCCAGCTTACACCTCACCAATAGCGGGAGGAATGATGGCTTCCAACCTGCACCAGTCAAAATTTCCTAAGTTTAACGCCCGGAAATCTTTGGGGGCGGGGATTATAAATTAGTTCAGGACCGTGACTGTTGAGTCATGAGGTTGAGCGAGATGAGAAGAGGTTCCTTTCAATCGGATCCGTTGTGTTTCACATGAGCCTTAATGAATTTCAATCTACCTTAGGCCCCCGGCTACAGACTCATATTCTAGTAGACTGATCTCGTACCAAAGAAAATCAAGGTTCTCTGAACAGAGTGGCTTGGATGGTAGCGCAGTAGAAGAACCACTCCCCCGGATCTGGCAACGAACCCAAGAGCCAGCGGGGCGATTTGGTTTGCCTTTCTTCATCACTACGAGACTCTGCAATTGGTCTAGCCTGCCGTTCCCTTCCTCGATCGCGAGCCAAGGAGCTTGGACCACTCCCTAAACAACTCAGCGGTCCAAGGGCGCCATTCCAGTTGAACCCGTGTAACCGAGCGGAACCCATATAAAGCTGAGTGCTCCCCCTTCGACCCCTCCGGCCGTTGCTAGTAGAGTTAGTCCAGGCCCGGGGTAGCAGCAATATTAGATCTGATGATGTTCTCTTTCAGTTCCTGGTTATCCAAATTATTGACACATCTTTTTGAATGGTAGAAAACAGCCTACTGAAGTGATCAACATATCTATGGTTCTCTCCCATAACTTTTCGCTTATATCGAGGGTCCTAAGGGCCGGCTCTTATTCATTGTCCTTTGCTGTGCCCTTTCCCCGTCCCACTTCCCTCCCTCTTAGTTACCTCATCACACCTTTTATCTCCCAGTGAGAGAGTATGAATATGAGTTGGCATATTATGAGGCCAACAAGAATGGTCAACATAAAAGCCTGTCTATCTCTCATAATCAATATATGTAGTCTTCACTCATGAAACTGCCTGATACCTATTTTGATCACTCTGCGCAAATAACGCTGTTCCACTATCAGAACTAACTTCTTAAACCAACTTCAACGGGGCGTGTAAAATTGCTGCCCTGGATGCTATCTCTTGAGCCCTTATCGTCTGGTGGATCTTCTCAGGTTTGCCCCGTTGAGAGAAGTCCAGGGGTTGAGGGGTGCGACTTGGCATTGCGGGCACCAATCAAGACGCAATATCTTATCAACACGATGGTGCACTCCTCTTCACGACAGTGAGAATATCCGAGTGGTTCCTGAGGGGAGGCATTTTTAAAAAGATATTGAGAACATAAGCACACGCCCCCCTCTTATCGTTGCCAGATTGGGGTATCGAGTGGTCGTATATCTGCTTGTCTCAACTCTTAGCCTTGCTTCTGAACATCTCCCCTAGCTCGTTGACTTTCGTTGAATGCCCCGGACTTTCTAACGCTCGCTGGTCTTCCCGACGTAGAGGGCCCTGGGGAAACCAAACCTATCTCTCGTTTGGTACCAAATATCCCTTATCATACTCCTGGCACGGAAAGCAGTTGGAAAGGGCGCTTGATGCTAGCTGGCACAATTCATTGCTCGCAGAAATGACTTTCAAATCAGAGGCCATAGTTGCTCGAGGTCCCTTCTCTGAGGGAAAATGGGCAATTGAGCCCGTGACCTTGCGGGATCTCAAGCCTGACGAGTTGCTAATCGAGATGGTGGCGTCTGGCATCTGCCACACTGATCTACACTGCGGGAACACCCCAGATGATAAGGGAGTTCCAGCCGTCTTTTACCCCCGAGTTCTTGGCCACGAAGGTGCGTGACTCCCCTTCTCACACGGGTGTGCGGACACCATGTCACCAGCGGATTCGAGAGCGTTGTAAGGTTTTAACAGAATTAATAGGCTCCGGCTATGTGGTAAAAGTTGGCAGTGAGGTAACAAAAGCCAAAGAGGGCGACCCCGTCCTCCTATCATTCTCTTACTGCGGCAAATGCCATGTTTGCAAGACCGGACCACCCTCGCACTGCACAAACTTCTTTGAGATCAACTTCATGGGGGAGCCTGTCTTCTCTGACGGGATTGGCGGTCGCTTCTTCGGACAGTCCAGTCTTGCCCGCCATTCTGTCGTCAGCGACAAGTGTGTTGTCAATGTATCCGGCCTGGGGCTGACCAGGGACGACTTGAAGACATTGGCCCCTCTAGGCTGCGGACTCCAAACTGGCAGCGGCACGATCGTCAATGTAGCCAAGGCAGGGCCTGACGACTGCGTCACGATCGCGGGAATGGGCGGCGTGGGGTTGGCAGCTGTGATGGCAGCAAAGGAGAGAAAATGCAAGGCCATTGTTGGGATCGACCGTGTCGAGGCTCGCCTTGAGCTTGCCAAGTCACTCGGCGCAACTCACGTCATCAACACGACTGGATTATCGATGGAGCAAGTGACTGAGAAGATCAAAGAGGCTACCGAAGGGCTCGGGTCAACGATTTCCATCGATACAAGCGCTTACCCGCCACTCCTAGCTGCTCAGATCGATGGCACTCGGTACATGGGCAAGATTATTCAGGTTGGGACTGGCATGCCTGATTCAAACATATCGCTTCACATGCAGAGCTTCATGGTCAGCGGAAAGCAGTATTTCGGGGCTGTACAGGGTCACTCTAGGACCGAGAAGTATATCCCTGAGATGATTCAGTGGTGGAAGGATGGCATTTTCCCTGTCGAGAAGCTGATCAAACTCTTCGATTACAAAGATTTCAGTGGTGCAGTTTCATCTATGGGGAGTGGCGACGTTGTAAAACCTATCATTACGTGGTAATTAATTGAATTATTTGATGTTGAAACCTTCATTTGACTAACGATTTGGCGGTGCAATTCTCCCTTAAATCCCAAGACAAGGAACTGCTTGGAGGAATTCCCATGTCGAATAATAACGCTCCATGTCGTCATGATACTCAGATGACGAAGCCCAGGTTCTAACAAACACTAGGTCGTTATACATTCCAAAGACTCTCACTACTCCGGAAAATTGGGATCAGCGTCTCAAAATCGAGATTCATGGAGACCTAGATAGGAACCGAACCAGCTGAACTTCACACAACGGGGCCGTGGTAGGCACCGGCGCGAGAGCTAACGTTTGTAGCCTGATTCGGGTAGGCTGCGATATGATCTTCTCATTGGTGACAAAAGTGCTAATCGCGATCAGAAATTTGTGCTTGTGAGGCTTCTAGATGGCATCTACCAAGTTAGCGGTGTGCTTGGAGGATAAGGCACAAGCATTTTCCCTCCGCGGCAGAGCCTCCTTTGCTGTACTGATCAGGCAGGCCGCTTCGTCGGTCGTGGGGGAGGCACCGTGGGTTATGGATCGGGGGCCGGGGTTGTAAAACGCTGCGAGGCGAGATGCTGCTCAAGTTCCTAGACAAATGTTCATATAACGCTTTTAAATACTGTAATGGATCATACCTGATGCCCCTGGCTAAGCAAATGTCTCCTCAGCGCGGCCACATTGATATAGCGGGTCCCATATTCAGGGCACTCCTCAACCCGACAAACATAGTCACCCTCAACTGACCAATTGATGGTGGAGCTGGGTAAATGGGAGTATAGTCGATCTACCTGCAGGGACAAACGGGGCAGACGCTCCGCCACCTCGAAGTTCACGGCCGCAGCCGCCCAAATTTCGTCCACTGTTACCATACGTTAGCAGATCCAACCTATTTGACAAGTAATCCTCTGAAACAAGTGCTGGAACATTGACCCCGTGGTAATAGAAGGATCATCACGTTTGGAATTGAGACTAACAATTGACTTCTTCCTCTTCCTCTTCCTCTTCCTCTTCCTCTTCTTCTTCTTCTTCTCCCCAACCATGGGCCTGCCAGCACCCAGGCGGCAACTCTACGTCCGGCCATTCGGAACCGGGCGCGTCGGGATCGATGGAAAAATCGGGCTCCGGGATTATATAAATTGAGGCTTCAGTGCCTCGCAGGGGGAGAGACTCCATCTCGACAAACGGGGCAGGAACGAAGGAAGACGCAGGAAACCGGCAGGAAACACACCGTCCAAGACGAAGAAGAAGGAATGAACGAAATTGGGAAGGTGCACTTTCTTCCTTCCCAAACTTCGTATCGCATCGCGATAAGGACCGTGACGCGACCGCGTCAATGACATCATAGTTTAGAGCCATTGAGTGCCAAAGAGAACAAGTTCCTATGCTATCTTGTCTTCGAGGTAATGCATAAAATCAGACCATTTGAGAACTTTGATTCAGCATCTCGTCTGGGGACATACATCGAACAGCACGATAAAACCCAGCGCAAGTGGCTTTTACTCCGCCTACAGCATCCCAACTACATCTGGCCTCGGCTTCATCAAACACGAAATTCTGAAGATGCCATTGTGAATTGGCGTAAGGCAACGAACTTGGTCCAGTTGTTCAAGGGAATCGAATATGTTGGATATGAAATGAATGGTTTCCCACGACGAGTTTGGTTTGGAGACAAGCACATTGTGACGCTAGAAGTTAATTATCTCGAACAAAAGACACCTTGGATAAGCCGACCAAGACAGACCCAGCCTGTCCCTCGACGAAGAACGTTCGAAAAGAACGTGAAAACTATCAAGGATACATTTGTAGATGCCAAGACCATCATCAGAAAGGAACGCCCCCTCCGTTCGATTCAATATTTTGGTTTGTGGTTGATTCCGACTTATTGCGTATGAATGCGCGGCGGAGAGAGACTCTTTGCGACCTGTGCAGTGTCTCAAAGAGAAAAGTAGAGTCCAGACAAACTGGGTGTCTTCTTTGGGATTGTATCCGCGATAACAATTGTACTGACGTTTTGGTTTGTGTCTGTTACTCGGCCCTCAACTGGCCTTGTATATTTTCCGCCACAAGCATACCTTACTTACGAATAAATGGGAAAACCACAAACCATCGCTAAGCCAGAACACACCCAAACACCCCTGAACATGTGCAGCAGAATGGAGTGGAGATTCATGACATTTTATCGGTCTTTGACCCCTGCAACATTGCAAACCGCTCAAACAATTGCTGCTCCATTTGAAGGTGAGGAGAATCTGATCAATTTTGCGTTCGACGCGACTCTGTACATCGCCATGGAGCCCGTGTCCTTGGCGCGTTGCGAGACCAACGGGACATCACGCGTACCGAAGCCCTGATAATTCTTCGACAGTCTACGTCAGCGTTGTCGTTCCTCCATGGCCATCAACCGATGTCCAAGAAGACGAGCAGGAGGCGGCTGTTTCGGAGGAAGATTTGGAGGAAGATGAGTAGAATTCTTTTATATCTATACCACTCTTTGGCTATAGAGAGAGTCCAGGAAGTGGTATCATGGTTTACGTTCATGATTTTGTAAGGGATGTGCTTTTATGGTGAAGTAGTGGTTCTACGAGAGAAAATCCAGTAGGAAATGCACCATCTAGGAATTGGAACGATAAAACGAAAGAACGAAAGAACGTACCAGGGACAAAGAAGATACAGGGGGTGAGAGAAAAAGCCGACAGAAATTACGCAGTCTTGAATTAGATAGAAGGAAGAATGAAAGAAAAAGCTGCAAAATAGAGGACTCATTCAGCTTTTTATATGAGTGTCTGGAGGTTGAAAAGAGCAGGGTAACTTCCTTCCTACCCAAACTTCATGTCGCGACTACAATAATTAAAATCATTGAGTAATTGTTAGATAGTATTATGTCTTATAATACAATAGGAAGCATTATTATGCGACTTGACTGCCACAATAATTCTGTCGAGGTGACTTTGCAGTCGCTATTTTTCTGACAACCACTTGGCAGGGATGTCGACTGGAAACACTCCACGCAAACTAAGAAGCAGGGGGTGTGATCCATTTGCTGACATGCAGCAAAGAACTAGTTTCTTCCTGCCACCGCTTTTAGAATGCTTGACTCTAACATCTTACTTCCCCGCCTGGCATCAACGCAATAACCCGAATCAAGTCTATTCCGCCTCATAGAACACGATGACGCTGCCCGCCAATGCCGCCATAGATTCAGAAATCAGCCGAGAAATTGGCCAAGTATGGAAGCAAGTCGAGAGCCGAGTCTTGCAGATGGCGGGCGGGGATGAATCGATGCTGGAGAAGGATCTGACCATTGAGAGCGTCATTTCTTCCCTGAATCAAACTCAGGCAAGCAACAAGAAGGAAGCAGAGAAGTACGGCCAGGTCAGGAACGTGTTCCAAAGAACACTGCAATGTATCCAGACCGTGGGAGGCATTGTGACGACGGGTGTTTCAACGGTGAGCACTGGACCGACCTGGGCAACCCTCAGGGCCCGGACGCGTCAACCACCAGTATCAATGCTAATCGATCGCTGTGTAGGTATTCGCGCCAGCTAGCACTTGCTATAATGCTCTGTCGTTTGTCATTCAGGCTTGGCAGGGCTATGAGGGCATTTTCGACAGTCTGACCTCTCTTCTCGAGAAATGCATTGAATTCATGGATCGCTTGAGCATTTACGCACAAGGTGGAATGGATTCTAAGCTAACGATGGTCGCCTGTTTACACCTCCAAATCTTCGTCGAGATATGCGATCGCTGTCTGAAACTGAGACAGAAGCGACACAAGCTTGCGGCCTTCATGAAACAACTGTTTCTCAACGACGACGGCGTCCAAGGTCTTCTGGCGAGCATGAGCGGGCTGGTTGATAAAGAGCGAGGGCTAGTTGCTGCCCAAACTTGGAAGTCAAGTATTGAGGCGGCGGAGAATTCAAGAGACGGATTATCACTCACCCGCAAAATGCATGCTAGCCTCATGGAGGACAAAAGTATGCTGAGGAAAGAGAAGGATATCAAAGTATGGAAGCAGAGTATTTTCACGACTTTGAATTGCGCACAAGACATCCTGGAGGATGCCTCAACGAAGCCTTGGGATGAGATTTGGAACAGATACAAGTCGAGTATCCTTCAGGATACCGGCGAGTGGCTTTTCCAAGATGCCAAATTCACCTCATGGCTGAACGGTAACGACAGCAAAGACCGAATTCTAGGCCTTCAGGGTGAAGCTGGAACTGGAAAGACTCTTCTGGCGGCCAACTTTATACTGAACATTCGAAAAGGAAAGCTGAAAGCCCCCGAATATTTGGGTTCCAGGGTTGTAGTCGCCCACAACTTTATGGATATGGAGACAAAACCGACAGCCGTGGATGATATCAACTCAAAAGCCGTTCTCATGTCAAGCAATCTGATTTGTCAGCTAGCCTTAGCTGATGAGTCGTTGATGAAGAGTATTGCGTCGATATGCGATCGATTAAAATACCTAGAAAGCCCCAAAGAGATGTGGTCTGAGTTGTTGTTCGACAATGAAGACCTTCTTTCTATGGATATCACATTGTTCATCGTCTTTGATAGAATAATCGGCAGCATTCGGCATTTTTGTCAGATTCTTCAAGGTCTAATGAACAGCCCTATTTCAGACCGAATTCGCATTATGATTACTGGAAGTAAAGACTTTTTTCGCGAGCTCGAGACGGTTGGTGGTATCAAAGTTGCGAAAATACCACTGGTACAATCAAACGAGTCAGATATTGAGATCTACATCAAAGATAGGATGGACCATATGGACATTCTCAAGGAGAAAACTCCAAGTGTGGTGGATATCAGAGCGCGAATCCTCAGAGAGCTCCCAAAGTCCACTGAGGGTGACTACCATAAGATTAACCGAGTCCTGGATAACATCAGTAAGACGGATGACCCTGACGAGGTCGATTTTCAGCTTGAATCTGCACGACGTCCGCGGCCAGAACAGATCGAAGCAGACATACAGAAGCTTAACCAATCACTGTCCAAAAGAGAAATCGCTGAGATAAATGAAATGATCCTCTGGCTCAACAATGGCATGTTGGTAAAGGTCGACTTGGCTATGATAGAGGCTGCTATTGAATTAGGGATGGGGGATTACGTTTCACCATCCCTGATGTCGATGAGGTCCAAAATCAAGTCAAAATACACGCTTTTCCAGGTGGGATGGAACGACACCGTCGAATACAAATACCCGGACATTGGCGCTATGATTCCAAATAAAGCTTCGACCCGAGGCAGCCAGATCCCGAATGACGATACTGAAGTGAGCGCAACCGAGATCAACATCCTGAAGCATTACCTCTCAACGGTATGCCCCAAATATCTCTACGACAAGGTGGGATTTGAAGATTTTCTCGAATCCAAGCTTGTCAGCAAAGGTTCTCAAATACATCAAGACTTGGAAAACGCGAATATCCTTCTTGCTCTGCGTTGCATGAAATGCCTTGTTGAAGAGCGAAGTGAGAAGACCCAACTGTTATATGAGCACAGCCAGGCGTTTTTGATTGATTATTTGAATACGACCGATCTCTCATTAGCTGATAGGGAGCTCAAGTCAGAGGCTGGAGTAATGCTAGTGCGTCTGTTTACTGAGCAATACGCAATCGGGTCGTTGCTCGGATTCGAAGACTTTAAACCAGTGATTAATACCTATTTCCGTTATGGCGACGAGTTGTTTCCATACTCCTGGGCATCTTGGGTATTCGGCCAGGCAGGAGTGGTCTGTATCTCACGGTGGTTTAGCGATTCTGCGGTCATTGAAGATGTCAAGGACAATCCGATTATTACTGCGTTCAATGACCCAGATGCGGACCATCGGATGGTGCTGCTCAAGTTGGGCATGCTTAGAGCTGCCAATGATCTTTTCCAGAGGGACACCGCGGAGAACGAAACTCGAATGGCTTTCTTCTTCTTATACTTCTTGATCACCAAGGTATCTCACCTTTTAGGCCACTTTATGCACGATAATGTTTGCTAATAATCGCCCAGAAAAAGCTACCACACCTCGATGGGGCATATTCCGCTACATATGAGATGTTTCAACTAGTTGAGAATTGGTCGCAAGCTGCCCTAGAGCTCGCAGAGAAAGATGCACTGTGGGAGGCACGCGCGGTTGATGTGATCCAAAGCGTCACCCAACATCTCCCACCACAAACACGGGCTGAGTGTGTCAGAAGAGCCAAACGAGCTGTGGACTTTGATCCAAATTGCTGGCAAGGATTATATGCGTTGTCAAGAGCCGGAGGCCGCAACGAGGAAAATATCAATATTCTAAAGGGCGTTGTGGACAGGTTGATAGCGGATGAAGGGTGGACAAGTCAGCCTCGAAACAAGATCATTCTCACCAGGATTTTACTTGACCTGACACTGAGCTTCGATCACGGAAGGGATGAAAGATGTGAAGAAATTAATCTCAGAATCTTTGAAATCGACAGATCTCCAGATGTCCTGGGCAAGATTTGTCCCATCTTGGAGATATACAGCGAGCTCGAGAAGTGGGATGCCATCATCACCTTTTATGAGCGGCTGTTGGAGGAGCCGGACAAAGATCAAAACACCACGGGGGCCTTCCTGGCGCAGAATATTGGCGAATACCCTTTGGTCGATGTTACCTTTCAAGCCATAAAGGCGAGAAACAGATATGATCTTATTGAAACTCTGTTTAACAAGGCCTACGCAACCGAGCCGCCATCGCAAGAATTGGACAAACTGCGACTCGAGCATGGTCGAATGCTAACTCGGCTTGAGGGCTACGAGGAGGCCGGTCTTTCAATGTGGGAAGACTGCCGGCAAATTCCGCAGGATGAAATTAATAGATTCCGCAACGGCTTGATCAATGTTTGGATCAAGCTCGCTTATCGCAAGGGTGCTTCTTCTGTAGATGCCGAGTCCTATCACACAAAACTCCAAGCGTACTACAGCGACTTTGAAAGCGACATCGTTGGAGACCTGCAGAGCTGTGCTTCCATGGCGCAATACTTCTTCCGCACGGGCGATGAACAAAAGGCCAAGGAGTTACTCAAAGGCCATGTCTCCGGTGCGCTGGAGATGTTGGAGGATGATGACCTTGACAATGACACGGTGTCTCTCTATACTCTCAGCGTCGCCTCTTGCGCCATGAGTGATTTACAAAACGCTCTCGTGGCTTGGGAGCTGCAATACATTGCTTTCAGGGCACAGAGACATGAGAATAAACGAAGGCAACTGATCTGGAGGCAGAAGCAAGTCGCTGAAATGAAGGACTCGGAAGATCTAGGAAAGCGCGCAGGTGAATCTACGGAAGAGGGGCAGGTTGCCGGCCTTGGTGAGACCGACTTACTAGATCACGATGAGATCAACGGAAACGAAGATGGGGCCCACGCTTCTAAGCTTGTAGCAAAGCTCATGGAGGAGGAAAATGAGAACACAGAAGAAGTTTGGTGGGACATGGGGAAGCAGCTAGCGGACGAAGAAATTGATCCCATGTCCTTGATGTCATCCGGGCTTACATATTGTCACAATTGCCGCTTTGTTAGCTGGAATAATGCGGGAATGTGGCTCTGTTTGACTCATGCCGGACAGCGAGTTTTCCACGACGACTGCTACAAGAAGCTGATGGACGGCAACGCCCCTGCTTCCGAGTGTAGCAAAGACGACGAATTCTACCAATTTCCAATGAGGGACAAGGAACAAGCCAAGTCGTTACCGAAAGGATGTGTGTTGGTTCAAGGCGAGGTTGTCGAATATGAACGCTGGAAAGCTGAGATCCGGGACAAGTATGTAGAATTCGAGTAGTTGAGAAGAGTCGATGAATTGGAGAGCGCCGTCTCATTTCCTTTCGAGGCAAAACCCTCAGGGACCAGAAAATGGGGGCCTGTAAATCTTGTAGAATACATACCTACTCAGCCATCACTTGCTCGCTGTCTGGTAAATTAGACATCCACTGCCACATAAAATACAACGGCACCCTGATGGGAGGATAATTTAGGCTTTTTAAGCTAGACGGCCTTCTTTGAGTCTTTCTAATCCACGAGGCGACTTCTTGGTTGGAAATACATGATTCAGGAAGAAAAGAGCACTAGTTCTCGCACCCAGCTATGCAGTTCAGCAGAAGAGGTCTTAGAGAAAATGCGAATAGGTAACAGTGCATGTTTAAGTTGACTCAATAACCAAAAGCAGCCAAGTTACCGAATTTGAACCAGTTTTACCACCCATGAACTGAATTGCATGAGTAAACAGAAGACTAAACAACGTATTCAATGTCATAAAAGCCCATTGGTCATCTGATAGCTTTATTTGGACCCCTGAAGCTTTGGGGAAGCTTTTCTATGAACATTTTATAACCAATAGTGGTTGATCTTGAGAAAGCAAGAGCTTTTACGCCTCGGTACTTCCTCAAACTCCAATCTAGGTGCATACATGTCAGTCTTTTACTCTATATTGACTCACTGCTCATCTACTAGGGCTTGTACCAGCCCAGTGTTTTACTGCCATACATCTGCCACCATCTCTGAGATCGGCCGGGTCCATCAGCTCTTGACAATGAGATCCGCTCGTGAAGGAGTTGGGAGCCGGTCTAGGCCTTGAGCAACGCTGCGATAAACCCGTCCCCTAAGCGTTCAGCCCAGGTCTCACCGACATTGGCCACTTCAGCAAAAGGCCGTATCTAAATATACGGTATCACAACTTGCTGTACACTGTTGTCAATCTCAATCGCTCGCGACAGAACGAACTTGTCCTCCCAAATGGCGAGCTTTTAGAGAGATTTCCCGCGCAGACGAAGCTGAACACGCTCTCCGACAGACGCCTCTATGTCTATACTTTCTCAAGACTATCTTACTCGCCCACAGAAGACAAAGGCACGACAGCGGCGCGCTTTCACTGCAAACCGCGATCGTGATCAGAGGCAATGAGCTAGCCAATCACAGTGCGCGCATTGGTCAGCAGTGTTGAATGGCTATTTGCTGACTAAGCTTTCATCATATCACGTGACCACAACGTATCAACACCAGGGAATTAGGCAGTGCCTATTTGGCCCAGTGCATAGCGTCGACTGCGCAATTCAATGTCTATGGAATGATGGGAGAAATAGCTATGGTCACAATGAAGATGATGCCGGGGGAGACATTCTCCGGGTGGTAGATCGCATGCGCACGAAAGTTACCGGTTCAAGAGTGAGCTACCCTAGACATCACCGCAGGTCAACTTTTTGCCGCAATGCCAAGTGGAATGCTCACTAGTGGGGTGGCATTTTTGTCTTTAGAAAGTTCCATTAGCTAGATTATGTAGATACACTTAGAGAGATAACATTATGTGCGTTTAGATGTGCTTCAATGTGCTTGCAGTCAAATTGTCTCTAATGTGGCTTTAACGAATCCTAGTGTGGTGGGGAGTAGCGAGGTACGTAACGGCCCACCTGATTTACATACACATCAAAGTACCAATACCTGTGGGCATTCTGCACCAAAACGCAACAAACATGCTTCCGCCGCTCAACTTTGGAGGGAGGTATTTTAGGTATTGACAATATGATGCCAGAATTGAGGTATACTTTTAAGTACAGGCACTGCCAGTATGCTCAGCTCACGCTTGGGACAAGCCTAGAAAGCGCACGGCATTAGGTATTGTGAGAACCGCATGCATCATGATGACTGCGGAGCTTTACCCACCCAAGTGGGTGCCAGAATAACAACTGCAAAAAGGTGCTTGAATCCTAAGTTCCCGAGATAGGCCATAAAATTAATAGATTATATTTAGTGACAACAATATCAACAATAATAAAGCATTGATTAATAATTAGGGAATATTCTCTACTTGCTATTATACAATAGGTAGGAAGCATTATGATGAGACTGCATGCCATGATAATCCTGTCAGGCGACTTTGCAGCCCCTGTTTTTCTGAGTGACCTGCCACCCTAGCCTCCTTAGACACACAAGTGCTCTTGGACGAGCAACGGCTATTTTTAGCCTGAATGATGCTGTGGAGACAAACATAGTTTAACTGGACGTCGTGATGGAGGCATGGAGATTCCGTGGTCGAGCTGTTGAGGGTAGCGAAAGAAGTGACTTTACTTTGATAGGGATCTCCACTGAGGATTAGGTACCGTTCTGTGATTGCTAACCTCTGATAATTGCAAGTATTGTGTCCGTTAGTTGCATAAGCAACAGCGGGGTCATATTGGTGAGCCATCCACTAATATTTAGCGACTGCCCACTGAGAGTTAGTGGATGAGGCGTTGCAACAGAGCTACTTGGATCTCCGGCAAATTTGTATAGAGATTGAAGTCACTAATGCGGGGTTGCGATGGGGTGATTTGATGATGCTGGTGATGATTTGAAATGGCAGCAAAAGGACGGGTCAGCTGGTGGACATAGGCAAAATAGTGTCTTCACCGTCGATTGAAGTGAGTTACAGGCCAAGTAAGAAGAGGTTGATACTGGTAACAAGCGTTTCCATCACTGGCGGTTTGTGTCGACGGTACGTGTAGACCCATGGACGCGACACCGCCAGCCGAAATCTCTGCTCGTGCTGTGAGGCGTAGAAGCAAGTCGAAGACGGCGATGGCGGGAAATCGCACCTGAGCCATCTCTTAGTGGCATGGACAGGAGATAGTAAGTGACATTTCCCAATTCTTTAGTAGTGACCTGAAAAGTCAAACTCCATTGACGTTGAACCTGTTCGTGGGAGTTGAACTCTTGATCCTGGTGCGTGGAACTTCGTGATTGATGCGCCATCAAGATCCAGCGACGACCAGTCTACAGTAGGCGCGGTTGCTCTATGAATAGAACCCCTTCTGCTCAGATGCTGGACCATGCAGCGAGATATCATTTGTGTACCATTCCAGTGATTCCGCCAAAGCCAGGTCCGACGGTCGATGATCGTGGATTCGCCACGACCACGCCCACCTTGGCTAGGCATTAGACCGCGCCGATGCTCTTCTGCACCGGGATTCCCTCTCACATTTCACGCCTTCACGCCTTCCTGCAGGGCTATAGCAGATCAGAGAGCTATCCCAGGCCGCCGATGGCAAATACTGTAGTTCTAGGCGCCCTATCCGTCCAAGGCGACGCGCGTTGTCGTGGATCACTCGACGCAACATGCGACAAACTGCCGTAGTTTGGTGCAACTCGTGATGCCCGACCAGACCAGGCGCGGCGTCGTCGCAGCTTGGCGTGTTGAACCATCGACACATTGGATATCTGCATTGGATAAGGCATGTATCACGGAAGGGGGACGCGGACACATTGTTGCTGGCCAGGCCTAGTAGTGGCTGGCCTGCACACATTCTACGCGCTTCGTGCAAGTTGCCAGGATGAAGATGTATTTTGCTCTGGCTAGGATAATAAATAGCTACGTATGTGAACAATCAACACGGGTGACCCCAAATGACCTCAAGTAGCAGATTGAGAACTCGGCCTAGGCCTACTCTCCGATGTTCTTCCCCCACGCAGAAGGAGAGGGACAAGGGAGTTCAGAAAGAAATAATATGTCAAGTACCTTGACAGCGCCCTGCTGTCGCAAGATTTTGCAATGGTCCTTTAAAGAACCATCATTGCAGCCTCCTGCTCGTCCAACTCCTCAGCAACAAGCTCGTCATCCTGATCATCCGTTCCGGAACTGGCATCCAGCAACACTGCCCCATCGGTCACCGTCTCCTCGCAAGGAACCATTTCGCCAGACAAGATATGCTTCCTCTTGTGGAAAAATTTCAACAAACGGATACCCAGAACGAAGTTGAATGGGTCGTTGGCCTTGAAATCAAGCTCTGCAGCCTTGGCGAGGCGGCCTTCTCCCTTCACCTCCGCGTTGAGTTCCTCGGTGCCCAGCGTAACTGCTGCTCCAGCACCTGCATCAAAATGCTGGCCATCAGAAGTGGAGTAGGTCGCTCCCCATGCGACCTTCAATCCGGTTATGAGATAGACCGGTTTCTGGTAGTGGGTGGCCTTGAGGTACGCATCAATATTCGGGAGTGCTCGGCACTGTTGGATGTAGTCCTTGGTTGGATTGAAGTAGATCGTCTCGAGTTTCTGGATGTGGAAGACATCACTGTCGGCCCTGATCCCCTTGAGGTTCGCATTGCCGCCGATGCTGCGGTCAAGAACCTTGGCTATGGTCTCCGTCTCATATGTGCGGGATGAGTAAACGCTTGTGTCAATGTTTGTTTTGACGGACGAGTATGACTTGGGGACAGGAATAGGGGCATTTTCATTGATGATAGCGTAATCCTTGGTATCCTCCACGAATTTGCCCAAGGCAAATGGTCCATCTGGAGGGGGAACGATGTCGAAGTGAGGGGCAACGATGTATTTAGGGTGCTGCCATCTCCGAAAGTCGTCTGCACAGCCACGACTCAGCATCTTGTATCCGCGTGATTCTAGTCTGATGTCGAAAGAGTATCTAGTGAGATTGATGAGAGCGGCGGAAACCACGGACAAGTTGTAGGGGGGGGAATGGAAACAGAGACCTGGGAGAAAGAGGGGTAGGTTAGTGTCACAGCGCAGAGTTTTCACCTGAGCTGATCAAGTGTAACAATACCTGGCCCTATTAGATGGCAAAGCCTCATGAGATAATCAAGTGTAACAACGCTGGGCGCCTTGGGATGGCGCGCGATGATGAGGAAGTGGCTCACACGGAGGCTGGGGGCTTCACGAGAGACATGCGGCGCGCGGTCAGTCTGAGAGCTGCAGTCAATGATTAAAAAATTTCCTGAAGAACACCATGCCACCCTATTATGATCGACCCAATGTGTATTTCCCTCTAGTGGCCGTTTCTATGCTTATGTATCAATCAATATGTGGACGACGCCTACTCCACTGTCGCAATTGCGACCAAATCCAACCTCTTTTCAGCAATCCAGCCCAGTAAATGCGTGCGCGAATCCATATGGCCCTATTCTAGATGTGCCGTAGGGCTTCCTCCACACGGTCCACTGCCCTTTGCACTGCGTCTGGCTTTATCCAATTGCACATTGATCTTGGATGGATGAAGTCAAAACCGCCTTGGCCTTTCACCGACATCACTTTCAAGACAGCCTCCATGCCCTTCTTCCTTCTCAGTTTCTCGACCTGCAAAGGCCGAAGGCCGGGTACCTTGGCCTCTATGAAATCCAGTATGCTTGCAATGAAACCAGCAGCGATTGGCGCGGCATACGAGGTTCCAGCTTTGAGTTCGTATTGGCCTTTCCAGAGGACGTGCACCCCATCTCCGAACGTCGAGAAATTTGTCTCGTTCTTCAACTTGAGGGGGTTCATATCGCCGATCCGACCCCGATCATTTGCGGCATGCATACATATAACGCCATCCAAACACGCTGGGCGAGCTCGCCCATGGAGGATGCCGCTGTTCGAAGCGGCAGCGACGACCAACACCCCCGCCTTGATTGCGTTGTCCACGGCTGTGTCGGCAGCCTCATTGGCCGTTCTATATCCCAGAGACAGGCATATGATGTCGGCCTTGATCTCGTTCGTGGCCCAGTTTATGCCCTGCGCACCTCGATGTTAGGACTCGCCAGAACTGGATGCTAATGCGAAACTCACCTCCGCCAGCCTCGGTAGCATGTCACCAAGATTGTCACGGGTTTCACATATTTTTCCGATGGTGATCTCCGCAGTGGGCGCAACGCGTAACGTCAGTTCCGCTACGTTTGTACCGTGCATGTCATCATCTTGACTCCAGCGAGAGCTGACAAAACTCTTCGATCCCGCCAGATTTATCTGCTCAGATCTAACAGCGTGACGAATGACCGTGTGCCCTAGATCTAATCCAGTATCCAAAAGAACGATCCGTTTCTTGCCTTTGCCCTGAGATGTTCGGCCGGCGTTGAAATCGCGTCGAATGTCTATTAGGCGCCCGAGGAAGATTTCAGTATCGCTAAAGAACGCTCTGGATCGCTTCCTGCAGGTCATCGTTAGCAAGAAAAGGGCGGTGGTGGACGATGGTTCAAGGTTAGAGCGATAGCGAGCTTACAGCAAACCTTCTTGGAGAGGCTTATCCTCTGCATCAAAGGAACACGCATTCTCGGAGGGGGTGATGTGGAATGTGGGAAGAGTATTGCATGGGCCAAAAATTGCCGTGGAAGCATGTTCGAGCTCATCGAAGCGTTCAGCATGGCGTCGCACTATAGGCCCGAGGATGTGCTTGTAGATGATGGCATGTATCTTCTCGTCCCGGGACAACTTGCCGTCTTCGAAATTTTCGACGAGAGTTTCAAAATCAAGGCATGAATGAGCAATTCTCTTGTTTTCGCCAATGATATTCCCCTTCCAATCATGTAATAGACGCCTTAGGCGCCTCCGATGTGACCCTGTGCGAGATCTTTCATCCGTTTTTGCCCAGAGCGCTTTGCATCCCGTTTCAAGTTCAAGAATTAGTACGCCCAATGCAGCAACGCTCTCAGTCAGGTCCATGTCCTCCGTAATGGGTACGAGGTCGCATGGCGCATGAAGATGCCACTGGCCAGGCGTTTGGTCGTGGGTAACTGAGAGAGAGATGCTCTCGGTTTGGAAGGGCTCCTTCAACCAAGGACTTCCGCAGAGTTGGAAAAACGTAGCCGCTAGCAGGAATGCTACTAGTGAGCTGCGATTAAAATCTAACTTCTGCATACAAGGTCTCTGCCTAACGAAGCTGAGGTAGTCTTGTAATGGTTTTCCTGTGGGCGGGACAGTCAACGGTGTTGAACCGTTGTCCTCATTCGAGGGCCACATTGTGTTCGAATCAAAGAAGATACGTAGGGGTTCAGGGTTATCTGTCGATGAGCAAATGCTGTTGAAAGCCGAGATGCCCGATGATGGTTTCTCGGAAGAGCTATCAAATTCTGCGTTAGGGACGAAAGCCGTGCATAGACTGTAGCGCACTTACTGCGTGAATACTGCAGGTAGCCATCTCTCGGTTGTCGCATCCTGACATTTGCGAACCATCATCTTCAACTGCCCCCCCCTCACACCAGAGAGATCAAGTTTAGCTTGATGCTGGGCACCACATGCGGTGTTTCGGGCCAGGTGTGAGAACAGTGAAGTCGACAAGGAGGAGCACCTGTAAGCCTGTTGTATGAAGCCACGCTCTTCTTGCGTGAATGTCGATTCGTGGACGCTTTCTCCGAATGTTGCGTTCTGTATATCACTGGGCGCTTTCTCTACATCGGACAAAAACGTCCTGAACGCTCTCTTGAGCAGGTTGATACCAGCCAAGTCGTGAGGGAATGTGATGAAACGTGCGGCATTTGAGACTCGTTCTTGTATCTCCCTTGTTGACGACGTGCTAGCGGAGTTTGTGTTTGTATCGGCCGAGGATGTATTGGTTCGATCGTTTGTATGCGGGATGTTGTCGGAAGTATTGTCAGAAGGAGGTTTGTTGTCGAGGAAGACGTTACGCAGCAGATTCAGCTTCTCGTATGAAATGTAAAGGCCTGAGCCAATTGGACAATCATGCTGGGAACGTGGCTAGAGAGATTTTCGTAGAGTGATCCAGAAAGCTTGATGGCAGCTGTGTTTGGGGGATAATCACGCTTTTGGGATCAACCAATTCCTCGAGATAGTTTGCAAGCCGTTCCGCAGCAGAGATTAGGTCCCGGACCGCGGGAACATCGGGATTCCGATGACTGATCTTGATTGATTGGAGCTCTTTCTGGGTGCATGTTATCGCGTCCTTGAGGGTAGAAGTGGCATTCTCCAAGCGTTGGTCGGCCCAATTTGGAGTGCTTTGAGGGGAAGGAAAGTTTTCTGGGGCAAGAAAGACTGGGGGAAAGGTCCAAGAGTAGTTCCCAGATTGAGGGGATGCCATCTGGGTTTAACATGATCGTACGGGGCAGATGGCGGTGCGACAGTGTCAGCATGCAGAGTGCGCAAGGGGACAAGACAAGGTAGAACAAACGGGAAAGGATGCCCAAGGAGTGTGGTAGGTAACTAGCTTCTGGCCTGAGCAGCCAGTATTAATGCCTGAAAAGGTACATCTTGTAGGCGCCTCCTCAAGAAGGCTTATGTGGCAGCAGCCCCAGCTGAACCCAGGACGCAGCCAGTGTCACAAGCTGGCACAGACGCTGGTTATCGATAGCACCGCCCAATGAAAACGCATTTTATTTTCATAAAATTTTAGATTAGCGTTGCTGCTCACTGAAAGATGCATGCGTTGAGCATTGGTAGGTCTAGATAGTGTTTTATGAGGTGGTTGATGGGTGACCTAGTTCAGACTTCAATGGCGTATCAGCGTCAATATAATACGAGAGAATTGATGAAAATGGCGCTTTCTGCTGGGTGCCTCCTAATTACACAACGATTTACAATCGCCGAGCACTGTGAATCTTTATCTACGGTAGTTAAGGGCTTGGTGCCGCCTCGATAAACGATACCTAGGTCAGCTCTGCAGGAATTGATTGTCCCTACTGATGATAGCTACACTGGGCCTGCATACCATTAAATAACTGATCTTTAATTCTGTTTTTCTAATGACAATAGCTGCAGACTGCCTCATCATGATGACCAATTTGTGAGGCACTGGCCTCCTGTCGTCTCGTCTTGACAGGCAATAGCTGATAGCCTGACCAAGCAGTCATCCGTGGCGACTGTTAACTCGTATGGAGATTACACGGCTATCTCTCGGTAAGGCATCGCGAGGGTGTGAAAAGCAACCGCTATGCGCACTGCTCATGCGCCGACAGACGAACTACTATTACGCAATATAACTCTGTTATCTAAGGTATGCAACTGAACGCAAAGGTAACTTATTTTACTAACATCTACCTACAAATAGAAAGCAGTATATTGCTATGCTAGTATATTAAATTGGGATCATCATGCATTGGTAGAGGTATGCCAATTAAGAAGTGTGCTGCACTGTGGATGAAGCTGGAGCTCAATTCTTACCTGGCCGCAGTAGCCGCGATTGGCTTGGGTGTTGAACATGATTTCAGATCTAAGTCTGAGAGTTTGAGAATGAAATCCATTTATTACGTATGCAAATACTTTGGGCCACAAGTTAAAAAAAAATAAGTAAATTAAGGTAGAACAAAGTAAAAGAAATTGCACCAGATTTGCGACGAAATTCGCGAAATGCAGAGATGCGCCAGACAACGAGAACCTGAAATCAACTTCACCCGATTGCAAATGCTTTAATGAAACGCGAGCCAGCAATTCCATGGAATCTAGCAGCCTTTCTGTGTGCATAAATGAAACAATACACGGGAGGCAATGTAGGAGATGTTGTCTTGAGAAAGGCTGTGCTATGAGCAACACGGACGGATATGGGAAGCTCGATCGGATTAGCCATCCTCGATGATGCAAAGAGGGTAACCGGGGAAGAAACAGGCTGAAATGAGCAATGAAATACAGAAATAAGAAGAACTCAGAAGAAAGCACGACAAAAAAAGTTAAAAATCAGCTAGAATGAGAAGAAATAAGCTGGAATGATCTGCAGCCATCATCAATCGCGGTTGGACGGTCTGGACCACTCTCAACTGGCTCGACAATGCAAAGGCGATGAATGTAGGACCTCGCCGACAGACGAGATTGTCAGCTTAGGCACATACATCTACACAGGGTGAACTTAGTCGACTGTAGAAAAAGCATCTTGCTTCCATGTTTCCTCTTTAGCGATTGGCCACTCATCGCGAGTTATCTGTGTTGCAGCCTCTCGGCGTCGTATTGCAAAAGCATTTTGACGGCTTCCCAGTCCATTTTTTGGATAGTAAGATCTAGTATCGTTTTCCCTGAATAGAAATGCCTTTTATGAATGTGTTGATGATGTTGGTCAAGAAATATAACCACAGCTGCTTTATCTCTTTCTCGAATGCTTAACCAGAGGCGATCCATCATAGCAGGGTGGGGCAACGAATCATCTGTAATATGGCCAGAATAGCTCATGGGGAAAAAAGGACCTGAATCTTGATAGCGTGCGCCGAAGGCTAAAAGCGTTTTCGCGATCCATTCATGGCCTCTAGACACAGCCCAGAAGAGTGGTGTACGGTTTGACGAATCGCATGAGTGAACATTCGCCCCAGCATTGAGAAGTCGCTGTACAACAGCCTGGTGGTCATTAAGGGCTGCCAACGACAATGGTGTTCGATCAAATGCTTTGTCGCGTTGCTCAATGTCTGCCTTATTCTCAAGAAGTGATTGGACAACAATCCCGTCTCCCAACACTGCTGCCCATGAGAGCGGTGACATCCCAAGATGGTCAACTGTATTGACATTTGCCCCCTCGATGATGAAGTATTTAACTGCTTCACGATGACAAGCCTGCGATGCTCTCAATAGTAATATATCGAGCTCGCGATTGGTGCTGACATTTGTAGAGTCATGCACTTTTGGAAGTGGATGTTTTGGACACATGACTGGAAAGCATGGGTGAGTTAAGCAAATCAAGATTGGGTCCATTCGAGGGTAGGAATCACCCCGCATCCGCCATGACGCCCAAATATGGAACCAGCCTGGAACCTTGGAGCGATTACACCCTAGCCAGTATCCTTGGCCAAAACCTATGGAGACAGGAATTTTGGGCACCTTCGAAAACATTTTGATTGGGCCAGACGTAAGAACTCCTTTGTTAGCGTCCTGCCCGCAGCAAGGACAGTTTCTGAGGGAGTTGGTCTCTGCGTCAGACTCTGTAAAGAAGTCCATCTCGTCGTAAGTTATGATATGCCTAGCTCGACTAATCGGGATGGCTCCTTCGAGAGCGTCTTGCCCGCAGCATTCGCATTTTGTCAAAGGAGAGGATGTCACCTCGTCAATGGCTTCGCAAGAGCGGATAAAATCGCGAATGACTTGTGGCTCATGAGAGGGTGATAACCGCTTGACCTCATCGGTAGGAGTCTCTATATCCGTAGCTTTCTTCTCGCTTGGTTGTCGCGGGTTGCTCGACTGCTGGTCATTGCAAGACAAGCCCAGGCTAGGATCCGAAAAGGGGGGAAGCGCCTTCAATGACAGTGATTCAAGATGGCCTGCGATATGGTCAAGGAGGAGGCTATTCGTCATTGAAGATGAGGTACTGTCTTTACCCGAGAACTCTTCTGTATTGTTTGGAATTCTCCTGCAAAGAGGGCAGAGAAACTCCCTGGAAGGGGCGATCTCGTCAAATTCATTGGCTAAGTGATCTAATTGGGCCTCGGTTGGTGGTCTTCGTTTGAGATAATGACTACTGGTGTCTTTCATGTGATCTCTCCATTCGCCCTCAGTTTGGAAGGTTTGAAGCAGGTCATGATCGAGACTGCAGTACCACTTTGGCACGACTTTGAGCATCCAGTCTGAATAATGCCTTGTACTCATGTGGGCTTTCCATTCAGTGCGAGTCTCAAAGAATGTCAGGCCCGCAGCACATTCAGGGAGGAGGCATAGGTATGGCGTGAGGTCCTTGTGCATGTGGTCCTCCCAGGCCTTGCTAGTGTCGGACCCTAACTCCAACTCATCAGAGCAGAAAGGGCATTGAATGCAAGTTTCTCCTTCAGCCATTACTGGAGTAGGTGGATACTTAAAACAGTCGTCTTTTGACAAGTGAACGGTGGTGAAAACAAATCTCTCATCTTGGTGGCCTGGGAGAGAGAACTTAGGAACACTATTCCCTGACCCTTCCGAATGATCCGCTGCTCTGTTTTGAGTCGAGAGGCTGGCATCTAGCGGAGCATCTGGCAGCATCCGGTCGTCGTGTTCCTCTACCAGAGGGCCATCTCTGGTTGCACGCCTAGTGCGAATCTTGCTTGTGTGGAGACGTTTGTCCAGGAGTCTTCGACGCCGAATAGCTATGGACTCCCCCAGCAGCGTATGCAATCGTGCTCCAGCTGCCGGGAACCGACCCCGTATCAGGTGTGTAATGTTGTCTCGAAATACGAAGTCCTCATTGGTAAAGTTGGCGAACCTGGCCATGCTCCTTTGCTGAACATTCCTTTCGCGCAGTTTTCGAAGGCTGTCGGCCACTCTGCGTAGCATGTCTATGGCCTCATGTACCCATCTAGTGACATATTCAAATTTCTCGATGGAATTTGGGGTGAGGGCAGCCAAGGGAATTGTAAAACGGTCATCAACTGGTAGGATCAATCTGTGTGAGCAAGCTTGTAGACAGTCGGCATGATCGATTTGGCTGACTTACTGGAGGCTAACGATTTTGTCATCCTGCGCAAAGAGTCAAGCATCAACTGCAAGTAAACCTCTGACCCTTCTGTCTTGAAATCTAATGACCACGGCTTGGGTGATAGTACCGCGGTATCATAGATCCAAAGGTCGAACTCCTCTCGAGTGCTGGAGAAAGTGAAGGTGGGTTCTATTTCGTCACCGGGCAAGTAAACCTCCGGCGATATTTCCCTTGAAAGTATAGACTCATCGCAGTTGGCCTCGATACTCTCGAAGCGTTGGACACATTCATGGGCCATTTCGCGAATGGTATGTGTCGGGTCATCCGGGAAGGTCATGATGGCTCGTGCGTGATCGCCGATGAAGTATAACGGCTCGACAGGGAGGGGGCCTTGTATGTCTAGTGCTTGATCGTGGGTAGAGCACAAAGACTTGGCAGGGATAGGCTTCGTTTTTGGAAGGGTTGTAGGTGTGCGTACTTGATCGTGGGCAGGGCCCAAAGCCTCGGCAGGTATCGTACAAGAAGGCTCGTAAATGTGTCAAGAGGCTCGCAAACGCCTCGTGTTCGATCGTGGGTGGAGAATAAAGACCCGGCAGGGATGGGTTTTGTGTTGGAGGGCTCGAAGAGGGCTCGTGCTTGATCGTGGGTAGAGCACAAAGACTCGGCAGGGATCGTGCAAGAAGGCTCGTAAACGTCTCGTGCTTGGTCGCAAGTAGAGCACAAAGACTCGGCAGGCATAGGGCTTCTAGTCGGAAGGCTCGTAACGTGCCGGGGCCGATCGTGGGGGGAGCATCAAGGCTTTGCACGGATGAGCTTTGTGTTGGAAACGTATCGCGCTCTTTCGAAACACCTAACGAAGGGTTAACGAGAGGGGTAATCGGGCAGCTCAGCTTCGGTATGGTGTGAAGCGTTGAAAGGAGGCAAAGTCGGGACAAATATGAGACACGGCACTCGTGTGAGTAAATTTGTAACAGTAATTCCCTTGAATTTTGGAACGGACGGGATAATATAGATATAATATTGTGCACAATGGACGACAGAGATTGGCAAAATGGACGACAGAGATTGACAACATTGATGGTCAGTTATTGAGCAGGCTGCACAAAACATGATTGATTGGCTTGCATAAAGATTAGGAGTACTTCTAACTGTTTCACGCTCAGCGACAAATACTGCCTTACCGAAGGAAAGTACCGTTGTACTATCCCACTTGTTCCTAATAAGCAGTGTATACATTATCACCTCTGTAATGTGGCACGGAGCACTACTCTCAATTTTCATGCGCACACTTCCCACCCCCAAATGTTTGTCTCAGTGTCGAGATATACATAGAGCATACTTAGCAGACGCGTTTTTTTCAATCCCTCCTTACAATATACAAATGGCCCCTTTGACTTTGACATAAGAATGAATTTTCAAGGCATGACAATGCACGTACAGGTACACGGCGCCCCGTATTGTTCTTCAGCCGCACAATGCTTGGGGACATTGGATATTTTTGTGCACCAGTCATGGCCGACTGCTCGCTTCTCCATCGCAGTTCTCTGTATCCGACGCATTATTTTTGGTTTCGAAACAAAAGGAAGGAGAAAGAAAAAAAAATACAGCCACCCTCAAAAAAGCCACGTTTATCCCCTCTACGATAATATGCAGGCTCATTTGCATCGCTCTTGCGCTGGAGAAACAGTAAACAAATGTTTTCTTTATTCTTGGTGACATCATAGACACCTAGAAGACACGCGGTTAGGTAACACTTCAATAATAGGGCCAAAGTGCCTGTACCGACCCTGCTCCCAGTGCACAGATCCCTGTGGTCGTGGAGCCTGAGTTGATGGGCCTGAGTCTACAGAATCAATGAACCTAATAAACCTATAGGAGAGCTAGATTTGGGAACAGAGATGGTAAATCATAGAGGATTTAGGGGTCACAACCATAATAGTCAAATCTGCATTGTTATCGCCAACTGTTGAGGTAATGGTTAGATTGGTGCTACGATCCATTGGCCACCGAAAGAGTTTGGTCTTTCTAGGCCTGGAGCATCGCTATGCACTCCATCAACTACGGTGATTCTACCACATGAAGGTCTAGAATCGGTTGCATATCATGTTCCATTAAATCGAGCGTAACACAGCCTCGGTAGGAGGGTCGAACAGCCAGCATCTAGTAGGAGACCAACCATTGGAGACGTGGGGGGCAAGCTATGCCGCGTAATACCTGAGATGCGATGCTGTCGTGACAAAGAAGGTCTATTCTGCCTAACACGAGAGAGGATTGATACGGTTATGTGTACTGCAGGATAACATGGCACCCAAGCTAGAGGTCTTACATCAGTGGCTGCGCGATTGAAAGGGAGGGCCCAGTTGAGGGACGGATAAACTTTTCTGCTACTCTTTGAGGCCGAAAATAATCGGAATCTTCGGTTTCTCAATGAAAGGCAATGTTTGTGGCTACGATGCGAAGTCAGGCGTCGTTGGCCGCCAAGCATGGTCCACCGGTGAACTCTAGGCTGTGTGCTAAAGAGGACGAAATGCCATCAGTGACAGTGACTTCCGATGGCTGGGGACATGGGCGAGTATCATGATGTGTTGTTGTATGTCTAGAGACTCTCCCCCTTCTTTAAGAGTGACTGGAAGTTACCTGGAACCCGCTCACAAAGAGGGCAAGCAAATTCCCCGCGAAGGACGGACTGCCTCCTCCAATGACCTGTACTCGAGTACAGCCTTAGTGTATGGCTGTCTTCCAACATGACGTATCCCCTCCTCTCCGACCCTGTATTGAAAGCTCGAGGTTCATGATCACGATCACGCCACCGGTCGAATGGGCGGACCTTGGAGCCAATCTGTCGGATGCGGTGGTTCCAAATGCTGCGTCCACTGCATCGACTGGAAGACAAGGACAAGTCGGTGGCATAAAAGGGGGACTGATCATCATCCTCGCAAATGTGGCGCTTCGAGGCCTTATAAGTCATGGCGTTCGCTGTTCGAGTTTTGGCTTGTCGAGGCAGAAAGAATATTGGTACGAGGAACTCTCCTTCGGTGGTTGTCGGGGTGGGCAGGTATTAAACGGAATTCTCTGTTGGGATATGAAGGGTGTTAGTCGCGGGAGTGAGCGCAGTTACATGTAGGTTAGGAAACTGAATTACCACGAGCCTTGTGACTTCCGGACTTGGATGGTGCCGGCCACGCCCCTTTCTCCCCATAGCCAACGGCCAGTGTTTGGTCCAGCTTCTCGCGGTATAGCTTCTTCACAGCAAGCCCGCCCCAAAAGTGCGTTTATCTCGGACGACGACAATTGCGGCATGTGATCATGTAATATATCTCAAGCAACTGGGAATCGATCGCGGATCAGGGATGGAGTACTGTTCCGAAATGCTACATCTTCGTCGGTAACTCTGGCCAGTAGAGTCTACCTGGCCGTGATTGTCGCTCTCGAATGCCGTCGACCTCCTCGTGTAAGGCATCAATGGGTTCCTGTGAGCCTCGATGGTTGTGATAAAAGCTCTGAGGAGCTTTGGGGTCGGGACTGTCGAGGGATCGTGGGGCTGATATTCGTCTAATGGCTGGGGGATGATGTGCGTTAGTATGCCATCGAGCAAGAGAAAGGGTTGGTCTGGTCGACCGAGTTGGACTCACTGCGGGAGAAACCTTGCAAAGCAATGCAAAAGCATGTCAACTTAAGGAAAGGCGTTCCTTTCCTTCCAACCTTGCTTCGTTGACGACAATGCCCTCGTATTGCTAACCCAAAGCTCAGAATTATTTCAAGCCTCCAAGGAGCTCGAAGGCAAGGTAGCTGACGCACAGGAGGTATAAGGCCGGGCAACTAGACGCTGAAGCATTGGCCCGTCGAATGCAGTCCCCGCGGGATCGAAAACCTCGAGGCATACGAGACGGAGCATACGAGAGTCAGGTGGCGGGCGCTATTTGTTGGGTCGTCCACAGTCGGTCTCATGATGGCCCTGTTGTGTGCTCGATCGCAGATAAGTCACAGAGACCTGGCAAAGATGGGATGCCGTCTCTTCAAAATCGTCGGTTTGTCGGGTTTCGTAGGGCCAACAACTGGCAGCTCTGCGATAGCACTCGTCACTGGGTGAATCGTGGAGGAAAGAAAGAGCCAGGAAAGATACATAGCAGAGCACTTACACGCAATACTGGCAAATCCGAGATCGTGGGAACGAGTTGCGACCATACGGACGCAACATTTGGAGACGGAAACGAAAGCATCAATGGAATCAGTGTTGGTTTGTTACTAGGTTACACAAAGCTTACTAACTTGAAAGGAAGGACTTGCAATTCCGCTTCAGGCATCAAAGCACGCTGGTCGCCGGGACAAGAGTGCATTATTTGGGCATCTTACGAGGTTTACCCGCTGTAATTTGTATTCTCGGGCGTTGCTGTGTCCTCACGTAGGTCAAGTACCTTGGGTTCAATGTTCCGAGCCACTGCGACTGGATGCAGCGATATCTTTAAACCGAGTCTTCCCCTCTTTAACGGGGCACATACCGTTACACATTGGTTTTGTAGTATGCACGTTGGGCATTACTAGGTGCATGCATCGGTGGCGCAACGTGGCCTTTTGAGCTGACTGCAGGCCTTAAGAATTATGATTGTACCAGCTACAGTTGAATAGCAGTGCAAGATTGAGGTAAATAGTACACCGATACTGACACTTAGGTGGTGTACCTCCCATTACCACCTTGAAAAATCAGCATCTCCTGCGTAGCTGAAGGTACCTATGGAGTTTTCAATGGCATTAACCAGTAGCAGCAAAGTGTACATGTGTACAACTTATTTTACAGAGTGTTTCCTTCTGCATAGCTGCAGCCTTAGGCTAGTAGAGCTTCATCTTTTTGCCTATCCCGTGCACTGTGTTAAGATGCCGGGTCTGGCATCTTTCATTGCCATTTTTGCTTTGCACTCAAACCCTCATCCATACGAGTAACCAGCTCTGTGAACCACTGGCTACTTATATATAGATTTGATCCTTACGCCCATCGTGGATCACAAATGGTGGATCGGTAACGTACCACTAAAGAGGCAGAGAGGAAATGGCACGATGGAAAGATTGATTGAGCTCTTGCTTTCATAACTGATAACTGCAGGTCTGCTACTAGCCTACTAGTCTATAAAAAAACAACACATAATACAAGCAGTATGTGTGGCGTCTGCAAGACGGAGGAAGTACTCGCCTCATGATAGAGACGGAAGATACTCACTTCCCATTCAACACAGAAGCTAGCTGCTCGATATAGTAAAACTTCAAAAAATATTTCATTTTTGGCCCTTGAGAGTCGGATGGTACGCGCCCGAAGCGGTGAATGCGGTGAAAGCGCATATGACGCTCTTCGATTCCCAACGCATCCTGATCTGGATCCAACTTGCCCTTCTCTGCAACAACGCATTGAGTTCGGAATGTATCGCCCAAGTCATATAGCTTGTCCACGGCTCTGTGTACTTTCACAGCAGTTTCCATGAAAATCTTGCTAAATTCTAGGGTTGGTACAAGCAAAGCCTTTTCAGGACGGTTGTAAACTAGCGAAGCCGATATATATTAGCGTGATTGTATTAAGATAATTTCGCTTAGCTATTCCAACTTACCTGATTTTAAGGCTCTTGAAATCATTTCCAAACAGGATACTATCTCGTTTGAAAGGTCTAATGTCCCCTCTGTCTTGAAATCAAATGACCACGGCTCAGGTGATTGCAGCCCGATAATTTGTATCCAGAAGTCGAAATCATCTCGAGTCCTGGCAAAGTTGAAGTGACGAAATCGAAAGGGGAAATCCGATTCTTCTTCTGGGTACAGAGGCTCAACGGTCGCTGACTGTAAAACCAGTGATTTCTGGCAGTCGCGCCAGATTTTCTCAAAGATTTCGCTGCACTCAAGGGCTAGGTTGCGAATGATATGTAGAGGGTCTTGAATTATGGGGATCTCCATGATAGATTGAAGGCCCAACGAGAAGGGAACAAGCACGAAGCTCTACTTTCGTGTCAGTTCTTGCCTGAGCCGTGGATGTGGAAAGTAGGTAGAGCGTATGTAACCTTGGGACTCGTGTGTAGACTCAAGATAATAAATAGGATTGGAAGGGGGCGAACCGGCTTGGAAATATCTTTGTTCTGTCTTAGGAGGCTGCACTAACAGACTAGTTGGCAGTGCACGCCACGATTGAGGCACGTTGAAAGGGAAACAAACCGCCTATTGTTCTCCAGGCGCAATAAATCAGAAGAATTCTTTAGTCAGACTAGTTTGCTGGCATGGTGACAAGCGCCCCAGTTATCAAAATAAAGGGAAATGAAGAATAACCTTTCTTTGCAATCTGTTCAGAGCTTTGCTACTCCTTGTCTTGCATTTTGCTGTTACAGATGTCAGTTCATTATTTTGGTTTTCAATTCTATTTGATGGCCTTGTCTCTGATACGCTAAAAGAGAAAAGCCATTTGTTACCAAACAAATACCCCCATTCCTTCAAAAACAGTTGCCTGTTCAATCTATCTCCTCCTGGATCTCCTGGACTGATAGCGCTCATGGCCAAACCGAAGAGTTGCCAATAACAAAGCGAACGCAAGCAGACCAATATTGACAGCAAAAGCCCGTCGATAAAGAGGTTTATCGTCTTCTTGGAAGATTTGAGCCCCATAGATAGCCCCAATGTTCGCACTCATGATAATCCTGTGAAGATTAGTTAGCTGCGACTAACCAACTTGAATCTATGAGCAACTTACATGGCCATTGCCAAGGATCTTTCCTCCGAGTCTCTACAAGCGAGAGACATCCATGTGATATTGAGAGGGTGTGGAAAGGACGCGAACGTTTGTGTCCAAACGACACCGAAGAAACGAACGCCTCGGTTGTCAATCTCCGTGAAAATCCGATTCAGGATGTAGCCAAACATATGCAGACCAACTCCTGCCATGACAGTTTCACCTCGCTTATCACTTCAGAACCCGTTAGTGCTATTGATCCAAATCGCATGAATGGAGCAGTGATATTGACTCACAATCGATCGGAGATGTAGCTAAAAACAAACGAAACAGGGACTTGTATGAACAGGCCCACTGATGCAAGGGCATTGCTGGTAAGCGATGGGAACCCGAAACTTCGAATGATGGTTGGACCATAAGTATCAAATCCGCGGAAAGGGCCGTTGTTACCCAAAGTAATCAAAACGTGAATCCAGAGCCTCCAGTTGGAGAACTAGAGGCATGGCGTGTCAGCATGGGATGATATATTTGTCGTGGAATAATATCGGTACTTACGGCTTTCTTGAAAGATTCAATCCCAATATGCTGCTTCTTTTTATCCTTCAGGGGTTCATCCAAAATAACACGCGTTTTAAGAATGTGCAACTCCCTCTCGCTGAAAATGCTCCACTGAGGTAGAAACCAGCTACGCGGGTTTTGAAATGAGTCAGGCAAGCAGAACCCAAGCACAATGCCACTTAAGAGGGTAAATCCTCCCATGATGATAAATAACCAGAACCACCCCGGGTAGCCTCCAACACCCTTCATATGCAGAATGCCATAAGCGATGAGCTTAGCCGAGGCTTGACCAAGCTGGTTTCCGAAGAAGAATATCATCACCCGCTTAGCAGACTCTTGGCGAGTGTACCAGGTAGAGAGGGTCCAGAGGCCACCAGGGATATATCCTGATTCAGTCACGCCCAGAAGGAAACGGGTAGCGAGATACCCACCATAAGTTTTCTGAAAAGCCTGGAAGGTACTCACAAGTCCGAAAAGGAACAGTTGGAGTGTGAGCCATTTTCCTGGCCCTACTTTGTAAAGTATCATATTGGAAGGGATCTCAAAAAGAACAATACCGAGAGAAAGAAGCTGCTGACCAACGTTGAATTGAAATTGGTTGATGCCCACATCTTCCATCATGGTGTCTGTGATAGCGTTGGCAATGTTTCCTCGATCCAACTCTGCATACTGAAATTAGCCTCAAACGCGTGAGCGAGAAATCATGAGTATTTGCGTACGCAGGCAAAAGAATCCCAGGGTTAATAAAGGCATGATAACCAGATCAAGCCTACAAGCGTCCTCGTCAGCTATTGACATTGATCAGCAAGTTTTAGTGGACGCTACTTACTTCCATTTTGCCTTCTTTTCCTCCGACTCGCTCCAATCAACTTCGACATTTTGCTTCAATTCATCTTCTTCTTCAAAGGCGGTGTTCGCTTTTGCAACCTTGTCGACATTGTCGACCGGCTGGATGTCGGATGCAGCCATATTTACTGCGAAATGCTGCTAAAACCTAAAGCACTCTCATCAGTCAAATTTTTACAAGGGGATTTACAATAAATATCTGACAATTTGTACCCTAGTCTCGATAAGAACACCCATTTGGGTCCTGGAGAACCAGACCATGTATGGCAACATCTATATCCTCATCACGCAAGATCGGACTGGTCCCGCCTAATCGACATCGTTCCCTTGGACTATTAGCTTCGTCATGGTTCGCTGCATTCTGTGACACGCTACTTACTTGGCCCCTGGCAAAATTTTGGAGAACTGGAGTCTATCTAAGAAGGAGGTTGGCCGAACCGGCTCGATTGCGTGCTTTGGCCTCCACCACAATAGCTGGGATGGGAATGGTCCGTTCAAGCACCGTCACGAGGCATCTAATATACATAGTTCGGCAGAAAATATGCCTCGAAACGTCCAAGAAGAATCAATTAAAGTCCTTCCCTTTATTTCATCGCTTGGAAAGACTGCGCAAAGTTTGGTGGTGTTGAAGTCGTCTACGGCATAGAACAGTGAGAGTGATAAGGTCCTCTACAAACGCCTACTTAGATTTATAAGACATTCTAAAAGCGCTCTTTTCATAAACAACATTCCGTTCCTCGAATTTAAGCCGGCGGCTTAGCTTCTATTATTTATGATGGGAGGAGTGAAACCACGTGGCTGGAGGCAGGATGAGCCCTCTGGGGGATACCAGCCCGTTGGAACCAAACTCCATCCTTGGAGCCTCATGCGGGAATATAACGTAGCATGACTTTTCCCGCTGTCAGCGGCAAATTTCAAATTATTTGACAGGCTAATGGTCTCTTGCGTGCTTGACAAATAGTGGTGCTAGCGGATCACGCAATTCACCAGCAACGCCGGTGGTCCACAATCCGAACCGCCAGTGTAAGGTAAGCTTATGTTGAAAGCCCGCACTGAGCGAGAAACTGGCCTGGGAAAGTCCAGTAATAAGAATGTTTAATTCTGGTACAGAAATTGGTATTCTCATCAAGTAAAGCCTCTGAAGTTGGCAGCTTAATTTCCCAAATCGGGCCAGACACGCCATGAAGACGCTCACAAACGAGGAGCTGTCCTCTCTGGCCGGCCACTACTTTGCCCCAGAAGGTCTCTATCAGTATACAAAGGGTCTCCCTTTTCTCGGAAATCTCAACTGCAATACAACAGAGCTCACTGCCGGCCAGTGGACCGAAGTGATTGTCGAATACACAGTCGGAGCCAGCGGTCTCGCCGACGGAGCCTGGATCAAAGGAACGTTCAAGTTCTACTCCGACTGGGCTCTTTTCCAGACATCAGACCCCAAGGAGGACAACTACGTATCGGCTGAATATACTCCAGGACCCCTGCATCGTGGACAAACACCAGCGACGGTCCAGTCGTTAGCGGTGCGTTTCGACCAGAAGGGCCACGAGCGCCCCTTCCAAAAGGCCGTCATTATCGACATTGTGGACGGCTACATCAACCCTGGCGATAAGATCATCGTACGCCTTGGTGACAGGCGATGGGGCTCAAGGGGCACCCGCGTGCAGACCTTTGTTGAGGACAAGTTCCTGATGCGCTGGTATATTGATCCTGTCGGCACCTCGCGATTCGCTCCTATCAAACCAGACATTGCTTTCCCCATTATCCCGGGCCCTGTGGCCAAGGCCAAGGCCATTACTCCTCGTTTGGTGAAGCCAAATGTAGCGTTTCCAATTCATATTCATACAGAAGATGCATGGGGGAATGCGACAACACATGTCGATGGATTGGAGGCACACATCTCAATTGAAAGGGAGGGTAAGAATGAAACTGTGCTGGAAGAAACCAAGAAGCTTCCCAGCCAAGGGTGGACTGTTGCTAGTCTGACCACATCATTGCCAAACGACGGCGACTACACGTTATCGGTAGCGATCGTTGACTCAACTGGCTTTGGCCTGGCTTCTATTTCGGAACCCATTAGTGCCGATGGTTCAATACCTGTTCCTCGACCTCTCTTCGCTGACCTTCACGTTCACTCGGACGATACTGTCGGCACCAACTCTACCACCTATAATTTTTCATATGCCCAGCAGGTTGCTGGTCTGGATGTTGTAGGATACACTGCCAACGACTTCAATGTCACCAAAGCAAGGTGGGAAAGCACCCTTGAAGTCATCAGGAAGGTGAATTCCCAGGGTGAATTTGTCGTGTTCCCTGGAACTGAATGGTGCGGCAATTCCGCAGCTGGGGGGGATCACAACGTCGTGTTTCTCGATGACCCGACCAACAGCGACCCCGAGTTTCCCTTTGACAGGAATGGGAACGTGGCTCGCAGTTTTGAGTGGAACGAAGATGGCCCGGCCGAGTTACTCCCAGGGGCATGGCCGTTGGATGAGGTGTACGCGACGTATGCACACTCCCCCGAAAAGCATCTATTGATCCCCCACGTGGGAGGACGTAGATGCAATCTAGCATGGCATCACCCAAAGTTAGAGCGTTTGATTGAGATCGGAAGCGCCTGGGGTCTATTCGAGTGGCTATTGCGAGATGCTATGCAACGAGGCTGGAGGGTTGGGGTATCTGCCAACTCTGACGAGCACCGTGGGCGATGTGGAGGCGGCGTACCCGGCACAGCAGTATTTGGAACCAAGGGAGGACTGACCGGTGTTTTGGCTGACAAGCTTGAATGGAACGAGGTTGGAAAAACTCTGCGTGCGCGAAGGACGTTCGCCACGACGGGCGAGCGTCTGGTTGGTTTGGTCAGCACGGGGGACACGCTCCAAGGCGACGATCTGACTGCTAAGGTTGACGAAGATGTTGTCCTCAAATATCAGTTCTTTGGCTCTGGTGGGTTCGCTACCGTCGAGGCTTGGGATGGCAGTGGACAGATATTTAGTCGCAATCTCCAACAAGAAGCCACTGAAGCAGCGGAGGGCACAGTACAAAAGAAGCTGCGTATCCGATGGGGAGGGGCCCGTCTTTACGACAGATACCGTGAAGCCGTCTGGCATGGATCTATCGTTGTATTAGATGCCAGGATCTCCCACATTAAGCCGTTTGGTGGTGTACTGGACAACGCTGAAGAGGAGATCAAACACATATCAGACTCCCAAGTCGTTTTCACTACACGAACCAGCGGAGATTTTGATGGGGTGGATGTTTTCCTGGAACATGGATCGTCATTGCCTTCGTCTATCAGTGTGACGGGGCACTTGGGCGGATACGTGAAGGTAGGGAACGCTCTTGCTGGCAGCCCACACAAGGCTCAACCACAGTTCCGACTGATTGCTTCTGGGACTGAGGCCAGCGACGTCGGTGGGAAGCAAATTGAAGTTAAGGGGGGTGCAGATCTATTCGTGTCAGTAGAGATAGTTGCCGACGTGCCACTCCCCAATCGTGTCGAAGGGACATTCTCGATCAAGGCCAATACTCATTCAGAAGGCGAGACGCAGGCTGTATACTTTGTAGGGAGAGAGTACGGGAGTGGTAAGGTGATTTCCAGCCCGATATTCATAGATTATGAGGACGATAAATAGTTCAATTCAACATAAGAGCAAGTGATCATGGTTTAAACAAGTCGGTAGTCTTCTGTTGGTTGTAACCGTAACCAAGTATGGTTCACAGTATTCATGACATAAATTACGGGATATCGTTTCTTTCATACGAATAGCTATTCGGCTGTCATAAGATTTTCAATTTGAAGGCAATGTTTCCCAGCACACTCATACATTCAAATCGTGTCTCGTTTTATGGTAGAGTTATCTCAAGGGTAAAACCAATGTATTTAACAAGTCCTAGTAGACTAAATTCTAAACAATCAATACCCAACATTTTACAAATCTGCTTCGAGTTCCAGCTCGGAGCTTTCCCCAACCATTCTCCTTATTATAAAATTTCAGCCTTTAGATAAGAATAGAGACAGCTGTGTTTGATGGATCCATGACCATGTAAGGGATACTGCCATCATCCATTCCCCTGCTCGTCTGCACGAACTCGGCCTCGAGCGTCTTCAGCCCCTTGAAAAAACGCTCGCTGTTGTCTCTGATTTTCTTATCCTCATCGTCACTGCCGGTGTGTGCTCTCCACTGAGACTGCGCGAATGTGATCAAGCTCCGATCGCTCGCGACTTTGAAGCTGAGGAGCCAGGGGACTTGCACTGCCAACAGCCACTGTCTCGATCTGCCAATAGGAAGGGCATCAACAAGAGTCTGCTCGGTGTACTTTTGAAGCTTTTCGAGACTCGTGGGAAGGGGGCTGCAGAGGCATGGGGGCTTAGCTAAAACAAACGCCTGGTAGAAATTTTGGAGGTAGTTGACCGAGCTGTGGAAAGGAGCGGCAATGTGAATGCTCATGGTGAGTGCATCGCACAACTGGTCGAACGTCTGAATGGTGGGAAAGGTCTTAATCCAACCCTTTGTTTGGACTTCGTTACACCAATCTTGTATATAGGCGTCCTCTCGAACTGCCTTGTCAGCGGTGTCTAGGTCGTAATGAATGAGAAGCATGTCCTTCACATAGGCACGGATACATTGCCACATGGAGAGCATGTTCTTGCCATATGCGTAGTTCTTAAACTTGGGGTTAGCCAGGCCTTCGGTCGTGTTCGGAAAGCCTCGGCTGTTTAAATCGTTGGGGATATAGCCCTTGACGTAGTCAAAGTTCTCATACTCATATCGACCATAGCGGTAGAGCATGTCAGTCTTTACGCCGACTAAATCCTTGATGACCTGAGGCACAAGAGTGGACCTGGCGGCAGCATTCAGTGACAAGGTCTTGTACCAATGAGGCTCCAGGATCTTGTAAATGATGTGGTTCATCGGGATTGACCGGTTGGTTGCCACAATGATAGCCTCCTCGACCATATGGGCTTTTGTAAGGTGAACTCCAACTTCATGGCGAATCCAGTCTGATACCTGAGCGCATGTCTTAGCATATCGCCAAGGCCAGTCGGTGCTTTCCTTATCTGTAGGGTCACTAGGGAGCTTGCGCTGGTTGAAAATGGTGACTGACTTCTCCATAGTCCCCTTGTAGTCGCATACAATGGCGATGGGGAAAAGTTTGCCGTCGGCGTGAAGTTGGAACAGAGTGACTGCAGCACATGCCCAGCTGTTATCAGAAAGGGGCTCCTTGTGATACAGGTCCTCGTCAGGATCAGCACCGAGAGCGGTCCTGAAATATCGACAGTCTTGCACAAAGAGAGAATCACGACTGATCTTGGGAATGGTGTCGGCCCAATGCGTGTAGCCACCTCGCTTAGCAGCTTCAACGAATTCGGCCAAGAGATCTTCAGGTGCCTTTTCGATGGTTGTGGGATTGGTTCCAGTCAATGATTGGTCTGCGAAACGGCGGTCACTATACCAGTCGTCCAGAAGTCCGATGTTGGCACCCAGTGCAATGTCTGTGCCAGACCTGCGGTGGTTTCGGTTGTATTCTTCATAGGCTTTGATCTTTGAGCCCTGATCAGCAGCGTCACTAACATCTCCATTCACGAGTTCCAACAGCCACCTTGCCGTTTTCCCGAGAAGGGTGTCAGGAACAACTTGCTTGATGAGAAGCTGCGTCTCGGCAAGTCCCAGAGCATTGAATATCTTCAAGACGGACACTTGGTCCTTGTCCGGGATGGTCTTCAGATGCGGCGGGTAGTCGGCATCAGTTCCGTCGGGATTCTTTGGGTAAGCACTCCATTGATAAATGGCTTTCTTGGTCGCCAAATCCATTTGCCTAGGCAAGGTGGGCTCGATTTGTAAAACATCAAAGTAGGATTCAAAACTGTTATGTGTCAGCACAGTTCGAGAGCGAGGGCATAAAAATACTTATGGAAGCATCAACTGACCTTCGTTCAATACGGCTGTACGCATGTGTCAAGGCAGCCTGAGTTCCGGCGTAGGTACCCTCCTTAATATCACCATCCCCAAGCTTTGGGTCCTTCTCGGGATGTTGAGGGTCAGGCTTGGCGTAGAGCTTCAGCTTGATGAGCTCGCTGTTGAAGACACCTGGGTCGAAGTCAGAGAAGATCACATCTTTGATTCCGATGGTGAGCTCTTTCTCCCTGTCTTCCAGCGAGGGCTGCTGGAGGATCGATTCAGGTGTTGGGACTTTTGGGGCATGGGATGGCCGCAAGGGCAGCCGGTCTGAAAGGATACCCATTGTAACAACGTTCTAATAATGGATGTAAATCAAAGATATTATGTGACTGTTGTCTGAAGTATACTATGAGTTTCACCAAGTGTGCAGTCTTGCGAGTCGCATCCATGAAGGACAGGCTCAAGACAGGCCTAGCTATTTATATTGAAACGAACGCCCGGTGTCATTGCTTCCAACTCTTCCATACTACCGCAAAAGGCTGAAAAACTCTGCAATCGCAATGGCGCAGTCAATCTCTGATTGTACGGCGACCATTCACCTGTTTCAGCTCCTGTCAGCTCACAGGCAGCCTTGGCAAGTAGAATGGCCGAGAAGCTGCTGCTATTGGACGGCGCACTGCCTGCCTAAGAGCATGTCTGATTTCCGAGCCAGCTGAACCAAGAAGTGCAAAACATGATCATCAGGAATGCAGAAGTCCGAAACAAAGTGCATTCCTCCCCACACACACGAGCCAAAGGTTGTTCAGCCGAGCAACCGCAGCCCAGTGACAGGCAAAAGGCGGGGATCCATCTTCGTGTAGGGCATCTGAAGACCCTCTTGATGCTCCAATAACCAGCCCGGTCAGCCCTGTCAGCAGGACCAACAGCCGACTTGCGCGGCCTGGCCGAAAGTGGCCAGAGGGGATTGGCAGGAGAGAGAATGCTCGCTGCATAGGTCGGCGATTATGGCATGCAGGTGAGAGCACTAATTGGCGCGAATGGAACGCCATAAGCTGACATTCTGACGACCAGTTGCGACCGTATCCAGGGGTTAGGTACAGCCGCACTGCCAATTGATTGAGTATGTGTCCTGGCCATCCAATCAGAGACAAATCTGACAAAGAGTCTTGTGTCTCGCCCTCGGTTTAATCCAAAAGAACTATTCGTTGCCGTACTATGATGACACGGAGACTGTCATGGCAAAGCTGATTCATTCTCAGGATTTCCTCGAGCAGCACGACGTCACAGGGTAGCAGCACAGAGACGGAAAATTCAATTACTGTGGCCGTGGCAAGGCTTTGTCAACTTGGTCTCAGGGCCAGCGGCTTTCATTGCAGATCCTATGTAATTCACAGTTCAGTGTCCGACGGTGGTGATGGTGTTCCCCTCCTCAAATTTCGGAAAACCCCAAGCGTCGGCGATGAACACTCTTTCATGGATAGATCATGCATGGCGCCGGGACGTTAGGTGAAAATAGGCATGCAGAAAGATGATCCCTAGCGATATCAATCGATTAAACCCCCACTGCTTGTTTGATGAATCATAGAGAAATAAATGGGAAACGAGGATCAGCAAATCCCTTCAGAGCCTTCCAAGCTGCAGCTGATCCTTGACAGATTTGTCTGGCCTGTCAAACTGACTATCTCCACCCATGAGATTACATGGAAATTTTTGCCAGTCGGAGAGCGACGATCACACCCAAGGCTCAAGATAAGGGTTTACGTTTGTCGGCAAGCGGGGCAAACAGCCGACGATAAAGTAGAAAGCCAACGGCGCGAGGTGTTGATAAACGTGGGATTGCGTTTGGCCTAACCATGCAATCAACAAGGCCGCCTGGTAAATTAGCAGATCACGATACCACGCCGGATAATGACGCACTCGGTGGCACTTTTGAGCTCAGCTGGCTGCCAGTTTCTCGGTCGTCCTTTCTCCCTTGGAAGAGTGCCATTGTATCCAAAAGAGCTGAGTGGCATAGTTAGTTTAGGCCTAGGATTGCAATTGTGCGCACCAACAGCCCCCTTATTTTCCCCTCTACTGAGATTTGCTACGGGAGGGGCCAACGGTGCGCCATAAACGGATTGGAGCTGTGATAGGGGCTCGGTAGGTGGGGGGTTTCGACTTGATTGGTCTCAATATTCATGCCCCTGAAATTAGCTGGCAGGCTATTGTCCGCCACATCCATTGCTTGGCATCTCATCCTTCTCCGTTGCTCACTCGAGAGTGCTGTCTGAGAGTGAAGAGTCAATAGGGCGGGAGAGCGGGATGGATTCTGTCGAAGAGACTGTCTCACGAGGCTCTTCGTCATGGGCGGATCTAGTTGCTAAGCCAGAGCTCATCCCTCCCCTCCTCTTCGCAATCAGCCTTAGGCCAAGGCGTTTTACGAATCACAGATGAGAGCGCTAACTCGGCTGTTCTCCACCAAGGGCGGTGCTTGGCAATCAATCTCAGCAAAGCAGCCGAGAACACTCTGTCAGCAATCCGCCAACACGACCCTGAGGGTTTCTCTCACGACCCCTCTGCTCGCCAAGTAAATTGGCCTTGATTCCCTCGTCATTCATGTCCCCATTTCCGTGATCCCTCACTGCGAGTACAAGATTGCCCAGAAGCTATGACCACTCATCCCGCAATCAACACATCCACACCGCAGTCACTCTCGGTCTGCACCTTCAATTCCAGACCGCCCCGCCTGATGATTGAATACTAATTAAATCTGTAGCGGCTGGCAGCTAGAGCCGATTCGGAGGCCATCGTAGATAGCGCTTTTACCTGTGGTGAGCCAGTGATCAGTTTGGTGACCCCTGTAGTTCGTTAATTGTTGGTATCTTCACGATCAAGCGGCAAAGAGAGTCCGCTGAATGAATGGGTTCCCTCCCGTTCCCTTGTGACAAGGCACATTGCAGGCTTCAGACCCAACTGGGATCCATTCGCCTGGTCAGGGGTCCAGGTCCTGAGCAAGATATACCCACCAGGGTCCCCATCTTCATGTCCCGCGAGCTTTTGTGAAGCTCTTTCTTTTATCTTTCATGGTCATCTTTCTGAGCGCATTCCTCGCGCCTGCCACTCTTTTCAACACCTAGCCATGGGCGTCTCATTACGGCGCCGCCTCACGGGGGGGAGGAGGTCGTTTACGCGAAACCGATTTGTCGTTCCGATTGCTGTTATTCTCGCGACTGCTTTGATGTTTTATTGCTCCAATCTCTACCGCATGTCTCTGCTTCGCTATGACGGTGTGCGCCTGGAGTAAGCTTGGTCCCCCTCGCTTGAACAACCGTAGGGGTGAAGACTAACCCTTGATGCAGCTCAATATGGGATTCTATCGCATCAACCACATCGCCATCGCCGTCGCCGTCGCCGTCGCCATCATCACCGCCAAAAGCACCAAAGGTGGAGGTTCCAGTCTCAGATCCCACCAACTTTCTGAAGAAGGTCCAGGCCAAATTCAATTCCACCATCCACAGCGTGCACGCCGACACATTCATGACCGTTGAGGGGTACAACTACACCATCCGGAATGGTTCCAACCGCTGGACCGAGCCTCTGGGTCAGCGTCTGCTGATTCTCGATGCCGATTCCCGAGTGAGCGAGAAGGAGATTGACTCCATGCTCACGCCTTCACCTCTCAACGATGACATCATGTCTGGACGAACAGCTGGGATGCTGAACCACTTCCTCTATGGTAAGTTCCTGAGTTGACACATCTCTTGAATGCAGTCGGCTAACATGTACAGCCCTCATCCACGGCTATGACTATCGTCTGGTCAAGTCACCTCCCATGACCGATCGTCACGGGACCTGGTCCAAGGTCTCACTCATCAAGGAAGCCCTCAAGACGCACGACTATGTCGTCTTCCTGGATGCCGACGCGACCTTCCAGTACTATCGCCTGCCTTACGAATGGCTCATGAGTATGTGGAATTTCGGAAAAGACAGTCTCGTCGCCATGCCCGAGGATCCCAATTCGCCCGTCAACCAAGATTCCAAGGGCTGGGTTCTCTGGAATACCGGCTTTGTCACGGCGCAGCAGAGCGAGCGCACCCAGGAGATGTTTGAGCGCTGGGAGAGTTGTCCATTGGGCGAGCGATACCCCGAGTGCAAGCATTGGGGCAATGACTGGTCGCATGAACAGGCTGCATTCGGAAATTTCGTTCGATATGAGTATGAGGTCGGTAAAGGCAAGGATTTGGTGCCTATCCCTTGCATGGACGGTAACGGAGCAAACTACATCGTGGACAAGAAGTGCGGCGGTGTCTTCGTGGCCCATCACTGGTTCTACAAGGATTTCCCAACCCGAGAGCTGTATGAGAAGCTCGACGACTCCTTCGTGGTTGATATGCAGAATTACTTCCACTTGAACCAGAAGAAGTACTATGTCGATGCTTCAGAATACACGTATCCGCTCAACGATCTCAAGATCTAGCCTGGGGATATACCGGGTGATGGGGTTATGTGTTCTTTTTTGGCGTTTACAGTATTTTCACAATTTTTTCTCACAGTTTGCATTTTGATTCCATGCCAACAGAAACATTACGGATGGGAGTTTGAGGCGTCCAGACAACCGATTTCTCATGTATATATTTTCCTTACGCTTGGGTTCGACATAACATGCAACGAACAGGCAGATGACATTACGACTGCATTTACGCAATGATCTTCCATAGACAACGAATGGCGAATTCATACGTACCTTGTCAAACACTGATTGCCAAGTAAAAATGGTGGTTTACTCAATTCGATCGCCAATTTGACTAACTATAAACAGGGAGCCAACTCTAGATTAACAACAGCATCCCACAAGTTCTCACCCTGTTGTTATGAGAAGAATTACATAGCACTATTCCCGGTGGAGGCAATCCTCGACTGCTACTGAATCATTATGGTCCACCCGATTGGCGGATTTAACCGTCCTCCATACCAACAAGCATCCCTACAGTTACATCATCCTGTCTGTCAGCACAGCACTCCAATCTCTCGCTCCGACCTCAGCCGAATGGCCGTACAGTCGCGGATCAGCTGGATCACCGGGCAGATAAGGGGAAACACACCCTTCTGAGAACGCGGCAAGGCGTGCCGCAGTCCCTGGCCAATGCGTCGCAGAATTCTTCTTCCCCAGAGCGCGGCTCGACCCCTCATCTGGGGCAGCAGATCCCTGTCCGTGACCTCTCGCGCGTCAGTCGCGTCGATATCAGCCTCGAAGCAGCGCGTCCAGGACTCCAATGCGCTCGTGGAGGAGGAGAGATACCAATTCTACGACCCAAAGATCTTCTACCCAGCCCGCATTGGCGAGAAGCTTGGTGGGAAGTACCGATTGGTCTCCAAGCTGGGCTGGGGAACTACTTCGACCGTCTGGCTGGCGAGGGAAACGAAGCGGTATGTTAATTTCTTCTGAATATGGTAGCAATGTATGTTCCCTCAATTGACATCACATGGTTCTCGTTCAAAGAGGCTGGTTCTTTCAGTCACACCAATACGTCGCATTGAAGATTGCCAATTCGTCCGAAATTGCACGCCAGAACGCCAATCAAGAGCTTGAGGTTTCGACACACGTTCTGACGGCATCAACATCTCATCCTGGCCGCCAACTCATCCGCCCAGTAATTGATTCGTTCGAGATCCAAGGGACCAACAAGGCCAAGCATCTCTGCTTGGTATTCGAGGCCCTTCGCCAGCCACTCTCGTCTGTCGGCAGGCAACTAGGCCACAATGGGCGCCTACCTCCTCGTGTGTTGAGGACAATCGTGCCTAGCATTCTCAAATCTTTGGATTTTCTGCATACAGAATGCCGAACTATCCATACAGGTAACTTAATTGTCACTATCCCTAGGATACCGTTTCTGACTTGCTTGAATTACACAGACTTGAAAAGCGACCACTTCATGATCCCATTCGAGGATCCGTCAATTATAGACGACTATCTCCAGCAACAAAAGAAGACACCCCCGATGCTGAAAGAGAGCCAGGGTCGCCCTATTTACGAGACTCGTCACGAGTTCGGGCGGCTGAAGAGAGGCATCCAGATCGCCAAGCTTACAGACTTTGGATTGGCAGTGTGTGATCAAAAGCCGGGAAGTCTTCATTTCCACAATATCCAGCCTCTCGAATACACCGCTCCCGAAGTTTTGTTCAAGGCCGGGTGGACTTACTCGGCCGACATTTGGAATCTCGGCCTGGTAGTAAGTTATGTCTTCATGAAAGAGTATCAAATGGCACTACTGACGCGTTGAAGCTGTGGGAATTGGTTTCTAATACCAGTCTTCTGGATGGTCGCGGGATTGGACAACCCGAATTCTCCCACTTTACCCGCTACGCTCAGATGATCCGTCTACTTGGGCCACCACCTGCTCAATTACTGGATAGAGTCGATAAAGAGACCTACAATCGCTTTTACGATGAAAGAGGCAAGTGATCTTAGGGTAATGTGATGCGCTAGATGACGGGCTGACTGTTTTGCAGGCTCTTTTAGGTATCCCGAATTGATTCCGGGGAAGAGCTTCAACTTACACAAACTCACCCCAATAGTGAATGAGAGTGATAAAGCCAAGTTCATCAGCTTTGTACGCCGAATGCTAGTCTGGCTACCCGAGGAGAGACCGACAGCTGCAGAACTTCTCAGTGATCCTTGGCTAGAAGAGGAAGCGGGTAAACCAATAGATCCAATTTTGAATCTTTGATAGACAGTCTGGGAAAAGGTGCAAGGTTTGACTCGGTTTGTTACTACATCAAAAGCTGGGAAGAGAACAGCATTGGCAAGCATTAAAACCATCTTTGTATAGTCTCATGTAGTAATCCATGATAGGTGCCCATGAACGGGGACTCTTCCTGTCACAGCTTTGCAAACATGTAATAAAAACTCCGCTATCATCGCCCTGTGCTTGTTAAACCGCAACAAGTAGCTGTCAAGGTGGTTCACAACATCAATCACCTTCTCCTTCTCTTCACCAACGGCGGCCTCGAATGTCACGGAAATCGTCCCAAGCATTGCTAGGCCAGTTACAGGTTTCAGCGCGTGGATGTATGGGATAACCATCCAAATATGGACACAGACATCTCGGTACTCCGCATAAAGTGACTCGTCGGGCACCTCGTCGTACATGACGCTGAACTCATACAACGACCGAAGCACGATGACTTGGATAGAAACGAGGTTACAAAACATCGCCGCAGCCGAGGCGTGCGTGAAAGAGTAGCTCTTGCGCATGAAAGCAACCGACTCGCTGAGGTCCGTTTTGACAACCATGGTCTTATGCGACAGGAGCGCTTTGGTGGTAACTCCGATTGTACGGCGCAATAGTTCAGCATGTTCTAGCATCTCATTGATTACGATGGTGGACAAGACTTTCATCTCCTCAGTGTATGGGCCTTCAGCGCGGATGCGAGCAGTGAAGTCTACCCAATCCTGCATTCTCGGTGTCCGGAGCTCGAGCTGAAAGCAATCCTCGGAACCAAAAGGCTCCAGTTCATCAACGAGCCAATCCTCTGTTCCAAGCCGGACCATGGCCTCTTTCCAGGGAGACTCATTCAAGAAGTCCACTTCAGGGCCTCCGGCCAGTCTATTCCGTATCTAAATCTCTGTCAGCTTAAAACTTGCGCGAGAAACACGAGTGAATTCCAATTGACAAACCAGGAGAGAACGATTTTCCTTAACCAACGCTGCCTCAAATGAGTCATCTCGTTCCGGCGGTCCCATCTGAATCATCATATGCTTGATGGCCACAGCATGCACTCCCCAACTGGGATTAGCTTCTCTACTCAATAACGGCTGCGTTTTCTGCAACAGCGTTATTGCAGTCAGCGTGTCGATCATCTGAGCCCTATCTGCCCGTCCCTTGGGCAGTTTCTGAAGGGCATTCTGTAAGCCCCGAAGCGCAATGTCGTAGCGTCGGGACGTGACCTGGCTCGGTGGCTGTTGGTGGCAGTGATCAGTCCAAACAGAGCAGAACAATGAGATCATGTGCACCACAACAGGGCTGCTTTGCGATAAGCGCCGGGGGATGTAGCGGATTGGGCTCTTTTGAAGAAAAGTGCAGCCCTCCGGGCCATATTCCAGTAAGGTGGCTAGACAAGACGACAGGTGATCGACGGGAGCGACTGGCGGTGTCCGAGGTGATGGGTTGACCATGACGAATCTCTTGATTGCACTCTTTCTCACTGCCTGCTCGGGCTTGGCAGTGGTGGACGAGGGCTCCTGCTCCGAGGTGCCAATCTGCTTTGCTGACTCAGGACCATTGTGGCTCACGAACCTGATCCTCGTTGTCGTTGGGCCTGGGCAGGTGGTTTTAGATCGCCTGCATTGTGAACATGTCGGCCAATTCTCGTCACACTGACAGTAATACCGCTGTTACTTAGTAGTTCAAAGGCTTCAAGGTGCTGAGTATATAGCTTACCTTCACTCTCCGGCGTTTGCAGTTCTTACATGCTTTTGTTCTTGCAATGCCAACCATTGCAAGTCGATGGTCTCCAGATATGCATGTCTGTATGCGGCGGGAGTGGGGGAACGCGTGCCACATCTGGGATAAAACGCCAGGCATGTCAACGGTTTATTAAGCAGGCACAGTGCCGAATGCACAGGAAAGTCTGAAACGTGCACTGTAGTTTGGTCGCATCCTGTCCCAAACTTGCTGGGGTTATGGCCTGGCTTGGGCAAGGGGTGGTTGTCCTACACTTGGATGTGCTATTCCGCTGATGCTGATTGAGCTGTCCACGGGCCTTCCCCAAATTAATTGTAAGTTCCGCCGAGCAGCAATAACCTTCTTTCTAATTTAAAGGCCAGACTTCTGATTCAAGAAGGAAGAATGAGATGGGCGTGGTTGTCAGCCGGCCAAGACTCAACTAGGACTTAGTCCAGCATTTCATCAAACTCCCTCGGCACTCTCCGTTAATAATCAGAGATGGTAGCCAACCTTCATTTCGCTTCTGATTTTTAGATCTAACTTATATAGTATACAATTATCATACCTTAAGAGATGTAAAACTCTCGGAAGTGATGCGTTTGCTTTTCCCTAGCTTCTCGCGTCTGTTGCTACCCCTGAACGTAGCTTGTGGTGCTAAAATCTGATGTGAGGAATACGACCTGACTGGCATGAGAAAGTTAGTGCATAGTATCAGCCCATTGGAGTTCCCTCTTGAGAGAAGACAAGCAACCTGCCGGCGAGACCAACAGCGAGAACATGAGGCTATGATGTGCTACCGTGTGACGTGACGACCATATTCTAGCTGCTTGTAAAGGCGAATGCCGCACACTTAGAATGAAAATAGAAATAAATCAAACAAGATATAGACTAATATTTAATACATTGTTATACATTGTTCTGAGTAGCATATATAATCCGCCCATCGATGGAACTGTGAGACTTTCGGTGACAGTGAAATGGCCGTATAGGGTAGGTAATTACGACATCACCTGATGGTTGAACTGCGTTAGGAGATGTCTGATCAACGTATTGAAATTTACAAATTAAATGAATTCCACCTTCATATGAGCAGAATCAGGCTCTCTGGATAGAAGGGGGCTAAGTGGTAAATGGCAAGTCTAAATAGGAGGGATGGGAAGCACTAGAGATCATCAAGCAACACACACAGGCGGAAAGTAAAAAATTAACGAATGTAGCCTTTATTTGCTCTAAAACATAGGCTAAGTATATATAATTGAAAAATGAACGAGGATAAGTAAAGGAAGGTCGAGTTTGGCTGCCTAAAATCTTATGATGCTCAATGGCGTTGGTCGATTCCGTGGCTGAGCAATGTAAGCCTCAACCTGCTCTCGCCACCAGACGCTGGAATCTACTCGGACTCCTCGGCATGGACCTTCTTATGCTTCCTGCGCAGCTTGCGCGACTTGCTCTTGTGAGGCCTCTTCCTGTGCTTCCTGCCCTTGGAATGAGACCGTTTCGGCGCACGGATTTCGAGCTCAGCTTCCTCGAGATCTCTCACGAATTGAGCAATCTCATCGTCATCGAGATCGCGACGGAAGTTCTTGCCAATGTTCTTGGGGGGCTTCTTCTGGAGCTTGTTGTGGGTCTTGGGGGCCTTGGGAGCCTTCGCGGCCGGAGGCTTCTTTTGCAGTTTGTTGTGCACTTTGGCAGGCTTGCGATCAATCGACTTGGCGATGGGAGGGCCACCCTTGATTTTGTTCAGGGCCTTGGCGACGCCAGTCTTGAAGCCACGGCTTTCCAGGTCAAGGGCATCTTCAGCAAGAGCGCGCTCCCAGATGTCGTTGGTGATGTCAAGGGAGCGGGTGTCATAGTGTGACTGGGCAGCGGCTGCGCCGAGCAAGCCAGCAACGAAGAGAAGGCTGGAGGAATGCATTTCGAATGATGATTGAAAGAATTTGAAGTTGAGATCTGCCCGCAGAATCGATAAGGAAATGAAATTGAGAAGATGTGCAAAGTAAGGAGATTGAGATAGGAGAAAAGAGTTGGAATGGTTGATGATGAGGAGGAGAGCCATATCCAGTGAAGTAGAGTCAACTTATATAGATTTTTCTCAATACACATCTTGAGAGCCTCTACTATTCTCGTTGTTTATTTTTGGTTAACAGCTGTCTCATAGCCCCCAAACCCCGTAGCTGCTCATCTGATGCCGCCCGCTTTCTCTACGGGCATCAACAGCATAAGACTCGCATGGACAGTAAGAGATTTCGCGCTTTTGGACCTATTCCGGCGTAGATCGTTGATAAAATTCCCTAGCCAAGGAGTGAGGAGGCATAAACATCAAGCTCTTGCGGTCATAGTTTCTTTATTTGGGACCTTTGACGTGTTCTCTGCTGACCATCGCCCCATCAATGCAGCCGATCTGACAGCACACAGCCAGTCATATTACGATGCGCCACTCCGCAAAGCAAGTAGCTGCAGGCGAAGCCACAAGCGCGTATAGCACCATCGTAAGCGAGCAGAAATGGGATAAGCTTATGAGATGGTGGGCGCCCCACGCTTCGGAAGTCAGTCATGTCCACTATCCTTGCTCCGCCTTAATTGCAATCGAATCATGATGCCATTTTTATCTTGCTGCCAAGCATACTTATATGTCTTGGAAGGGTGGATGGTGCTGGCGTGGGCGGTTTTCAAGGTGATATAAAGGGTCTCAAGGCTGGTTTACATGTGTTCTTTTTTCTGATGCTTTCCATTTATTCCTTTAACACATGCAAAGCTAGCCTAGATGGCTCTCCTGCTTCCTCTAGCGTAAGCAAGGGTTGTGGTAATTCTTCTGACCCCCCTGTCGCTCTACCTTCTCGCTTATTAGCATTAATCATAGCGTGTACATATGTATTGAATGGCAAGGCATGCGAAGAAAACATGTCTTCAGCTATCTATTTTAACAGCTGCTCATAAATCCTGAGGACATAGTTCCTTGATCTGGATAAGTGAAACACAGCTTGCAACCTCGACTTACATCACTATCATAACCCTTTCGATAATCATTACCTTGATGGCAATCACAACATACCTTCTATCGTAGCCCTAAAAGTGAGAAGCTGTTGGCTTTGATGCGCGATGGGCCTTATATAGTGGGTTTGTAGCGCTATCGGTTTGGAGCTGACGAAGTGCGAAGACTGTGAGATGGACGGTTCGGCTCAAGGGCAGGATGTACAATAGGTACATCTGTTAAGATGCAAGCCACATACGTAGCCTAATTTCGAGACTTCGCTTGCTTATGGCAAAAGAAACATGAATATCATGGTGGGTTATGTTTCTCTATTAAGATGTCTTATTACTGGGTAACTCATAGTCTCTCAAGGTAGATGATCATGGGGATTAGGCGGATGGGAGCCCCATTGGACAACTTGTTATTGATTCAGGTAAGCCCAGATAATACCTAAGCATCTAGAATTACTAAGCCAGGTATTCTTGTCTATTGTTGGCTGGCATTGGATCACTAGGGAGGGATTGCTAGACGCTGACGATCAACCAAGAGCAGGGCAAGATGGGATATGAAGAGTCTATGAGATTCTAAGAGATTGTTTGTAATATAGTACACTAATTTGATTTCCTTGATTTTGTGGTTGTCTACCTAATGGGGGTGAAAACAACCCATGGCGGATTAAGGTCTGGCTATGTACTATTTTGCGCTGACTTTCAAATTTCTGGTCCAAGAACAAGGCTCTATATGGATAATTTTTGATACTTTGTATAATTAATGGTTTATGGCTTGAAGTGAATAATCAACTAAACTTTTTGCCAATTATTTGATGTTTACCTACGTGGGTTTGGAGCGCCTTGCTTTCCCCCATTTCTATAAGGTAGTCTTAGCTATTAGAAAGGCCACCTGACAACAGCCAGAGTCGCCGCCTAGTCTGTTCCGCTCGGATCCATCATCGTAGCGCCCAGTTTCACAGCCAACAGAATGAGGCCACCACTATCTGATATAGTTGGACCCTTTGGCACTGATCCCACCACCATCGAGGCTCTAAGGAAACCTTAACCCCACATTCTCCTAAACGGCTTCAGCTCAACCATATTAGCGCGTATTCGACAAAGTCTTCGCCAGTCTGGACCCGGGCGGTGCATTCAGCCGCCAAACCATGATTCGCAGCCCTAAATCTTGTTTGACCATTCCATAAATAGCGATGCCCTTGATGGCGATGAATGTCCTATGACACCATATTCGTCAAGAACAATAACGGCAAGTGGCTGTGATCGATATGGCAAGCCACCCCAGCCACATTCCTCAAGGTCCAAGGAGAGCCATGGCGCTGGTTGTCAACCTAACATGTAGAGAGTATGTTCAGCCCTTGTTAAGTACCTAGGTGATAACAGGGCTTTCAGAGGCCGGGCAATTATCCCTCCTTCGCCAAGAAACATATATAGTCATCTCGGCTCTTGTCCACTTGGGAGCAAGCCAATGTTTAGGCGCTCCGTTTGCTTGACTACGTGGAGAGTATCTTGAGATGGTCTAGCAGGAGCGGCAAGCTTCCTGTAGGCGTGTCTTTTGTAGGACTTGATTGATACTACGGTTTCCGGTAACCGCTTTAGGCAATAGGCATCCGAGCTTGGGACGGCGCGAGGCTGATTTTGTAGATGTAACAAAGAACGGCGTGCTACTAGGGTGCAACCTCTTTAAGGCTAATTTCCTTGGGGGTGGGCCAAGTTGCAGCCACTGCCGCAGAAATGAGGCTGTATGTTAGAGATAGTTACGTGTGGTAACTAAATCATGCCCGGCGGAATGTTGTGCAACGATTTCTATTTATGTATATTTGGACTTCAGCTTTCAGATCGAGGCATATCAGAGACCTATAAGTTCAGCTTATTTCAACCTGCTAATGTTGTCCGCTTCACTTCTGCTCATCCTCCTTGTGCCTGTTCTCGCCGACCACCATGCGTTGTGGGCAATTCTTATCCGGGCTGGCTGCCATCGCCAACGTCTTTCTGCCGGACGTTGCTGCACAGAGTACGATGAAAGGTCCTTGCCAACTGCTCGCCGAGTACCAGAGTAGTGCCATTGCTCAGAGTCAGAGTCAATCGCCCTACCCGGGCGATATACGATTTATCAGGCTTGACGCTGAGATGGCATATAATTGCAGCACATCTGTACGGCTTGTACCAGAGCATGCGTTGGGGACAATCGATTATCTAAGGAACTACTCCAACTTCGACACCACACTGTCTTTCCTCAAGAAGACGCCGCCATCGTATCAAAAGCCCGGCGTCGACATCATGGGCCGCCTTGACCAGATTTCCGATAAGATTAGGAATGGAGAATACAAAAGTTACGCAGAATTTGAAACAGATATCTGGGCTATCACTTCGGAGTCGAGCGAAGGCCATTTCGGTATTAATCTTCAGCTACTCAGCTTATTCTCCTGGTTTCTAAACGACACCATTGTTTCTCTCTCTAGAGATGGTAAAGAGTTACCTCAAATCTATGCACGTTCCGACATTGAGAGCCTAATGTCAAACCCTTCGCCAATTGTTGAACTCGGTGGGAAACCTGTCTTCGAATATCTCCGCAGCTACATCGAACGAAATACTAAGAGCGGTTTCATTGAACCCCACGCCGACTGGAACGCGATGGTCTACAACGGCCCCTATGTTTTTGCCTCATTCGGCATTGATGTCCAACAGTCATGGGCCTTTTCAAATTTCCAACGGACAAATATTTACAATGGAAAGACTCTCCAGGTAAGATTCGCAAATGGAAGCGATGTCGAATGGTTATACAGTGCGGGTTCAGGAGCCAATCTGCTTGCCAACAACCTGACGAGCCCTGGAAATATATACTATGGGAGAATTGCAAATCCGGGAATCTCTTCGGGAATCAACACAAGATCTGACGAACTCATCGACCGCGACAGATTGGAGCCGGTAGCTCTGGGCGAACGCCAACAGCAAAATAACCCCCGACCAAAGCCTCTCCCTAGCGTGCCCCTGTTCAACTACCCCCGGAATCCTGACGTCCTCGAGGTGGACTTCGGAGTAGGGGGGGTTGTTTCCGGTTACATTCTTCACGACGATTCTATTGGTGTTCTCAGTTTGCCCAGTTATAATCCTGGAGAGCCAGCTACAGGGACTACTGCCCTGAACTATACCAATGCCGTGATTGAATTTATCACCAAAGCGAAGGAAAGCAGGGTGAAGAAGATTGTCATTGATCTTTCAGGAAACGGAGGTGGCAGTATTTTCCTCGGCTATACCATCTTCAAGCTCTTCTTCCCATCTATCAAGCCCTCGCTGCTTGGGCGTGTTCGAGCCACCCCTCACATAAACACTATTGGCTCAATCCTGACTGGAGTCCTACAAGATAGAGCCCTTCCAAGTAGCGACTGGCAGTATATTTATGACACGTATGGCGGAAGAATCGGCCTCTCCGCCTACGACATCTTGGACCCGGATGACCGTGAATTCGAGTCATGGGGTGCCTTTTTTGGGCCACGCGAGAACAATGACGATAGTTTTACAAACGGAGCTCGATATAATTTGTCGAGCCCCCTGATGGAAACAAAACCCTACCTCGATTTCGCGATTCCGGGCTATGGCGCGGATATCATCTGGCCCCAATCCGAGCTGTGGGCGGCTGAAGACATCATCCTCCTCCACGACGGTATCTGCGCCAGCACATGTGCCATCTTCTCGGAGCTCATGAAGACAGACGCAGGTGTCAAGTCCGTCGCCGTTGGTGGCATCCCCCAATATGGACCCATGCAAGGCGTTTCCGGCACCAGGGGGAGTAGTGCGCTGAAGTTCGAGTACTATAGCGACTTAATGGAGGACTTCAACAATACGGTATTGAACAGCCTCGGAAACCTGGCTTCCGCCTCGTTGAGTAGATGGGGTGTCTCGGTGGATGACTTCCAAGCCCTGCCACTACCAATCAGCAATTCACCTCTCCGCATCGAGGGCGGCGTCAATGCCCTTGACATGATCCGTGTTTCTAGTCCGGACGCGCCCCTTCAATTCACGTACCAAGCCTCCGACTGCCGCCTGTTCCATACTTTCGACACAGCCCATGACATCAGAGTGCTGTGGCGCACCGCAGCCAGAGTGGCCGGTGGTGACATGTCGGCTTGTGTCCCTGGCTCTACCAACGCTCCCGGCTCCAGGAGTAACGTCACTCTCTTGAGTGACCCGGGTTATTCCTACAACTCAACGTGGGAGCGAGCCAACTCGACAGATGTGCCCAAGAATAAGGGAGTTAATGGAAGCGGCTCAGGTGCTCCTCAGTTGTCTGTCGGAATCGCTGGCCTCTTGGCTGTTGCTTTTGCTTTTGTTCTTGCCTTTTGATGCGAAAGCAGATTCATAATTACGTTAGTTCTTCGATGTTTTATGTATATAATATTTAGTTCTAATGTAAGGTATTCTCCAATCCTATATGCCTATGCCTTCCAGCTGCAAAATGACCCGGCCAAGCATGCACTATCACTTGATTATACTTATCGTGCGGTATCCCATATCTGAATAATGGAATAATGAGGATATATATAATAGCTTACCCCTGGGCCATCCCGGTCTAAGACTCAAAGCTTACGGACATATGTTCCGAATATTACTATAACTATGAATATTATTCTATGAAGCATCTGGTTGGCTGTCTGTAAGTGAAAGAATAACTACCTAGCAATCGAATCAATGTAATACATTTCAAAACCGTCGAAGGCGGAACTTCTATACCAATTCTCACAGGTCACACCTATTGTTGCAGCTTTGCAAAGCTGTTGACAGTGTCCACAATGGTTTCCTCCAGAGTCCTGAATGTCATGCCGAGCTCCTCAACGGCCTTGGATGTGTCAAGACGGTAGACTGGGGGAAGAGGAGCCCCGGTGTTGCCTTGAGGAGTCTTCTCACGTAGCTCTGGGAACTTTTCACGAATGATGTCGACAACGTTCTGGTAGCTGTAGCCTGAGCTGGTGATAAGGTAGCGCTGGCCAGCTGCCTCGGGCCTCTCGAATGCTCTCACGTGAGCCTCGGCGACTAACATTGCCCGTTAGCAAGAGTAAATAATCTAAGGAAGGACAGCGACGTACGGTCACGGACATCGGCAAACGCCCAGAAAGATGTATCAGGCACTTCCTTCTCAGAACCATCGATGAGTCTGTAGATATCCGCCGAGGAGGTGTTCAGCTTGGTAGCGTCTTCAACATGCTGATCGGCTGGACCGTAGACCATAGGGGGTAAAAGTGTGGTGATGTCAAAGTTTGGCTGCTCAGAAGGTCAGAATGGTATTTCAGCTACAGGGAACGTATTCCTGACGTACCTTTTTATACCTAACGAAGTCCCAGGCAGCTTTCTCTGCGAAGGTTTTGGAGGCGAGGTATGCCACAACCGGATTGGCTGAGGCTGTCTCAGGAGTGACTGGGTTCCAGTCTGCTTCAGTGTAGGTGTAGCCAGGTCGAGTACCCTGGGCCGGGTCAAGGACCGAGGCGAATGACGAGGTGATGACAACCCTGGAGATGTCAGGGTTGTATTTGTGGGCGGACTCCAAGACACTGGTGGTTCCCTTGATAGCTGGTTGGAAGAGCTCCTTGTCGAAATCAACGGCATTTGTGATGAATGGTGAGGCTAAATGGATAATCTGTATTTGTTAGCTCTAAGTTACAAGTATCTAGGTATTGTGTGACTTACGCCATCTACACCCTTAACAGCTTCGTCAAATGCGTTGGGCGCTGCGATGTCTGGGACAATGACCGTCGTCAATTGCCCGGGATACTTGGCGTGTGTCTTTAGAACCTCTGATGCTGAATTCTGGGACCGGACAGTTCCACGGACAATGTATCCCTGGCGGAGAAAAGAGTCAATTGTATGAGTTGCGATGTACCCAGAGGCACCTGTAATGAGGACTGTCTTGGCCATTGTAAAGACTTTGATGTTTGTATGGGTTCTGGAACTGTGACTTGATGCGGATGGTCTGTTTTTGTGGGATAAATATGAGTATTGGGTGTGTGAAGATTGAAGGGTACCTATGATGAACTGAATGCCTTGAGTATTTTGATGATGAGTAGTTGTTGTATCATGGGATATCATATTCATATATACACAGGAGATCTAGTGATATGAACTACATATCTTCTAAGTTGACTGTGGTTGTTGCCTTCAAGAGAGGTCCGTTCCGTGACTCCGAAACTCCGCAATTCCGGGCAGCATCATTCCCGCTGACAAAGAGCGATATGTAAGCCACCAGCAGCGTTGAATGACCACTATCAGTAGTGGTTAATGGCTAACTAAGTCAGCTACAGTAGCGTGTTTTTATTGTCACGTTGATGACATATTCAGTTCTACCTGGATGCTTTGGCATCCAATTGCGACTCTCTGAGATACCGTCTAAGGTCGTTCACGATATGATTAATTGCTAGAATTTTGTTGATCGTCGTAGGAGAATAATTACGACCCGAGAAAATATTTCTTATTTGAATCTCAATCAAGAGGCTGTGAAGCCCTACAACAACTCATAATTTGCTTGTATGTGATGGATGCAATTTCAGTGTGATCCCCTATACGTTCTTGTTCCGCCTGGCCCAAAGTACGGCCATTGCCATCGATTTTCACATCGTGCGCTGTGATCAAGAGAAGTGCCATCCTCTAATTCCCAGAAGCTCTGAGAAAAGCTCAATCTGCGTCCATCTTGTTCTATGAGATGGCTGATGCTCAACCTACCAGTTGTTCCTCGTTTCCGCCATTCCGCTTCTCCGGCTCCATCGGACGCAACGTCCGCGAACAATCATGAGGCCCCAGACAGGTCCATGAAGAGATTGAATTTTAGACGTGGTACGCTTTGTAAGACCTTGCAATTCATTACGCCATCGTTTCATATCGCACTCACAAGTGCCGTCACCTCTTAGCTCCGAGGCTCCTGTTCGATGCGTTTCTGACAAATAAGAGGATTATCGGCTGAAAGCCGTCACCTATTCGACGCAATGCAAAAAGGTCGCCGTGGACATGGAATTGATCTATTGTTATTAATTGAATACTGATTCATTCAATTGAGATCAGTATGTTCAAATTGCCTGGCTTGTTTGCAAGCATTGTAATCTGATACGCCTGCTTGCTGTTGCTACAGAACAATGTTTCCTGACTTAGTTTCCTTATAGAGTGGGCCAAGAGACGGATGGGCGAGGCAGTGCTGCATTTCTGTACACAATTGTATTAACATTATAGGGATTGCATGTAGAGAAAACAGCACAGCCTCCAACTGTTGAACTGAGAACCAAGCCACGGACCTGTAAACCACTGACTAGACTTTCAACAGATGGGCAGACAGGAATCGGACTGGGGGCGGTTGGTTGAACGTTTGACTACAGTCGTGGTTGAGAAGTGCCCAACCATCTAAACAGTCAAGTAGGTGAGAGAGCCATACAGCTGCTGGAAAAAAAAGGGGGGAAATTCCCAAACACCAAGAATTTAACAAGTTGACACTATACCCAGTATCACAACACATAAAAAATGGGGCGTGAGGACGGAAATTGGACTATCGGGGTTTCGTAGAAAACAGGGGCACTAGGAAGAGGCTAGAAATGTGACGTTGAGTCCTTGAAACTCACTAGAGCCAAGCGTGATGATACTCTGACACATACATCATTTGATTGAGACGAGCGCGGGGTTCACTTCACACCAGACATGGCGGGTTACAGTACGCTGCGTAGCCGAGAAGTACGGCTGCTTCGCATATTATCTCATGCCCGTATTCACGACAACGATGAGAGCTTGCCTTCATCGACTGCTGCGTTTACCGGGCAGCCACTATGTTTATCCTTCCATGTGGTGAGCTTGGATCAGACGCAGATACCGAACTTTGTGGCTCTGTCATACGCCTGGGGCAACGTTGAGAAAACAGTTGACGTACAAGTCTCTGGTCACCCCGTCCGTCTAACTCGCAATCTATACGACATACTCCAGTGCCTCTCTCTCGACGAATCGCCCGACTTCTTTTGGATCGATGCCCTGTGCATAAACCAAGACGATATTGATGAGAGGTCTGCGCAGGTGCTCTTGATGCGTGAGGTATATTCCTTGGCAACGTCCGTCCGAGTATTCTTGTCCCTTGAATCCGAGCCGCTCAATTTTGGCATGACGTTCCTGGAGCAGGTGGCGTTAAACCCCGCGATGCACTTCAACCCAGATCTCTCCCCATGTATTACAGTCGAGGGCCTGACTGTCGCTTCTGAAGAATTACGTGAATCCTTTATCGCTTTCTTCGCCGCTCCTTGGTGGACACGCATCTGGCCAGTGCAAGAGTATGTGCTTGCCAAGGAGGTTGTGTTTCAATGCGGAAAGCGCCGCTTGGAGGGTAGCACGATTCAAGCTTCTTTCAAAAGTCTGGTGCATCACGAGAGAACGTGTTGCTGGGCTGCTCGGCGAGCAGTCGATGGGAATGCCAGGGGGTACTTGGATATTCCAAGCAAAACACACGGCTCATTGACAATATATCACGCCACCTTACGCCTCGATAATCTCCAGAATATGCTGAACCCGGAAGACTACTCAATCTATAACCTCTTGGATGCCATGGCACTATTCCGAACTCGGGATTGTTCGGATCCTCGCGATCGAATATACGGTATGCTTGGACTAAAATTCAATGACGAAACCCTAAGAAAGAACATCGAAGTCGACTATAAAATCCCTGACGCTCAGCTATACGAGTCTATCGCGTTGAAGATGATTGACAACTCCGAGTCCCTCAACGTCCTCAGTCATGTGCTGAGAGGTTCTTTTATCAAACAACGAATGCATGCTCTGCCAAGCTGGGTGCCTGACTGGACTGCAAAAATAGACGCAACTTCCCACTTGATGCATGGGGAGCGGATGAAGTTCTTAGGCCAGTTCCAAGCCTCAGGCCCGACGAGGCCCTCCTGGAGAGCCATAGCCCCAGGCAAGATTCGCACGCAGGCTTTGATGATTTCTAAGATTTCCGAAATAGCGCCCGGCTACCCGCGAGATGAGAGTTCCCTTCCTGGGAGACTGGTCTTGGAAGAATGGCGTCGACTTGCTTGCTTGCCCAAAAATGGTGTCGAACATTCTTCAAATAGCAACGAAGAATTATCCCAGAGAGAGAAGGATTTCCGTCTCTTTCTTTCTGGCTACTTGGCCCCTCATTCCTGGTCTCATGATGGACTGGAAAGAGCCTATGACACATGGGTTAGTTGGTTCACGAACGATAAGCCGGCATCGCTTGCCTTGGAAACGAGGAATGACGCGAGAGAATTTGATAATTTCGTTCGCTTTACAAGCTCTGGAAGACGCTACTTTGTGGCGGAGAATGGATTTATTGGGTTTGGCCCCGAACCAATGGAAGCTGGAGACACTCTAGTTGTGATTCCCGGTGGACGAGTGCCCTACGTCCTGCGGAATGTGAGCCACGGGGCGGATGGCCAAGAGTCCATGATATTCACGTTTGTTGGTGATGCCAGCGTCCAAAATATGATGTTTGGGGAAATTATGACGTCGGAAGCGCCTAAGGAAGCCCTTGATTTACAGGACGTCATTCTTCTCTAATTGCTGAAATTCAAGATAGATGAGCTCGAACATAGCCATATGGACAACATTCACCAGCTGAATGTCCCAAATCTTGATGTCCTTTGTCTCTGTTGGCTCGATGTAGCCGAAGGATTGAATACGCCCAGTACTGCAAGAGACAAAAAAGAAGACTTTGCTCTTCAGGATAGTGCAAGCATTTGATCATTAAGGTTGATGGCATCCTGATGGTGGGCACCTTTGGATGCGGCCGTTAATCATAATTAGAATAAGAGAAATTGATCAAACCGGCAAGAATCTAGGCCGGGGGAAAGCCAGCCTTTTGCAGAACCAAAGCCCGCAGAAGCAAAGCTCGAGGCCGTATCATACATGCTAAACCTAGCTGTGCCATTTATGATCTGCTCTAACGACCTGAGATCAACTCCCTCGACGTCTTCCAGTACGCTCAGCTTTGGTATCTCATGTCGGTACAGCTAGATTGATCGAATCTAAGAACAATGCTACTAATTTGAGTCTGAGATATCTTTTTCCCTTGCTGTAGGCCTTTTCCAGCCGTTGACCAACCTTACCTTCTAAAGATAGTCAGGTGCCAAGTGTCCGTATATCGCTTAATCTACTCTTGGAGCGCATCTCCGTTGCCTTTTCAGAAAGAAGCGTCCAAAGATAGTATAGCTAACCTATAATCTCAAATGTTGATTTAATAGCAAAGGGTCTTTTTGTTTAAGCACGCCCTCACTCAGATAACAGGTTGTTCAACTTCTGGTCAACGCAGTGCCGCCCAAGATGGGCCGAATGCCCCCAGTGCGAAAACCGTTGGAATTTAGCTTTTGCTGCTATGCTTGGAATCTCCTATATAAAGCACGGCATCCTTCCAGATAACTATAATATAAGGCTAGGTTGAATTAATGTGATTACAGCTCCTGACGCCATCATGAAGTCTATCTCTCGGCTTTTCCTCTTGGGCCTTGCGGACTCGGGGCATGCCCAGCACAAGAATTCGCCCTTTGGCTTCGCTTCCGGCACTACTACAAACCTATGGTTCCTGCTTTGCCAAGAGGCTTGAAAGTTCTTGGTTGTAGCGCTTACTGCATAAAATAATATACAGTTTCATTTTGCGACCATCTCTCGCTGTCTAGGTCCCGAAATGCGGTACACCAAGGGCACCCATTCCCAAAGTGATGAGACTAGCAATAGACTCTCCGAGCAGAAGACCGCTTGCGAGTAAAATGATGCTGCCTTCGCCTTGATGTCGTTGCTTGTACCAGAGATAAACTAGACCTCCAACGGCGCGAGTAATTGTAAATGACGGAGTATTATAGATCCCTATCCAGGTGTTAGCGTCTGTTATTCTCTGATGACTAGAGGTGAGACTCTACCAATCGCAAAAGCTACGCCACTGGGAACCAAATGCTGCCACCAACGGTCGTGATATCTCATTTTGACCATGGTGGCAACCGCAGAGAGAACCGCAGCGCCAACCACAAATGGGCCTACACCGTCGGGCAATCCCCTACCAAGAAGGAGCCTCGCCGTGCTGAGAACGACAAATGACGCAGGAACTCGAAACAGGGGCCCGGGAATCGGATACTGAGACGTGTAGAGCTTGTAGATCCCCCCGGACACAAGGGTACCAAACAGAGATCCGACTATCTGGCCAGGTATTTGCACATCTAGACGGGACCCAACTAGGTGGCCGACTTTGAAATCGTATGACAAGGCTCCGGCTTGATTTGCGCCTGCTTGGGCGATAGCAGCGGAGAGTAGATTGAGAATGAGGGCGTTGGGGTTAGATGCAGGCGCCAGTAGTGTGAAGATCCACTGCGAGACTGCAAAATGATCAGTGATGAGAAGTTGTGTCAAGGAACTTGAACCGTACCCAGTGCGCTCTCCGGGTTACAGTCTGTCTCTGCTAACGCGCGGATGCCCACTGCAGCCATGGGGAGAGACAGAAATATCGCGATAACAGTGAACGTCCACGGCATTATACTGCCGAAGAGTAACTGCACGGCAGCGGTGCAGACAAGGATTGAGATGAAAGCGGCTGTGAGGGCTCTCCAGTGATCATGGTGATTCCGGAAGTGCATTCTGCTGCTGTCGTTACGGAATGTCGATTGGTTCCCGGGCGTGGGACGCTGATCTGCCATTCCGTCCTGGGCTGAGAACTCGTCCGGATAGTTGTGTTCCACTGTCATGTATTGGGTACGTGATGGCCTCAGAAGCGGCTGATCGCCTGAATCCGACTTCCAAATGGACTGAAGATAAGTTTGAATGATGACTCGCCGTTTCAAAATAGGGCTAAGAAGTAACCATGACATCTTGATCGAAGCATCAGCTAGTAGCGCAGCGAGGCTCACCCATATGATCCAACCTCTGGAACCAGTTGACCAGTCGTCCACATCCCCAGGAGCCCAGCCCTGGTTTCTCGCATAGGGGGACAAAATACCCCAACCTACGATTGCACCTAGTAGCATATGAAGCGTGATGACTGGACCTGTGATGATGCCTTGGCCGAAAAATCCGGGAGAAAGATCGACGCTCCAAAGCCATGATGTTGCAGCATTGTTTCCAAATACTGGAAGCTGGCGGAGAATGGGAATAAAGTAAATTACGATGGACTGAATTGGGCCTCAATATCAACCTCATAGGGGTAGTGTTCAAGATGGGGTGGCATACGATGATTCCAGCAGCCCCAGCTCCTTGAGATAGAGCCCGTAGCTTCTCTGTCCATGCCGTTTCTGGCTCGAGAGAGTTTGAGTCTGGGGATGATGACCGCAGTGTCTGATCGTCTTGGGCTGTCTGCACAGCTGTGAGAGCAGGGGAGCGCATGGGCTTGCCCTCATTGTGGAGGGTTGCAATGAGATTGGCCGTTGCGCGTGCTCCAGGCCATGGTAGTTTTTCTCGAACGATGAAATACTGGCGAAATAAAGAAGCGAATATAAGACCAAAAAGCGAAAGCGCGACAGACCAGACAAATATCGTACCAAGCGGAAGTACCATGGGCCCATTTTCCTCCTCGTTGATGAGAAACTCCAGTGCAGGAACAACGCCAATGAGCCCGGCCATAACTGGCATACAACCACATGCTGTAGCGATGCTGATCACCAAGATGTTCTCTGCCGGGGTGAACGGCTCTCTGAGATACTTCGAGCATGCTTTGAAGCCAGCGAATCCTAGTAGTCCGGACACCATGGACATTTGACTCGCAGCACCGATTTGGAGGCCATAATATGTGTTAGACAGGCTGATGAGGGTGCCAATGAAAAGCCCTGCCAGCAACGACCTCGCGGTGCAGCTTGGCTCCTCCATGGTGGGATCCGGCAATAGTGGTCCAACGAATGGAGGTCCGTGAGATGAGGTTCAACTAGATGGCCAAGAGACGTGGGCAGGTTATGCGGCTTGCAGCGGAGGCCTGTTTGATTTCCTGGCTGAGGATGAGCAGAGTTGCGGGTGTGTGGAGAAAAGTCGTGGGCAAGCAGGCAATGACAATAACAAAGACGCGTTCTGGGTACATAGAGGTACTGTCTACCTGATCAGCCGTGCCAAAACTGCCGCCGAGTAAGTCACTTGTATCTCAACACTACCTTCAACCAACTTCAAACCTGGGCCAGGGCGCTCACAACTTGTACCTCAGCTCCAGTATTTGCCTCTCCCGCAATTCTATGGTGCTGGGAAGGCTAAATGTATGGTGAGATACCTGGGGCCGACTTAATGGTGGATATTTAAGATATCGAACCAGCATTGGCCTCTTCATCACCAACAACATCAACTCAGAGTGGCCCAACGGACAAATTTTGTAAATAATTTGGAGCCTAGTCTGATCTATTACGTACGGGCTTAATGCCTCTACAACTCTACAGTACACTCTTCAAGTATAGCTCTAGTACCTACTTATCTTACCTTATCATACCAAGGCAGCTATCTAATACTTACTACATCCAAGCCAGCCACTTTCTACCCAAGTTAGTCCCTATTCCTACCTAGTTTACTGACTGGCTGACTGTCTTAATGCAACAAGATAGCTGCTGAAGTCTGGGTTCACCACAAGCCCTGTGGCCAGTATGGTTATTTTGAATACCGGAGAGAGTTTTGATAGAGAGTTAAAACAAAAGAAGAAGTGAGATATAATAAATACGAAAGGTTAAAAAAAAAAAAAAAAGCTTTACTAGTATAAGGCTGCAGTCATACAGCAGAAAATTCTGTAAACCTTTATGCCGATTACTCGCTTGCTATCAGGACGAGCTGCGCGTCGAATGACTACTAAAGCTGCCCTCTTCACCTGGCTTCTTGTCTTCTATCACGCCAATCCACACACTTCAACCCAAGAAGGGGGGAAAAGACGTGGAAGAAATCAGGGGTCGGAAGATAGCGTTAATAAAAAAAGCTTTTAAACCTTTAACACAATGAAAGACAACACAGTGAGGGATGATTATTTTGAATAGCTGTTGTGTTATAGACTCTGAGATCAGAAATCAGTAATTTCCTAAATAGAATATCTCAGTTTATTTATAAGAATTACTGTGCTTTTTTTTTACTGTATCTAATTATATCTTATAATATCGATTTTTCAAATAAAACCTTATCTCTTTCTTGCCCTTACTCTCCGAGATATCCCTAGTCTGTTTATCTTCTATTTTATTAAACTTTCCTCTTAAGATTCTTTTTTAGGTTTTTTTACTATATATAAGGGATATCCCAAGACCAGGCTATATATAACTTGATATATATATTTAGCTTTTAACCAATTTCCAGTCTATACCTAACCTTTAACTCTGGTTCTTTTGGATTTTCATTATACAGCCAGCTAAGGCACAGGTAATAATATCTCCAAAAACTCTAACAAGGGCTTGTTAAGTATATAACTTAGCTATAGGCCCTAACTTAAGATTTTATATGTAATAGCCCGAGCTTTCTTTTTATATATAGATTTTCTTCCGCTCAGTAGCTTATTATTACTTAGGATAAGTAAAATATAAGCCCTGATATAAATCAGATACTTAGCTGATATACCCTTTAGCCTGGAGAGATATATATACCTTACTCTCCTTATCTTATTTATCAGCCTATACCTTTCAACTTCAGATCCCTTTAACCTGCTTCTATAAGATAGGAAAGCTAACCCTTATCTCAAAGGATTTATAAGAGGTTTAACAGTTGTACTCTGATCTAACAAAGAATTACCTATAGCAGCTATAAAAAACCTACTACCAGAGACTCCAATATTTGAGACTATCAATCCTTACGCAGCTAAGAATGTATTTTGGAATAAACTATTACAGTCGAGATTGGCTACCTCTCTCTAGGTATCATAACAAGCTAATATTTGGCTGGACAATGGACAAGAGCTACTACGGAGTACCTTGAGTACAGCAATCCATGGATCCTTCTGCAATGTTGCTTCCATGGCAAATCCGCCTCTTCTCTGTTATTGTTCCCCATCAATCAGATGCCACACTGCCACATGCTTCAATACCAAATGTAGGAGATCCGATAACCCTGCTTTCATCAAGCCCACTCTCTACCAACCCGATGTCCCCCCCAAGGGTCAGTGAAGTCTCAACAATATTAGCAGCTTCACAGCACGCCTGTTTACGTTCCTTCCACCACGGTTCACAATTTGGTAGGGATGTGGCGCAACAGGAAGCTCTCTACGCAGCTCTCAGCCAACTTTTCTAATCCTCCGCTTCATTCCAAGTTCAGCCCCTCAACTTCCTCCACTATCGCATCGTTTATTCCCCAATTGGGATTCTCTCATGATTCGTGGGGCTTCACCATCGCACGCTTCGGTCATGTGCTTCACCTCTTGTTTCAACCTGGAATACTCTCTATCCAGATGCCCGAGACTTGCGTTGGGCCAGTCGCTTGAGGTGTTTGCCGGGCTTTTTTGGAGAGCACCATATCTTAATTGGGTTCGGGATCGAGTTTACTTTTCTCGAATGAGACAGGAACTATACTTCAGTCCTTAGATCATAGTGTCGGCTACTCCATTCTACCGGGGCTTCGTGATAAGAACCTTGATATCATCTGGACCATCATAGAGTTCCTAGTTGTAGCAGGAATCGACGTCCATTATTTCCACGTCGACGCGGTTCACCAATTTGAATTGCCCTCTCGGCTCTGCCTCATCCTAGTTACATTGATTCCTTGATCATGGAGACAATATACACCCAGGCACTCCGCCACGTTGTACGAGCTACCGTGGCTCCTAGCCCCGTTCTCTCGGGTCCAATGTCCGGTATCCACGCTCATTTCTCGACAAATCCCAATCCTCCCGATTCATCATCCTTACTAAGTGGAGTCCTTGCGAGAATGAAACGTCTGTGTGCCATTGGGCTATTAAGTTATGATAGTTATTGCTGCGTTGTCTCTGATTGCGAGGGTGAATGGATCGCATTGGGTACAGGTAACAAAGATCTGCCTATTCGTCAGTTTCATCCGGGACCATGGGAATTTAGATTCCTTGATGCTACAGCCAACGGCGAGCTTTTTACATCGGCTTTGATATCAGCTGGGTCAGACGGGGTAAAGACTGGTTAAGTGTTGGAAATGAAGGACTGTAGAGTTGCCCCCTCAGCGCTTGGTTCCGAAGAGGTCGTTGTCAAACTTCACGATGTGGATGTGACGGAACGGATGCCAAAGACCCAAGAAGAATTACTGGAAGCCGCCAAGGCCGATCAAGAGATCGCCAAATGGATTGGGAGAGAAATGCATAATCAATATTTCAAGGTTAAAGAAAAGGAAACGGAATACTTCCTCAAGAAGACCGCGGATGAGCGGAGATGCAAATTCCTCGATTGATTTTAACCCTCAAACCCTCAAGAGGCCTTAGTAGTGTTACTAATACAATCGAGCGATTGTGCAGCTGATAGGTGTCTATACTCGTAGGCTATCAATAAACACTTCGTCCCGTTTTCACCTCTATAGGAATTCCCGCGGCCTTCATCCCCTTGGTAGTTCGCTCCAAGAGAAGAAGGTCTGAGCCTGTGACAAAACATAATTAGTTGGTTGCCCATCACTACGGAGTGGAAGGATTTCTGGCCTACTGCGGTTCATTTCCTTGGTTAGCTGTATCCACGACATGTAACTGGAGATACACCCTGAGCCTACCAATAGCAGTGATTTCTGGCGCCCGCGTGATGGGCGACATGTTGAGCGACGCATAGCCGTTCAATAAGCCATAGGGCCTTAAAGTCACATGTCAGCGATACTTTCGATAAAGAGCGAGTCTTGCGCAACAGGGAAAGTAGCTTACGGCTCGGGAGAATCGCGGTAATTTGGCTTGCATGCTTCAATTGGGAGGACCATGATCTTGATGGAGTCTTTGGACTTGGTAGAGAAAATCTTGGAGGGAAGCCACTTCCGGTAGACTTGGCAGCGGCGCCGGCATTCGTCGCGCTCTTCCTTGGAGATACCCATCCTATAGCATATATCTCAGTACACGTAAAACATCTATGCTGCCAATCCAATATACGTACCATTGCCATTTAACAAATTGGTGAGTAAATTGGGTCCTGCCAAATTTCTCATAGTATTCAAGGCGAAAGGGCTCCAACGGATGATATCCATCATAAAAGAAGGAATAAATACGGCCTGTTAAGGTAAGCAAATGATCACAATCATTGTCAGAGATGTCTCATATGGTCTCCAAGTACTTCGCAAGATCTACATGTTCTGTTCCATGGGGGAGGTCGTCTTTCCAGACCTTCGCTATGGAGGCTGGTGTCCTTTTGACATTCAAGACACTCTCTAGGCCTGAAACAAATTTAGCAAGGACTTTCGTTTGTTCGGCATTACGTGTGCGCAAGTAGTCCAGTGGGTAGAGAATTTCGATCGCAACCTGCAGTGGGTGTGAGCGCCATGATTCCCATGAACTGTGATGAGTCCTACTTCTGATGATGGTTGGCGAAGCAAGGGTGCGTCACCGTACCAAACCGATATAATGTCTTAAAATGTTGTCAAATCTCTTCCAAAGAAGCCAGGCATGTCGAATTCTCTAAAGTCAGATGAGGTTAGACAAGTTCAAACGGAAAACGCAGCAGCGACATGGGGAGAAGAGTTCCTAGGATAAAAAGTCTTAGCAGAAGGCAGTTTTCACGCACGGGAACTGCCCAACAACTCCATCAGTATTCATGATACCTGTTGTTGGGCGTATGGTATGGCATCCATTGTAGTAAGCAGGTTGCGAACGCTACCGTTGGCTAGGTTGATCAGCATATTAGACGTGGGGGCAGGAGAGAAACGTGGTGATGAAGACTTACTGTCCGACCCAAGAGAGAGATCCAACCAATCGTAAGAACCGATAGCAGCGGCGCTGCCGCTGCTACTACCAGAAGGAACTTGATATCCATCGCACCGGGGGTTGAAGGGGTCGGTGAACTCAACTGCCTCCACTGGCTCCTCGCGGACAGTCAGAGCTTGGAGCTTGCGCTTTCCAACAATACTGGCACCCGCATCGATGAGAAGCTACACACAGTGGGCATTCTTGTCGGCAGGAGGATATAGATCTCGCCGTGCCAGATTATTCAGCGTTGTTTTATGGCCCGCGATGTCAAAATTATCCTTGACCCCAACACGAACACCATCGAGCGGACGAGAGGGTGATGGTTTGAAGTAGCAACGAGAGGGAACAATGACCCGACCGTCAATGCCGGCTTCTGGAGAGTCAAGCCTGGTCAAATTATAACAACAAACCAGCCGTGACGAACTCACAAAGGACATGGGGAGGGGGGACTTATCCATTAGGGCTAGCGGGATTGGGTTTGAATGTGCACATAAAGGTAGCATTGAAGTCGCGGTATACCCGCCGCGGCTGCCAAACACGCCCCTTGGTGTAAACATACGGTCCCGGCGGTGTCGAATCTCGGCCATTACCTTCCTCGAAAACCCGACTTGTGGCCCCCCATCTGGCCAACCCCTCAGTTGCATTGGAATCCAACTTCACTTCGGACTCGCTGCTTCCGTGGAAGACAATTGTACGAGCAAACTCAGACTGAAAAACATCGTCAAGGTCAAGCACCTCTGATCGGAAGGCAGAGAGTGTCTCTTGGGAGATGGTGTCTCCAGGTTGTGTAGGGTAGGCAACAAAGAGGATGCACGGCGCTTGCTCAGAATTGAACGAAACAAAGCTGGTGCTCTGTGGTATCAACACGTACGGTATGTCGTTGACATGGAGCTCGACTTCCTCTTCAATCGATACGTTCGGATGGGCAACGGTCGCTTTCCGAACCATTGTGGATGGCAGGGCCGTGAGCACAATAGCCGCGTGGAGCTACAGAAGTTTGTTTTCGAACCCAGAGGTCGGAGAAGACGGAATGAAATGGAAAGAAGGGAGATGTTAGCATAAAATAACAAATAGGGGGATTTACGTGGATGAGAAGAAGGGAATTAAGTACGATGTTGAGTTGACTTTCGGCAATGATGAATCCATCCTGGAATGGCTGGAGGGAAAGAGCCCCTGAAGCCGGAACTGCTGGTGGCACGTGCCAAATCTAACCGGTCAGCAAAGCCCGCACCTTCTGCTGTTGTGCTGCCGCGACACCCAAATAAACACCCAAATATCCAAGTAAGTAGCTACTTGCAAGCGGAGATTAGAGAATACCTACCAATAAGTGGACCTTGACATTCTTTTCCTTCAGTCTTAATTGAGTAATTTTATAGTAGCTATAAAAGAAAATAGATCAAGTATGTGTTAAGGGAGTGCTTAGGTGTGCCACTTCCCCTGCCTAGGTGCCATCCACTGATGCGCTCTCAGCACCAGAGGCTAACTGAAGGCCTGTGAAGATCTGTGCTAAGCGGCCAGGACCCCTGTGGATCGTTTTACGGCAGTGAGTTAGCGCTTTATTTAGCGGCCTCTCCCCTCCCGTCTTTCCCCCACACCTGGAGATCAGGGAGAGGCCCACTAATTAGTAGACCCCAGGCCTAAACTTGAAAGATTGAGTGTGCCACACAACGAGAAATAGAACGAATCATGAAGAGTCCGGTGTTGCACAGACATGCCCGTATCGTATGATGATCGACGCCCGAGTCGCTTGAGAGAGATACGAGGGCTTCACCCAATAACTTTTTGGTAGCTGTTCACGTGGGGCTCACTGTTTCCCCCCCGCCACCGCCATTCCCGGGTTTCAGTCGCAATGCACCTTCGGCCGTCCTGTGCCAAAGTGCGTAGCCGGTACTTGGAACTACAAAGCAAAGGAAACATCTCGTCCCTGGGTAGCAGTTCAAAGTCACCACCAATATCAGTCGCACCCGGTCCTTGGCCGCCATGGATGGGCGTCGATCTCTTCCCTTCCTGGCTTGGGCGATTGGTTTCTGCTGCTTTACACCGTCAATCGGATTTCCCCTTTGACCAAGTGGATGGTGGCAAGAGCATTGTGTTGCCATGGACGTTATCCGTTATCTCAATGCGACAGCAATGGGATGGGGAAATAAATTATCCTTCCTTCGGACTGTGCCTTGCACCCGTGCGCCGTTGCAAGCTCACCTGGATTTCGACTGCATGTGATGCTTAGGCGCACTCGACACTACCTACCTAGCATGACACCCAGATAAGACAACACCTTGTTTGCTATTTTGCCACATCCCGAGGGAATAGAAATGATTCCCCGGCACACCTTTCTGTCGAAATCGAACACCATTAACTCTCAGATCAAGCCATTCGTCTACATCCCCTTCCCAACCATCTCTATCCTTGAGCAAGATCATAGATTTATATCCTCGCGGGGGAATGAAGTTCGAGACCAGGTAGATCACAATAAAAGACCCAATGCATTGATTTCTTGCCTTCATCGTTTCACTAATATTGTCGAAACAGCCTTGTCGCCGTGCCCGGCCTGGGCACGATGTAAGGTATCGTGCAATGAGGCCTCATGTTATGTTCATACAGAGGCTATAGCGTCCACTGGCCGTATGTAATACAATCAGAACCCGCAAATTTGGAACACACGAACTGTAACAAGCTTTTTTCATAATACCATTTTATGCGTTATTGCTTTTCTTCCGAATCGCGGGATAGGCATATATGGTAAGGAAAAGCATAAGCTCCTGTTGAACAAAGTCGCCAGTCCATACCAAAATCAGGGTGCCAAGAAAGCTTGCTGCTTGATTACATTGTTGAGGACTGATCGTGGAACGGCCTGCCGAGCAAAGATGTTTTGTACATTGAATGACACATCCAGCCATGCTCAACCACTGAAGCTAACCATCGAGCGAGGTGATGTCGCGTGAATAAACTCTCGAAATTAGTTCTACTTTCGTGGTTTTCATCAGGGAACTACGGTACATATGCTCAGTTAGAGCGCATCTGCTCCTACTGTAGTCTACTTCAGTATGCTCCAGCGATTCGCAAAATCCCATTTAGCCCCGATCATAGTTCAAAAATTTGCAAAGCACTAGTTGTCTGAATCCACCAAGATGTTGTGCTGGACTTTTACTTCACGAGTTGAATTTCTCAGCAACCTGTTGAGGTGCTGCCATCCAACCTACGAGCTCCCGGTGAGATAATCTTGAACACCGAGTCCATCCGCAGCAGGCGGCCATCATATGGCGTTGGAACTTAATAATGACGAAGGTCTACCACCCTTTCTTTTTCTCTTTGTACTAGTGCTATAATTCCAGGAAAGTAAAACACATAATTAATGAAGGCCCCATGCTCAGCCTTTACAATATGAAGTGCAAATAGTGACTAGCATCGATGTTATGTGAGTGTATGAGATAACATCAAAACAAGGTGTGTGTATTGAGGCCTTTCCCTTATTCACCCTTCATTTCTCCAATAGAAAGAGTAGTCTACTGTGGCGTGGAGAGTCGCATCCGTGTAGAGCCTTGAACCCAGACAATGCACGGCAGTAGTAGGATCGAGCCTCTGAAGGCCTCCCCATATGAGGGAGAACATCTCCTATGCTTTCCAGGGTATTGAGTGTGCAAATGTAGTTATCGCAATCTGCTCCAAATGCTTGTTGGTAGCCCTCGAGGGCTCGTAGATGCATAGTATGAGATTTTTCAAATTAGTTCTGTACTGCAAACAGCAAACCAATCTCATTGATCGCAGTTAGTGTCGAGGGATGTGAAGGAGAAAGCACCTTTTCTCGACTCTCTAGTACCTGTTGAAGCATGTCCGCCGCCTCGTTGAACCTTCCTTGGCGCCGGTAGAGTTCCCCAAGACCGCTCTTGGCTTTGAGAGCTGAAACACACTCTCCACCGAGCTTGTTCTTGTATCCTTCAAGAGCTCTCATATACATGCCCTCGGATTTCTTATATAGAGCTTGAAACATATGAAGCCTGGCAGAGTAGTAGACGGCGTCGAGTGTGACCAGATGAGCTGATCCTAGTGATTTTTCAGCCTCTTCAAGAGCGTGGTATAAGGTTGTTTCAGCTTTCCCGAAATAGCCCTGCTGAATACAAAGATCCCCAACTCCCGTCAGTATATCAACTGAGAAGACGTAGTCGATTTCTACAACTCCCTCCAATTCACTAAGTGATCTGTCAAAATATGCCTTGGCCTTGGTGAAGTTTCCACATTCTTTGTACAAATCTCCGAGGCTGTGGATCGTTTTCAGAATTGAGATGTTTCCGTCATCTAAAAGCAGCTCTTTGCCTCGAAGTGCTCTCTGAAAGGAGGCCTCCGCCGCGTCATATCGGCCTAAATGGAAATGAATTAATCCGAGATTATTGTCGGTGTTAAAAGTAGAAACATCGTCGAGTCCGAGATTTATCTCTTTTCCGGCTAAGCATTGCTGAAGCCTGGCTTCTGCATCGATGAAACGCTCTTGCCTGGCATAAATAACAGCGAGGCCCTCCACAATATTCAAAGTTCTCTCATGGTTGGGACCAAATAATCTCTCCGCGGTCCTGAGAGCCTGGATGTGCTTGTCTTCGGCCTCAATGTATCGCTCCTGGTAGCCGAGAACAAGTCCGAGGTTGAGAACCAAGTCCATAGCCAAGGCGTGATCCGGTCCCCATCTTCGCTCATGTATGTCTAACGCCTTGTTGAGAAGTTTTATCGCTTTTTCGTAGTTCTGTTGATCGCTACAGAGGTCTCCCAAATGATAGTAAATAAGCGGTATATTCTCAGTTTCCAGCTCTTCGATTGAATGAGCCGAACAAATTTCAGCATGTGATAATAGCCGTCTCTGAATCTGCCGTTTTTGTTCCCCGTCGCTCCCAGAATCACAGAAGGCGACGCTCTTAACAGCAATGAGAGCTAAATCAACATCGGGCTCGGGATTGAGCGCGTGTTTCATCCACGCATGAACGCATTGGTGAACACTGTAACCACGCGAGAACGCTCCGTATTCGGCGTCAGAATTTGCCTCAGCAAGACCGTGATTGCATATCAATCTCATGGTCATATCGAACGAAATGCGATTGCTGGTGATTTCTCGCAACCAGAGTGGCCCGTCGGTGCTTGTTTGCAGCAATTCATACCAAAGATCTTCATTGTCAAAATAGGCCCAAAGTTTGAGGAGCATTGCTGCAGCCTGGCTTTTTTGCTGAATTTGAGCATAGGTTACATCCCATGTCGAGTATAACGCTCGATTCTCATATGATAACAACGTTGGGCTCGACCGTTGAAGTTGTAGCCAGTAGTTTTTATACAACTCCAAATATTCAGAACAGCTTGTAGATACCTGATAAAGGTATGCTCCAGCAGTAGATAGGGCTAGGGGAAGTCCGTCAAGAAGTTTCACTAATTCAATTGCCGCGGGATCTTTACTCGTCAGTCAGGAAATATAAGTGACTATCCTCTTCGGAGTTCAGGTTCATACCTTGGAGGACCTCTTCGCGATTAGATGCAAGACTTAATAATTCCAAGCTCGCTGAGATATCCTGAAACTTTCCTAGATGGAGCATTTCACCCACACCAGTTACTGGAATCCTTGTTGTAACAATAATTGCACCCTGGTAGTTGTGTGGGAAATAGGAACGAATGTCGTAGCCAGCTGGAGCTTTGTTCTCGGATTGCGTTCGGGTTACGTCCCCGGCATCATTTGTACCAAATTCCGGATTATCATAGTTATCGAATATCAGAAGCCATCGGACATTGTTAGGTTGATCAAGCCACTTCTTAACTGCGGCCAAGATCTGCTCCGATTCGGCGCTTTCCAGCGCTGCTCTGATATACCCCAAAGATCCATTATGCTGTAATATTCGCTCCGCTGTTTGAGAGAAGCTTTGCCGAAGTGATATCTCGTCTTTGGCATTCAGCCATATGACCGCCGAATAATGCTGCTCGTAGGATTTGACATAAGCTACCGATAGTTGGGTCTTTCCCACTCCGCCTAGGCCATGAAGGATCGCAATACGCCGTGCTTCGGCCTTTGATAGTAAATCGTGGAGCTGTTTTAACTCGGGTTTCCTGGCAATAAGGCGAACAGCTTCACAAACACCAGCTAAACTCAATGGAAGGGAAAATTCGTCGCCGTGTATAGTCATATGTCTAGCTGTCATTTGTTGAGCTAACAGCTACCAGGCAAAGGAATTTGGGTTATAAAGTAGATTTAAGGATGCCTACCTTCATCAATCCGGGAGTCCATCTCCCATTTCGATTTCACATGCTCACTAGAGTCTGAAATTAGGAGCCGGATATGACCACAAATGGTCCTATAGCCGTCGTCCTCTCTTGACGAATATTTGACCATATTCTTATGATCTGCGTGTATGACGATTGGTTCAGCGTCTGATTGATCTGCCGGTACCGCCGAAGTGCGTGGCACTACCTGATTCTACTCAGTACTCATATCGAAACACGGTGTATTCAAAGAGCTCACCATGAGGGAATGCCCGAGGACAGTCGGTGTCTCATACTCCTCGTACGCAAATTTGGTCACAAACTCATCACAAATCCGGCCGTAGCCCTTTGACAAGTGTTTCAACCATTCAGAATCTTGCCTTAAATGCCGGATCAAATGATCATCAGCCGGCACAAACACCGAGGCAATATTTGCCAGCATCTGGCCCAGCTGTGCGCCGTTGCCACCTTGATGAGGTGTACTCATATATATGATAGCATGGGTGGATAATGTGATGGAGCGATGAGGGTGAAGCGAGCCATGAGAAGCGTGATCCGAATGGAGCAATGCCTTGTTTGTGACTAATAGTTAGAGTCATCCCGCTAGAGGAGGCTTGAGAATAACCTACGCTCTTCACGATTAATCCACCCAGACTGTGTGCAACCACAATAATGGGTCTTTTCATTGTCTAAAGGCTTATCAAAACTGTCCCTCGGATAATCATTTGTGGGTAGGTACATGAGAAAGACCCAATACTCACGTTGGTAGTTTCCCTTAGCAAACACAGATCTGACACAAGGCTCTGTCCATGCTCCTCTATGTTCAACGAACTCACGCGAGGGGTGCCTCGCACTCGAGAGTCGTACCCCCATAACAGAATACGGCTGTGGGGGATATCTTCTGGTAGAAGGTCACGAAGCCAGTGCGTCCCATTGGCTGCGGTCCAAGTCTTATCCCGGTGGCCGTTGAGGCCATGTACGGCAAGGATGCTAAGAAGTTAGTCAATCACTAGAAGGGCAGGGATCGTTGGAAGCATGAGCTTACTCCACCACTGGGTTCGCCCCTTCAAAAATCACATACAGCCCTTGTGGAATCTGCTTCGATGTCTCAATAGTGGTCGTAGTTACTACTGAAACGGCTGAGGGGGGTCGCCATAGTAGTTTTGCTCGCTGCCGTAAGCGATTCCAGGGCTTTCCCGGCATTCTGCTGGAAAGAGCTATGTCGCTTTGTCACTGTATACTGCTTGAAATCTCGGAGAGGAATTAGTTTCGAGGTTGCAATCCTCCATCAATACCATGGCATCAACGATAGGTGAGGGATTGCGATCTACTGTGACATAGGTAATTATGTCTCATCGCCAAGGCAAGGCAAACGGCCCCGCATTAGGCAGATATTACTTACTCAGCACTGTCAGCGTTGAGAAATTCGCTCAGTCCCTGTCAATACGTCCTTCTCCATAATCCAATATCACGTAGTGTCCTCCGCTGGACGCCCTTAAAAATGCCTTGTAAGTGGGGTTCCCCGTTACCTATCTTGTTCAAATTAAGCGATCCAGAGACTGGGAACTTGCGGATGTTACCGCTAATGTCAAAAAGATTGTTGGTATTGGCAAGGTCTAACGCTTCTCTGCCGGTTGAAAGTTCAGTTTATATCTCGGGGTAGCTTATGCGTTGCAGGATGGTTTTGTTTCAAATGACAAACGTAATAGCCGTGGTATGGCGCTACAGTTTGCATTTATAATCGCGATATTTCTAGACTAAACAAGCCGCCATATGATCACTAACCGAAAGCAGTTGACCCTTGAACGACGTTTCTGTGCTCTCGTCGATGGTGCTATGCTGAGGCATGTTACCAAGCGTTCTTAAAATGACATGACCGGACAACGTAACTATATGAAGCTGTGTTGACCCATGACGTGGTTATAATTCTATTTAGCCGGAAGACCCATCGTTCGCCAAGAATGGGAGGGGTAATGGCAATGATACATATCCAATTGCACCTTCTTCTCTGAGGAGATCGGTGTAACTACTGCGGGAAAGGATAGTTTTTACTCCGAAGCAACTCCAGCTTCGGGTTTAGCGGACGTACAATCAGCCTCGACACACCCAGTGAAATCTCTCCATCAAACACAGTCCACTATGGCCGAGTAGCAAGGGGCGAATGACGATAGCGAGCATGTCATATATACTGGTACTTCTTTAGCCTTTTTACCCGGCTAAAGCTGGCCTTTGTATAAGCCAATCCTTTGTTGAAAGTGATGGATGCTATTATGATAGTATATAATGGATAACATTGTAGCATTCAATGCCCAACAACTACAGCAGCCCCATCGTCAGCATGAAACTCTTTCAGCTGACCCTGTTGGTCCTCTTTCTCGCTCTCTCCACTCTCCCAACTCAAGCCCAGGAAGCAAACTCTACCTTTTTCAACCCAGTGCTCCCAGGCTGGCACTCGGACCCATCCTGCATACGCGTTGATGATACCTTCTACTGTGTAACGTCTACCTTCATTGCCTTTCCTGGCCTCCCAATCTATGCATCAAAGGATCTCAAGAACTGGCGTCTCATCTCACACGTGTGGAACCGTGAGAGCCAGTTACCAGGCGTGTCCTGGAACACTACGATCCAGCAGGATGGCATGTGGGCGCCCACGATCCGATACCATGACAACGAGTTTTGGGTCATCTGCGAGTATATACTCAATGGCGCTACCCTTGAAGACGTTGGTGACGGTACTCTTGGTGTTCTCTTTCGAACAACAGACCCCTGGAGTGATGAGGCTTGGACAGACCCGTTGATCTTCCACCCCAACAAGATTGATCCTGATATCTTTTGGGATGATGACGGCAAGGTCTACGTCGCCACGCAAGGCATTGTTCTCCAAGAGCTTGATCTCATCACAGGAGAACTTACTCAGCCGGCTATCAGTATCTGGAATGGTACCGGTGGCAATTGGCCTGAGGGTCCACATATCTACAAGAGAGATGGCTGGTACTACCTGCTCATTGCCGAAGGCGGTACGGGATCTAAACATGCTGTGACTATTTCTCGAGCGAAGAAGATCTATGGGCCTTATGAGTCTAACCCAGCCAACCCCATCCTGACCAACCGCAACACGACAGAATATTTCCAGCGAGTGGGGCATGGGGATCTCTTTGATGATGTCGATGGAAATTGGTGGGCTCTTGTACACGCCTCAAGATGCGGCAACGAGTTCAAAGTCCACCCAATGGGTCGCGAGTCGGTCATCGCCCCTGCGCGCTGGGACGAGGTTGGATGGCCAGTCATAGACACGGTGCGAGGCGAGATGGAGACGTGGCCCCTACCTGCCGAGAATAGGGATGTCCCTGGTGATGGTTACTTCAATGGCGAGCCAGATGAATTCGATTGGGATGCTTCATCCGTCATTCCAAAGCACTTCTTGCACCACCGCGTCCCGAGATACGAAAACTTCGAGTTCACTGAGGACGGCCTCGAGATAGTTCCTAGCAGGAGCAACCTCACCGGGAACTACGGCGGCGATATTTCGCTCACTGGCCAGCGAGGCATCTCGTTCGTCGGGCGGAGGCAGACCCAGACCATCTTCAACTTCAGCGTCGACGTCTCCATTTCGGCGACGCAGGTCGGCCAAGAAGCTGGCATCACTGCGTTCCTTGCTCAAGAGAATCACATGGAGATTGCGCTCGCTTACCTCAAGCCTTGTAATGAAGAGGCGGGCCTATTCGTTCGTTTCCGCTCTCACGGAGCTCTCAGATCCCCGAGTGCACAGTTCCGCCTACCTTCGGACTGGGTTGACGCAGAGTCAGTTCGCCTCCACATTCAGGCGAGAGATCCCGATAACTATGTTCTCGGTGCCTCGTTGAGAGACGGAGAGATACTCGAGTTGGGAACTGCGTCCGCGGAGCTGATTTCTAGACTAGATAGTGCGAAGAGTGGCACATTCATTGGGGCTCTTCTTGGAGTGTATGCGACGTGCAATGGCGCAGGGGAGGGGATGGATTGCCCAGAGGGAGGACTTGGCAAGTTCCAGAGATGGCGATATTCTCCTGTCGCGCAATATGTTGACTATGATAGATCCGTTCCAGTTTAGCAAGAGAACGAGGACGGCGATTCAAAGTTTGGTTCCATTCTTGCAGAGGACTGCCACGTTCGAATGTAACTGAACCAATGCTCGAGCCTAGCAGGGTTGATAGATCGCCGGTTCTCCTTGGTGGGGGAAACCTTGCCGTCAATGATCTGGACAAAATTATTTCCAACATCCATTGTGCCTGAGTAAATTTATCAGCTGGTCAACTCAAAGTGAATATTATGGTTCAATACAGTGAACACCGGGGTGGAAATCATAAATCTAAAACTTGATCCTTTGTTTGACCATACTCTCACACCGCCATGAGCTTGATATCACGAATACATGGGCACTGTTTCAAACATAGGCATGCAGGGATCGGTCCGTCTCCGATGCGTTCGGCACGAAAAGGATGTGCAAGAGCCGCGAGACAAACTATTTCTCCCCACTACCCCGTGCTACCCCACGTATCTCCAGTGAGGGGATGAAAACGCCCATTCAAAGGGGAGTGTTGGCGTTGCGTCCAAGAGCCTTTTGAGCGTCTCATTAAGTACCTGTATAATAAGGATTGTGAAGCTTTGCGAAGTTAGATGGTGTGATTATCACTATCACATACTGAATTGCCAGTACGAGAAGCATTGACATATACTTGAAAAACAGGTGATTTATTGGCATGCCTTACTGGGATGTCAAAGCAAGTACTGGAGGTCCGAACTATTGAAGCAAGACATAGTCTCAGCAAGCTCCCCCTGAGCGAGATTTGAATGGCTATCGATACTACCGTCGAGGCCCAAATCCAAGTCCAGATCCACCGACATGAATGCAGGAGACCCTGCATTTGATATTTGCAAGTATTGTTCTCCCCTGACCTCAGTGACCATGGCACCGTAATCAACTGTAGACCATACCATCTCCTGGGTAGCCGGATCTATGTTATTTGAGCTACTGGCGTCCAGCAGCTCCGATACCCGGCTGCTGTTTGAGTCGAATAGCAGCGCCTTCAAATGCTTCATTGTGGAAATTGACACTTATTAGCAAAAGAGAATCGAGCAATGATCGAGTTCAAGGATTGAGGACAAACCATTTTGGATGCATGATCCCAAACACTGCCCATATTTTCCAAGGTCCGTAAAGCTTGTTGGCTGCTTGTGACCAGGTCAACACTCGGCGCTTCGTTCTTGCGACGTTTTGCCTGAATCACGATGGACAGAATGCTGCCCGCAAGAAATGCAGCATAGGCATAAAAGGAAGACTGAACGTGGCAGCCCCTTGAAGCGGCAGCGTCCAGCAGTCTGGCCAACTGACAAGCGTGCTCACAGCTGGTTTGAATAGTGCGAGTCAGAAAGACAGAGGACACTGTGCAGTGCAGCTTTTGAAGTCGCAGTCTAAGCAAAGGGGGGTGGTTCAAGAGACAGTGGCAAACATGGAATAAAACACGAGAAAATAATAAATGTCCAACTTGCTGATGATCCAGCGACTGATCTGACTTCCGGTACTGGGCTAAAGCCGTTTCAAAAGTCGAACCATCAGCCTGTATATGATGATCGCAAAGCATCAATAAGGAATTTATCGAGTTAAACTCGGATTTAGGGGCCCAGGGAGGTGGCTCCTCTGTTCGAGGCTCATGCAAAATATACCGCGCACACCTCCCAAGAGCGGATGATGCCAGGATGACAAGGGAGAGGGGGCTCAAAGAGACATCTGGGCCAATGTCCCAATTAAAAAACTGATACATCGTGATGGTCGTTTCGAAGCCTCCATTTTTAAATGTTTCTTCGCTGTAGGGAAGCCGAACTTGGCAGTCTTCATCATGCAAGGCTGGTGGGCGTCCCTGTTGGCAGGAAACAAGTTTATCCAGAAGGTAAATGGACCAGAACACTCGCCGTTGTTCTTCCTGCTCTATTTCTGGCAACAGAGGGCTTGGATCCTTCATCAGCTGCAAATCTTGAGCAATTCTTACAGCCATGCCGATTTTCAACCATCCAGAGCTAGTACGTCCCGCTTGTTTACGACCAAGTCAGCATGTCGTGTTTTGGTTGGAGGTTGGGAATCAAGGGGTGGGGTTCAATATACAAGTGAAATCGATAATCGCCAGCATGTTGATTGTCTGTGCGGCATTTAAGTTGGAAGGGGTCTCGCTGCTCATGTAGTCATCCAGCACCAAGAGCCACGCCTCCCTGGCGTATGCATCTGTAGCCTCGCGGACATAACCATGGAAATATTCATCGCCTGAAAATTTCAATGCTGATGCCAGAATCGCTAAGATGAGACATTTCGGAATTGCTTCACAGTCCAAGCGTTGTCGAAAATTGTCTTCTTGGAAGTAGGAATACGGCTGATTGTGTACGTGGAGGAAATAAGTATCTATCATCGCTTCCATTACTGGTGTCGGCGGCAGGTCTCTGAATCGCCTATGTCTCGGCAGTATCAGCTCCTGGTCTCGCCTTCCTGGAATCACGAAAAATCTCACCTTGTCCGAAAAGAACTTTCTGAACCGGACCCGGGAGATGAGAAGTCAAATCTCTCGTCAGCATTGTTTGATTCGTTAGGCTCGAAGATCCCTGGTTCTCCCTGGGAATTAGAGACGGAAGATGTTCGTTTTCCACCAGGGATCTCAAAGGAACATGATCGTTTTCTCCGTGTTTGAGCTATTGACGGGGAACTGGAACAGGATTCCATTAGTAATCTAGGACATGAAATATGACCGATGAATGCAAATATGACTGAAATGCGATAGCGCACCTTGTAGAGTAATCTCTTCGGCTCAAGCGGGCAAGCTCAGATTCGATATTTCTAATTCTGGTAGCCAGGTTCCCCTAGGATGGATCAACAAACCATACAGATTGGACATCCTTGCAACTTATCCTTACATCGAAGTTGTCCATGGTAAGGTAGAGATCGTGCTGTTGGTGGTTTGTCGCAATGGTTGTCGTTGGAAAGGGATGCGGATAAGGCTCATAGTGGCAAATTCGGTTAATTCGTCGACAAGTATTGCATTTTGGTCGGTCCCCAGAGCATTTCGTTTTTCGGCTTCTGCAAGGCAGTTGAGGCGCTTTTGTTAAACAAGAAAGAATGCGTGTGTCGGACAAAAAGGGATGATTTACCGGCAATTAGTGCAAGCTTGTCGAGTCCGGCGTATAGGTCTTGGAGCAGACATCTCGATCTGTTGATAGTCCAGGTGTAAATCGAGCTTGCTCTTCAACTCGACAATTGTTTTGAATGGCAGCAGGTATAGATAGCTTCACCGAATTGGTAGAGGGACGAATTGGCTGGTTTCAACCTTGGACGGTGGGAAGCGAGTAGTCTTGGAAAAGGGGAACTGATACGGGGTGTGGGGAACCCCGCTCCGATCTGGGGTAAGGCTTGGCATATTAACTGCTCTTGGTCATTTTCCCGCTGGCGGATCCATCACAGAATAAGGTACGTATGTATAGCTGATCCGCAGGTTTGTAGTGAATCTCCCTAAAAGCCCACCCCGGATTTGATATCGTGGCGCTTTGGTTCTCTCATCACAGCTTCGGCTACGTTCTAGTAGCTAGTCTATTGGCGAGCATGCTACCCTTGGGTCGGGTGAGATGTTGCTGATACTTGCACTTCCTATCCTCATTATTCGGCGAATCATCCATCAAGAAAATACACTTGGGTTTCTTTATGCGACCCAATGTCTTCCTAGCCCGACTGCGTACTTCGGGGCCAGATGTATCTTCCTGAGGGCGGATAACTTTCCTCGAAAAGTATGCCACCGCCTCTCCATACTTGGCGTCATCGACTGCAACGACACAAATTTCTCTCCATTGAGGATGAAAAGCAAGTAATCGTATTTTTACGTGGGCAATAATCTCTTTGCCTGTTATTTTCGCTACTCAGTTTGTTATTAGAAGAAGACCCGACCAGCTCTCAAAGGAGATGTTATAAAGATGGGAATGCTGACTAGGTAGAGAGGATCAAGATGCCAAGACGAATATACCTTGCATGATAATAGATTTCATGTGGCCTATAATGTAGCCATAGCCTCGCTCCTCCAAGAACCCCTCATTGACTAAATGCACCCGACGGACTTGACTCTCATTAAGGATGATTACCTCTTTGCTTTTTTTGTGAAGTGAATCCAGCTGCAAAGATCTCATCTTTGATGTCGATTCGTACAGTATTATCAGGCCGGTTTACTACTTTTGCAGCTATACGAGAAACCAGCTTCCCAATAGTATTGAATCTTCTTTCGTCTGAGGCATCGAGTGATGTAATCAACATTACTAGACCCATCTCCGTCGTTGCATATGCGACAAGCATTGCTTCGTAAAGGACCATATTTCGACCGCGTAAGGTATTGGAAATGATCCTGCAATCTAAAGACTCTGAGTAGTTATCTCTCTAGTTGTCATCACAAACAAAAAAATTCAAAAAAGACTTACTCCCTGTATTGCAGCGCTCTTCAACATTAACCAAGTAAGTGTTATTGAGTGTCACTACTGGACAACCATTGAAAGCACAGCCAAGAAATATATCGAGATACTTTTAGCATTTCTCAGCTAAACTCCCACACAACCCCCCTCTTTAAGACCTCATCAGCCACGATTTTGGCCACCAATTTGCTCCTATGATACGACTCGTAGGAGTCGATCAGAGCGTTCTGACTGCCATGTTTCCTTTCATTATCTCCTAAGGATGTCTCTCAGGGTTTTGATTTGGTGGGCCGTTGAAGAATAGAAAGCAATCAAATTCTTTGCAAATCATGCAATGCTTGATTAGGACAACGTAATACACCAATGTTTTGTAGCTGAAGAAACGGCAAAGTACAAGGGAATCTATCAAGAGAGTATGGATTTAGTGAGCCCACCAGCTCAAATATGCATCCAAGACATGGCTCATGATGATAATTCTACAAGATTAGGAGGAACATCGGTTGTCCAATCGGGTCCCTCGGACTTCGGTCCGCGTAGGGCCTTGTCACAGGAAAGGTCGGGTCACGATAGAGTAACAGGCTTCGGGCCAGGCATCTCACTCCCCGCTTCGGTTGAATCCTCACATTCAAGCGTGATGAGAAGTGCGCATTAAGCCATTCGTACTGCACCGTGGTACCCGATTGCCTTTCATCTCGCTCCTTTCTACTGTCGCCCCAAGAATCATTTATCCCGATAAGCAATACTAACCCACCTTAGAAGTCGGCACTCAAAACATGTTCAGCCATCGAGCCTCTGTCTTTCCATATATTTCTATTCGCCGGCAACACAGGGCTATCTCAGATGTTATATCCTTACAATTGCAGACAATTGGATCAACATTTACCGTCCCACAGTTAGAATAACAGAAGCGTCGGACATCGGAGCCTCAAACTTCTTTCTTCCCCAAATGAAATAATATACAGCACCAAAAAACAGCCAGCCAGCCATGACAACAATAGAATAATTCATGTTGGTGGATGTAACCGGCATAAGGATTGGGAACGTGCTGAAGATAATCGCAACTACCATCCAAACGATGGAAGCGATGTTGAGGCAAATTCCCAGCCAGTTGGGGAGTTTCATGTATCTCGATATCTGACTAATGTTTTGCCTACGCCCATAGAGGAGCATGTAAACAATCGGTATCAGATATGAGAGGTACATCCCAATGATAGCCATGGAAATGATGGCGTTGAAGGCGGTCGTGCTGCCGAGATAAATCAAGCCGATAGCCCATTGAAAAGCCACGCATGTAAGCACGGCGTTTTTCGGGATATGGAGATTCCCGTCGACTCTACTCAGTTGCTCGTGGAATGGTGTGGCTTTGTCACGGGCGAAGGCCCACAAAGTTCGAGAACTTGATGTCAAGCCGGCCATACTCGCCGCAGCAGCAATGATGGGGATGATCACAGACAAGACAGTGGCGCCGGCCCTGGACTGCGTAGCTTGAAGATACACCTCCATGAACGGGAATTGGGTGGGGGTTTGCAAGAGTGAGTCTAGTGACGTGGTCGCAAACAGAAGGACGATGCAATAAGCCAGTCCAGTGATACCGTTAAGGAGAACGCTGTACATCATGGCAAGTGGCACGTTGCGGCTCGCGTTGGGCAGCTCCTCGGAAAGATGACACGCCGCGTCATATCTGTAAAGTATTAGTACGTTTCCCATGACGAGAGCAGGCACTCAACAACTTGCCCGAGAAATGGAAAGACTGCGCTCTGCAGCCCAACAAGCCAGGAGATTCCATCACTTTCCCAACCACTGCTATTTTCAAAATCGGTGAAGACGAACGATGCAGAGTTTTTGTTCGCCATCACCAGCAAGGTGATAACAACTCCAATGAATCCTGCCAGATGAAGAACTCCTGAAGATAGCCCGCACGAGTAAGCTTGAGGTACCAAAGAGGGGTATGGGGGCTGAGTAGTAGTGCGTACCAGCAGCTGTATTAATATGAGGTAGAACTCTGAGGCCCCAAATATTAGTTGCGGCGGAGTAGGCCAAGATGGCCCAATAAAACAGCACACCTTGCCAGGGCTCCGATACGAAGCCATCGTTGTTTAACACGATCAAGCCTTGCATCTGGAGTCCTCCAGCAAACGCAGCAGAAGCGGAGAACAAAATCTGGCCTCCAATGGAAATCCAGCCTGTCAAGAAGGCCGGCAGTGACCTTTTCGAGGGTGGGCTCATAGCGGACACCCAGTGATATTGGCCTACGTGTGCGACAAGCTATGTGAATAGTCTATTCCACAACGTTGGAGCACGGACTCACCTCCAGCGGTCGGATAAATGGATGCGATTTCGGCCAACGACACAGTAATGCAGGCAGTAAAGACTAAGGCTGCTATACTGTTTGCTCGTTAGCCTCTCGCTCTGGCTCTCATCAAAGTTCAAAGGGCTGCATAGGTACTAGTTGTAGAGCAGGCAAGGTGGGCCGCCGCTCACAAGAGCCGTAGCCAAGACACTTGCCAATGCTTCCCATGTTGCCATGAGACACGAACAAAGAGCAGCTAGTGTGAACATTGAGAAGCTTCGGGGGAGTTCTTGTTCGTGGCCCAGGCGAACCAGCACCTCATCGTCCGTCTGAGCGCCCTGATGGGCTGTGGCTTTATGCGGGGACACATTTCGGGAACCTTGATGCATTTTCTCAGTGCTCATGATGACTTATTTCTGTTTCTCACTAACGGTTGCTGATTGTAACGGGAAGGTTGGAATGAAAAGAGGAATATAACAACGACACTGAGGGATAGTGTCAGACTATATATTTACAGCTACCCAAGCACAACTGATTATGCAAACTCTTCATTATCAAATCGGGGTAAAGTTGGGGTAACGAAGCCCTCTACCTGTCCAGAGGGTCTAGTCGTTTGTAGCCTATTGGACGCCTCAACCCTACAGTGGACGTGATACACGATACACGGAACGGACGGTTACAAGGACCGTAATCAGTTGACACATCTTGGCTTGTCTTATCTTTAGTTTCGACTAATTTCAGCTGTATCTAGACGGCGGCATTATTGCCACATTGGGGATGGAGAGAAGACCATCCACCGCCAATCAGCTTTGAATTGCGGACCGAAGAACTGGCTGATCAACTCTCCGCTTTTTGCGTTCCATCCAAGCGTCATCGAAGCCAGATGATTGCCACGGGCGCAAATTGCCATCAATGCGCGAGATATCGGCCCCGTGTCGTCAACCATGAAGCCAGGGCAAAGAGGCGCTTGCTTACAATGCGTAAGGCGAAAGAGGAAGGTAAGTTGACAGTCATGTTGACATTGCCCTCGATAGCATGTGCCTCGGTTCAGGGGAGTTGCTGACCTGGCTCAATCTTGTCCAGTGCGACCATAAGCAGCCAAAGTGCTCTCAATGCGTGCGGCTCGGGGTCCAATGCGAGAGTCAGACATTCAAGATCTTGACTACATCGGCTATCAATCTCGCACCTAGTCGACGTCGTCGGCACAAGCCTACGACTGCAGTCGCAACCTCCCAGAATGTAGACGACCAGCCACCACAAACCGGACAGATCTCACCCACCATCACCGAACTATTACTCGAGCCTGCCACACACGCCCGACAGCAAAGCGACATCGAGAGAGAATGGGATAAGCCATCTGCTGATGGCATGGGTGTGATGTTTGACTCAGCGAATGAGCCAAGTCTCATTGCATCCATCGATCAATTATGGGATCCAATTACAGTTGATGGCTGTGGGCTCGAGGAGTTCAGTACTTTTCCTGTGCCTCATCTTTGGGACTTACCCCCTGAAAATATGACCGATATATTAGGGTCTTTTGAAAAGCAGAGTGTTGGCCAACTCTCTCCTGACATATGTTTACCGGTACTCTCCCCAAGAACAACACAAAGACTAGGGTCTTCACCACTCATATCCCATACACTCCTCCCCGATGCCGCTCCCGCGAACTATACACCGGCCGAGCCAGTCCCTAATCTCAATTCCACGGTTCCCTGGCCTTCAGACATGCTACATTCTCCCGAGAGCCGTTTCTTGTGGCATTTTTTCCTCAGCGTCACCGAAGATGGGCTCCTGTGTTGTGATCTAGAACCTATGAAAAGTACGGGCTTGCAGGACCCCTATATTGCTGTGTTGCCGCAGCTCGCCCTTTCCAATGCCAACCTCCGGAAGGCAGTTCTCTGTTTTGGCGCTTCTCAGTATAAGGCGCTTGGGAGGGATGACAAGTACTCATCGATGGTTGTAAAGTTTTCCCGAGAGTCGTCCTTTTCCTTCGTCCGCGAGGCGACGAGCGTCATGCCCGACGAGCGAGACACCCTCGCTACCATCGCCGCTGGCGTCTTTCTTCACTACTTCAGCCTCGATCGCCGGACGCCATATCTGCATCTGTCGACGTGGCTGGCATCGAAACTGCTTTCGCGCCCAACCAAGTCTGCCAATATCCGCCAAATCTCGAACGAGGAGATCTTGACTTTATTGCGCTGGAGCGTAATTTCGTCCGCATGCTCGTTGGGTCTGTCCCAGACGTATCTCTCATTGGAGAACTTCCGCATGATTCAGCTACTGGAAGAGGAAGTAGGCTTGAACCTTTCAGGTCACTCTGCCCTCTTCAAGGACTGGGTTAACCATCCCCTGTATGCCTTCTCCTCGCGGCTCGTCAATCCGCTTCTCTTGATGGGCAAACTTATTCAACAGACGATGCTGATGGGCACGGGCCAAGGTATGCCGGAAGAGCACGCCGCCCAATATCAACAAGAGGTTCTGGAGGTCGAGGAAGGCCTCTCCCACGCTCGCAGGGAGGATCTGCGACTTTTGAATAGTCTGAATCCCACTGACCCAGATCCGCTGATTTGTGTAAATGAATCTATGCATGCTGCGGCATCCATCTTGCTGCACTCTCGCCTCAAGGGGTTGCCTTCTACGGCCCCTGTTATTCGCTCCAACGTAGATATCATCGTGAACCAGCTCTCGGATATAGCAGGAGACTCGAGGGCCTTGTTTGCAGTTGTATTTCCACTCTTCACAGCGGGATGTGAGGCCGTTGACTCACACGCCCGGAAAATGATCGAGCTCATGTTGCAATCCCCCAAGGGGCTGGCGTTTCACCGCGGTGATTTGGTGGCAGCGTTACGACATATATGGCAGATACGCGATCTGGAGCCAGGTCTTCCGTGGCCGTCCTGGCGAGATCGAGGTAAGAAAAAATCAGAAGCATTCTGCAGCCAGCTACATCAAGTTAATAACTGTTTATGCGTAGTTGATCATCCATATCGGATTGATCGTCTGATCTAAGAATCCTCTCTTCACATTAAGTCCAAAGTGGAAGCTACAGTATAACTACAACAGAAACAGGGCTACCACTCCGATCGGGTCGCCTTTCCAGTACAAATGTTACCCGAGCTAGATCTTCGCCTATTTGCCAGATGGGACATTCATTGGGCCTCTCCTCACGAAGATGCTCATTACTTCATAGATCAAATCTGCTGCGGCAAGAGCCGTGACCTCGGCATTCGTGTCATACGCAGGCGCCAGCTCAACAATGTCTGCTCCCACTAAGTTTAGATTGGAAAGCCCGCGGAGGATAGCTCTCATTTCCCTTGTCGTCCACCCTCCGGTCTCCGGCGTGCCGGTAGCAGGCGCAAAAGCAGGGTCAAGGGTATCGATATCCATGGAGATATACGTAGGATGCTTAGTGCCGACTCGGCTCTTGATCCTCTCAATGACACCTTGAACCCCGAGCACATCTATCTCACGGGCTTCGATACGAAAGAAGCCGCACTTATCGTCATCGTCGTAGTCGTCCAGGCTCCCTAAGGTTGTCCGGAGCCCTGCATGGATATTGGTGTCATTGGAAAGAAGACCCTCTTTGCTCGCGAGGTAGAAAAAGCTGCCGTGGGTAACAATGGCTTCTTTTGAGGGTGCGCCGACGGTCGGGTTCCAAGAATCGAGATGCGAGTCGAAGTGGATAACTGAAACAGGACCGTAAACCTTGTTCAAGCTTCGCAAAATGGGGAGAAGAATGGTATGATCGCCCCCAAGAGTCAGTAGCCGCGGCACTGTTCGAGCCTTTTTCTGGGTATTGGTTTCGCTTGTAGCAATAGTGGAGGGCTTTCGCTCCAATAGACTTGTGTATCCTTCTTCGATCTGCTCCATTGCCACCTTTTTGTCGAAGCTGTGACATCACTAATTAGCTGAAGCTTTCTTCTAGAAAGCAGCATGGTGACTTACGGGATAACTGGGATATCACCACAATCTATAGCATTACCCCAGAATTTGAAAGGATTGATGTTTTGGGGGCTGCGAAGCGTTAGAAGAGTTCTCTCACCCCATAAGCTTAGATACATACACATTGAAACCGCCACTGATTATCCATAACATCTCTTTAGCACCAATTTTCATGTCTGAGTTGGGGAGATACTCACGCCAGAGTCAGATGACGAGAAGCTTGTCGAATGGCACTGGGTCCGAACCGGGCACCGGGTCTGTAGCTTACACCCACATCAAACGGGATGCCTAGAAACCGTCAGTTTAAAATCAACAGGGGACCCAGAAGGCTGCTGGTTCTACGCACCCACGATGCCGATGTCATACTGGACTGATTCGTCGTCCAGACATGCAGAATGAGGTAGCAGAGCGTACGTCGAAATTCCCGAAAAGGAGGGATTGCCCTATCACTAAGTTCAGCACACGGCTCTAATAGTCCTGACTTCGGTGATGTTTACCAGGTTCATGCCAGAACTATGAACCTCTTTCTGCGGCCTACGAAGAGGCGTTTGATCAATAACGTGTGCAGTGGCAACTCCAGCAAAGAGTGCCAACTGCGAGATAAAGCTAAGCATTGTGCCAAGGCTTAGCCTCGAAGTCTCCTTTAGCATAGGCACACTGTCAATCCTTTTGCGTTGGTGCCAATCTATGGCTTTTGATGGATGATAATGTGTGTCAATCGAAATCTAGGTATGAAGGGACAAAGGAAGCCTAGATACGAAGGAAATGGAACCTTTGCGGGCATCTTTTAGACCAGCATGTTGCCTTCGACCCAAAGCAGCAAAAGCACCGCAGCTGGACCCCGTCGGAGTGACTGGAAAGATGTGGCGATCGTTTTCGTTCCGAAGGTTGCCGCTAGTCGCACCATTTTGTTTTCCGTGTGAAGCGGGAAAACTTCCAAAAACGGAAATTTCCCCTACTCAAAGACGGCAGAGCGCTTCTGTTGTAACAACAGCGTGCCATACGAGATAATGGCAGTTTTAAACCTCGAGTTACTCTAAGTCTATACGAAGCAGACCAGTAGCTCGTGCCATTGCAAAAATGTCGAATCTGACCATGCCAGAGTCAAATGAGCATTGTAAGTCATCTTTCAATATCGAGCCGGGCCTTGCTTACACTGAACACAGATTACACAATATCGAGTGCCAGACGCTCCGGGCATCATGAAAACAGGAACAAGCTTCGCAGCTCGGAGGATGAATACTCACCCCTTCTGCCTCATGATGCTCATCCCGCGAAGACTTCGAGCTTTGTCTCTGCGGCAACTCCAATAGCCTATGAACTGCAGGCTCTGGTTCGCTCTTCCGTGCCTGTCATTTCATCTTATATCCTCCAAAATTCTATCCAAACCATCTCCATCATCGCCGTCGGAAGGTCTATGCCTCATAACCTCTCAGCAGCAGCGTTTGCTTATATGTTCAGCACCTGTTCTGGCTGGCTGATAGGAATGGGCGGGTCAACAGCTTTGGACACCCTCGCCTCCACGGCCTTTACCGGGGGGTCCAACAAGCACCAGACAGGCATTTTGTTGCAAAGGTGCATTATCGTTCTCACCCTTCTGTATATCCCTGTATGCATCATATGGGCATTTTCCGACCGGCTATTCATCCTCCTTGGACAAGATCCAGAGCTATCTCTCCAGTCCCGAAACTTCCTTACCTGCCTAATCCCAGGAGGGCTTGGGTATATTTATTTCGAAGCGCTCAAGAAGTATTTGCAAGTCCAAGGCCTGGTACATCCCGCGACTTATGTTATGCTAGTAGTCTCTCCTCTCAGCGCTGTGTTGAATTATTTATTCATTAATAGCAACAGCCTTGGGCTATTGGGCGCCCCATTAGCCACAGGTATCTCTTACTGGCTATCATTCGCCGGTCTTGTCTTATATACGAGATATGTGGCTGGCTACGAATGCTGGAATGGCTGGGACAAGGCATGCTTGAGTCATTTGGGTATATTCTTCCGCATTGCTCTCTTGGGTATTATCCAGCTGGGCACCGAATTTTGGGCGTTTGAAATTGTGGCCCTTATTGCAGGAAACTTGGGAAAGCTTCCTCTCGCAGGGCAAAGTGTGCTGATGACGGCAGATCAAGTATTGGTCACAATCCCTTTCGGCATTGGTGTTGCCAGCAGTGTTCGTGTCGGAGGAGCTCTTGGGTCGAGGGATGCAAAAGGAGCCAGACGAGCTGCTCATACCGCCGCTATTCTAGCTGTATCATTGGCAGTCATCATATGTATGATCCTGATCGTTACTCGCAACCACTTTGCAAAACTTTTCACAACAGATATGGAGGTAGTCGAGTATGTGGCAAAAGTGATGCCATGGATAGGGCTGTTCCAGATCGCAGATGCGATTAATGGAAGCTGCGGAGGTTCGCTTAGAGGCACGGGAAAACAGCATATTGGAGCAGCTGCTAACATCATGAGCTACTATGTGATTGCGCTTCCTTTGGGCTACTGGTTAGCGTTTCAAGGATGGGAGCTTTCGGGCTTGTGGATCGCACAATGTATTGGAATGGGCTGTGTTGCACTGTTTGAACTGGCATATGTGTTACGTACGAACTGGCAGAAGGAAATCGATCTTGCTTTGGAAAGGATCCATGAAGACGGGGAACAAACCGAAGCTGTTTGACGGGAAGAGTTGGTGCCTTCGCTTACAACATGTTGGCGGCAGGAATTAACTGAGTCGATCAACGGTTATTCAAAATGTATATCACAGAACCATATTTGCATAAAGGCATGTTTGAGGGCACAATTTAGAACTCGCCCAATAATTAGATTGCAACATCGGAACTACCATTGTAATAGTCAAGTAGTGGTCTTACCCTCAAACCCTCCTCCGTTAGGGCGGATGAGAGAGTTCAACTCAATTTAAAAAATAGCAATGAAGATGCGAGATGGGATATCTCAACACAACGAATACTTCCATCAGGTCAGGGCTTGCAGCAAATTGATCAATGGAAGATACACTCAGCCTTCTGACAGATTTCTCAATCAAAAACTCAAGTGGACATAGGAGATGTTGTCTGGCTGAACGGTGACTATCATAATGAGTCATGCTTAAGATGTTATCGCCAAGAGGCGATGAAAACAGTCACTAATGCATAATTGGGATTGAGTTCAATTCTCTTCTTGGGATAGTTAGAAAGCACCCTGTGTTTCCTCAGAACCTTCAATTTCGCCGTACAGAGGTAGCTCCTCTAGAGCTTCCTTGAGAATCTGGAATCCCTTGAGTAAATCCTCGTCACTGATTGTCAAGGCGACACCCAGCCGGACTCGGCCATTCGGTCCAGGGAACACAAGCAATCCCTTGCTCGCACACAAAATAGAGAAGCGACGAGGCGAAATATTCTCGGGGCGCTTTTCATATTCTGGATCCAAGAGAAGATTGATATCGGCACCGAAAGCAGGCGCATATCGCAGCCAAGGGAAATTCCAGGTTGAAGTCTCTTTGACCCATTTCTCGTGAATGGCTCGAGCGCGGTCGGCCAATCTCTCCTCCTCATACACGCGAAGAGCTGTCCTGACAGCAGCACATGCCATGACCGACATGGAGAAGGTGCTAACAGAGTGATATGGTTTCATCTTGTTCATGACTTCGTTCGGGCCAAGGACAAACGAGGACGGATAGGCTCCCCCGGCGATTGATTTGCCAATTGTGATCATGTCTGGCTTATTTTCCGGCCCCATCCAGTCAGAGCTCAGAAACTTGCCAGTCTTGCAAGATCCCATACGGACTTCATCTGCGATAAATAGAACATTGTATTTCTTGCACAGTTGGCGCACTTCGATACAGAAGTTGATCTCCTCATCCATTGATCTATGTTGAGGTTGGTTAGCCTATTTTCCGTTTCCTTTCTCGTACTCTCCTCCTTATATATGAAATAGGAATCTCACCTCGCAAGGCCATGAAGTGGCTCCATGATGACTGCGGCAATACGTTCATGCATTTGCTCAAAGATCTCGGCATAGTCCTCGGGATGCAGATAACGGAGGACTTTTCCGTTTGAGGGATTGATATTTGTCATATTCTTGCTAAAGGTGGCGTACTCTATCGAAACAAGATTAGCAGATGATGTTGAGACTGAAAAGAGATGGGTGCTTACCTTCCCAGCCAGCCTCAGGTTCCATCAGGGGCCACACTCCCGACAGCGTGCCATGGTAGTTTTCCGATGTGCCCAGGACAAGGACCTCCCGGGGATCGATCTTCTTGACGCTGACACCCCATCCGCGGGCCAGCTTGCAGGCTGTGTCGGTGGCCTCCGAACCTGTAGTCATGGACACTACCTTGTCGTATTTGAACTTTTCGCAGAGTTCTTTAGCCACGATTGGCCAAAGATGGGATTGGCCGGCGATGTTGGCCAGCGTGACTGGGGGAAATCTGGTCAGCGAGCAAGTTTCTGCAAGCTTGTGACTAGTTTGGGCTTACTTTTATTCACCGTGTTGATCTGCGTCTCAAGAATTCGTGGGTGCTGCTGGCCCAGGTTGGAGGCACTAAAGCCGCAGATAAAATCAATCAGTTCATTACCATCGGAATCCTATAGTAGAATAGATAATCAGCCAAAAGCGTGTTCCGACACCCATAACACTAGACGTATACATACAATCAGGCGGGAGCCTTTGCCCTCGACAATATAGACTGGGAGGGAGTTGATTCCACCGACACTGTGCTGCCTGTTGAGCTTATCCAAAGTCCGAGCGGACTCGGACAGAAGCAGTGTGCGCTTAGCATTAGCTTCAACAGCAGCTGGCATTTTAGTTGACTTTTAATGGATGTAGAAGACGAAGAAGGCGAAAAGACGGTGCGGTGTAGGTGTTGCGCAGCGCAGCTATCATGTGCCAACTTAAATATCTGTGTGACATGGGCTGCAGATACCATGCCATTAAAGTAAATCTAGGCATCAACGCCAAGGAAGAAAGACAGAATGCGTTCCTAGTTCGTTTAGCATAACGTAAACCTCCGCAAAACCTCTTGACCCCGTTGGAAGTAGAGCAACAAGGCAGCCAAAGCGGACCGGCTGGTGGGAATATTTCCTGTTTGGGTAAAAATGCCGCCTGTCAACACCCTGGAATGATCTAGACAGAAGAGATACAACAGTACAGGAAGCAATGGTAGTTTGTACTGTTAATCAATTGAATCATTGCATTTCAATAGCACAACTAGAACAATATAGCCGTCTGTAATGATGATAAAGGAGCCAGTTGCAGCCTTTGTACACCCAATGTTACGTTCAACTTTGAGTTTGGATAACCCGATGCTCTCGTAAACCGGGTGCCTTACTTAGGAGACCGGCGGTCGGTCCGACATTGGGCTTTGGACGGAGACCGGGACGAGGACAGGATGTGGGTTATGGCGTGGGCCGGATTTCAACCAACATGTTTGCACTCCATAGTCAGCTCTTCGCGGGGTAGACACGCTCATCCCTCGAATGGGTTTGATTTCTACTACGGCAATGTATCGGAGCTGATTCACCCAGAACCAATCAGGTAGCAGCCGCAACATGACTACTCCTGCGAGCGAAACATGTGGATCCTCCAGTGTGTTCGGCGAGGGAGTAGAGTTGGAGCCCTTCTTCCAACTCTTTACTGCAGAATCCCTGTCAACTTCTGCTTCCACTCTTTCCGTCACGACTTCTGAAGGTTCAACTCAAGACCAGGGTAGCTCAAAGGGGAGCCTTAACAGGCGCAAGTTCAAATCAGGCAGAGCAACCCAAGCTTGCCTTGAATGCAGATCTCGCAAAGTAAGGTGCGATGTAACTCGGAAATATCCTTGTGCAAATTGCAGTTGGTACGATCGTGGTTGCGTTGTAGCACGTCGTCGCACACGTCCGTAAGTGCCATTGTCTCTTTTCCTTGCAAGCCTAATATTGTGTTTGTTCAGTCGTTAGTTGCACCTAGCACTTGATTTCCTTCTTCAACAACAGTATATGAAACACTAAAGAACATTCTTTCTAATTCGAAAAAGTTGCTACGGAGGAATAAACACAAGTGGCTCTACAGGGTCTACGGAGATAGTGTCTTGGGACACGAAAGCGGCAACAACAGAGCAGGACCACTACGAGGAGAAGAGCCAACAATTCTCTGAAAGTACGTTTCTTTTCTGTCCGCTGGCGAACATTTTATCGAATCCTTCGCTATTATCAAGCACTAACCAAGCTTCGCTTTCGTAGTCGCGTGCGAAATTATCCCGCCGTATCAGCTGGGAGTTGAACAATTTTTATCAACTTTAGAACAGCCACCAACCCTAGACACACCGACATCTCCGCAGTTTATGCAGAGTTCTTCACATCCGAGTCCCGATGCGTCAAGTTATTTACTCCCAAGATTTATCCAACCCCTTCATGGGGATATTAGCAACGATGAAAAGAGATATTTGCAATCTAAAGGGGCGCTCACTATTCCTCCCAAAAGAATTCAATCAGCCTTGGTCGATTCCTTCATAGACTGTATTCATCCTTATTTTCCCATCCCTAACCTTGGGAGTTTTCTTCAGGCCCTCGAAGACACTGAACAGAATAATAGGGACATCAGTCTATTGTTGTTCCAGGCTGTGCTCTGCGCAGGCATATCGGGTGTGCGCATGGAAGTGCTTGAGCAGGGGGGATTTAAGACAAGACAACAAGCTCGAAGAGTCTTCTTCGAACGAGCAAGAGTAAGATTTCCCGAGAAAGATTCAAGAGCAAATCCAGCTACTAATAATCGCTTCAAGCTTCTATATAATTTCAACTGCGAGCTGGACCAATGCACTATCGTTCAATCGTTAATTTTGATGTCACTGGCATGCGACCGAGTCTCTGGACACCGAGATGCCTCTTACTGGGCCGACGTAGCCATCTCTGAAGCTCTCAGGGCAAAGCTTCACCTGGACCTTGTCTACCTATCACCATCTTCCCCTATAGATGTCCAAAGACTACGTCGCCGTATTTGGTGGTGTTGTTGTATCCTCGACAACGTTGCTTCACTTGCCACGGATCGGACGCCCAAAATCTCAGAACAGGACTTCGATGTCCAAATGCTTGAAATAGCAGACTTCCACCCGCTGACAGAGGTCTACGGAAACGCGAGATATCATAGCTGCGATAATCTCACGCGCCGTGACGAGCAGAACAATGCTGAGGACCTGGCTCAAGTGTGCATCCTACAGGCAACTTTGTGGAAGGTCGGAAAAAGGAACCCGCAGATCTCCACGAGTGACGATGATCGCCTTTATAATATCATGTCTCAGTCGTCTCTATTGGCCGGCGACTTGTTCACCTGGCTTGATAGGAGCCTTGTGCAATGGTACGATTCCCTTCCCTCTTCCATCAGAGACCACGTTATTACATCAAGCGATGGGCATGATAGAAGAAACATGGTAATTCTCCTAAGCCAGACATTCTTACGCGTGGTATATCAAATGACTGTTCTGAAAGCCTGTCAATCGAGGCTCAGGAATTTGATAGAAACAGAATTCACGTCATGTTTCGAAATGGAGCTTTGCCAGCTTCTCGCAGATAGCTCAGCGAAGCACATCATCCGAACGATTGCGGCTGTCGACGACAAAGGCATGGGACACTTTCTACCACCAATATCAAGGAGCATCGCGCTGCTAGCAGCCAACTTCAAAGCCTCGGCTGCAATAAAACAGTCGCGTTGATATACCGCCTTGCCGCAGCAAATTTCTTCCGTCAGCTCATTTCGCAGTTACACGCATAACCAATATTACACTCATCAGAGCTAAGCCACAGTTCAGGATGGGCCCAAGCGATACTCGTGCAATCGGGTGTGAGCATTCGGGTTGTTTAAGTCACACAATACAAAATAGCAATAGAACATTCCAGATCCGACATCTCAACACAATAAATACTATCAAATCCCACAATTATCTGGTATGAATGTAGGATGCTCAAGAGGTAAGCATCAAGTTCCATATGCAGCTTACGAATGTTGCCGGGTAACAAATCAAAACTACAAACTGGAGAATTTTGTGCAGATAAAACGACGATCTCTCTCCCCTTTTCCACCAATGCCTCAAACATTGGATAAGGTGATATAGATTTCTATTTTGGTTGAGAAATGTGCATGTCTGTAGCATTGCAGCTGATGTTACACAGAAACCGAAGTCCCTTGCGCAGCCTATTCCTTGAGGACGAACTTTGATCGACGGTGTTTCACTCCACTTCTTCGGGTCATCCATTGTTTTATTATCCTAGAATAACGCCGTTTTCTAGACTCATCCTTGGTATGCTTTATTTGCAGAGTTGATAAGAGTTGCTAATTCTGTTGCTCACATTTCAGTTCAGTCTCAGAATGCCTTCCACAGCCCAAAGTAGCTCTAAAGGCAAGAAAGGACATGCTCTAGAGAGTGTACGATCAAGCCTTCTGAGTCCTTCAAATTTCAATCCACAAACTGGAGAGGATGTATCTTCAGCAGCTCAAGATGAATCGCGCAATGAGATGCTCTGGTGCCCTTTCTGGCTACAGGGTGCTATCATTGGAGCATTCTGCGTCCTATTCTCTACCTGTACAGTAGCGATATCATGTATCGCATCCCATTCAAAAGGCAACGATGGTTTGAATGATGCCCAGAAGGGTCTGAAACACCTGTGGAGATTTGGTCCTACTGTCTGTAAGTAGCACCTCCACCCTCTATAACAAAAGAATATCTGTTTGCTTCACGAATCTCGTTCGATTTTCTGGTCAACTAACTAACCATCGACTATCGTAGTCACCACACTCATCTCTATATTCTGGTGGAGAGTTGAACTGCAAGCCCTCAGATATTGGCCTTGGATCTGCCTACGGAGAGCGAAGGATGCTGGCCAACTCGGCACAAATGAGCTCGACTATACCTCGCTCATCACGCCGAACGTCCTCATCACATCTTTCAAGCGTAGAGATACATTCGTCTTTCTCGTCGTTTTCATCTCCGTCTTGCTAAAAGTTCAAATTGTTCTATGTGCCAATATTTTCCAGCTGATAACCATTGAGGTCACGGAGCCAATTCAAGTCCGTGCCCTTAGTTCATTTGAAGCAATGAATGATCTAAGCGACTCATCCAACGCAATGGCATACTTCCATGCCAAAGCTGTGCAGAACTTTGATATGGAGCTTCCCTTTGGCGTTTCAGCTGAATGCGCCTATCAAACATTTGAACTGCCCGGGCCAGGTCCGAGCTCCCGCGGCACTGTCGAGAGTCCGATAGAAGTACAAGTTGATGGATTATTTGTCGGTGTGAGATGCGAGCTGTTACAAAGCTACACTCATCAGAGAATCGATAACCACCTACGATCTTATTATGTTTCCGCTGATCTCGAATTTTCAAATTGCGAGAGGCTGATCAGCTTTGATTTGGTTCAGATGTATGAGGGAAGGCGCCTTCCGATCTCTTTCGAAGAAATATTTTCGAATGACACAGAACCCTATCTATGCTCATCTCTGTTCTACGGAGGAGAGCCTCAGTTCATATATTATGCAGGACTTCTCACAGATTCTCAGCAAAATCCATCTATCCTAGAAATTAACAAGCTTGCTGCCGTTGTATGTTCCTCAAAAGCATACATCTCTAAAGTTCACGTGGTGGATAACGGTATCCGCCCGAATGTAACAAAGCTATCTGGCGCAGAAGAGTTTTCCGTTTTCTCTGATTCATGGCGAATGGTACTCGAACTTGTGCAAGCCGCTGGCAGAGGTATACTGAAGAATATTATCGAGGAGGAGTCTATCTTATCTGGCAAAAAGCTCGACAATGGGAATGAGACTCTATATCAAAGCGATATAGTCCAGCAACGTTTGTCGTCCTTCATTGGGACACTGAGTCCATTTATCGCGAACTATATCCTCCGTCAAGATACAGAAAAGGATATCCCTGGCTCTAGAATAATAAAAGTCGAAAGGCTGCAGGCAAACGAGGGCATATGTATAGCAATGGCTGTGGTCTTTGGTATAATAGCCTTGATTTCCCTATGGTTCGTTTTTTACTCCAAAAGGATTGCGAACGTTTGGTATAGAGACCCGGCGACAATACTCGGATCTATGCTGTACTTCCTCGGGAATCGACATCGAAATCCGTTCATCTATTCTTCTTTATCGAAAACACGACATGAGATGAAAGCGGAGTGGATTAAGGCTGAGACTTACTCCCCGCTGGTTGTTAGGAAATCCTCCCGTATTTTCTTCGTCATGTACACAGTTGCGCTTATGGCTGGATTGTCGACGACATTGAGAATATCTTGGAGCTCGCAAGTGCTGGCTACCGTCACGGGAGATAAGAATCCGCTGTTGTGGAGTTCTTTGCCAGTATTGGCATTTCTCATTGTCGCCATGTACACAACCTCTTCGGATGCCACTCTAAGAAATCTAGCCATCATGTCTAAACTAAATGTCGATGTCTGTTCCGCTGATCAACTGGATATATCCCTACTTGACATGATAGGTCTAAAGGCTTTATATCACTCCATCCGGCTGAAGATCTACTCAGTGACGTTGTCACATCTTCTCGCTACCATTTGCCTCTTTTTAATAGCTCTGTCTAGTGTCCTATTTACGCCTACTGTTATCCCGCAGAATACAACCATAGAATTTCCGCAAACCAGCTGGTTTGGGACTCGTGTCTCGGAAAAGACGCAAGAGACCAAATCCGATACTCGGCTAAATCTAGATAGTCTCATTCTCACCAGAGCCTTTTCCAATTTCACGTATCCTGAATCCACTTATGATGGTCTGGTGTTTCCTTCTCTGGATATAAGCACCCCAGAAATCAATCGGAAGTCTGGAATATTAGTCACGGCGAGGATCCCAGCAGCGACGTTAATGCCTACATGTGGTCGAATTCCTCGCGACGATTTCAGCTTGGTTTCCGATACCATCAATACAGGCACGGATTATATCTACGGAATTAGAGCAATAGAGATCTTCAACTGCAGCGATGGCACGGAAACAAAACTGACCAACTGGATCGACTCAAGCAGCAAGACCTCGCGGGACAAGCGGTCATACATCGCCGGCATTCTTGCGTCCTCGGATAATCCTGCTGTGAAAGCTCAGAAATGCAAAAACGACCAAAAGCCGGATCCATTGATAGGCTATCAGCCGTTTAGGGTACAAACGTACTTCTGGGGAAATTTCTCCATTGGATCAACCAACGAGGATGGTGGCTTTGAGTACATTTCTCTATGGAAATGCAACTACACTTGGGTCGAGGTCATGGCGGAAACAAAGCTCACATGGACGGATGGACACCTCGCCATCAACCATACGGATCCTCCCAAAATCGATCGTTCAACGATCAAACCCTGGAGCCCACCATTTAGCGTTCCTCAATTCGATGGAAACCAACCAGAAAGCCCTTCCTCCCCTTCCCCCCTCGGCGTTTTTACACAGCAACTTCATACAAATGCGTTGGTCGACAGATTTGGCGACCAGTTCAAAGCTATCATAAAGCCATATGGGCCAATCGCGGTCGAAGACTTTGACAACCCTGACAAGGAATCCGAAATTTTGGAAGCTCTTCATTTTAATGTTGCGATGGCTAGTGCTCAGCTTGTCAATGTTGAGCAGCGGTTCAACATCAATGAGGCCTCAAATGTGGCTCCTAAAGAACACCCAGAGCTCCCCAAAGTTAAGGCTACTGTCCTGGACCCAAATCGGACTCGATTGGTCCAGAACACGGCAGTTACTATCGCAATTTTAGTAATACTGTCTCTTGTTGTCAGTGTTAATATCTGGGCTCTGATGTCAGCCGTGCTACGCCGTTACCACGGTATACATAGCTGGCTTATCGACATGGAGTTCAAGGGGGTAGCACCGGATGATTACAATAGTATCGCATTGACGGATGCTCTGCTTCATGATTCCAATATCAAAGGGTATTTGGCGGAGGATTTGCAACTTACGCCGCCAAGCAAGATATTTGAGGAGCTGCGAGAGCTCTCCTTTGTGCTGGGTTGGTTTGGGGGATATGGGCACTGGGAGGATGAAGCGGAATTGACTATTGGAGTCTTGGATGACGAAGAGTCTCCATTCTTAGGATATAGGCAAGGGCAGAAGTAGCCCAATGGGGACTAAAACCTTCAACTTGTCAATAAATAAGGCCGTGGTTGATTGATCGGGCAGCTATAGAAGTAGTGTTTTTCTGGGACGTTATTTGATATGATTTTTCACGTTCCACTCAAGCCAAAGCTACGTAAATCATCACCATCTCCCAAGTTCCTAAGTTGTGATGGATGATCGAGCTAGTGTAAGCGTTCTTTTGCGGCGGAGTTCGGAGTAATATGATGGAACTCCGCAATGGATGGCCTCTGCGTAGGCGATATAATAAGCACCATGACACGATCCAACACGTCGTTGATCTTCACATATTCCACCTTGATCACCCGACCGCTGCATTATCATCACCATCCCCGAGTTCCAAGCCAACAAGCAACGGATGGTGGAGTTAAAGCAAAGAGCACATGGCCTGGCGGATAGAGGGCTGCCGTCGGCTTCATTCGACGTGGTTCCCACGCACTCATCCCTCACTGAGGTACGTCTCGGACGACCCCGTAACCGTCAATCCCCAGAACTGTCAGGGGCAATGAATCACCGGAGTCATGTGATATCCCCAATTCGTTAACTCCTTTGCAGGCTTGTGGTCCTGGTGATGACTGGTCCGGCGTGAAGGAGAGGGCCGAACGGCGCAAGATACAAAACAGGCTCAACGTGAGAGCACATCGTAAGTGAGCGACCTGGAGACACCGGGTTAGGATATCTTTCACGTCTGACTAACAGTTATTAGGGAAAAGAAAGGCTCTGGAGGGTGGAAATCTGCTTGATAACGTCCTTGCTTCTCGTAGACGCAAGCCACGCACAGGAGCCAGATCCACGACTGGTCAGACCGCCATTGAAGGCTCAGTCTCGAATCAGGTCCCAACCAACGCGCAACACAGTCGGAATACACGACAAGCCATCTTTGCACACTTGCGTTCCAACCGCGGGCTCGGGGAACTCAAATCGCGGTTCCCCATCAGCCGCGATCACCTTATCCCGCTGATTCAATACAACGCCTTGCGCGCTATACTGACCAACATCCACGTCCTCTACATCTGCAACTTGATAATCCAGCCTTTTCCGAACAGCAGCTGCGTCCCAACAGAAATCCAGCGTGTAGTTCTGTGGGACACAAGCCAGCCTGCCCAACAGCCTCCTGACACGCTGCAACTAACGCCGCTCCAGCAACAAAGACCTCACGGGCCGTGGATTGACACTTTGCCGCTTGCGAAGATGAGAGACAACGCGATCATGCTTGAGGGCTCATTTGACTTCGAGGAGTTTATGACAGACTGCTTCGGAGCCATGTGCAATTCCGGGCGTGACAGAGACAGTTCCGGCGATTGCGGCGTGATTGCGTGGTCGGATCCTTGGCATCCGCGAGGCTGGGAGTTCACAGAGGGGTTTATCAGGAAGTGGAAGAGGAGCATGCTGGAGGGGTGCGAAGACACAATAGAGACTACAAACTACTGGAGGAGTCTGAGGGACGAGGAACCTTTGGTCTGGGATGACCTATAGTTGGGGTAGCAAGCAGATGCTCAGAGCTAAAGGGTGCTTTCAATCTTGCAGCATGTTGAAAATGAAGCCATCACCAATTCCGGGGCGCTCCAGGCCTGAAGTCCGGCGGAGGAGGGGCCTGATCAGCGCCTACAGTGGACGTTTAGCACTGCGCCCACTGCTGCAAGCCCCTGAAGCGGAGCCGTTGGACTCCGGGGCTGTCAATTAATCCGCTAATTAAGGTAGAGCCCAGCAATAGCGCAAATAATCTGCGGCCTAAAATAACCCGAGCTGATTGTCCCCGCATCACGAAATTGATCCACGTCGAAGTCGCAGGCCGCAGCCGAAAATCTTCAGACCTCCCCTCACTCCCCTCACGGCCCTCGATCCCAAATATCTCGACCCAAAAGCTGTCGCCGCTCTTGCCCAAGATGGAGTTCGATCCTAAGACTCGTATGTCGCTCCCTGAGAGCTTTTGCCCCTCCGATCACCCCGCTAACGATAGCCCTACCCCGCCATCCAGCCCAGTACAACACCTCCGACCCAACCTCCTTCGCCAGCGTCACGGTCGTGAGACGATGGCCTGTGATCATCGTGCGTGCCTTATAATCCTCTTTGGCTCCTGGCCTAAATATTCCGTCATTGCTCGCCCGTCGCTGACCCTTGGTTGCAGACCCAATCGATTGACGATGTCCACCGAACGCTGTCCAAACTCGACGACAACGACAAGGTCAGGGAAGGCAAAAGGGTCATTGAGAGTCTGGGGGCCCTCAAGTACGAGATGCTTCACGACCGCAAGATGACGTACAAAATGTTCCGCTTTACAGCTATGGCAGATGAGCTAACCGCCGCCGGGCAGGCCTCTCGAGGACGACGGATTCCCCGACGAAATCGCCGCATACAACAACGAGCTCGAGAAGCTGGGCAACCCTACTTGGCAAAAGGTCCCTTGGCTATATAGCGAGTGCTACATGTACAGGTAGCTAGACACCCTCCCTAGGCCTTGTGCCACCGCGACGGCCCGGCCTCATGGCCAGCGAGCGAACGACGACGAGAAGAAGACGGCCTAACAAATCCGAATTAGACGAATCCACAATATCTTCAGACTTACTGAGCACTGGCAGAGCTATGATGTCTTTGCTCGCCAAAAGATCAAGGGACTCCGAGACTCACGAGCAGGTGTCCTCGAATTGGCGGCCCGATACAAAGAACTCTTGGAGCAAATCCGCTCCAACAGCAGTGTAGCTCATGATGATGAGGCCGAGAAGATTCTCTTTGCCGAAATGTTCGACATATGTCTGTGGGGAAATGCAACCGACCTATCCCTGCTAACGACTCTTACCCACGATGATATACAGCGACTACAAGGAGCGAAGGCTCGAAAGGCCGCCGAGGAGAACATCCTCGCTAATGATGTCCCTGCAGCATATGAACTGCTCAAGAAGGCCCGAGATGCCGGCGAGAAGGAACGCCAGGTCGACTTTGTTCTCGACAATGCTGGCTTTGAACTCTACGCTGACCTGATTCTTGCGGGATACCTCCTTGCCTCCGGGCTCGCCACCCGTGTCGTCCTCCACCCCAAGTCCATCCCATGGTTTGTATCCGACGTCATGCCCGCCGATTTCGCCGCCCTTCTCAACGCCATCTCCAACCCCCGAGCCTTCTTCGAAACCCAGTCCGAAGAAGAGAGCTTCCAGGACAAGACACCCGCGCCCCTTGCCGACAAGGAAGTCCAAGACCTGTTGTTCCTGTTCCAGGACTGGGCGACACACCACGCCGAGGGCGAGCTGCTTATCCGCCCCAACCGCTACTGGACTGCTGCCGGTAGTTTCTGGAGGCTGCCTCACGAGGAGAAGGTTCTGTATGAGGATCTCAAGGCCTCGAAACTTGTCATTTTCAAGGGCGATTTGAACTATCGAAAGCTAGTTGCCGACGTACGTGCTTTATTTCCATTCCGATGATTCTACTTGTTCTTGAGTTAACCGTTGCGACAGGCAATGTGGGATCCCACAACTTCCTTCTCAACCGCCATTGGCTCGCTCGGCCCAGGGTCTGGCGTCAATGTCCTCGCATTGCGAACTTGCAAGGCTGATGTGGTAGTTGGTCTCAAGCCAGGGACAGACGAGGAGCTGAGGGCCACCGAGGATGGCGGGGGCGATTCTGGCGCCCGAAAATGGTGCTGGAGCGGTAAATGGGCTGTTGTGAGTCTGTCCAACGGCAGTTGAGAGTACCAACTTTCAAATAGACGAACCTCAGTGATAACATGATGCCCATGCGTGATGTGTGACTAAACCGCTGTATCTCCTCTCTCGTCCATCACGCTAGTGGCTACAATCAAAACCATCTTGAACGCGATCATGACGCTGCTAAGACCAGACCTGATGGCTCAACTTTTGGCTAGCCAGTGCTACACCCATTAACGTGCATGGCTAAGCCAATATTGCAAAGACCTCAACGTTCCTGACCGCGCGGTAAAAGCGGAATACTCGCTTCGATGCATAATAAACTATATCGAGAACAATATGGCTCATTAGATACAACACAATCATACGGGTCTAGACCGGTCTTTAACTCTAATATTCCCCTAAGCAATGTCGTAAACCTGAAACTCTGCCCTACTTGCTGTCTTCATCTCCGCCAGCTCGGTCCTACACGTCAAAGCTGCAGACCAGGGGTAAGGGATACCATGGCATGTCTCCACGGTACCCTAACAAGGCTCGCCTGAACTACTAGATGTGTGCATCATGTCATTCCCAGGGAGCCTGTCGCCCCGGTCAAAGGGGTGCTGAGATTCTAAGACCCAAAGCTCAAGCCCAGAGACTCGATGATCATGTCCCCCTTTCTCTTACCGCTTGCAGATCCGGGTCTTTCGGTACCGACTTACACAGCCTTGTCAAGACGATCAGCTCGGAGGCTCTTCGTCCGAAGAGTTTCAACGGAACTGTCACTTTCTCACGATGTCACTAGCCGAGATTATTCACCAGATCCTTCATTCTATTATGTTACTCCTCTTGATGAAGGACACGGATTATCTAGTACAGCTTATCGTATTCATAACACAGAGGCCCCTCCTGGATATGCATCACATCATGCACCTTGGCCTGCAGCTTGACCGTCTCGCCAACAGTAATGGTATGGTCGAGGGTGATGTTGCCGCCGAGCTGGTTGGTCCAGTCAAAGTTGACCAGGGGTCCAGAGACATCGGTCAGGCGCTTCCTGAGATTGCGCTTCTGCCACGACCACCAGGCGCGGTCAAGGTTGGCGTGGTGAGACCAGAAGATGGGGTCGGCGGCTAGTTCCGATGTTAGTCCCATATCGCCCCTCGTTATAAGAAAGTAGAAACACTCAGGGTTACTTACGGCTTGCCCACTTGTCAGTCATGGTTCCGTAGAGTCCACCGACGGCCCAGTGACCGCCAGCGTGGAAGCTGCTTTCGGTAATCCTGTCAAACCAGCCGAAGTTTGGGAGGGCCAGGCCGGTCGCGACGCTCAGCGGGCCGGACATGGATGCGAAGGTGAGAGGTGCGAAATCGCGCTGAACACAGTGCGGGTTGTAGTCAGTTTTGTTCGAAGGGCCGAGGTTGGTCATGAGGCCGGCAAAGGGTCCGTCCTGGATGCAGCCGCCGCCAGTCCGGTCGGGGACGTCCCAGGGCGTGTTCACAGTCTGGCCGGGAGCTGGGTTGGCGAAGTTTCCTGGGATCCAGGGTCCGTTGCCACCGAAGCCGTGCTTGGTGTCGAAGATGGGGGATTTGAAGAACACATCAGTCACGTTGTCAAGCCCGGGTGAGTCCTTGACCCAGTCCCAGTAGGGGATGCCATCTTTCCAACCGCAGGTGCTGAGCGCCTCTTCAAATGAGTGGAGGAGCAGGCGGTGGTACGGGTAGAAGACGCCCTGAATTCGTTAGCAGAGGGCAGAACTGTGCATGGGCGGTTTATCTGCACTCACAACGAAGTGAACGTTGTCGGCATTGATAATGTGTGTGCCAAGGAAGTCATCATATCGGCTGCGAACGCCAGGGATAACATCTTCCGATGTTTGAGGGGGCTTCTTCATAAGACACTTGAGAGCACCGAGATACTTCAAGCGATTTTGTACGCTCAGTGTGCGCCTGTTCAGAACAAACTATTAGAATCACCCTACACAATTGTTATGGATGGACCTGTAAGACAGGAGACTCACCATTCCCTTCTAACAATGGGCTTGCGGCAGTGGGCAGCGACGCAGGTTGCAAGCAGGGCAACCGTAAGAGCAGTCCACACGGACCTCACGCTGGAGACACGCATATTAGATATTAATAAACTTGGAATATTGACACAACGAAGGCAAAGACAGCACAAGAGGTCGAGAACCAAGGTGCTTCGGCTTGGAGAAACTGATGAGCCTTGGGGCACGAGTCAAACGATCGGCGGCCGTGGGCTTATTATCTACTTCATGTCGATTCATGCACGATATGGACCTTCTACGGTGCAAGAGCAAAACCCTGATTGCGCCCACATGGAAATGAGATGATTGTAGGGTTCTCAGCGCGACCAACCAACAGCCAAGCGCATTTGTGGATTAGCAAAGAAGCGGAGACTCAGGTGAATCCTTCTTCTTCCTTGGCCTTGTCTAGCTTCTCGACTTCTTGGGGACGGCCAGGGATACTCAAGGTTCAGCACGCTCCACTTCGCATTGGCAGACCAGAGAGACCCCAGCGGGTGATGCGAGAGCTGGACAGGCGGCGGCGAGAAGAGGAGATTAGCAGACTCTCAGGCCATTCAACCTTGAGCCATTAGCCAGATCAAGGCGTAGTTCCGGGGCCAGCTACGGGGTATTAGCAGGGGGGAGGCATGGGCAGCCGCTGTGGTTCGAAACACGGAGATTTTTGCCTCCGAATGCAGATGACGAGATGAGGCGGGGGATAAGCGGTAATAGGACGTGTGATATTATTTGGCATGAGATATAGCGTCCCTGCTCTCGGAGTGACCGTCCTCAGTGTCAGAGTGTTTGATGGGAGAATCAAGCATCAATCATCCATCAGTCATGCAGACAGCGGCGTGTTTTGCCATGGGAGAACAGACACTTGGGGTTGAACATGCCCGGCCTCGATGCTAGCTGAAAAAAGAATTGGTATATGCAGCTCTGTCCCTTGTTCATCCATCCATTAGTTAACCCATGTGCCATGCCCAGACGCCGTCCCTACATGCAGTAATCACCACACCAACTTTGAAGTAAATAACGCATTTCCCTCAGCTCTCCCATGCAATCAGCTGTCTTTTCGTTTCTATCCATGCTACACTTGTTGTCTTGGCGCCTGTGTCGGCGCAAGATCATGCTTCTCGCTGCCCCCATCACTACTGTAATGCAGCGATCGCGGAGTTCTCCCGTCCTCTGTGACACGAATCGTCGTCGTAGTTTCCACCTTGATTGCCTTCTGAGGTGCAGAAGCAGCCTGTGGCCGCCGTGTTTCCAGTTGAATCACTGTCCCCGCCGCGCTTGATGATGTTCCCCAGGGCTCCTCCTCGATCCGCTCAGGTCTCTCTCTTTGTGATGTCGCCCGGTTCATCATTGATTGTCGTACTGAGTTTCGGTTCGATCGTTTCGTGCCGTTCTCGCCTAACCCGTGATATCGGTTCGCGTATGCCGAAGGCCCAGACTTGGAGTCGTTTATGCTCACCCCCATCATCTGTAGAGCCGACTGGACCAGCGGTTTCAGGAACGGCGATGAGGCTGCTATCATGCCCAGTAGCTGCTCGAGTGCTGTCCAGGTCGCAATCGCATTCGTGAGAGCCCATCCATCTGCTGCCTTTCCAAACTCCTTGACCAGCAGCGCCTTGATTATAGAGGCCACGCTTGCAAACATTCCCAATGCCATCAGAAATCCAACTAGAATCTTTTCTCTAAGAGGTCGTCGTAGCTTCCACAGGAAGAGCGTCGGGGCGAGAGATAGCAAGATGTCGGTCGCAATGTTGATTCCAGACCCGATGTTGGATGCAATGTTGATGCCTATCGGTGGCAGACAGCTCCCGCCGACCTGCTTCAAGATCGCTGCGTTCCAAGATGCTTCCAGGGGACGACATTGTAAGAGAATGAAGAAAGTGTTGCCAACGCCGTATACTCCCTGAAGACCCATGATGAAGTAGCAGAAGATCCGCCACCACAGGATGTTCTCCTGGATGATGAGCAACATCATTGCAATGGAGATTTTGATAAATGTCATGGCGATTCCCCATATCGGAATAGCCAGGAAGCCGTATTTTCGGGCATTAAGCCTCTCCTCGTGGGTAAGAAGCTGCGGTGTGACGTACATTTGGGGGAGAAGGAAGCAGAAATCAACAACCGCGGCCAACTAGATATCACCAAAATCAGAAATCCAGCCTCATTCGAATAAAGCCTTGAGTTGAAAGCAAGGAACAGAGAAACATACAACTCCGATCCCCATGGTGGCGTCTTCCCAACTCCTCCATATCGGCTTCGGGCGTAACCAGAGCCGGACCGCAAACATCACCAAAGCTATGGCCATTAGTGGCGAGGTAACGCCGATGTGAATGACGGCAAGATGTGCTGCCCTTTCGCTGATGGGAAAGTATGGGCTCCCATCTGCTGGTGGTGTTAGTGTGGCCATCGTTGGCGTGAGGGCATGGACGCCTCCTGTTGGTATGCAGAGTCCAGACGAAAATTTGACTCGGCCGTGGCGTCACCGGGCATTTGTATCAGAACACTTCTTCAGACGAAACGAACTCCTCCAGGGAGATTCAGACTAATGAGTGTGTGGGGGCCAATGCTTATAATTATCCAGAAAAAGCAAACACAGCATTAGATTCCCTAGCATCAGACTTTTCCTCACACTCGGCTGAAATCATCTATATTTTGTGCCATGTTGCTAACCGACGCACGTCTCTGTCCATCTCCCGATGGAAGACCCCCTAGAACAAAAGCATGCAGGGAGTGGATGAACCCAGTCGCGGTGAGTTTTTATGCATCGTACATTCATGCCTCCCCAGCCAAACGCCAACGGGGAAAAGCGAAGGACATGGCCATGCATCCTACGATGGCCCTAGTGTTGAGTCTCATTGGGTACACCGATTTCCAATTTGCCAAATCCGTCTTCCGGAGCTCAATGACACGGCCGCTCTCCCGCTGCCTAGCAGGGAGAGTGATTCGCTCAGGGGTCGCTGTATCCTTCATTTAGCCAGGCTTTGGATCACTTGCCAACAGAGCAGCGTTTCTGGTGCCTGCATTGGTAGCTTGCAGGCAAATTCATGCTACAAGTGTGTGGGAGTCAAAACCTGATTGTTACAGGGGGATCAGGCGCAGGGGCAACACCAGTCTCCTTCGAGACACTTGCAACTGGGAAGGCCCAAGAAAGTGGTCAGCGTAGCGAGATAGATTAGGTATGGTTATGCGACTCCTCCGGGGAAGTGTACCGGATCCAATCATTAGTGAAGATCCTAAACAGTACATCGCTCCAACTTCATTGGGCTGAAAACCAGGGTACTATCAGCTCCGACAGGTGCATTTTTTTCTTTCTCCGGATATGATATCAGAGTCCATGCCAAGATCACATTACCAAGCCATGTGTTATGTATGTATGTTCGTAGTCGTTGCATTTCAAAGCATTTGAGAGTCCTGTTTGCTCTGTTGATAGACTCACTTAGCGTAGGGCCAACATCGTTCCTCCGGAATGCCCTTCCAGAAAAAATCCCCAGCTACTGCTCCTAGGCCGCAGACGACAGCTGTATGCGAGGCTGGCACGCACATTGGTTTTGCCTTGCCGAATCGTATGCCAAATGTAGAAGGACCTGAAAGCCAGCAAGACTTTCCTCGGCGGCAATCTTATATCTCGGTTTCGGTTTCCTTACCTACCGCTCTTGCGTGCTCCGGCGGGGCTTCTGTTGGTTCTAACAAGATCTGTAACGAAAATCCGATTGATGAATGCTGATCGTTATTTTACCAAGCAGCCAGAAACAGGGAGCTCCGTGTCTGCCGCTTATGGGACAAGCACCCGACAACCCCGTACTGCGGCCACCAGGGACCTTTCAGTTGCATAAATAATAATCCCTGTACGCGTTTAGGCTCTGTTTTCAGGACGCTAGTCATCACCGGTCACCGCGGGTCAGCATAAAATCGTTGACCCCTGCCACGGGTGCATGGAGCCACTGCCAAAGTTGCGTTTGCCCAGCTCTTCTGCGTATGATTCTATTTCCATTGCCAAGTTCTTACTGGTGTCTGCCGCCAATTCATGCAAAAGCCACATTAGTTTACGGCTGAAGCAGCGTCTGGTAGCTCGTACGAGGTTACAGGCAAGCATCATACCATGCCACCAGAGAGTCTAACCGAGCAGTGACAGCGACAGCCGAACTCGTTTCGAGAGCCCTTCCAGGGGGCCCTGAGCAGAGGTCTGGTGAAGAATCGCGATGCCATCGCTTATCATTTATCTCTGGGGTCGGCTATGGTAAACCTCCATGTCCATGTAGTATAGCAGTCATATTATAGTCATGGCATAACCGAGTGTACGTTGCGTCTTTTGACCTGGATATTTTCCGCGCCATCTACCTCCAGTGTAACGTCGCTTGTGTGGGCAACATCCATGCACAAGAACCACCGCGCGTTTCTATACTGGGCTAGTCAACTATAGAAGGGATTCAAGACTAAGGAACATCACTGGGGTGTTAGTGTCACGATCATAAGATGACTTCGGTCTTCGGATAAGTAACATCATCGGTTGTCGGCGTAATATGGATTTTAACTACTCTACTAATGAGCTGGCCCAGTAAACGGAACATCTTATCGGGCCGCCACAGGCTCAAGACATGGAATTTAAACACGAGAACTCAGTTGAATTGCGCCAAGCACAGCGGAACTCGCCTCTTGCAGGGCCCCTTCGCTGCCTATGGAAGAAGCCGTTCTTCCATAGAGGCCTTTCTCTCATGACAAAGACGGGATAGGCCACCTACTTTGATTAAGCTTACTCTTATTGAAATTATCGTTTCAATAGCTAATCCACGCAAAATGTTCATCCTACGCCAGATACAGCTGTGATTTGTTCCGAACCAGCTAATATTGACAAAACGGCGCCTTCTTGCCAACTAACTCTCGCCCTATATTGCTCAATTGTATATTTTCCGTCTTTGGTGCGCTGTGCATTCCAGAGTGTTTTTAGTGCAATGGCACCGCCTGGGTCACCCAGGGAGTCGGAGGCCTTCCCGAAAATCCGAGCCAGATAATTTATCCTTCCATTGTATCCACGCTCCGCCTCAGTTTCGACTAGGGTGTCGTAAGGGACGACTTTGCCCCCGTCTCCATCTTCATGAAACCCTGTTCCATGACTGTCTGAGGCCCGAGAGCTAAAAGTGATCCAGTACACAATCCAAGCCGTTTATGAGCTATTGAAACCATTCTTTTCTTCTTACAGGCACGGATAAGATGGCTTTCGCCGCTGGTTAGGCTGTCAAGAGGAAGGGCCTGTTTCCTGGCTGAGCTTAAATTCAGGTGAGTGATTCTCTCTATTGGCCGATGTGGTTTCACTCTCAAAAATCGGTATTAATCTATGATCTAGCCTGTTCTCCGAGCTAGGAAGAATGCTCATTTTCTAGATCATTATCCGTGACGTGTTACGCTGGATAAGTCTTCTCATGTCTGTAGCCCACAAGCTAGATGGCTGCAGCAAGTCCTTTGGTCCATGTGGCTAGGACACCTTTTATATATACCATGTGAATGACGGAGAGATAGTCGAGATTGTGCTTTTAGATCTCTGTGAGCGGTCCTCGTCGAGGTCTCAAACGACAAGGAATCTCTTTCGAAGCCAGGAATTATTGTGTAAATGCAGTCTGGATAAAATCTAGTGTAATTAGGGCAACGTAGCGAAAATGTTTGATATAATGAACTGATCATCTTCCTTATTTAGACCTAGGTAGCTATTCTGAAGTAATTGATTCGCCCCCATATTCAATCTCCAACTCCAATTACTTCAGTAAGAGATGCCCCAATCGCGCTACTCTCAAAATTCATTATTAACCTGATGTGACCAAAACAAAGACTACTCGAATAGCATTGTCGGCGAATGTTTCACAGCTCATCAGCGCATATGGTGAGGTACAGGGTAGCTCGAAAATAATGGCACTGAGGGATGAAGCGTTACATCGTAAAACTATCAAGCAGGTTATGAGCCAGCCCTCCGCTTCCAGTTAGCCCAATCGATTTTCCTTTTTGTCCCTTGTTGCTTAAGCGATTGGCAGATGATGATAGCAGATTGTGCCACATGTGGCTCACAGGTGCGGCAGGCATCTCCTCACTGGCTGAACCAGCCATGATAGCATGATTATGCTACGCAGAGATGGCCAGTTGTGAATCATTATGACGCGATCATAGACACAAGTGTTTACACGTGATGCCAACCCCTCAACACTGTGTCTTGTATAACTGTTCATCATCCTATTTATATTTAGTAGTTACTCACTCCAGCCTCTGCGTCCGTGGTCTCCGATATTCAACCACATGTAACCAATTTTCACCGAGCGGAGAGACAAGCAAATATGCCCTCTTTTACCACACTGTTGCTTGAATCCGACGAGGCCGGTTACAAGCGGGCTACGCAGCCACAGTTTTTGGCCGCCGCCGCTGCTGGCAAAGTACCGAAAGAAGTTCTCGGCCAATGGCTCGCAAACGAGCGGCTATTCCTCCATGCATACATCAAAGGGGTCGGACGCCTTCTCAGCTCACTCCAGCTGCCGCATCTCACCGACAGTGCACAAGCGCCTGACCCGGTAACAGAGTTTCTGGACTTGTCAGTTGAAGGGCTCACAAATGCGCGCCCGGAGGAAAAGTTTCTAACCGAGACTGCCTCAAAATATGGAATCAATATCAACCTGCCCGCCCATGGTGACGACTGGGTCGCTGAAGACGACAAGATTGAAGGTTTGCGTCGCTTTGAAGCACTCTTTGGCTCGATAGCCTGGAACGACAGCACCTTTCTGCCCTGGCTGGAATCTGCTGTACTATTTTATGCAACTGATAAGATATACACGGATGCATGGAAATGGGCGAGATCTCAGGTTGAGTCAGGTATTGATGCAAGTAAAGACTTGGATGATGGAATCTTGAGACAGTTGTTGATCCCTCGATGGTCGAATCCTGAGTGGGATGTGTTTGTGGAAAGACTGGGCAAGCTGATTGATAGTTCCGTGGAACATGAGGTCAAACTTCACCAGGAGGGCATCAAAGCTAAACTATCTGCCCGTGCTCGAGAGCAATGGAAGTTGGTCCTTGCTGCGGAGGCGACATTTTGGCCCAAGTTTCAACCAATTTAGTAGCTTATTGAAGAATCTATTTCTACATACGCTGTAGCCGATGCCAGCCACAACTATGTTCCACCTGCATAAACACGAGAGATAGATGTATGTGTATAGTAGCCTTGTTAACAGAGGCCTTCCGGTAAAATTAAAATAAACAGCTTCATCCATTGCCGATTACCTGAATCATAGGTGAATGTTTAAAATCAAGTTAGCCCTACGGGAGAACTTTCGTCATTCACTCTTCCTCTCGAACGAGTACCGACTTGAACTGAATCGAGCCCAGTACCGCAGGTACAGGCATACATTGACTCAACTCAGCGACGACATTTAAATCAAGTGTGATATCATCGCTATGTTCGGCTTAGGCTTATTCGGTACCATCACATCCTGCATTCGGGTGCTGCACTATGTGACGATAATTGATCGAAGATTATGTTCAAGTTCTCGTTTGAGCAGGTCTCGAGGTGGCAGTTGCTCTCACAATGACCCGCAGACGCCATTGGTGTCCCCGAGAGGCATATCGCGCCGACGATTATTCCTCTTCCAAAAGTGCGTCCAAAAGTGAGAGTACCAACAGGTTGAAAGGCAAGGTAGTTGAATATAAGTGGAAAACATCAAGGAAATCTCCTTTCCATGGAAGTGATGGACAAAAATTAAACAGCACCCTTGAATGGAGCACGGATTCGAAGTGTCTTTCGAGGAAAATTCACAAGGCGAGGGATAACCAATATATCTTACCTACCAAGCCACATCGTTCCATGCCACGAGATAGTCATTGGTCAAGAGACAATGGTAAGAGCATCAACACTCTTGGGTCTTGCAAGCTCATCACGCCAGCCTCATCAGACGCGCATAAGGGTCTTCATATTCGTCAATGAACTCAGCCTTAGTCTTCGTCTCAATCGGATAGACTAGAACTACGAGTAGGTACTCAAAATGAAGTTTATTCTCGAATTTATTTCAATTACACAAAAAGCAAAGCAAGCCGCGGTGGTTTGTGACCATGGACTAAGAGATGAGGTCCAAATACGCTGGGTGAATTGGTATTACATCTTTTGCATTCCCAAGTCTACCAAAGAAATAAATATCAGATACAATCTTTGTGATCGTGTAATGTCTAGTTGTGGTTTTGTGAAGAAATCAATGAAGAAAACTGCAAAACCGGCTAGACACGGCTTTGTTCGTGTCTTATCATTCGGCTGTTTATCGATAAGATATGACCGATAAGATAACAATTCACCTACCCTAGATCATGCGATACATTAAAATACGATCGGCGTAGATTGAGGATATTGGAACAAGAAATAGTAGCTAAAGAATAAAGGTGGCGGAATCATTCCTCCCATTTTTCTTTCGTTTACTTCCAGTACCATGATTGCTGTGTGGCGGGCCATCACATCCTCACACTATGTAATCGAGCTTGGTGTTTGTGTGTCGTCACTCTAATATTGAACTCCCTAATTGATAGTCGTTGATAGTAGCTGGCAAAGGTTCCTACCTACACAGTTGCTGTTCACCCAAAAGCAGTTTCAACTACGGTAATTTCGTCTCCCAGGAGATATTCTCATTTTGAATTAAATGTGAACAATGACGTAGCATAAGCCACCCTGCATTGGGGCTGAGACTGTGGCGTGTGGCTGGTGCAACGCGAGTAACAAATCAACAAATCAACACAACTCGAGGCTGTGACGCGAACCTGCCACTGGACACGCGCGAGGACGTTTGACACCACGCCAGCACTGGAAAAAGCGCTCTGTAACGTCATTCTATACCCTGGGGGATCCAAATACTGACTGTTTAGAGTGACTAGCCGCGACACCCTTGCGAAGGCATTTTAAACCCGGCGCGATATCGACGAAAATAGAAACGCTGCCTGCGCCGACGAGACATGGCATCTCTATCGAGTTGTCATTTGAGCCTCTGCCCTCCTATGACGTGACAAGAAAGCGAAAAGAACCTTCCCCGACAATGTTTTCGTGAACCCTCCGAAGCCTCAGTTCTGACGACGCGAGAACGCAACCACGACCGAAGCTGCACTAGGCTCACGAACATACAAACAATGTCTTGTGGAAGCTCGTTGATTGTGATTTGAAATCTGGTGCGGATGATCGAGTTACGTTTGGTATGCTATTCTCTTCTCGCAGCGGGGTATCTACTTCCGATTGCTGTTGCTGGGTAAGCTGTGATAATGTGAGAAGAATGGCAACCATCACCTCCGGGCGACATTATTCCCACCGTGTATACTTCACGCTGCCCATCTGGGCTATTTGAGTAATGGCGAGATATCTCTCAAGTGGTGGAAGTCGCTTCTTTTGATGGTATTATCTGGGATAGCCGCAGCTCGTTGGCCTCGGAGACAGATCAATTGGAACTGGGGTAGCGAACACGCAACGATCCTGCCCTGACGTAGAAGAATCCTCTCTGCTATTAGATAAATCACTGTAAACTATCCCAATACTTTCCATGACTTGCTTTGAACCTCCACAAACTTTTAATTGTTTACATTCTCTCCCTTGCCGTCAGCCATCCAACAACCCCCGCAACTTGCTGCTCGCAGTGGGCAGCCTTCCCCTCTTTGTCTTGACATGCTGCCCCTCACTGCTTTCCAGATCTCTTCTGGAGATACTCTTTGAGAAGCTTTGGCGCTGTCTGCTTGATGACAGCCTCAGGTTCCCACGTGGGCTTCGCCCAGCCAACCCACTCCACGAGGATCTGGCGCTGTTTCTTTGGGCCGCCTCTGACTCCCTTGAAGGCAAAGATGGTGAATGATTCCGGGTCATGTGGGTTCAAGGGTCGGCCTCCTGGCTGGCGGCTCCAGTAGCTGACCAGAGTCGATTTGGCGTCCCGGTGGATGGCCTTCTCTGGCTCCCAAGTGGTCTCATCGGGGTCGTCCCAGTGGATCTGGAGCTCAATATCATTGCCGCTCCAGCGGTGGTTGATGATCTTGCGAAACTTCCACTTTCCAATGTGGTTCCCAGATGCGGCGGCGGCAGAGCTGGAGGCTTTGGCCGGTGGCTGCTTTTTGGCGTTTTGGACGCGAGTCGCGCCGTTTGGCTGCTCGACAATCGCGGGTTCGCTGGATTCAAAGCGTGGGGGGGAGTGAGAGGCGGATGAGGAGGTGTAGTAATCCTCCGCCATACTCTGGCTCTCTTGCGATGATTGACGCATGGCAGAAGAGTGATCACGGCGAGAGCCTCTGAGTGCGGTGCTTTCGTAGGACAAGTGTGAGAAGTAGGCGGGATCGCCGGGATGCGTAGATGGTGATGAGGAGGAGAAATGAAACGATGTGGAACGACAGGACGCTGAACCTGTTGGTCTCAGGCCTTTTGATGGGCCAAGGGTAGCAGCAGTCTGGAACCTGCAGAAAGATCAGGCTGGTGAGCTGCGCTGTTACTGTCCGTCGCTTACTATTATGTCTGCCGTTCAGCACTGTACAGAGCACTGGAGACGGGGAAATTGCAGAAACAGGCTGTGTTGCCAGCAGGCAGCTGTTGTAAGACGGGGCAGCAAAAGCAAAGCAGCCAGCCACTTATTATTGTTATTGTTATTATTTTTATTAGATCGCCAGCCAGCCATGACGTGATCACTCACAGTAATTGGCTCCCGGATGCAGACTATCGTTTCAAATTGACATATCATTTCCGCTTCAGACGCCTCGAAGAAGCAAATAAATACTTTCCCGATACTGGAGACGATTGCGAGTAAACATTTTACCTTTTGACCCGGCAACAGATGCTCCGTATGGCGAATGCTACTGTTTAATTTCCACCTTGCAGCGTCTCACTTTCCGTGAACATATGTATACATCATGTAGCTCTATCAAAAGCGTTCGGCGATAGGGCAGTTCTACACTTAGCAAGTTTTCACAAGATTGTATTTTTTTCAGACATCAAATATATATATAGATGCTTTAGATCAACTAGCACCTTTATTGAATGAAAGAGGTTTAGTCGCAGATAGAAATTACTTACATCGCGAAATTCAGATAAGTGATGTAGTTGAAACTGCACACATGACGGGTGGTAGGCGATGTTGGGCTGTGGGTGTTTGCATGTATTTGATTGTCTTCACTAGGAGATATGAAGGGACTATCATTAAAGTCGGCTAATTCTTTCAAAAACAGGATTGGCTGGGAAATACCTCTTTCGGTTCGGTTTGGCCAAATTCTGCAGGATGTGACTCACGCTCGCGAGTGCCAAGATTGTCTCCTCACGCCACACCTGGATTGTGATTGCAACTACTGCCGTTAATTCGGGAGGACACATATCAACTGTAGGGTGCATGTGATGTGGCAGCTGAATGGTCGCGCATTTTGTATGCTCCAATTCGCTGCCTGTCTGTACAATTGGTGTGGCACCTACGAATAATCGCATGATTCTGGAATTGACGAAGTAGAAGAGCCTTTTTTGACGAGTACAAGTATTGATCATGGGACATAGCTCTAGTTTCCATCAAATTTCGATGCCAGCATGGTTGCCTTCGTTTTTATTTCTCAGCATCAATACACATATATCACCAAGAACTCCCTGTGAGAGACTAAATAGTGAGGAAAGAATAAAACAGTTTTGCAATGCATCTCTTGATTTTGGGAGCCACTGGGAGAACAGGTGTTTATGGCTACAAGTATGCGCTCGAACAAGGTTTGTATATTTTCCATCCCTGGCTTTGCCGTTCTATGGGACTATGTAGTGACATATCAAGGTTACCACGTAACCGTTCTCACGCGCCCTGGTTCATTGATCCCCTCACAGGAGAACCTCACGATTGTTGAAGGCTCAGCCATGTCCGAAACCGACATGGAACGCGCCATGACAGCTGCGGGCGTCCCGGTTGATGCTACACTGCATTTTCTGAACCCCCGTCGAGCCTCCGACAGCCCATGGGCGAAGTTCCTTGGCCCGCCTCGCCTGATGGCGGAGGCGGCAGCTCTGGCAGCTCGTGGACTTCGCCGACAACAGCAGCAGCGACCGGGGGCTCCCAAACCTCGCATGGTCGTGTTGAATGCCATCGGGGCCGGCCAAAGCCGTGCAGTGCTGCCGTGGTGCGCACGGGTATTCTTCGACTACACCAATATTTCGTACACTTACAAGGACCACGCGGCTGTCGATAGCGAGATAGAAGGAAATTGCCAAGATGATGTGTGGTGGACAATCGCCTATGCTGTCGGCCTAAGTGATGAGGGCGTTATACCCGTGAAAACGTTTGGTCTCAAGGAAACCGGGTTCAGCTTCCACATCACGCGTGAAAGTCTCGCTAGATGGATGGTAGATGTGGCGGCGGGGGAGTGTAAAGGTGACTTTGACAACGGAAGGGTGATCGTTTCGAATTAGTTTCGATTGCACTCTGATTATTAAGGTACATGTTGTGAAAGATTGTTAGACGGCTGGCGATCGAAATTTCGATTGTGGTTATTGTTCTTATTGATCACCAGAATCACCTCTTCATCCTAGTGTCTTCCTCTAGCCAGAAAGGATCGATAAATGGGTCTATCAAATGTATTTGTACAATTGAATGAAGTTAATATCGATTTAAGGCGTTGTGAATAGTTATGCAGCCGTCTGACATCCATTGATGGGGTATCTTTCGCCCATTTTCGTATCCTGAGTAATGACTCGGGGAGGCGCATACACCATTGACGCAGGTCTCAGGTGTTTTCGGTCATGGCTGAAGCCGGGGTAACTGGAAGCTCCGACCAGTTAATTTTCTAACTGAGACTTGCATTCGTAAGTGTGCTGAACTGGGCTGTAGCTGCTGCTATTTTACCCTTGGATTGTGCATCTCGACTGACCACGTTTTGGGTCATGTGCATATATAGGGAGCCGAGATGGTTACTAGGACCAAGGGAGTCGCCGCTCCTGCATATAATGAAGGTGTATTGATTATCCCCTTCGGTATAATTCAACAATTCCTTTGGGTAACAGATCTCTTAGTGAATATCTGGTATCTCGTCGAGAAATTAGGCGCCCCCTCCACAATGCAGTCTTCGACTCTGTTCACGCTTTTTTTGCGGCCTTTGCCTTCTGTGGCCCAACCACTCAGGTACATGGTAAAGAGGGAAGCTCGGATAATTCATAGTACTACTCTAGTTTATTAATATTAAAATTAATAATATAGTTATCCCTATATCTATCCTCGGGGTTCAAAGGCAAACCTATAATTATTAATAATCTGGGCAGCTGTATTAATATTCCTGAAAAAGATAATCTATAAGTAAATCCTATAGCTTATATCTACTTATATTTTAATATAATATAGTTAGTATAATATCTATTCCTATACAATTAAGCTAAGTATCAAAATGCCCCGATCAACAATAAGTGTATGAAGCTCATAATTCAAGCTATTTGATGGTCTTGCTCTGCCCTAAACGACCTCTGTTAGTGCTCGTGACCAACCTGATACTGCGCTCGATCTCGGGAGATTCCAGTTTACGCATATTATGGGACTGTCGGACTCGAATAAATCCTCTCATCGGAACTGCGGCCGTCCGCGACTCTCCAACGGAGCTGGGGCCAGAAAGGTTGGCCTCCCGTCCTGGCTCCTGACTCCTGATTCTTGACTCTTGAGCCTCCAGCTTCCATTTGAATCATACTGACCGCAAGGTTTCCCCAGAGAGACCGGATGCGACGTGCACAGAAAGCGTTTGCTTGCGCCAGAAGACGGCGCAGCTGGCTCAGGTCCAGCGACTTGAGCTGCTGGAGACGACTGTCCAATATATGAGCTCCCATTTCAAAGAGCTGTCTGGCGCGTTGATGCAGATAACGAAGGTACGCGAGGATCCATATATCTGCCAAATGCTCCTTCGGGCGACTGATCACTCTGATCGTTTAAGGCGAGACGCCTTCTCAGAGGACGGGCTCGCGTGAGCCCACCGTTTCTCGGCTGGGTTGATGGCAACAATCCAATGGCTACTCTTTTTTCACAAGGGGGAAAAGCCCGCCGGAGATCTTTATTAAGAGCCAAGAGGGTGTGGAGATTGGCGGTTTAAGCATGTGGCACTCTTCTGTCTTTTCATCTGAGCTATAGTCTATTTTGAGAAAAGCAGAAGTAAAGAGTAATAGTACTGTTATCTACCTATTCTTGTTTTCTAAAGCGAATTCATAATGTGTTTGGTTTGTTCTAGGATAGTCAAGCTGCCGAAGCAGCGGAAAGTGGCCAGATCTCATGCTATTCCAATGTTGATGTTGTGCATTAGCATAACTTGTTCGAGACCAAATGGCCCATATAAGTCCGAGCTGCTCCACAACAGTCTTAGAAGTCGACCGATGGTAAGTGGCAGAAGAACGTAAAATCGTGAGTGCTGTTCTGTAAGGAACTGCAGCAACGCTTGTTGATCCGCATGTCGGCCAAAAAATGATCCCGCGACCAAGAGCGGCCGAACCGAGATCGTATGCACGGGGCTATTCCAGAGGATCATGCGTAGATGCTGCCAGAAGACACTCTGAGCGTCTGACATGCGCTTGTCCGCCATGGACTCGTGGCTAACGTTTCCGTTATGCAACAACACGAGGTACATTACCAGGGCTTGCCGGTACATGATAGCCACTGCGTTGGATATTTCGTCTTCTTTACGACGGCCTATGGGCGGCTTCCACGCCAGTATGTCGCTCAGCATGCATCCAATCGCCAGATGATCGAATCTGCCTTGCCGAGAGGCCTTTTGTGCAGTTGTTGTTACTCTTGGTATTAGTTTGAAGAGTGTCTGGCTGCCAGGGACCAACAAGTTAAGATTGGATGGTGCTACCAGGGGGAGAAACGAGAACATCTCTTCATCGCACCTGATCAGCCTAGCCTCACCGAGAGCCCCTGGCGTGATTTGGGCAATGACTGCAAGATACAAATGCACCTCGAGAGCGAAAGAGAAGCCGCAATTCGAGTACGACGGCCAAGATACCTGGCGACGCTCGAGAAGGTGTTGAGCGGCTCGAAAGTGGTGGAAGAAGGCGCTGCTGGTGTCACCTCTCATAGCAGACAATTCGTTTAGTGGGGATGGGCGATATGATGGGCTAGATGAATCTTTCTCACCCCCAGCAGACACATCATAAGCGATACTATCAGGACCGCAAGAATGTCCGCCTCCTTGGCAAGTGCAGTGGCGGCGATTTCGTTCTGGAGTGCCTGTATCGCTTGAACATAGCGAGTCCCGAACGCAGCCTCACCTGCAACTTGATGGGCTCACGCTGACGAAGCTCCTAGGAGCTCAATGCATATATGCTCTATTTAAGGACATTATGTGATACAGGAAGAGGGACGATCATCGTCAGGAACGGATTGGCATGCCCAGGTTGGATGGAGGCATGTTGGCACGTATGATCAACGTAGTAACGGAACAGTAACTCAGAATCTCCGTTGCTCTCGGTGCAAGCGGTGCGAAACTCAAAGATAGGGAACGACCAAGCGGACAGTCTCTGCAAGCCAGACTCATTTGTTGGGATATCGGCGTTGGAGGAGGTGTCTTGCGCCTCGGCAAGCCCCGCGCCTTGACGTGACTTGTTGGCTCTGGACGAGCGCCCAGCCTTTTGTGTCTGAAGCAGCTGTTAGATGCGTCGGGTCTTCTTCAGGGTATCAACTTCCGCTGCTGTCTGCCTCTTCTTGGTCAGATTATTCTCCGGCCAGGTGCAGGTGAGACAATTTCTTTCACACCCCATGGATGTTGGCTTGTTCTCGTCACATTTCTTCCGCCGTGCACGACAACTCAGGCACCCCGTTCGGCTTCGATGGCGCATGTTGAAAGACAGAGAATAGATACTTTATAACACGTCCAACCACATGAGGTGCGCAGCCGGTCTTTGTTGGCCTCATCTACTTGCTCCCTCTGACTTCCTGTTGCTATCTGTCAATAAGAGAAAGCGGACACCATGATGACATCTTGTGGGTGGGTTCCCTGCTGACGGGCGGAGCGTGTGATCCCGCCTTCCTGTAGCGAGGGATTATGGTCCGCTACTAGGGGATATAGCAATAAGGCACATTCTAGGTTTGTGGCCTGTACTTCTAAATGTAGTGGTGCCATAAGTCTACGAACGCCTTGCACAGTTATATAATTATTATATACTTATTCTCATAACTGCTATAGACAGAGAGGTAATTTATATAGGCTTACTAAAGATAATATTAGGATTCTATAATATTACTGATATCAGGGTTTATAATATTTTGTTAGTAAAACCAGCCTGTTACAGATCTTGGATCATTACAACCGAAATATCGTAATACCCCTGATCGTTATAGACCAGGTTTGCTGTATATTCATCCTAGTCCGAACACGTGGGGGTAAAAGCTCAGGCCACTTTTGCAAAGGACAACCGGTCGCCAGGCTACAGCAAGACAAGACTCCGTGGCATATCGTAGTATCCCAATTGACCTCTAAGTTGCAGTATGGAACGCCGGCTACCAGAATTCACGTTTGAGCCTTTTCAGTACGAAGCTCTACCCAACAAAACTTCAATCCGGCTATTGTCACTGGGGAAACGCCGCAAGATAGGGCCGACAGCATCTGGAAAACCACTCATTGAATGCGTTTTGCACACGGTGGACCTGAGGGACTCTCCCACCTTCCAAGCTTTATCTTACTGCTGGGGCAACCCCCTCGGGCAACCTCAGGTCCAAGCCCTAGATGACTATGCTCCTCGTCACCAGTGGCCGCTGGCCGTGAATGGCAAAATATTCTGGGTGCGGAGAAACCTCTATGAAGCGCTGTACGAGTTCTCCACGCCAGAAAAGCACCCTGGCACTGGCACTGATGTTCATGAGAGGCTGAAGCCCTACAACAAAACCCGGCTAATCGCAGCGGCCGAGAAGGGCTATGTGGGAAATGTAATCAGTGAACTCAAGCGAGGTGCAGATGTTCATGCGCATGACTGCTGGGGTGAAACAGCGCTACATTACGCTGCGGAGAATGGACACCTGGACATCGTCAAGATGCTACTAGCCCACGGGGCCAGGCTTGATCTTCGAGATGATACGCGCCGCACTCCTCTTGATTGTTGCCTAATGTGGAGGCGAGGGCAGCATGAGGAAGTTGCTCAGCTGCTTCAAGATCCACCCTCGATTTGGAGTTCTACGAAAGAGCCAGACTTTTGTGAGCTTGAACTTTGGGTTGATGCTGTATGCATCAACCAGGCTGATGCTCAAGAGCGAAATGCACAGGTAGCCCTGATGTCTGAGATCTATAAATCAGCCCTATCTGTGAAAATTTGGCTAGGCGTGTCCTCAAAGGAGACCGCCATCATCTCGTCCCTGTTACAAGCACCAGCAAAAAGGCTCGTCCATGGCCCCATATCCGCTCAGGAGGCGGATGCACTGGTTGCTTTGTCGAACCGGGCATGGTTCCGTCGAAAATGGGTCATCCAAGAAGTTGCTATGGCTAAGAAACTTGAAATGGTATGGGGAAGCTACAATTTGAATTCAACTGCGGAGAATTTCTCGTATTTGCAACAGAATGAAAGCCTTCAGCAGATGCTTTCCCTCCGAGCTCAACAGGGTCGGCCCATCAAGGCGATAAGATTCACATTTCTCATGGAGTTGGGGCAGTGGCTCGCCTCCGCAAAGTCGTACCCAGACAATGATGACCAAGAACCACCACCAAGCTTACTTTGGCTGGTTGCCAACACCTGGCAATTCGAATGCTCAGACCCTAGAGACAAGATATTCGCGCTTGTGGGAATGGCGCCAAAAGCAAAGAATTCCAAGGAAGATGGCGGCCACGAAACCATGGTTGCAGATTATTCAACAACTACCGCGGATGTTTTTATTGAAGCAGGCAGGATATTAGTCGAAGCGAGAGGCGATAATGAAGCGAGTTTCAATGGTCTGGAGCCATTGCAAGGGCTGAGTTGGGTTCAGTATCCTCGAAGAGAACTACATCAAAAACTAGGTGAAGCATGCGGCTACAATTTCGATCGTGTGCAAGGGTTACCTTCCTGGGTGCCCCAGTTCCATCTCCCTTTAGCTACACCACCATTATGGGACCAGCGGTTCAATGCATGTGGGAGCCATTCCCCTTGCAAGATTTGGGATTCTGATCGCTCTGTTCTGAAAATAGACGCTTTTCGATTTGACCGCATAGTAAGGTTAGCAAAGAACAGTATGGGAGGGATAGATGATACCTTTTGCCCCAATATCGCAGGCTGGTTGCAGCTAACATCGTGGCTTGATGTCCTATACCACAACAAATGTAGCCGGGTGGAGGCATTGTGGATGACCTTATCGATGGATATTTTCCAAGGCGAAGATCAAGTGAAGCTGGGCCAAGAGACATTCAACCAAACTATTTGCGAATGTTGGTCGATGGTAGAAGATCGTCAGGATGCCATGGAGCTGCTAGAGGTTCTCCGAAGCTTCGAAGACTCTTGCATCCTCCCGAGTCGGAAAGCCATCGAAGCCTCTAGCGGGAGGATGTTTCGGGGCTGGGATAATAGTCCACCTGGGTTTCAACAGCAGTATAGCTCTTATTGCCATACACGAGATCTCATGCAAAGCGAGCGTGGTTACCTTGGACTAGTAAGTTACTTGGCTCGGGAGGGCGACGAAGTTTGGATCCTAAAAGGCGGACGTGTTCCTGTTGTCTTACGGCCAGTCGAGACCAAGACAGGGGAAACGCACTATAAATTCGTTTGTGACAGCTTTATTTACGGGATAATGTCCGGGGAGGCTGTGCAGTCAGGAGAAACTGCCTTTACTCCGGTTGAGATTGTATAACGAATGGACCAGTCTACCAGAATTTAGTTTTATATCAGGTTCAAAATTATATAAAACACTCTATAGCTTGATTAAATATAATATTAGCTGAACCAAATAGTTGTATCTTGATAGCTCTACTATATAGTATCCTTAAGCTGCTTAATCTCTAACTAGTCCTTCTTAAATCAGCCCTTCTCTATATCTTGCTACTATAACCCGATAAGCAGCTGCTTCGCTAACTTTACCCCAGCAGAGCTTTCTTACTATTAAAACAATAAGACTTCTATTCTTATACTATCTCTTGATATCTATAAAGTTCTATTTACTCTAACATTTCCTTCTGGAGCTTTATAAAAACCAAGTTCAGCTGCTTTAATTTGTAAAGCAAGAAGGCGAGAATAGATCCGGCAAAGTGCAAGACTACCGCCCATGAACCAAAAGTTTGGGTGTCCACTGTATTGCCACATCTAACATACCGTATAGTCAGTTGTTGCAGCTTTTCGACATATCACGGTACCACTTACAGAATTAACCTCTCCCTCCTCGTCCAGATCCCACACTTCACCCAAGGAATGGGCAACCTTTTCACCAAACAGACGCCGCGCTGTACTATGCATGGTCTCATAACCAGTGGCCAGCACAATAATACCAGCTTCGAGATCAGACCCATCAGCTAGAGCTAGTCCCTTCGACGATAGAGACGCAATTCCTCCAGGGCATGCCTTCAGCTTGACTTTACCATCAATAATCAACTGACTGCAGCCAATATCAATGTAATAGCCTCCTCCACGGGTTATGTACTTTCGGTAAATTCCACTCCCATCTTCACCGTAGTCAAGCTGGAAACCTGCTCGCGCCAGTCCCTCCAGGGTATCTTTGTCCACTCGGCTAATGTCTCGGCATCCAAAAACATTGAAGGCAAATTGTATCGGGATAGGCATGCTCTGGCCCGCGAGATCACAGTCTTCAATTGGGGGTCCTCCTTCCTCATAGGCGCCCGTATGTAGCATTGGGAGTGTTTTGTCGGCTGTCAGGACATAAGCACCGCCGCGCTGCAGCATGGTGACTGAACCGGCGCCGGACTCGTAAAAGTTTTGGCAGATATCATGTGCTGAGTTACCAGATCCAACAACGACCACCTTCTTATTAGACAGATCAGGATGAGAAGAAGCGTCGGTATGTACGCTTCCGTGGTATAGATGACCTTGAAACTGGTCTTGACCTGGAATTTGGGGCACAATGGCGTCACCAACGTTGCCCGTGGCCATGACAACGTGGTTTGGCTTCATAGTGCGGATAGTACCATCCCCCCTTTGAACTGTAATGGTCCAGGACCCGCTAGTTTCGTCGAATTGGGCTGTCTGGAGCTTGGTCGAACACCAAACATTCAGCTCCATTAGGATGGAGTATGACTCAAGCCAGTCGGCAAGCTTATCCTTAGGCATAAAATAAGGCCAATGCGCTGGAAAAGGAATGTATGGGAGGTGGCAGTATTGGATAGGGTCGTGGGTATAAAGCGTCTATGCATTGAGTTGTTAGTATTTCTGATGAAGTACGGAAGAGAAAAGGTACCTTATAACATTTCCTCCAGCTGTCACCGACTCGCCCACTTCTCTCAATGATGAGTGAAGATACCCCAATCTGAGCAAGACGAGCGGCGATCGTTAGTCCAGCTTGTCCTGATATCTAATTAGCTTTTGCGGCGAATCGGCTATAGCAGGGTTGTAACAAACCTGCTCCTACTATGAATACGGTCGGCTCTTCAGTTTTGAAATCTCTTTGCTGGTCTCGCCGTTGCTGCCAGTTCCCTCCTGCAGCATCAACATAACCAATTGGTCGGTTGAGACCAACCTGCTCTTCGTGTCCCTTGAGTTCTTCAAGTGTAAAATTGATAAGATAGCACTTCCAGATTTCGCTGTTCAGTACAAGTCTGAGCATACCTCTGCCGCGACCCACAGCCGTCTCGAACCCGAACATGGTTTCAACCCAGTGTATTCCAGGGCTCGGTGTCTTGAACGTTGGGCGGTGAGTACCTTGCTCGCAAACATGAATTCTCCAGACGCTAGTGTCATGGTTGGAAGTTATGTAGGAGCAAAGAGCGTCCCGACCTTGAACCGTGCGAAAGTCCCAGCTAAATGCCAAAAAGTCTCGGATCCAAGCGTCATTCACAAAGAGCGTGTCAAGTTGACTATGCTGTCTGCTTCGAAGGGTGTCCTCGAAGATCTTGACCCAGCTTTTGCAGATGGCTTTGGCCAGAGTGAATGAGCCGTTACCCTGGGCTGGGTATTCAGGGAGTTTCACAACGTGAGCCATCTTGCCGGAGATAATCCACAAGTAGGTGAAGGGAGTTTGATGAAAAAGGATGTTGTCCGATTCCATATGTTCCGGTTAGGACGTTACAGGATTGATATACTTCCGTGCCTCAATCTTGGCGTTTGGCCTCGGTCTCCACTGTTCGGGCCGTGTGTTCAACGTCCCATTTGTGTTGTGTTGTTAACGTTAAGTGACATGGCCCGATTGTAGAGTCCTGGGGGTTTATGCCTCGGCCAGCTGAACATGAGAGACAAGCGGTGGATACTTAGTCACGCGCGATCGATATGGAGCGGACAAGTACATGGCTTGGACTGTTCCTGCTCTCGCCACGTCAAAGACTATTCCTCGTCCTAGACCTTGTCAACATCAAAGACGATTCGGTGCCGAGGCATTGACGTAGATTAGAAGCAAAGTCTTGATTTAATATAGCTTAACAACCATTTGCGTTGATAGACATTATAGACATTAATACTATTCCAGTATCTTATTACATTGATCAGTAGAGGCAGTCGCAAGTCAAGCCAAATCTACTGTAGGCCGTCGAGCTTGTCACAATAGCAAGACAATAAATATTAAGAGGAGAGACACTAATTCCTGTATATTTTTGGAATCTCCTGATCGCGGGATGCCGCCCAGATGATCTCTTATGTGATTTGACAAGGCTCGGATCAATCACATGTCTAAACCCAACTTTTTGCATGGAAGCCACATTGTTTCTGATACCAATGCTCCCGTCCTCCGCGCTAGCTAGCTGATGCAATCGTTTCAGAAATGGCTACCATGAGTAATGGCCAGCATCCACTCGCAAGTCAGACGCAGTCATGAATGAGCTGCCATCGCCTAGAAGGAACAACAAAGAGGTCATGTACTCATCAGCAGTGGATAGCCTTCCAAGCATGTTCCCTGAAGTCCAGAGTTCTCGTAGGCCAGGGATCGCCGCAAGTGTTGGTTCAGTCAGGCGACTGTAGATGTAGCCCGGGCTTAGAGTGTTTACGCGAATGACTGGCCCTTGGACTCCCGACCCCCATTCCGCGGCTAGGTTTCGGGCAAGCTGCAAAACACCGGCCTTTGACGCGTTGTAAGCTGCCGTATCAATCCCCTAAAGAGCGAACCGTCAGTGTATATTGATACAAATACGCCTCACCCAGACGCGATGAGCCCGAACCTTGTTAGCAACTGTTCCCGACATACTGCTAACTAGCACCACGCTGCTCGGGTACTTATGGCGCTGCATAATCGCTGCCGCAGCTTGGGCGCATAGAAATGTTCCGATCAAATTGACGTCGATTATTTTCTTGAAGTCTTCGTAATCGTAGGACGAGGCGGAGCACCTACCGGAGATGCCAGCGCATGTTACGAGACCGCGGATCGGAGTATGGCAAGCTTCTTCTGCTTTGGAGAAAGCGTCTGCAACACTAGTCGGAGAGGAGACATCGCATTGCGCGTAAAAAAAACGTGGTCGCTGATCTTTCGGCGATGACCTGTAGTGACTCTGCTTATTATTAGCTGCTATACTTGGAAAAGCCTCAGCATAACTTCATCCCATTACCCAAAACTGTAGATGGCATAGAGGAGCTGCGGTCCATGCAAACGACATCAACCCTAGAGCGCAACAACGTCTTCACGACAGTCAAGCCCAGCTTCCCCAAGGCGCCCGTAACTGAGAAGCCGAATTAGAACATCAGGACATATCCGTCGCGGTCCAAGACTGTGGACTCATCAATGATAGATCTCTGACCTATGTCTCCAACCTGCTGAGCATCATTGGGACGGGCTGTTGAACTCGACATCTTGGTTTAGTGTTGTAGACAAATTTAGCTTGTACAATAGTGTATGCCGAGATGAAATTGTATTCTCCCAGGAAATGAGATCGAAAACGTGCTAAATTGTAGTCTACAAACTGACCTGCTCTAGTTCCAGCCCTCGGGATGACAGTGCGCGAGGTCTCTACTCGCTTTCCAAACGAATACTCTCATACTGAGGAGCTACACCACAATGTCGCGAGTACCGACGATCACAGCCCTGAACTCTCCATCGAGCCACCATTGCCACACCCGTCAAAGTCTGCCTTTACTAACCATTGCGCGATCTGGTTTGCGCATTACCATGCCTGGCTACCGATCTTACACCAACCAAGCATCATGCAGACTTGCGAAAACTTGGTAGAAGGCGGGTCTGTGCCGATTGTTCTCAAGGCCATCTCCAGAGTCGTACAGTCATCGTCGACCCAGCAATCGGGCGACAACAGAACTACGACAGAGGGGCCGCTAGAAAACATCAGCAGCGAGATCATCCTCGAGAGCGTTGAGAACGTGACACTAGAATGTCTACAGGCTCTTGTCATATTCTCCGTTGCCGAGTATGGCTCTGGCCGCCTGGGCAAGTTCTATAACTTGATATCGGTCTGCAAAAGGTAACAGATCATTCATTGCAACGACGATTTATTACAGCTCGATATTGACTGTGCATCTTAGAATGAGCTCTCAGCTCGGACTCAGAGACCTAGTGGCTTTCCATTGCAGCAATTTCGGAATGCCCTCCATGATAGCGCCACGGATGCTCAACATTCCCGTGACCATCGTGGAGCGTGAGTCAAAGATCCGCGCTTTCTGGGCTACAGACTCCCTGGACTCGGCTTCTACAGTTGGAGTCGCATGGCATCTATCTGTCTCGCGCCCTGAGCCATTCGCAAGCGTGCCTTGTGATGATGAAATCTGGGAGTATCCTGAGCCGGTGCTTGCGGCGTATCCGTTCGGGACCGTTGGGACGCCATCTTCGTTTTCATTGTTTGTACACCTCGCCACCAACGAGCTCTGGCATGTTCACGACCATCTCCAGCAGCTCTATGACCCTACATCTGCCGAGGCAGTTTGCAAGCAACAGCTTGACTGTGACGCAGTGTGCTCGCGTCTGATGAATTAGCATGATGAGTTCGAGCAGATGCTCACCATCAGCAGCCCAATCTACACCGATCTGTTCACCAGCGAGTCCACCACGCAGCATCACAATTCCATGCTCATCCACTGCACAGTACATAGTGCAGTCATCTCTCTATATCAGCGATTTGCTATATCGAACGAGATGCTAACGACGCCCAACGGCGCAGAATTCAGGCGTCGGGCTGTGGATCGTTGCCTCACGAGCTGCGACAAGATTGCTCTGGTGATCAAGAACGCAAACGACGCGACTCTAGAGTCAACCAACCCCCACATGATTTACCCTGTCTTCATCGCCGCTCGATTCTGTTTCATCTATACGCGGGCTATGGATCTCCGCATTCACACTAAGATCTATTTTCTCATGTATGCTCTGGAGAAATGTGGCCGCCGATGGCCTCTGGCGCAGCAGTTGCACCGTATCCTGGAACGAGCCATGGCAGAGTCATCCATGTCCCTCGCCCAATCTGATCCACTTCCTGCTGAATTTTGGGATCTACAATATTTTGCACTCGATATTCATGAAGCTCTATATCAGTGTGTTTTACAATCGTCCCAACATGCGTATCAAGACCGGGCTTCGCGATGACCGCTGCCATGGCCCGGCTCCAGCCAGGGTCGTCGCGTAGGTCTCTTTTGACCTGATTTGATGAAGGTCGCCGCGTACACAAAGCCGGGGAGTGAACCGCTTGGAGAAGCCGTGGTTATCGGACTTGTAGGTAAAGATCTAGCATAGTGGTAGGACCTGGCCGGTGGCGCTGCTCGTCATGACGGGTCTGACCACCCCCCGGCTCTGGATCTCGTTCTATTCTTTCCGGCCGACCCTGAGCAATTGGAGTCTGAATTGGCTTGCCATTACTTGCTTCCAGTTCCTCGGTTCCGAAGGCAGCGATCGCCGATAAAGACGATGCTCCTTCGCAGTAAGGGAGGCCTTGGTCCTCAAGCCTCGAGGCTCATCACGGCCCTCGAGGCCGCCGATGACCTCAATCCGCTCCCAGAAGGCGCGGGTCTTGCCTGTGTGTGGTCTCGGGTCGAGGTCGCTGTTGGCTGCAGCCAACTTAGCTTGTGACCGCATTATAACCCATGGGCACCATTGAACTAATGTCTCATCGTCGCATACCTTCCAAGGTCTGAACCCTTGTCAAGCCTCAACCACTAGCAAAGCTAACAATCATGGGCACCGCCGAACAGCTGAGTTAGTCAAGTAGTGATAGTCTCCCTTTAGTCTGCTAAAAAGCTGGGGTAAGACAACAAAGGAGGGTGTATGGGAAGCTTCAAGACCCCTGGGTGGCTAATGAAATGAATCCCATAAAAACAACACTTAATCGCCACCCCCGCCCTTCTCCCCCTCATGCGCTGTCCTTCAGCTTCACTCCTGTCTGAGCAACGCGATTCTACATGACACTATCTTTCCCACAATGAGCGGCGCAGAGTCGACCGCGGGTCAAAAACCCACCAGCCTGGGCCAAGTCACTCTCGAGTCATGGTCACAGGGCGTCATGGTGGGTGCTCTGCTCATGATGGCCGCCATCGCCCTAGCCAACATGCGTAGCGGCGTGCTTCTGCACAAACTCATCTTGATTGAGGTATGTGCTGTATAGATATCCGGGTCACAGTTGGTTGTTATTTGCTGACACGGCCGCGTAATGTGTCAAGTTGGCTCTAGCTGTCCCCAACGGGTTCTTCACCTTTTTTGAGATGCCAGTATGGGGGTGGTACCTGTCCTCTACTGTTGTCCCACTCATCATATCCTGGAACCTGCACAACGTGATCGCTTGGTTGAAGACTCGGCCCTTTCTGGGGCCTCTTGGTAGTCGCATCTACATTGGCACTGTTTTGGTTGTGCAGCCGTACTGGATCTTCGAGATTTACGCCAACTTTGCATACTTCAACAACGGCGATCAAACCCTCTTCACATACTCTCGCCCGTTTGAGGCTGCGTTTCGGTGAGCTGACTGCCTCTGTATTCGAAGACGCTACCATCTGAAGCTTACACTGCTGCTCCTGTTAGTGACCCATGGTGGATTTTTACGACTGCCAATCTCTTCTACAATATTCGCTATCGCTACGAACTTGGTATCGTCGACATTGTTGCCGCCTCACCTCGCTTTGGTGTTCTGCTCTGCTCGATGATTGTTAGCATCATCTTTATCGTCGTCGATGTCCTCGCCGTAACGCCCGTCTTCCCCATCGGCGCCATCAACCCATTCTGGAAATTCGCCTTCATATTCAAGTGCCTGACAGACACCATCATCTTGGATGACTTCAAGACAGCCCTCGACAAGCTCAGAAGGCGCAATATGACTCGGATACTCCCTTTGAATGCCTTGCCAGAACAGCATCTGTGGACTTTCCGCAATTTAGAAACGGAAGGGCCGAGCACGTGGTCCAAGGCGCCCAAGGAGGAGGAACCTCGAGTCTTGCTGGTGGAACATTCCGAGGCTCAAATCAGTGGGAGGGGGATAGTGTAGAAGTAGTCTTCGTAAATGAGATGGAGATGTAGCCTCCAGCAACGATATCACTTTACATAGTCTTGCCCACACTTATATATAAATACTACCTATAACAGGTATCATGGATGTACTGATAAGCTGATCAAGCCGTCCGACGATCAAAACTATCGAATCGTGATGTATAAGCCTGTGTTTTCTGACCTTAACTTCATGATGTTGTCTATGGTTAACCTGCAGAACAGCGTCACCATGTCTCTTCTTGAGGCCGATAGGAAGCAAACCATGCGAGAATAGGCTGAAGGGAGCTCTTAGCCTACAACAGTCGAAAGAACACTGATGAGGAAGGGCTCAAATGGCCACACCAACGACTGTGGCGCTGGCACACTCGCTCCTTATTCCCCGCAACCACTTCCCCTCGGCCCTTCACCTCTGCTCCCCATCCCCACGGGGATACGACTTACTCTTTTTTGCATAGGATGTGATCTGACTTGGCGGGAATTGCCCTTCTCAGCGCGTCGGGGCAGCTCACCGGGGCAATACCCGCATATACCACTTCTGCCGCTCTCCGGATTTTCCCCCAAGCGGCAATACGCGCAACCACAACGAGTCTATGAAGCTTTAGCGCTCTTGACAGCGCCCGCAGCTAGGATCCAAACCATTGAAATATCCCCGCGGATGGTGGAGTTCTCGGCGAGACTCTTGCCCCATACTCCACACCATCCACTAACGTGCGACGGCTAGAAGTGCCTACTAACTATCATGGTTGTGCCCACGGTCGCATTGTCAAAGAGATCAACATCGAGTGAATGAAAAGAAATGACATGCAAGCCGCTAGAAAGTGGACACTCGTGTACTCGGTCTCGCCGAAAACGACTGTTAGTCACTGAAGATCCCCGCCATTAGCTATCATTTGCATGTATTCTAGATCCGGTCAGGTCGTTACAGCTCCTTAGTCCCCACGCAACCATTATCAGACCCCCTGAAGCTCTCGGGATTTGCCTCTTTGACTCCTGTAGGCACTTCGAGAACAGTTCATTCTTCTACGGGGTCCGGCCAGCTCTTGAGTCTTCAACTGCTCTTCTCAGGGCAAGTATAAAAGCAAACCGTCATCTCTTGAAGAAGGTGAATACACCTGCCATCAAAAGGCTCGAGCATATCTTCTTCCATAACTTCTACTCTGATCTTTATAACCTAAACATTAAGCCATTCGCTTCTGGCGCATAACCATCAAGCTTCAGTCATGGCTCGGCTCGGCCTTTCCAACGCTGATCACGGAGAAGGCAAGGCGTGGACTGCTATTGCCATAGGACTTTTCGTGGCATTTGGCGGTGTGCTCTTCGGGTAAGTCTCTTCGCTACCGGCAAATGTTGTGTTCCCGTTACGCATTAGATTTGAGTTAGAGCTGAATTTGTTCCTCTCAATAGCTATGACACGGGTACAATTAGCGGCATCCTTGCCATGCCTTATTGGCAGAAGCTTTTCAGCACTGGATACGTAGATCCAGATGGAAACAAGAACATTACAGCCTCCCAAGAATCCGCAATCGTCTCTATCCTCTCCGCCGGCACTTTCTTCGGTGCTCTCGCTTCACCCTTCCTCGCCGACTTGATTGGCCGCCGCCCGGCCTTGATGGTATATACTTGGGTTTTCAATCTTGGTGTCATCCTGCATACGGTCGCCACGTCGATTCCCCTGTTCTTGGCTGGCCGCTTCTTTGCAGGTCTTGGTGTTGGTCTCATTTCTGCCGTTGGTAAGTGCAGATGCCGGCCTGCCATTCTTTCCTACTAACGGCTAGAGACCCGTCCGCTGACCTCTGCACTTGTTCGCATTAGTTCCTCTCTACCAGTCAGAAACGGCACCCAAATGGATTCGAGGTCTGATTGTCGGCGCTTACCAATGGGCCATCACCATCGGGCTCCTGCTCGCGGCCGTCGTGAACAACGCCACCTCGAAACGCAATGACTCTGGATCATATCGCATTCCGATCTCCATCCAGCTTGCTTGGTCCCTTATCCTGTTCGGGGGCATGCTGCTGCTCCCAGAGACGCCTCGGTTCCTAATCAAGAAGGACAACTTTGACAAGGCAGCCAAGTCCTTGGCGAGACTGAGGAGCCTGCCTACAGACCATCCTGCTGTCCAGAGGGAGCTGGCCGAAGTGAAGGCGAACCATGAGTTCGAAATGAGTCTAGGCAGTGGCAGCTATCTGGACTGTTTCAGGCCGCCTCTTATCAAGCGGCAGTTCACCGGCATGGCTCTGCAAGCTCTGCAACAGTTGACTGGTGCGCTATCTTTCCGCAAATGTGTTGACATGATCAAGCTGACCGGCTGAATTAGGCATCAACTTCATTTTCTACTACGGGACCAAGTACTTCCAGAACTCGGGCGTCTCCAGCGGCTTCGTCATCTCCATGATCACGTCCTCCATCAACGTGCTATCAACCATCCCTGGCATGTACTTCATCGATCGGTGGGGTCGTCGTCCTCTTCTTCTCTGGGGAGCTGTTGGTATGTGCGTTTCTCAGCTCATTGTGGCCGTCTGCGGTACTGTGTCATCGGGCCAGCGCGATAACGGCGAGATCATCGTCACCAATCTCGGTGGTCAACGGGCTGCGGTATCCTTCGTTTGCGTCTACATCTTCTTCTTTGCCTCAACCTGGGGTCCTCTTGCCTGGGTCGTGACTGGCGAGATCTATCCACTCAAGACACGGGCCAAGTCCCTGAGCTTGTCCACAGCGACCAACTGGTTGCTCAACTGGGCGATTGCCTACTCTACCCCATATCTCGTTAACTATGGCGATGGGTATGCCAACCTGCAGTCCAAGATCTTCTTTGTATGGTTTGCTGCTTGCTTCTTGTGTATCGCATTTGTGTATTTCTTCATCTACGAGACCAAAGGACTGAGCTTGGAGGAGGTCGACCAGCTTTACTCTGAGGTCAGTGTCGCTCGCCACTCAACCAAGTGGACGCCTGCAGAATCCTGGGAGGACCGTCTTGGGGACAAGGGTGCGGCTGATGTGGTAGCGACATCTGAGCATAGAAACTCTTAGATCCTTCGCAATAAGGTAACACGAAACATATAGGAGTACGGGCACAGCTGCCAGTACGTGGAAGGGGGGGGAGGCTGGTGGAAACGACATGGTGGGTGTCTAGCACTGTGAGTGGCAGACTGGAGGAATTTTACGAACATTGCCAATATCACACTCTCATTCTCAGAGGAAATTACCAGAAAATGAATCATTGTGATTTTTGTCATTTCAGAGGTTCTCATGTATTGACTAGCCACGGAAATGACACAACAATATCTGTCCAGCTACAGCCGCTTAGAACTGTACTCCGTGGGACATCACTGGAGTATCTCGCCGCTGGGCAGGCTCGATTTAGTTCAACTCAACATACTTAGACTTGCCTAGCCACCTGACGCCTAGCCATCCTAGTATAGGTCCGCCCTGTCCTGTTCCCGGCACTTAGCCCTTTCAGAACAGTGAGGCCCTCATCCTTGCAATCGCCTGGCGTAATCCCTCGGGACTGCTACATGTCTTTGTATCTTTCGTGAGGTGAGCATAGGCTTGAAGAAGGCGTGGTGGAGTATTTTGCCGCGCATTTGCAGCCAGAATTACCATGGTGGAGCTATTCAAGCGGAGGATCTATGGCTTTGGAAGGCCAGCTCGATAATAGCAAGTGAACATACACTGTTCGCCTCTCGTCACGCTTGGTTTTGCGGCCTTTGCCCTCTGTGACCTAACTCAGGTATGTGGTATAAAGGGAAGCTCGGACAATTCTAAGTACCATTCTTATTATATGAATATTATAGGCATCCTTGTTCCCATCTTCGGGAATCGAAGGTAAACCTACAACCATCAATGATTTTGGCGGCTGTATCAATATTTTCGAAAATGATGATGCGCAAGTGATCCTACGGCCTCGCATCTGCTCACATTCTAATGTAATGTAGTTGGTACAATGTTCATTCCTAAATAATTAAGTCAAACGTCGAACGCGAGTTCTTCGAGTATGTATACCTAGTTGCTGGCTCAAACCTTGATATTCTCGTCACTAAACAATCCGATGTAGGTCTGAGGATTGTGAGCATCCGCTGGAAAGTCTAAAGGGGAGAACGACAAATTCATCACGAGCAACATTCAATCCGTCTTTTGTCTCGAGGTCTCGGAGGATGAAGTTTAGTATGACCATGAGGTAGAGGAGGGTTGCACACTTGTCTATGGTCTTCCATCCATTAGAAGTTGGGTCCTCCTTGATCTATATGATAACCTTAGAGAATACATGGATCCCCGACTTAGTGCCGATGCGCCCCTCCCAGATTTAATTTCTGCATCACAAGGGATTTTACTGCTTGATGAAGTCGCTAAGCCTCTGGGCATCCAGGAGATCTCCCTCGACCAACCGGCCCTTCTCCGATACCTTGCCGTTCACCAGCTTGAATCGGGCCAGAGTTGGAACGTTGTGGACATCCCACTTGGTGCGGAATACGTTCTTCGAGTCCCTCCATCTAAACAAGACGTTAGCAACCTGGCATCATTGTTTTGACTCTGAACACGTACTCGGGGATCTGGCCGACTTCGGCGATGACTAGGTCTGGGGTGCTGTCGCTGGCAAAGGCCTCGCGGATACCAGGGAGAGTGGCGCGGACGTCAGGACACCATGGCGCACCGGTTCTGGGGTCTGCGGACGAGATGAAGGCGATGAACAAGGTCGAGTTGGAGCTGCCAGAGAGGTCGAGCTCAGCCGCGGAGGCTGGGAGCTGGAAATCCTTGAGGATAGGCATTTTGGAGGAGGCTTATTGGTTGCAATCGGGGAGTAATTGAGGTATGGGTGAGGAAGGTGGAAGCTGTGCTTTGTCGTGGTGGAATTTATGGCAGTGAAAGAATTCTGAAGTGAGGCATTTGTCATCTGAAGGGATGATGCCATTGGCGCTTGTGATTGGCTCATCCACTCTGATTCAGTCGGGACTCACCAATTAGAACAAACCCTGTGATTTATTAACCGCGTAGCTTCTGATGTCAATTGCTGAATATCGCATTTAAGTTTGTGGTGAGGTAGGGCAACAGTGGAAATGGCCGTCTGCAAAGCTGGATCAGCCGATTTGCACTGTAAAATGAGAATCGATCCAGCAATCGCCATGGAATGAAGCGAGAATTGGATTGCTTCCTTCTTCTTCTTATCTTGAGTAAAATACAACGGAATGAGGACAAAAATAACAAAAAGAGACCAAACAAAATATCCAACTATGATTCCAATCCAGATGAGCCAAAGTCATATCTCAATGTCAACGCTCAGAGCAACAAACCGTCTCGGGCGACATGACGTTTTCCAGAGCCTTATTTAGCCTTCCTGCACTGGCATTTGGTCTTGCAATCCTGCTTCTTAGCCGTTTCGCCGGTAAAACCACATCTGGAAGCTCCCATGACGCAGGCCGAGTCTGGGCACACCGATCGAGGACAGTCCTGCCCCTTCTTGCTGCTGACCTCACATTGTCCATTACGTTCAAATAGAGGGTTGCGGCTGGGGCTTCTCCTTCCACCTTGTTTGCCCCGGCCCTTTCTGCTTCCTGCGCCGGGTCCATTTGCCCTGTTCCTGGTTCTAGTTCTCTTGTGTGAGGGCGACCCAAACCCGTTCAACTTGTTGGCTGCAATAAACCAAACGTCATTAGTGGTGGGCTTCATCTAGATTTAAAACAGTCCAATTCTACATACCATTCCGCTCTTCCAATAGCTCAACGGAATTGCCGCCATTGTTTTGAGCGGCAAGCGAAACTTGTGCGGCACCGAAAATGGCAACGGCAAGAACAACCTTGAGAGAAAGCATGTTGATAATTTAGACAAAGACCGTCGTGTATCGATATAATAGTTTTGGATTAATCAGGTTTGAAATTTGATTTTCTCGAAGCGATTGATGGTGAGTAAAATCGAACTTGAGAAATTGAAGACATACTTATACTTACATTCTCCGTAGCCTTGTGGCAATTCGGTTGTTAGATAGAAAAAAGCATCATCTAGTTTAGGAGGTCGTCTGACCAAGATTTCAATATTTGCTCGTAAGTAGGGTTGCATTTATTAACCATCGTAGTCATCAATCCTGCAATTGGCCAATGCAAGATGATACGGCAGTCATACGGCAAATCCTCTCGTGGTTAATCTCACATCATATTGATATTGTCATGGTGCATCAATAGTGCAACAATATATCTATTGAGCGCATTTCAGTTGCTAGCCCTCCTTGCTCGCTTTCAGCTGACAAGAATCCCTTCATAATCGGAGTGGCAAAAAGTGTAAGATTGCTGTGGTTCAGGACAATAGTTTCTTGGGACACTACTTGAAATCGTAGGAAGGGAAGACACGACGGAAGACCGGATCCAGAGAGTAACAATGAATGTGAGCACGAGAACGTGAATTTTCATGACGCGGTGGGAATATATTGCTCTCGCGGGTAACTGCCGGAGTACAAGAAACCCGGCACAACGAAGCAGCATATCCCGTCCAACTCAATGCCGGGTTTGCCTCCGTCAGATAACCTTGATTTCAGCGGTAGGTTGATTGATAATATTCCGTTTGGAACTCGTGTAATGTACGATTTTGGGTGGATTCTTCACGTGCAGCTAATTTCAGCTACCTCCTTTACCATACTGCCAAGGCACTCGGGCATGATACTGTTTTGACCCATTCAAATCTATGTGAAACGGGGTTGGGCTGGTGTCCAGCAGTGGAGTAGTAACTGGGTGAACCGATCGGTTAACAAGCTGCGCCCCTCAAAAGTGTGATAATACCCCTGAAGTCGATGGGGCACAGAGTTGAAAAATCCCTGCTATGGCGGTACTTGATAGGTAATTCGGGTGACCTCGGCCGTTCCTCAGCTCCAGTCCCGATTGCTGACGTCTGGTGAGAATAAATTCGACGACAGCCCATCAACCCCGGGAATCATCATCATCCACCCATATCACTCAGACTTGCTGACCCACCAAGAAGTACAACTTTCAAGCAAAATGGCTTCGTCACTTGGGCTCAGCTTCGCCAGAAACCACATCTCCTATTTTGCGGTAAGCTCAGACGCGTCATCAAAGCATTCAGCGAGCTCAACGCTCTAGCCTAAATATAGTAGTGACTAACTAATGTTTCTTAATCCAGATTCCTGCTGCCTTCGCCTGCGCACATATACCGCATCTGTACTCAGTCGTCGCTTCCCAAGGTGCCTACGACAATTCCAATCCACGGGCGCTGAAGGACAACATCGCCTCCGCAAGCACCCTTGATGAGGAGGTAACAGTGCCAGCCCCTTCCTATAAATCTCTGCTTCCTAACAAGTTTTCCGACAGATGAAGCAACGTCTCATCCGTGCTAAAAGGGCGTCGGAAAATAATTACGAGACCATCGGCCTCTTCGCTGCCGGCGTTGCTGCCGCGAATCAGGCTGGTGCGCCAACATGTGTTGTTAATGCCTTGAGCTGGGGATACGTTGGATTCCGGATCATTTACAACTTCGTCTACATCAACCTAGGCGGGATCCGCGAGACGCATTGGCTGCGCAGCGCCGTGTGGAGCGTATGCATGTGGTCCTCTGTTGGACTCTTCGTCGCGGCGGGAATTTATTCAACCAAGGGTGACTATCAGTATGAACTGGAGTTTGAGAACATTTAACATGGTTTCAAAGTCGGCCTGGAGGAGCCTGGGAGCTGAAGCGAGGAGCCTAGAACACGTATTACTCCTCATGGTTGTGCAGTTCTTGTCATGGTTGATGCCGTCAATCGGCTGCAAGATTCTCCCTTCCAGATTATAAAGGGTGATTATCCATGCTTCTGTTATACTATAGATAATTACACGATACTATCCATAATACCAAGTAGAAGATCCATATTGGCCCCTATAAGTCGCTATAACTAACATATCGCTCTGCATGACATCATGCGCTGTTACATGGTCGAGAATGAATATCTGGAAGACTGTCAGCAGCGTTGCCTGAGGAGAGATCCATCTTGGCGCTGGGCCACTTACAAGAGCATCCCGGTGATGAGAATCATGTAATCAAACTCAGACCCTTGATCCGTATTGATCTGGACGGTGGCGCAGTGGTCAATCCCTCCATGCATTCGAAATATCGCATAAATGGTATCGCTGTCCTCCGACTCCACGAGAATCCAGCTTTGTCCCTTTCCCGGTACTTTGCCGTCGATGGCATGCTTCTTGCTTCGCTTCCACTGCAGATCCTGGTGTTTACCAGATCCCAGCGGCATGGACCATTCGTAGTCTCTGCTGCCAAAACCTTTACTCTTCATCGTTTCCCACTGAACCGTCTCTGGAGCATCCTTGATATTGCCTAGACCTATCTTGCTTGACCGAAACATGCCCGGCAGGTAGGCACATGCCACGGGTGATGCATCTGGGGCGTCGGGGTCTGAGCCAACATACAGTGTGAAATCTGGGTAATGACGCTTCAAGTGGGCAGTCTTGATGGAAAATGCAGGCTCGCCAGCTTCTGCCCTCGTGGTTTTAATGCTTTCCACTGCTAGATAACTGAACCCAGACCTGAACGCTTTCGTCGCAAGCCGGAATATTCTCTTAGTAGTTGTCGGATCTGCGGCTGTCATGGCGCTGATGGTTGAGCTGATTATAGGAGCGAGTGCGTGTCTCTATACAATCCTAATAACTAGGTACTGATGAGTATGGAAGAGCATCTAGTTTGATAAGGAAGATATGAGTCTTGAATAGCAGCGAACCCATCAGGCTAGCACATCCAGATGACTTTGTGGAAATGAGGCATGCCAAGAGACGTAGCGCGAGATCTTACTCACGGTCTCGTCCGGAAGATGAGAAATCCGGGGAATACGAGCGAGCAACATCAATCACATGCGGGGGCAGGGACATGGCTAACCCGTCTTTGTCAACGTTCGCTTTCTTTTGAGCCAGGCGATTGGCTAACTGGAGATCAACTGCTAATCTGCCCTAGGCAACTATAATTGATATTTACAGCAAAGAAAGGAGAATCTCACATCTCGTTCTAGAGAAGGACAGGGACAAGGCGAAGATTCAATATCACGCATGTTATGGTGTGTTAAAATCATGAAAAAAGATTCTTGTCCTCAATTTGTGTAATATGTACATTTGTCTATAAGCATCTATCTAACTTGTCATCGCATAACTGAACTAATATGCATCAACTGCACGATCTCGAGGTTGTTGTAACCGTTTTCACAACCATGATTCCAATCATTTCTTTCCAGCACTCTGCGCGACTGATCTAGTCGAGGATTTCGGTCCTTAGACATCAAGGTCTGAACGTCACCGTGCGATCTACCCCCCAATTCCATTTCGTACCCGAGCTCAACCTGACTTTCATTCCTTCTATCACGGCTCTTGGACTTAAAGTAACCGTTCTGGCTCTCACCACCCCTGGTTGTCCGTAATACACCTTTGGAGCCTGACGTCTTATCTTTGTTATACCCGGTCGATATAGTCATCCCAATCCACGGGAAGAGGTGCTTCAGAAGAACCCACATCGCGGGTAAGCATACTACAATAATAGTAACAGAGAGTTCAATTCCTATCCAGTTTAAGACTTCGGGATACTCCCACATCGGATTGGCGGATCGACCGAATAGTAATATATAGCGCAGTCATATACAAGAAGTAATTGTAACGAAAATTCCTAGGCTGAACATGACGATAATGCCCAATTTAGATTTCTTTTCCATTTTTAGCCGGAATAAGGATGTCAGTAGTAGAAGGAGCACCACCAAATCCTGAAAGATATTCAGACCTGCAGCAACAAAGGTAATTGTATATATATCCATACATCGATCTCTGTAGTAGGCTAATCGCCAGCCATGCCATACCCAATAGATCGGCTTACATTAAAATATCTGTACAAATATAAGAACGATAGATAGTACCATAATGATAGCCATAGAAATATATATCGCTATAATGAATCTGTGAGAGGGAAAGATACAGAGGTAAAAGAACAACACGGAAACCTTACAGAGGGCAAGACCGAGGATATAGAAACTCTCGCAAATGTAGAAGTACTACTGACTGTTAGTTATTCATATCAACTACCCCTTAGATTCTCCTCCTTCTTGCACTAACCTTTAGAGCGGTAGTAATCGTTTCGTACCCCAAATTCCACATATCGATCCCGAAGGCTAGATACCCAGCTATGATCCAGTTATATTAGAGGATTAACCTCTTTCAACCGATGAAGTTAACTCACTATATTTTCCGAGGACCAAGAACACGGAGTAAAGAAGCTGTAAGTTGCGTTAACCAATTGAACGTAAACATAATCTTGAGATTTCAAAGGCAACTCACTCCAATCACCAACATAACCCAGTCATCAAGCTCCCATCACCCCAAAGTGAGCCACCTCGAGTATAATCGGATCCAGGGACAAAACCACCACGGGCCTTCAACCATCATAGGTATAAATAATACATATTTACGTGTTCGGTACGGCCGCTCGCAAACTCTCGCTTCAACCTTGCTGACGTCTTTTGGCGGGGTTTCAATCAGTTTCCGTTGTGCTCAGTAGCCATTGCAGCCATGTGAAAAACGTACTCAGAGCCTCCTGAGCAGGGCAATTAGACGTGATACAGTTCTGCGCAGCATCGTGGAAGGTCGTGTCGGTACAAATACAAGTGGCGTTGAATATATCGCAGGGGTTATTGTTTATAACGGAAGTGAAGCAGTTTGTCTGGATTTGACGATGATTAGCATATTGGCCAGCTTTCTCTCTGTACACAAGGGTTCAAACGAGCAACCTACACCACAAGCGGGAAGATTCTTTAATTCGCTGAGGATACTCGTCGTTTCTATCCCCAGCACCCCAGTTGCCAGGACTTGAACCAGTACTAACAACAGCTGGAAACGCCGCATCTTGATATGGCGGCCAATGCCTCAACAGAGAGCGCGTTATGTTGCTGTACGATGATAGAACTGCCACGAGGAAAACTAAGCGAGCAGAAGCGAGGAAAGGAGTAATTAATAGGACAAGAAATCAAATTGACTAGCAATGGGCATGAGAAGAGGGTAGCATTGCAGCAACCAAAACAGGGATGAATAACGTGTCTGCAACCTAGTTGGCGATTTAGCGAGCATCGACCCTGGGCGAAACATCCGCAACTAACCTCGATTTGGGTTGAAAGGATGCGGGACAGACCACTCCAAGCTCGGCCGTGCCAGGGGAACGATCCAAAGATATTTCTTGGCTGTGTCATGCATCTTGTCCCCCACTCTCACTCAGCGAGAACAGCAGAGAATGAGACCATCAAATATTACAGTCTGGGTTCGCCTTGGTGTAAGAATGAACCTTCTCGTTCTCACCGCGGCCGTTTCACATAGCCTAGCAATTGTCCGGGCTGAGTTGGTGAGATTTGAAGTTGTTAAGATGAAACACACCGGAGTTCTGAGGCCATGAGCAACAATACAGGCCGTGTTCTGGCCAACGAATAACATATTGTCACAGAGGAGTGCAAAGCTAGGACCAGGCGGGAGTATAAGAACCACTGGATAGGAACTCTGTAATATTCAAGATATCCGTTAAGCTTCCTTGGCAAGCTTATCAGACTCTATACTATTTATACTAATAAAGCTCGGTTAATTTACTGTACAGAATAAATATATATCCGTAGATCTATTCCCAATCCCTGCTTCTCTCTAACTATAAGCCTCAGAGATTCTTATCACCTGCTCGTGTCCGGCTTCCCTGTTACAGGGTAGACTTATCGCGAGTGTGGGGTTGAGTGATCGGACCCTTGTTATGATTTTGGCGTTACAGCGTGACACATATCGCTAACCAGCGGAATATTTCTGTTCTTGTTTATCTGCCGCGATTCTCCAGTCGGCTTACCGCCCTACCTCCCTGCTCGCTCTGGCGTGAGGCGCGGGGATGTTGTTCAAGATTTCGCTATTTCTAAACTTTTGTGTGGTTTGCCGACCATTGGCATCTACGCTGCTTGGTCATACGGTCACACCACATCACTTTTCCTTTCAATGGGTTGATGAAGCTTTGCAACTTTCGATCGCGCACCTGGAGGAGATAAACGAATGTTATCGTGTTTCATGACATACCGCACGGAAAATCTATCCCTTCCAATGTCAAGAAGAAATGGACGCGGTCATACTATGTTGTATTCCAGTCCGTGGAAAATCTCAAGATGCTAAGTTCTCATTCAAGTCCATAGTTTATTTCATTGGTGCAACTGTTTGCGGCGTTGACCTTCTCCAGCTCACACCACCAACCATCTTCGCTACTCAACTGCATCTTCATATCTTCGTTTAATTCTATTTGTTGGCTGCGAAGGACACTGGGAAAGTGCCGATTTCGTAGCCAGCCAAGCCAATCATAGCGACGTGGCGATTGGGCGGGTTTCGACCCTTCCAAAGAGAACGGCACACCCATATCGAGTTTTGAGAAATGATCGACGGCGAGGCGAACAATGTCTGCCTACTGCAGATCCAGCCCCCCTCCATTCACTGGGTTGGTGGGTGGGTGGGCTATCCAGTTGTGGTGATGAGTTGGTCAGTATTGTCGCTGTATCTACACAAGTCAGTCATTGCCACCCCTCAGTCCGCTGAAACACACTCAAGAGCTTTTCATCTCCTTTTAGCTATTTGAATAGTGTATGCTGGTAAACTGAAGACTGGCTGGTTGAAAGAAAATCTGGTGGCTATATTCGCTTACCCCTTGAGTGAGGGGCGCAGCCAATCATTGTGGCGTGCCGAGTGCGCCTTAAGATTACTATGCAGTGCTGAAGTGTGTTTCCAATTGTGCAAAAAGCCAACCAAGAGCTATACGCGTCGCGCGTTCATTGGGCAGTTGGAAGTGTGGGTGGGCGTATCGAAGCCTTAACTGCCCAACATGCCAAAATCTGGAGGGCCAAAATCTGGAGGCCAAAATCTGAGCAGTTCGAATTTGGTATATGAGAACCAGGTTATATCTGTTACAGTCTGAAGGCTCAAATTAACCAGAGACATCTTGAAGATATCCGCCACAAACCATTCTTCGTATCAACATACCTGATAGCTCAGATCTTTGGCCATGCCTTCCTCTTCCAAAGACATCCCAGATGAAGTGTGGTCACAGCACAAAGGCACCATTCTAAAACTTCGTTTCGACGAAGGCCTTCCACTCGATGCTGCCAAGTCAAAATCTCGAAATACCGTCCAGGTTATGAAAGACGACCATGGATTTGAAGCGACGTAAGTAATTATAGTGCTATGGCTATCTCGGCTTGTCTTTTCCATCACGAATGTTTTTCTTGAGAATTTTACCACGACTTAAACCCAGTGAAACCTGAGCTGCCTACAGTGTACCCTTATTAGGATGCTAACCGATCTTCAGGGCGGCGCAGTATGAAACACAGCTAAAAAAATGGAAAGCATCCAAGAACATCAAGAGGAAAGACTGGGAAACGATTCTTCCCATCTACAATGATCTCGAAAGGCGCGGCTTGAAGCCCCGTGTAAGGCTCAGCGACCGGATTCTTGCTGAAGGAAAGGTCAGGAAAGCACGTCGTTATCGTACGTCGGTCCAGAAAAGGACTGGTCAGAGCGATGGTGAGTGAGAGCTCAGTAGTTTAGCACGATACGATGCTGACACTATTCTTCGTAGCACTATCAGCATCCTCTGGACAGACACGTCTCTGGCGCATCGAGTACTGCCGTGATGATGGCACATATTCCGAATACTTTGGTGGACATTTAGGGACGAATAATAGGCAGACCTCACCCCAGATGGCCTTATCTCTACGCGAGACGAATGTTGTTTCTTCCGCCACCCACAATCAATCTGCACAAGAGAGCTTCACCTGGAATTCGGATCAAAATCTAGAGAACACGGCAAGCTCCCAATTGGACACTCACCATCCTTTTTCATATTCACCGATGCTCAACTTTGAAGACTTTGAGCCAATGCCTAGTTTTCTTCGTGAACTAGATACATGTCCAGAGCCGACAGGTTTCGGCATCAATGGATTATGTTCGCTAAATACGGCGAGGGCTGAGAATTTGGGTCTAATATTTGACGACCACGACTTTCCATTGGTCAATTCAAGCGACCACCTCCCAGCGTCAACCCCTGGTACTGTCAATCCAGGATCCTTAGTCCTCGGTTCTAATCTTTGGGATCCGTCCAGCCCACGGATGAGCGACATCTACAACTGTATACGACTTCCAGCCCCGTCACTATATGAACCTCAGTTGGTTCTTTCAAAAGAACGGATTACTTTTACGCTTGGTGGTATTTTTAAGGACCCTGCTTTGCGGCTGAGCCTGGATTTACAATCTGTCTCTGCCCAACATATCATAGACAGCCTGCAATCCTTGCTTTTTGATTATGGATGTGGTCAAGGAATGTCAAACGGGCTCAGCCTAATGGCCTACCAGGCTATTCCGGCATCTGAAATATTTAAGCGTGTTATCTTTTCTATTGCTAACAACTTTGCTGTGCTGACAGATATCCCGCGGGCTATCATCTTTGGCATGTTGAAGAACTTCTCTAAGACGAGGTCGGACCTCATGGCCTGTCTTCAATCGCAGAACATCAATTTCTCAAAACCTCTCGCGGACAATCTCTTTCGTGCTGCTGTTGAGGCTGGCGACGAAGAAGTAGTTGGCATTATCCTCGACACCACCTTCGGCCAAGCCAACGCGGTTGATATCAACGAGATAGTCTGCGAATTGGGCGGCATGCGATATTCGGCACTGTCCATGGCGGCGTATTTGCATCGCCCGGCCATGGTGCGGAAGTTGCTCGAGCACGGTGCCAAAGTCGGCGGCGATCATTTTACTTGCGGCTGCCGAAATAAACATTATCATGGCTGCTTAGACTTTTGGAACCGTGATTGCCCGCTGACCGTAGTATTCGACCAGTACAGACAGCCAGGGGATCAACTAACCTACATGAAGCTGCCTCATCTCGCTTGCAATGAGAGTGAGGCAGCTGAGATTGTGAAGCTGATACTAGATCGTGAGCCGGCAATGGTAGCACGATTGCTCAAGTGGCCTATTTTCTTTGAGACAACTAGTGATCGACTGCTGGAACTGTTGGTTCAAGCCGTGCCTCCAGACCGTCATGCCGAAATCTTTAAGCTGCTGAGCGAACCAGAGGAATCGCCCACCTCAACATGCCGGGGACTGTACCCTTTCGTGGGGAGATTGGAGCCACAGAGGGCAAAGCATATCGTCAGCACGCTGCTGTTACTTTGCCAGAGGATTGGGTGCCAACCTAGTAAATTGGACATGTCGTTCAACTATGTCACCAACCGGGCAATCTTGAGCAAACAATTTGACCTAGCGGATTACTTCTTGGCTATAACCCAACCAGATCAAAGCAATCTTGCCGCTGCTATTCGTAGTAGGCGAACGGATTTGGTGGACTCGCTCTTGGAGCAGGGTGCCTTGATGAGGTACGGGACTGCTCCATGTTGTGATGACATATCTCATCCCTACATTTCATTCCATTGCGGCAAACCAACGACGCCCCTGGCTGAGGCAATACGGTTGCAAGATCCCAGTCTCATAAAGCGCCTTGGGGAATATGGGGCACTGAATAGAATACAAGAGGCACACCTGGAAGACTTTGCTGCTGCCCTCTTCGCAACAGTGGAAGTAGCCGACTGCTTTTTTTTGGATCAGCTTCTGGCCACGAACCCTATCAAGATTGAGGCATGGAATTCCGCTATCAGTGAAGCAATAGGGTTGTCCCACTTCGAAATAGCCATTGCTTTGATCAGGCATGATGCCACACGTTGGCTCGTTGTAGGTTCGGGTCTAGTGGAAGCGGCGCTAAAAAGCGGGAATACTGAACTCGTGCAAACAATAGTTGACCTCGCCGATGATTCTAACGTTCACAAGAGAGTCGTCATGGCATCTGTGCAACAGGGTGACACGAACGCTGTTAAAGCCTTACTTGAGCTGGATGGCGAATCGTTGAGAGATGCACTCGTGATAGCAGTCGAGAGTGGCAATGTCGAGCTGGCAGCCATGCTCCTGGAGCGAGGAGCCACCCCGGAAGGTCTTGATGCGGCAATTGAAGTTGGTGACGTCAATCTGTTGAATCTCCTGCTCCGACATGGCGCCGATCCTGCGGATGAATACGCTTTTTTATCCGCTATTTATACTGGTAATATTCAAGTATTGGAGGTTCTCGTGGAAGCCTTTACCACAAGGTATCCATACGGAAAGCAGGATTTCGTACAACAATTCCTTTTCAGAGGCCTCGGGGATCGCGGCTTCGTTGATCTGGATTTAGCGCTGAGATTAAAGTCGCATCCGAATGGTTGGCTTGACTCTTCGAAAAAGTGCGTGCTTGTTGAGGTGATTGCAATGTGCCGGGAAAATGAAGCCGAGGGCAACGAAATGGTACGCCGTTTGATCAATGCTGGAGTAAGCTTAGAATTCCAAGACAAAGACGGGATGACTGCACTCCTCCAGGCTGTGAAAAACAACAACTTGCAACAAGTTGAGTTTCTCTTACAGAATGGTGCGAATATCAACCGTCCGGCGCGATGGGGTCTAAAACGGACACCTCTACAGCAAGCTTGTGAGATGGGCAGTTTCGAGATGGTCCAGTTTCTGGTAACTAAAGATGCACTCATCAATGCCCCTCCGGCCAAGGATGGAGGCGGAACCGCCCTACAGCTTGCTGCCATAAGCGGCAGTGTGCAAATTGTCCAATTTCTTCTATGTAAGGGAGCCGAAATCCACGCAGCGCCAGCTCTCAAGCACGGCCGAACCGCTCTAGAAGGAGCCGCAGAGCACGGTAGGGTCAGTGTGCTTGATATTCTTCTTCAAAGGGGGGCACAAGGGTATAGCAGAGACGATATTTCGAAGGCCAAGTTTTATGCAGAAAAGGAAAAGCAACGTGGCTGTGAGGAGAGGCTCAAGCAAGCTCTCTTCTGGACAGGAGGCCTGACTCGTGCATCTTTGAATTGACCTTGTTGAGATTTCTTTGTAGATTGCTGCTCGGCTACTAGGAAACTTGCAATCGAGATTGCGTATTCATTCTGTTGATATGCCGGGTCTGACATCTTCATTGTTATTATTAACTTTATACTCGAACTCTCTTCCGCTATCGATAATCAAATATTCTTTGTTAATGTCCAATGTCAGAGATGATCTGCTTGAATCAATACGTCTAACAACAAATATTACATTCGTATTCCAACGAAATTCGTAAACTCATCACTCATGGTTTGAATGATCTCCCAGATCTGACAACTCGATCGACTACCAAGCTTTATTACACAGTAGTCTTAAAGATAACTGCTACGTATTCAGAAGCTGGCTAGACTGAACGCCGTTGTGATAAGCAAGACGGTGCAAAGCAGTCGTCTCGATAGTTGACTGTTGCTCGGCCCACCCCCACCCGGCGCGGTCGTGTGTGTTTCAATTGGAATCGAGTTATACGTGAGTGGGTAGTCGACCAGCGGTGCCAGACTAGTCCCTGTTGCTGTGAAGCCTGCTTCTCGTCGCCATGTTCCATTCGTCGAGGTCTATGAATCTCGTTAACTTCAAATACTTCTTGAGGTTCCTGGATCCACAACTTACCCCAACATCGCCCAGGAAGGTTTCACAATGGCCGTATCCCCAAAGGCGTGTTAAGTCCACCGGCTTCGTGGAGCATATGGCCCCTCCATTGATGGAGCAGAGGGACTCGACTACTTGCACATGAGACTGGCAGTAGCAGAGCTCCCGAGATGTGGACACTTCGTACTGGGAGTTACAATCGCTGATGTACCTCGAATATCGAACGCAGGCTGTGGAAAGGTAGGCGCATGTGTTGGTGTTGGCTTTAAAGGTGATATTTACTGTGGAAGGCGTTGTTACGGATAGAGATGGGATCGCTGAACTGCAGAAGCTAGCCCATTGATCGCGGTATCGATTGAATTCGGGATCGAATAGATAATCTTGAATGCATGACCGGTGTTCGTTCTGACATCTATGGGACGAGATGTGTTAGTCGAAATATGTTAGTCGAAACTGTTTCCCGCGAACGGAGGGTTTGGAATAATTGGCTTACTCAACAATATGAGACAGAAGGTCTTGTTGGCAGAAGCAACCTGTAAACGAGGTCTGATTGACAAGCATACTCTGCGATGGAAGATCATCGCCGTTTAGATCGCCCCGACTCTTGCAATCGGCCACAATAGATTTTAGAGATGAACATCCTGTAGGCTCGGCTGAAAATTCGTCAACACAATTCGACGGTTGAGCCCAGTCTCGAGCTTGTAGCCCTGTAATTTGAAGGATTGGTACGGGAGCTGGTGTAATGTTAGGTAGGTCCGCGATGTCGCGCAGTATAGGCGATGCGTTGACGGCCATGGCCACTGGGAAAGCTATCTAGAACGAAGCCAATGACTCCATGCATTGGATATTTCATGAATAGAATATAAAGGCGCGAGGTCGCTCATCCCACACGCGATGTGACTGAGAAAGCTTTCTAGCATCGAGTGGCGGAGCACCCCTGGTTTATCTCACATGCAATTGCAAAGCTTGGTAAAATCAAGGTAGCATCGAACAGGGAACACAGCCTTCCTAGGCTGAGAAGGGACTTCGTATTCAACCTTGGCATCAAACGTAGCGAAGGGTCTAGCCTACATCCAGCCAACCCTGGCTCAGAAGCCTAGACATAATTGGATGGGAATGTTGGATTTGATCCTTTGACAAGATATGGGGCATAATCAACCCTGAATCATGCTGTAGTGGAAACAGTTATTGGACAGCTTAAGAAGCATGGAGCGCACACTTGCCGTCCATGGAGAAACCCGGGGAAATTGCCATCACCTGTTAATCTGAGCATGGCCTACTGGCAAACAATTCCTTACCTGGCCTGTCACACTCATAAGCTGCTTCATGCGAATCTAGTTTCATTTTGAGCGGAGCTCCCCTCCATCCAGCTTTGACCATCCCACAATCGCGATGCTCGCCGAGATCGAGTTCCTGACCGCAAGCAAAGAAGAGCCCTAGCTCGTGCCCGATAGATGCTCTACAATGGGTTTTGTAGAAGAATTCGATCATGTCTCTACGGAACAAGGATCTGCCAAGGGACCGGCTCCAACCATCAACTCAACGCGACCTCTGCAGCCGAATCCATCATCGACCCCGCCCGAACCCTCGCTCACGAAGTCGCAGAAACACATCTCGACGGTCTTCCGAAGAAGACAATGGCTAGTATGGAAAGTCGGCGGGCTTCTCATTCAACATGCCCTCTATCTCATACTGCTGGCCGTCGCGTTGGCCGTGTCGCTTCACAATAACGGCCTCGCGACGATTCGAAATTGGCAGTACGTCCACACAGGGAACTCTTCATTTTACGATCAAATATCTCTCACCTGGACCACGATACCGACATTGATATTCTCGCTTCTTCTGCTCCATATGCGATGGTGCTATGAAGAGATTCAGAGACTGCTGCCGTACCTCCAACTCTACAAGAGCCGCGACAAGGGCCACACGAGTGTTCTGGTGAATTACCGGTCCGAGTTTCCATTGATTGCGATTTTCAGCGCCTGGATGAGGTCGCATCGTATGGTTTCATTCACAATAACGCTATCGCTAATTTTCTCCATCGTCGCCGTTCCGCTTTCGTCGCATTTGTTCGAGACAAGATTGAGACAGCAACCGACAGAGGCAGAGGTCTCGGCACAGACAGTCTGGAACTCGGGGAATATCAATGAGCGAACCGATTATAGCAGAGCGCTGCAGGTTGCCTCTGTTCTCGACGTGTATAAAAGCAATGGGGGTATATTTTCTCAATGGGCCAGCAGCGACTATGCATTTCCAACCTATAGCGCTGTAGGCACCCCGTGGGGAGATAATAGCACGATCCGCATAACCGACATTCAAGGCCATGGTGGTCGTATAGAGGGTCTCAAGTTCCTGAATCAGTCGCAGTATCGGCTCTCACGTGGGAACGGGACCGACAACATTGCCCTTTCTGGCACCGATGACGGATGCCTGCTCTCCCTCAGCTTCGACCTGGCAGAGAAAGAAGTAGACCTTTACTTTCAGGTTGGTGTTGCATCTTGTACTCGAAATGGCGGCGACGACAATAAAGACTTAGGCCCCTCGGTCTCCCAGTCATACTCTAAACTGTTCTTTTTCCTTGGCTGGCCTGCTCCAGGTTCCAATGCTACTGCGATGAGCACCGAGGTGATCACGGGAAACACAATACATATAGGTGTCAAGGGAGACATTGAGGTTGCTGTTCGTGAGAATGTCGTCTCAGTCAAAAGCTTCAAGCCTTCAAATGAATCGGAAACCAACGCAGGGACGACAACTCCATTTGACCGTGCCATTCTTCAGTCTGGTAACACGAAGAGCACTTTCAGCAATATCCAAACGACTTATTTTGGAGGTCTAATTCTGGATCGATTTGACGTGGCGAGGCGAAATGCGTCGACACCCTGGGTCAGTGTCGATGCGAGCACAGCAGAGGCGCTCCGAAAAGATATGATGGATGCTATCAGCAAGATTTACACGACAGTATATGTTTCAGCAGCTGCTCTGAACGGTTTCGAACCGGTGGAATGGCCACTCGACTACCTATCAACCGGGGTCTACATTGTCCGCGATGTGGAACGACTGTTTATCAATGAGGGTATAGCGGGCTTCTTAATTGGCGTGATAATAATATCCTTCCTCATCGCTGGACGTGCCCTTAGCTACGCACTTGCCTTTAGAAACTACCAGGTCGACTGCCCGGAAGATTTGATATCCAGTTTTGATCTGCTGCATGGGTGTGATAGTCTCGGCCATATGGCTGACGATGTCCACTCCTCTGGGCAGTATAAGGGGGATTTTGTAGAGACAGCGCGAAAGAGATGGAACTTGAGCAAGGCCACTTTCTCGATAAGCCGGGACGAATCCAGCGGGAGGCCAACACTTCAGGTTGAGAATCTGAATCCGATTATATGAATCTTACAATGATTCTTAAATAAAGGTCTAATAAAAAATTAATCTGCAATCATTTTCTCGTCTCTTCAATCATACTGATAACAAGTTGGTCCAAGTGTGATATACGTGACTCAGTCAACTGATAACAACGGGAAGCCTCAAGAGGCTCGGAGTGTATCAATCAGTTAAAACCGCTTTTGCGTCACCAGGGCCCCGAAATAGAGGGAGGCCCTATCACGGGCAGTTGATGTGATCAACATGGAAATCTATGAACCTGGAGCAAGCAACTTTCGGAAGCTTCCTCAAGGGGTAGGTGGTGTAGCAGCCGGGGCCACAGATCAGCACAATCCAGAGGCCGCTCTGCCTTGAATATAGATGATCCAGGAGCTGAGAATCGGGTTCTAACCATTTGTAAGCCCAGGTTACCACTGTGTCGCAGTAACTTGGCACCTGCCTAGAGTGATCCCTCGCGTGCATTTCGAAGCCCCATGACACCTAATCAATCAGGGAGGTAATTTGGCTTGCTGTACCGTTAATGGCGCTTGGGGACCAACATTAATATGGATGGTACATATATAGCTCCTGTTGGAGGGCGGAGAGGAGTATCTACTGACTACTGCAATTGACATGACCGCTTTGGACTTGAAAGATCACTCAATGACTTGGATTGCTCCTCTTCTCATCGGGCTGCTTTCCCCGACTGCTGTGAACAGTGCGCCCACACTGGCCACTCCCGACTTTTCGACCGGCGATTTCATCTATCTGGGCAATGGGCAGTACGAAAACCAAACCGCCAGCACCATGGCCGTTGACCCTCCAAAGGCCTTGCCCCTGAAAGCGACAGCAAATGACCTGAGATGGCAGCCATCTATGGATTTCGACACTGATGGCTGCTACAATGTCCCAGCCATTGATGCAAACGGTCAGATCTCAGCGGGTCTCCCTTACCAGTGGACGAGCCTCGCGGGGGATTGTCGTGAGGCGTCTGATCTGGACAATAACAATGTCTATGTTCGGCAGCGTTGCAACAACGGCTGGTGCGCCTACATCTATGACTACTACTTCGAGAAAGATGTTGCTGTTCCGTACATTGGCTTCTTGAGCGGGCACCGTCATGATATAGAGCATGTGAGTGGCTTGAAAAGACTTCAAGTTGAGAAAAACTACACATTGCTGACTACCTTGCTATAGATCGCTGTTTGGGTGAAGGATGGGGCTGCCCAGTACGTCGGGGCCAGCCAGCACGGAAATTATGGGATTCGGGCTGCGTCTGACGTGCGATGGGATGGTGAACATCCCAAGATAGTTTACCACAAAGACGGATCCAGCACGCACTGCTTCCGTTTCGCAACCGAGAAGGACGACGCTATAGAAAACCACAAAGGGGTTCGGTTCCGCGGCGACCTCGTCAGCTGGAACGGCTTCCCATCTGGAATCCGTGATACGTTGATGAACTATGATTTTGGCACTGCCAACTTTGCTATCAGAGACGCCAGGTTCTCCGATGCCTTGACCAAGGCGCTTCCAAGCGGCGTCACCTTTGACGTGAATCTCGATGATGGATCTCCTGGCGATCCGTGATTTGCACATGTAGATGAATAGACAGATGTCGAAATATTCGTCAATATTAGAACCCTTCCCCTATCCGCTGAAACTAGACAGGAAAGCCAGCTATCAGGGCAATTCAATTGGGAACCAGTTTTCGTTTCGCTCCTTTCCCGGCTGCCTAACACAACTCGTTTACCTTTGGTCATCTTACCACGTAGGCTGACAATTATCACAACCAATCATCGCATACAACTGAGTGCAGCCTGCAAACGCGTCATACACAGGCTATATCATGGCTGCCTGCGTGTGGGGGCAAGCATGATCCATGAGCACAAAACTTGATGAAATACAGTATCTTCAACCTAGTAAGATTTCATTTTATATTCCCAGATTTTTTCTGAACATTAAGGACATTGAAAGATGGCCACAAGGAGCGCCAAGCTAAATTTAAAGGTGTGTGGAAGGTAAAGCAAATCCCAACGATACTTTTGGTAGCTTACTATCTATGGAATTAGATTATCCTTCTCGGCGATGCCGGTGTTGGGAAAACGAGTGTCCTCAACCAACATGTGCGTCTATCCGCGCTATCCTCCCCAACGAACTTCTCGAATGGTATTCTGATTTGAAGTCGTAACCCCAATCTTACAGGTGTTTGAACTGTTTCCTTCCACCCAGTTCGTGACACGTATCCCGCCCGACTTTGTGGTCAAGGGTGCAATGGTCAATGATCGCCGGGTAACATTGCAGGTATGAGGGCTTCTCCTGACCTATCGAGCGCTAAATTGAAGCAACTGATCATTGTAGTTCTGGGATCCAGCTGGGCTTGAACGCTTTGGGCCAATACACAAGCCATGGTATCGAAATACCCATTGCTGTGTGCTGATGTATGACATAAACAATGAGAAAAGCTTTCAAAGCTTAGAGAATTGGCTGAAAGGGTGTCATGACGCGTGCTTTAATATGGATATCAACAATTTTCCTGTCGTGAGTTGGAGTTCCTACTCAAGTGTTTTGATGTTACGAAATGCTGATCGTGGGTAGATCTTGCTTGGAAATAAGATCGATGGTGGAGACAAACGACAAGTTAGTTATACAAAGGTCTCAAGGTCTCACGAATGCAAGGCGGTATTAACAATGCGGCCAGGTAACTCCCGAGCAAGCCTTACAGTTCTGTGCGGAAAATGGCAATATCCCGTACTTCGAGACTAGTGCTAAAGATGCCACGAACTTGCAGGAGGCTTTTGGAACCGCTGCGAGATTTGCCCTTGGGCATAAGGATATGCTGGAAAAGTTGGCTGAACATGACAAAAGTCTGGTGAGCGTGGAACAATCCAACACCAAGAAAACATGCTGGTAGAAACATTCCCATGGAACACGAGTAACATTGGTTTTTTTTGGACTTATCTCAGTTAGCACTGAAAATGAGGCATGTGGACCTGGGTAATTTAGTATTTAATCTCACCATATCTTGTGTTGGCTCATCATTAGAAAATCCAAACATTTATTCAAGTCTGACCATTTCAAAAAGCATCTTAAGAATAAAAGATACAAAGCATCGCCTTCTTCAATTTACCTCGAGCAAACTTTTATAAACATTATAATCTTTACTTGGCAGCTAATCCATCCTAGACACAGTTATGAGGCCCATTTCTAACGATATCGCTGAGAGATGAGGAGTTACTGGTCAGGCCCCACCTTTATGAAGTATTTTGCGACACCAGAGAAGCTTTTCTCTTTTCCTTCTCACACTTGACCGACGCACCACAATGGCCGCCACATCACCCGAGTCGTCGCTCCCCGCCCTCGTTTTCGTGCCTGGAGAGTGGCATGGACCGGAGATATTCGATGATGTCCGGGCAAACCTCAATGAGCGGGGTTATCTCACGGAAGCAGCAACATTGGCCACCCACGGCGCCACGGATCCCAATATAGGCCTGGCAGAAGACGTGGCCAATGTACGCTCAAAGATTGAGAAGCTGGTCAAAGAGGGCAATGACGTGGTAGTCGTAGCCCACTCGTACGGCGGCGTGCCCTCTTCGTGCGCTGTTGAGGGCCTCGGGGTGACTGATCTTGGGGCTCAGGGCAAAAAGGGAGGCGTAATCATGGTCGTATACGTGACTTCGTTCGCCATTGAGTCAGGGGCAAGTCTCTTAGAGAGTGTGGGGGGAACTTACCCATCTTGGTGGAATGTGCAGGTGAGTGTGGAATCCCGCGTTGTGATCTGACAATGACTGACAAATTGGAACTTCAAGGGAGAGTTTGTGACCCCAAGTGACCCAGTCACTGTTTTCTATGGCGATGTCGAGCCTCCAATGGCAGAGAAGCATATCCAAGCTATTAGCTCAATGCCACTCAAGGCCTTTATGGATATTTCTACTTTTACTCCATGGGAAAACGGCATCGAGGTTGGTTACATCTATGCAGAGGAGAACCAGGCAGTCAGCCTTGACATTCAAATCGAATTGTCTTCACAACTCCCCGCTAGCTCGTTCACGGAGAGCCTGGGCTCAGGCCACATGCCGTTCTTGAGCATGCCAGAGACACTATCGAACACCATCGACCAGGCTGCCAAGCGTGCAGTTGCTCGGAAACCTCGATAGTCCACGTCGGGATCAGAAGCAACGCGACTAAAAAATAGAAGGCAGACGAGTTAATAAATAGATGGATTCTGTGTTACATTTCCGCGTAACACGTAGGCTAATCTCAGTCTTCACACCTTTGACCAGAACGCGTCAATCTGTGAAGTAGAGAACGGTGAGCAGTTTATTATGAAGACCTGTCTCTGGCAAGCCGACAATCTTCATGATAGAACTTGGGACCGAAGAGAACGATGACTCAGTATATCGGGCCCTTAAAAAATACCGATAGTCCGATAGGGCTTCCAAATGGTTGCATCATCACTCTCACGAATATGCGTGATACATCTTGGAATAGAGTTTGGCTAATCTGTGAGGCCCATAAATTCGAGATGCGTATATTGAAAGAATGAGTGGAAATTTCTAGAGTGACTCGCCTTTGCCGCAGGTGACACGCCCACCGGGTTGTTGACTCGTTCTTCACAGCAATGACCCAACCTTATGGCTTTGAGGGTGCCATTGTGCTCCCGTCAACACCCGGTAAGTGCTGGTGGGAAAGTCACGAGGCCAGATCCATCCCATTGTAGAAGTGTGCGCTGATGATAATCGAGATGACGTTGCAGTCCCCCATAACCCCGCAGATCCCGGGAAAAGGCTGCCTCGGTTGGTAGCAGAGAGAGAGAAGGACATAACAATGCGGGGATAAGATGAGAATGTGTGCCTATAATAGATTGAGCTGCCTTATGGTTCCCTCTACCTTCAGGAGCCTCGGCTTTCTAATCGCCAAGGTTGCTAGGTAGCGAAGTGGTTACCAATCCTGTCTCTGCCCTTTCCAAAAAGGTAACATATTGACACCAACTCTGCTTGGAATCTGTAATGCAAGCACAAACGTTGGCGCGTGATCGGTATTAATAGAACGCATCGTCTTCAGTTTCGTGAGGTTGAAGCAAGCATGTATTAACCCATACTGGACAAGTACGAGAGCAGGTTCCTCTGGTTCAACCGTCGCGATACTATTTTGCCCCGAACGTCTCCCCAAACACCAAACGACTCCTGCTATCCTAGTGCTACCATGTCTAAAATCCCAACGCAGGGCGAGTACCTGGATTGGTACGGCTTCAAGTTCAGATGGGCTGCATATCATCAGACTCCTGACCAACTAAACCACTATCTTTACTCTTACGACACACTATCGGCTGATGCGCTGGAAGCTCTGGACAAACTGAGCCCGCCTACCCCGATCGCTCCTCGAAAAGACATACAAACAGCCTATGAGCCAAAAGAAAAGTCCTTAACGAGGGACCTTTTTAAGCTCCTAGAAAAGCATAAAAATGACGACCAGGCGATCCGAGCGCTATGGAACGAGGTCAACACCGTTCCGGAATGGGTCAATTGGGATGAGATCGAAAGGGGGCAAAAGGTATTCTGGAGATACGCTGGCCCTGCCATTACTGCTGTAAGATCATCAAGATTCATGATTCAACCTGCTTGTAAGACTACGTACTAACGAGGTGATCAAGCTAACCCATCTATCTCTACTTGGCGGCATGTCGAGTGGAAGGACGGTAGAGACCCTCGATCGTACTGGAGGTTTTGGTGCCCGTGCCGTCAAACGGCGTTTGATGGAGACTGTGCAACACACATTCGGTGTACACAAGGATATCCAGTCCATTCAACCCGGTGGTGAGGGGTGGGAAGCCTCCGTCCGTGTGCGACTCCTTCACAGCTCAGTCCGTCGCCGTATCATGCAGCTGGCTCGGGAGAAGCCTGAGTACTACAGCGTCAAGGATCACGGAGTTCCCGTCAATGATCTCGACTGTATCGGTACCATCAACACGTTCAGCTCTACAGTTATTTGGCTAGGGTATCCCCGTCAGGGCATTTATCTGAGTAAGAGGGAGAGTCTTGATTACCTTGCTCTCTGGCGATATGTAGCTTACCTGATGGGCACACCGCATGATTGGATGGCAACACCAGAGGTGGCCAAAGCCATGATGGAGTCTCTGCTCGTTTCAGAGTATAGACCGACAAAGAAGTCCGCCACGTTGGCGAATAACATCATCACAGGCTTTGAGGGGGAACCACCGATCTACGCCTCCCGCGGCTATATCAACGCCTTGACTTGGTGGTTGAACGGGCCGCAGCTCGCGCGAGCTCTAGAAATTGAGAGACCGAGTCTGTACCATTATGCTCTCGTGGCCTCGCAATGCTGGCACTTTATGCTCATCAGCTACATCACGTCATCGATTCCTTATCTAGATCGCCGCAACATTGAGGCAAGTCACACACTTTCCATTACTGGCTATGCTACTAATTCTAGGCAATAGTTCATGAAACGTTCTTACTATGACGCTTTCGTCTTTAATAAGAAGAAAGGAGCTTTAGGATACAAGGCCATGTTCTTATTCAAATGGATCCCAGACCATGTTAATACAACCACACCTTTGGGCGTAACAGATGAGGAGCGGAGGAAAATGTCCGGTGCGTTTGGGAAGGGAACTATCGAGAAAACTGCTCTAGTTCAGCTGCTTTTAAGCACACTGACGCTATTTTCTCTGGCATACTATGTATGGACTGTCCTTCATAGAACGCACGGCACGTAAACTGGTCTAAGTTGGAAGGAGCCAATAGTACATCACAAGAATTTTAGAGTTGTATAGATTCAGATATTCAAGGGTCTGGTTCTTGTATGAATACATCCCATTCGACATCTACTATCCAGCAGCGCTATATCGTTCATGACCCGAGCCCTCATAGGAGGCATAACCAATATCATGTTGACTAGCTTGGCTAAACTCTAACCGCTGTGCTTTTTTGTCCATGTAAACTTTTCTCATCACCTGTTGAATCACCGTGATGGCATAATCTGAGAGGTTGGACTCTGCTGTTAAAACAAGTGTGCTAACTTGCTCGGGTGTCCATACAAGATTGTAGGAACTCGAGAAGGCTGCTTTCTTCAGAGGTGTCAGCTATTCTTACATGTCTTTGTGAGAATTCCTGGGACTTACGGAAGGGTTATAGTGAGGATTAACCGGGTTTGGCAGTAGCGGGCAGTATACTATGTAAAGGACTTGGCCATCGTGTCTTCTTCCTCTGAAGACCTGTGCATATTGTTGAAGATGATGTAATTCGATGTGAGCAGCAGCTAGTCCAAAGGCACCCTCCTCGCTTCTTGAACTGGGCAGCTCAAAGAGATCGGTGCAATCCTCCAAATGGATGCCGCTATCCTCAGCGAAATTATGTATTCTCTGAAGAGCAGAATGTGTCTGAACATCTGATGACGCATCAAAAGAGATCATGACGTCGGCAGAGCGCTCTGCTCGTGCCAAGACATGATTTGGCAGGTTGTTTGACATCCCACTGTCCATGAGTCTGACTCTCCCTTGCGCTTCCCATTGCTGAGTCTTCGTTAGCTCGCCCTGAGGAGTCGTACTTTTCCCACTAGCAGTACTCTCACCCTCCACAGAGTCCCAGGCACCCTCTACCTCAAGTGCGTCTCTGTTGTGGTTTAACGGGAAATTGAGGCCATAAAAAGGGTTCGGGTCGTGTCCAGCACGAATAGGATTCACCCAGAGCCTCTCCCATTTCTTCTGGCGGATAAATCTATTTATCGCGAATAGCGCCCTTGACATCATCGTACCCTTCGGTAGGGAAGCGAGAAGGGCGGATATGTAGCCTGTTAGTGGCCCAGCCGGAGCACTTGTGCACTGCCCGAGTAAGAGTGCGAAGGACTGCTCAGGTCGCCGATCAGAGGAATGACCAGAAACAAAGGTGCGCCCCCATGACCACGTGGGAATGTACTTCTGGATATCTACACATCCAATTTCCAGAGGAGAGATCTCGAACCACTGAAAGAGGCCATCGTGTCGGATGATGTTTCCTAGCTCATCCCTGGGGCGTTCCTGTTCGCGGACTAGACGTGCATTCAAACAATCAGCATCATGCTGTAACAGTGATCGATCTGGAGGTTGCCCCTTGCTGATCGAAGAGTCCCTGTGTGGTTTTACTCCCTCGGCATCTTTAGGGGCCCTTCTCACAGCTGTGAGGATTGGCATGGGTTCTGCTGCTGTCTTGGCACAAGAACGACCCCAAACCTTTGAGAATTGGAAAGTAGCTCTGCTCAGTCTCATTCCTGGCTGCCGCGACAGAAATTGATACGTCGTGATCAGGGTCGCGTAGAGATCCATGATACCCAGTCCAATAATGCTACATTCCACCTTTCGAAGTAAAGGCCCAATGAGAAAATAAATTCCTTTGCTGCTCCGCGCCACGACGTTAAGGGCGTACAGACTCATGGGGTGGGCGAGTTCGTGAGCGACGGTCACATAATGCCGCATGAGTTTGCCAATATCGTGGCCGGCAATTGTGTAGTAGGCACCCAGCGTCCAACAACTTCCACTCACTCCGGCTACCCAGGTTATACAATCCCAGAGATATAGTTTCTTGGACGCCAAAATAAAGGCCCCAAAACCGTACATTGCCCTATAACCTCCGCCAGAACCCCCCAGAGACACCAGGGGCACATCTCGGGGATCAACCAACTCATCTGGTGGCAAGCCCAGGAACTTGTGTAAAGAATCCTCGCCCTGAGAAGATATGCGCCTTTTACGCAAGTCTATGAATGCTTTTTCCTCCTGATGCAAGTCAGGTGAGCACCTGACAGACGCGTCCCATTTCAACTCGGGATACACCTTGTAGTCGGAATCATCCCGGCGAAGAAGATGCTTGACCTGGGTGAGATCCGCAGTCCTGTGGTACCACCTCTCTACCGTCGTCCTCACGGGCGAGCTAGAATTCAAAGTCACGGACCGTCTTTTTCCTGGCTCGGGCGTTGGTGTGGATTTCATGGTTCGCTCCAGCCTCCTTTTCTTTGCTGCCAGCGCTTCTCTAACAAAGGCTATCTGGGCATTGCAGCTTGCAAACTCTTGGATCTTATCCAAGTGCAATTGGTTCCTCGCGTGCTCAATGCCGGAAGAAACAGGCGTAGCTTTGAAGAGGGATACCAGGGCACAGAGCCAGTACGCCTTGAGGTATAGGTACGTGGACGACTGGCGCAGCGACCTGAGTACTACCATAGCTCCGGCCCTGGGACTCAAAATAATGTGTGAGGAACACTGAGGGAGCGGGTGTACAACGAAAAGAAGCGAATGAATCCAGGAATCAACTCTGGCCATGTCACAACGAGAGAATTATGGTTTTGCACCGCCCCAACTGTCCAAGTCTCTTCCTATCCTACCGATAAGCTACAGTAGACACAGTAATCGTCTCAGTGGAGTCTGACGCCTTGCTTTGTGTTTTTTTGGCGTATGACGATCTGCGCCATTCCAAGGCCTTGTTTCACCCACGTGGCTCATCTTGTCCAACACGTTGAGAGCGGGATTCGCCAATAAAAAGGCAGTACTGGGGTAAGCGCTATTCTAGCCGTTTAGATTGGCTACGGACGAGACTAGATTTATTATTAAGATGAGTGGATTGGACCCCTAGTCGCGTTTCTAGATCGTCAGATTTCCACTGACCGAAGACATTTTGATTCCATGAGATAATCTTATGGTTCTACATCTCTACATGTTGTGCGGTGCGACAGAGAGACATAGAATACGGATAAATAGTGTCTGGCCATTCACTTCCACTATCCAAATACTTCGATCATGAAATGATATTCAATCTTACTCCCATCATGCCGGCCCCTCGTGGTCAACTCTCTGCACTTATCGGCGAGAATCTCTCCAACAACCGGCGCTCCGCAATAGAAAACGCCCACCTTGAGCTCCTTGTCGACGTCGTCTCCAACGCCTGGGGAGCTTTCCAATTCCTTCTTTTGCCTCCTCAACTGATCTTCCCGCAGCTCGTCATAATGCTCGTCCAGAATTTTATCGAAATCAGGCCGCCCAAAGTGTGTAGGGTTCAGCAGGCCAGTGAGCGGTGAGACTGGATGCTCTTCGGTACGGTGCATTTCCAAGAGCCAACGATAGACGTGTGTCACCACGCTCTTGCTCTTGGCTGTGACGTGTGTGTTGAGGCGAATATCCAGGTGTCGGCGTTGTTCGTTCTCGCGATGCCAAGTTTGACTAACGAAGACTTCATTCAGGAGGTCGGAAATCCAAAGCAAGTAGTTTCTGTCTCGGACCATCCAGTGGAAATCCACACGGCGATAGTCATCTGCAAACCCCCTAGCATCATCGTTCGAGAGCTCTTCATTTCTTACTTGACCCGCTGACGCTGTCTCATCAGTCGAGCTCTCAGTCAGGCCTGGTGAGGTCTGCGTTATATCTGCCAATGAATCAGGATGCACAGTCGGTCTTAATGGGCCACCATGGTCCAGGTCATCCTTGTGCTGCAAATCAGCAAGAATCCCTGAGAATGGAGTGACGCCTATGCCAGCACCGATGATAACTGAATGGCTGAAATCGTAGAAACGCTGAGCGGGAGCGCCGAAAGGTCCGTTTACCCCAACACGGATCTCTGAATCACCTGTTGTACCACCCAGCTCGCGTAATCTCCTGGTCCAGTTGCCGTCCGTCTTGATATGGACAGTCACCTCTTTACCGCGGCAAGACGATACGGTAAATGGATGCCACTGAAAGAAGCTTATTTTAGGGACTTGCAGGAAGATGTACTGTCCCGCGCGATACTTCCACAGACGTTCCCTTGGAATCACAGCGATGACTTCCACCGCTTCATCATCCAGAACCTTGAGCCGAGCAGAGATGGAGTAGAATCCTAGCATGGTGCGGATCGCCCGTTCAACAAACACCAGCAACGTTGGGAAAGCGAGGAAGTAGCCAAACATGGGCCATTGAAGAAGGTGGGCTGTGCCGTGAGCCATCATCAAGCCGATTATTGGGAACATCAGAAGATGTCCGAGTTGGAATAGCTCATAGTTCCAACGGCGCACCTGCGGGATACTGAGAAGAGACAAGACGTACATGAGTCCGAGCGCTGTAAGACCGGTAAACCCGGGGAGGGAGCGAATGTAGGCAATGTAAGAACGCGGGACCCAGTCAGGTCCCAATAAATCGGCCACCGCTTGCTCATTGGCAGAGTTGCTCCCGTGGACAAACGATCCAGTCAGGTGGCCAAGGGCATGCAGCGTGGCAAGTAGAATAGCCACACAAGAAATTCGAATGTGAAAATCCTGAGACAAATCCCAATTGATGAACCTTGAAATGCAATACGATCTGCGGAGCGCCGTTGACAGATACCGGGACATGCTCAAGATGAGGAAAAAGAAGGTCGGGTAGAGGGCGCCTGCGCAGGTTTTAGCCATGACAGCTCCCCAACCAAACGCAGCCCGGTATTCAGGCGCCATGGAGTATTTCACAAGCTGCCAGACGCCGAAAGCAACCTGGATCGAGATCACAAGAGCGAGGAACGCGACTTCAGGGCCGTGGACAGCCCAGTAGGCCCTGATCTTGCGCCAGCCCGCCGCCGTCGGAAGTACGTCTTCTCGTCTTCCTCTTCTTTCTTGGCTTGCATCAAGGAAGGAATGTTCCATTGGCGAACGATGTCTGCGAAATCTTGACGAGAAATGCGATCGGCGTCCGAGCCCATCATACTTCGGAGGAAGACGTGTCGGGCGTCTCTGTCATGGGAGTCATGCCCGCGTTTGATGATGTGGTGCGCATGGGGTTTGGGCACAAGCTCTTGGTGGGCTTGATCGAACTTTTGCTCAATCTCCTTGTAGTCGATGAAGCCGTCGTCATTGTGATCGAGATCATCAATGAATTGTTGGATCTCGTCGTTGCTCAAATATTTGACATTGTCGGAACATTGAGCAGGGTGTTGATGTGCCGGGAACGCCTGTCCACTGCTCTCGTTTGCCATGGGATGGGATCAGTTCGTCGGCCGACTTGCGAAAGTCACAATGAAGGAGAACAGAAATAGAGAAAAAAGAGAAGTAAATCTCCACCGAGAGATGTCTAAATACCAAGATAAATAAATGCTTCGCGGACCAAAGCACGAACCGAACTAAGACAACCAAGGGGGTCGCGGCCGCCTTGGTTGTCTTATTAACCACCCATACAATTTTGACTCTTATCTGCCAAGAACCGCATACGTCAACGACTCGCGTGGTTTGAAAAACAAGTCTAATAAGAGGCCAATCCCAGACTACGCCAAGCTTGCCGAGCCTGACAGTGCCCCTTACCTTGATTTCTTCCCCTTGGCACAAATTTAGAAGAGTGACGGATCATCGAACCTTAAATCAACCTTAAATCACAAGGCAACAGCTTTTCCTCTTTAAAATACTCATGGGGTCTTCTCTGTATTCTTAGAATTCAATCACATTAGGTTGAAAAGACACTGCTGGCGGAAACAATTGGGTAATCTGCTGCTCATTCTTGTACTGGCGGCCAAGCGTGCTCTTGGCTGAAATCATTGTTTCGCCACAAAGCTTAGGAATAAGGTAAATTAATCCACATTGGATCTAGGAGCCCTGTTCTTAATTTCATACTATTTTCTCAACCCTTTCTACGAGCGCGCACTGCTGAATGAGTGCTGGCGATGGAGTTTGAGTCGAGATATTTGGCTACCCTATACCACACAAACAGTTTCCACACATTACGTATTGCCAGTGAAGCACCATTAGTTTGTCGGGTCAGATTGATGCTTCTGAGATTGAATAAGAATTATCATGTAATTAATAAAGTCACAAAGATATTCTGGAACGGGTGAGTTGACACCTTTCATGGACAACTTATGTTCATGGGACATGGTTGACCTCTGTTGTTTCAGTTCTAAAGTCGAAACACTGTTTACTAGAATATCTCTCGCAATGTAGCTTTAGCGACCTCTTTTCGTTCTTCAATAAAGCCTTGGAATTGGTGATGATTGAAGAGGTTTTTAGCATTCTGGTGTACTCATGCCAAGGCCCTTCATTGTGAATGGCCCCTTAATTATGAACAAAAATTGCAAGGGGCTGGTCCTGACTCAGGTGCCGATTTGCCGTCTTACTGCTTGTATCAGGGCACGGTCTAATGATAAAGCCGGAAAAGTCAGGGCCAACTAATCGGAATTTTCCTCTGTCAATTTATAGCTCCGAAACTCATATGAAGGCTTTCTTCACGCAATCTAACGCGATGAAGAGAGGCCGAGATGGAGCTCCGACCATGATTGTTCATCGGTGGAATCGTCTGCCATTGTCGTGTCGCGCGTGTCGAGAGAAAAAGCGTCGCTGCGACCGAAAGCAGCCCTGCGCGAACTGCTCCCTGAGGAATCTACCGTGTGATTATACAGACAGCACGGGCGACGGCCATCCGATAATGGAAAGGGAAGACCGTATCCCCGCTCCTCCCGAGGGCATTGAGCAGGCCAATTCACGCTCGCCAGTGGTCTCGGCGTCGCCTGATCAACCCGCGCCGTACGGACCCTTGCTACTCATAGTTGTTTTCGATGCTGACGTACTGTTTTTCAGGTCCTCGGGAGAATTACTTGCAAGAATTCGCAGACTAGAGGAGGCAGTCTTTAACCAGACAGATGAGACGAACCCCTGCCAATCGCCGCGGAAGAGAAGCCTAAGTACGAATGAAGGGATGAATAGTTGAGGCGAGTTGCTGACGTAGCATATGGCAGATTTCTGTTCGTTCAAGGATATATCTCAGAAAATCTACCGACCAAATGACTTGCCAGTAGAAGATGCTTCTCGGCTTCTGCCTCCACTCGAGGAGGCCAATTTCTTATTTGATCAGTTTACTAAGAATCTCCATCCTACTTCTGGGTTCCTACACATTCCATGGACGTATGAAGTTGTACAAGAGTCATACAAGAGTCTCCAGAGTGGAACCGCAATTGACCCAGAAAGTCTCCTCCTGTTGTTTAGTATATTTTCAGGGGCAGCACTGGCATGGACACGGCCGATGTTGAGGAAGCTTCGTACCACGAAAGCTGAATGCAAAACAGCTTTCGCTAATTACAGCCAAGTGGCGTTGTCCATACTGGAGGACACGGAAAGCCCACTGCCACCGACAACTATTAGCCTGGCGGGAACCGCCAACTTGGCCGTGGTTTTCGTCAATGGGCATGGCTTCTCCCATAAACTGTCTGCGTTACGGAGCCGGTGTTTGCTTATTGCACGTCTCTTGCAGATTCACCGTCTCGATACGGTCAAGGCGCGGGAGGAGCGACAGCGGAATGGATGTAATGAGATTGAGCTTGAAGTTCAGCGGAGGATTTGGTGGCATATGGTCGCGGATGATTGGTGAGTTGCACAGAAAATTAGTTCTTCCTTTGGCAACCGATTAACATTCAACTACAGGCTAATGAGCTTTGCTGGAGGCCCGTTTGATGGTGTCTACTCTTTTCATCCGCAGCACATGAAAGTGGACTATCCGAAGAATGTCGATGATCACCATATCGTGGCCTCTATGCCAGTGCCCGACTTGCCACTCTCTACACCAACAGCGATGTCTACTTTTTTAGCACGCGTCAGATTTGCCACCCTCTGTCGCGAGATTGTAGACATCATGGGGCCAACATTGCTGGAGGGTAACGAACCCGAGTACAGTGTCGTCTTAGAAATAGGACAAAAGCTGCAGAATCACCTTGATGAACTCCCTCCTTTTCTCAGACTAGATCCTGATAGTATAAGGATGAGCCAGGATGCTTGCGCGCAGGGACCCGATCTTGCGTTGCAACGGCTCGCCACCAACTTTAGTATTCACGCACGCATTTGCCGACTTCATCGCCTGTATCACCTAGAGGGTTCGCTGAATCCAGAGTACGCATACTCACGAACCATGTGCATCCGGTCTGCCCATCGGGTCCTGGAGCTGAGGCGAGCTATGGACCAAGTTGGGACAGAAGCAGGCTGCCATCCAGCCCGTTTTTGGAAGATTACACAACACGTATTCCTCGCGGCCTTAACCCTAGCCACAGACGTGTCCATTAATCCCGAGGGACCGGATGCGGAGGACAGGAAGGCCAAAGTGATGGCGGCATATAGAACTTTGGAGAGTTCTAAAGAGGACTCAATCACGCTTGTGGAGACAATCCAGAAGAACTTACAGTCTCTGATGACAACTTTAGAGTCAAGGCGAACGGCGAATCCGCTGTCATTGCGTAGAGCTCAAGTGTCACGGAGACCCGAAGCAGTGATAGCGCAACATTCTCTTCCCCAACACCCGCCACGACTTGAGCCGATCGCACCAGAGGTGAGCGATGAGCCTGTATTGGGTTCAATGAACCAGAACATTCCGACTTCAGTTGATGGTAGCGTTTCTGCAATGGATAGCGGCAGCTCTGGGGTGGATCAGCTATGGGACGACTTCTGGGCAGTGGCCCCAGAGTTGGAGCCTACAGACTGGAACATGTTGCTAGAAGATATGTACACGGACTGGGAGCCCAGCATACAATAGCAAAGTACCTGGTTTAGGCAGCATTTGAGCCTACTACAAGATATAAAGCAACGAAGTACCGCTATTCTCATGCTACAGCAACGGCCACACGTCCGAGACTCCCATGATTACTGGAACATCCCGAGACCAGCTTCAGTGACACAAGATGATTTCAATAAGATAATCACGATCCACGAGAGGTCCTTTGGTTTTCTCCGAGCCCCCCATGCTTATGTTAATCGCGTACTCGAAGCCTGGTCTTCGCTTACTTGTTGCCCGTCCTCGGGGAATAACTTGGCCGTTATGTGGATCACCGCGGGCCCGCGGAATCACTAACTGCATATGGCAGCTCACACCGCAGCGACGTCAACAGAAATGAGCCTGATAATGGTGTATAAGAGGGAAAAGATCGAGCTTCATTGTTGACGGATAGATAGAAAAACAATAGATTTTGCCCCATCTCAAAGAAGCTACAGATAGCTTTGCACACACTCCCCATTCTTCTACCCAAACTTGGATTTGCTGTCAACCATGTCGAAAGCGAGCAAGGTCAGTCACTATTGAACCTGAATTCCACTACTGCTTGATAATGTTCATGGAAATTAATAAAAATTTTAGGCGATAATTATTGGAAGTGGCCCGGCCGGGTTGGCCGCTGCTCTCCGCCTCAAGGAGCAAAACCGCAATCTCCAATGCACCATTTACGAGCTTCGTAAACAACCCACCACGATTGGTGGCGCGATTGGAATCATGCCCAATGGGATGAGACTCCTTGCCCGCCTGGGCTTACATGGGAATCTCACGGCTTGCGGCAGCAGTGCGCAATTTGTAACCGTCCATTCCGTTCGTGGACAGGTCTTGGCCGAGCGACCTCTCGTTGGTGATGCCCTCCAGAAAACCGGATTTGGGTACCTGCGGATTAAGCGAACAGCACTCGTGGAAGTTCTGCTTGAGGCAGTCAAACGAGAAAACATCCCTATCCGTTACGATAAGCGTGTCGTTTCCATCAAGGAGGAAGGTGATAGAGTAAACGCTACATTTTCTGATGGCACGGTGGACTCGGCAGACTTCCTGCTGGGATGTGACGGAATTCATTCTGCAGTTAGAACACTTTACGTCGACCCCAGTCGTGTCCCAGAATACACTGGGATGGCCGGTCTGGGAGGCGTTGTCCCGCTCTCCGAGTCTGCGCGAGTAACTATGAAGAATCTTGGTGTCACATTGACCGAGGATGGAATGTTCATTACTGCCCCATGCACTGCTCGGCATGACGAGGTATTTTGGGGACTTTCCAGAGAAGTTCCTCTTCCCGAATCAGGGGATGCCAAGGACGGATGGGAGGTTCGTCGAAATGAAGAGGTTGAACATTTCAAAGAGACAGCCACCAATCTATTGAAGAATGCGGAGGGGGAATGGGGCAGTCTATTGAAGGAGATTGTCGAGAGCACCGGAGTCGTTAATTTCTACCCGGTTCACAAACTACCACCGGGCAGATGGGCAAGAGGCCGAGTTCTGCTGCTGGGCGACGCAGCGCATGCTATGCCTCCTCACGCAGGCCAGGGTGTCTCAATGGCTTTGGAGGACATTTTCATCCTTGCACGAGTTCTCCAGAGCCAAGGAGAGACCATATCATTCGAAGCTGCCTTTGAAAGAGTGGAGGAAATTCGAAAGCCTCGTATTGCCGATGTTGTGGCACGCTCCGTGGAGAATGGCAAGGCGCGGAGGAAGACCACGCCACTTGGGCTATGGGCAAAGGAGATGTTTATATGGACCTCTGCACAGTTGTCTTGGTTCTCTGGGATATTCAACTTTGGCATCGACGAGAAGCACCTACAATACGACGTGGACCAAGAGGAGATTTGAGAATCTCTATGTTCTCCAAGTTCGCAATCTTAATGAAACCCTCCTTGGTCATAATGGGTGCGAAGCCAAGGTGAATATAGACCGATTAGATCTGACACGGACACGCGAGTATTGAAGGAAATTAGACGTTGTGGTATTAGTAATATTAGAGCTTGTAGTTAATGATTTACATTCTGAAAGCTTGCTATTATGCACACTCCTAATTGGAATATGTTGATATTAACAAATGCAACAGACTATTTCCCACGCAGAGCTCTTATGAACCTACATCATGAGGCGAATCCCATAACTAGCTGCATCAATGAGTGGCCACACCTCCTCTCAAGGCCCAAGACTGGAATGTCTGAGATGGATATCTGTCGGTGGACACCCGGGCAATCTGTGCTAGAGACTGTGTTTCAGATACACTTTTGTCAACTGCCATGAAATCATACACATTCGCTCGTGTATCAGGAATCAGCCGATCTCGCAGTGCAAGCAACAGCTCCATTATAGCCGGCGCCATCCTGGACAGGGCTGTAAAAATACCCCAGAGAGGCTGTCCAAACGGCGCATACTGCGCAATCTTAGCATAGACGTCACCATCACCAGTGTTAGGTGTGCCTGAAGTCTGGTCCCGTTTGATTCGTCCCTCGGCCTCATCCAGCTTTGCTTTGGAGATGATAGTGTAAGTGGGATCTTGGCTGTGAATAGCCCTCAGCATCTTCGATAGTGCGAAGTCTGCAAGTACTTCATTTGGCTCAATCACCTTGGAAGCAAAGCTCCAGTTTCCAAGCCATTTCTCAACTAGTCCGGCTCCGATTCTAAAGAAACGAAATCGTTGTCTGCCGAGATCATAATGCACCCCCGGAATCCACTCCTCTTCAATGCCCGACTTTGACCAATCCTTTCGAATAGCAAGACAGGGCTGGAAGATATAGAACCTGTCGTGCAGAGAAACCAAGTGATGCACTTGATCCACGACGGAGGAGACAATGTTGTCGTAAAATCCGGGCCAGTCGAGACCGACCCCTCCGGTAAAGGTCGGGATGCCCAGACCACCGACAGTGTCGAAGACGCCCATAAAACGAACTGGGGCTTTGGGGCGGTGCTCTGGAGAGTCTTCATCACCCACAAGAGGCCAGGATTTCTCTTTGCGGAATTCCTTGGACGCGTCTGAATGCGGACTGTTGATGGCATATCGCGAGCGGTAAATGCGATAGACCTCCTTGCACAGAAGCTCTGTCTCTTCGGCAGTTCTACATTTGCGGACTATTCCGCAATTATTGATCATACCAGCGACACATCGTACTGTATATGATCCGCGACTGAGCCCGAATAGCCATACCTCGTGGTCCGGAGTGTAATTCTCAACGATGAACTTGTAAGTGGAGATGCACTCGGCAGCAAGATCCTGCGCGGTGATGCCGTTGAAGAGGTAGTCCAGAAATGTGCTATTGAGACCGACCCCATGGTGATACAGAGCCGTGAGAGTTGGGGTACGCAGGATATGCTGGTCCTCTGTGTTTGGATTGTCGATTTCAAGTCCCATGAGCTCGGCGAGTTCATAGATGTTGGACCGTGTGCCAGTCTCGCGGCCGCACCAGGTACCGTCGCTCAAAACTATGATACGATGCATATCTGATTGTTTGCAACATGCAGTGAATGTTACTGGGTGAGAAAGAAGGTGAGTTTGTCGGCGAATGCGGGGAGACGTGCCAGCCTATTTATGATCAGCTGAATACTTAGTCTGATGACGGCTACCCCGAGCGAGACGGCAATTAACTTTGCGGCTGAACGTGGAACAAAGAAAGAACAGCTGACCTGCCGTATGTTGACTCGTATACGGGCAATTGAAAAAGCTCCCATTCGGCCAAATCTATCCACATCCCGAAGCAATGTTTAAAGGAGTCTTTACTGCGTAGACTGGACAGGGAACCTAACATAAAGCTACACATCGCAAGATATGGTGATCACCGCGCTAAGTAGAATCTCGAACTGATGTCATATTGTAGCTATTCAAAGTCAGTGCTGTGATAGGACATGCTGGTGACAGGTTCGGACTGTTCAACCTCATGGCTGATAGATCATAAGCGCCCCTCTTCCCTACAGTGATATACTTTCTTATCCAATGTGGTGATCTTTGACGAGCACAGAAGGTAAGGTTATTTAAGTGCAAATACTAGCGCCATATTTCCAATGGCTCCCCGCGGGCACTTGCACTAAGCTTCTTCAAAGACAAAAGATAACCAGTTCTAGTCCCTCTTAGATTGTCAGCTGATCACTTTTCTGCATTCCTTTGGTTATCAAGGCAGAGTCGATCCGACTGATTGACAACGTCGTTACTAGAAGAGAGGCGACCAAACTCGTCAATGAGAAATTTTTGGGATTCAAAGGAAGAAAGTGCTATGAGGATCGTGGAATTCTGGCTTTGGTTCTTTTTAACTCCTTCCCCTCTGTGGTGAGAGGCAAAAGGTAAGATATCGTTTTTTTAAAGGAGCTAACAAAAAACCTCTCCTGAGATATGGTTTTCACGGCTTTTCAAAAGAATTTGAGGAGAAACGTAATGTCTACAGGAGATTCTGTCGCGAGATATTCCATGGAAGTGGAAACTGGATGCTTTTGCGTGTATCGTTATATTTGTGACAGGCTACAAGTGGTTGGCACAGTCTCTTTCAACTTGAATTTCGAAGAATCGAATCACGAGATCCATCTCCGCTTCTTCGTTCTTGGTTCATCGCAACTTCTCCAACAATCGTCGACATTATCCTCTTCTACCGGAGCCACAGCGCCAAGCAAGAGCTTCGCATATGCTGCTGCTGTTGCTGCCGCATATTCTTGCCAGGTGTCATTCTTTGCCCCGTCACAGTAGTCGCAGATGCCGCGAATGACGAGACAGTCTATTGTATTGATGATACCAGCAGCCTCCATCTCGAAGCATAGTGTACCGTGCTCTTGTGTCAATTGGTCACGGAACGCTGCATTCTTTACCACGCGATTTCCGGAAGCGATAAGGCCATAGTGAATGATTGGTGTATTCGTGGCACGTTGAGCGCGTTGACGAACATGAGGGCAGGAAGTATCAGGTATCAGTCGAGATTCACACGAACTGCCGCAAGATGGGACAAGCACATCTAGTTCCGACCCTGGATATCTGTACTCCGGTAGATCGTTAATGATTCTTTCCAGGTGAGGCCCCAACGGGTCTGTTCGGAGCTCCGGGTCCGATTGCAAGGCATTGATGGCGTTGGTCAAAACGCGAGGAGGGCGTTGCAACACGCCAGTGGGACAGAACGAGTTGTCCTCGTTACTTTTTCCGAGGTCATATTGGAGCACTCCGGGGTTCGACCCGGTAGGAAGGCCAACGACGACATCTCCAAGGCGAATATCATGCTTTTGAGATGGCGCTCCACCGGCAATGCCGACCAAGAGGCAGAACCGGATGAATGGAAAGCTGCGCTTCATGTTGGATGCTACACTCGCCGCGGAGTTGGTTCCATACTCTCCAGCCGGGAGACATGCGGCGACAACCAGATGTCCCGCTATCTCCCCGAGGGCATACTGATTGCTATCCGCGACTCCTGTCTTGAAGCCAGAATGTCTGCTATCAAAGAGTACTCGGACGGCCAGAAGTTCCTTAGATAAGGCACATATGATCCCTACTGTATATCGATCTCGAGTGTACGCTCTTTTTTCTATCGCAGAGATCGATTCTTCCCCCATGGACCGCATGAGCAGCTCACTCATGGATCCAGATAAGCTCCTCGTGTTTGTCGTAGAAGAAGGGGTACCAGTACGTTTCGTGCTTGGACCAGGGCTAAACCCAATACCACTGTCCTTGAAAGAATCTGTGTCTCTACCTATGGAATTGGATGCCACGTCTGTTCCCCCCGATTCTCTCTCTTCGGGAGGTCCAGTGTCGCCCCATATCCAAGGAAAGGTTGAGTTGTGCCCAAAAATGATTGCCCCGGGGCCTCTCAATTCCAGTCGGTGTACGTTCGGGCGTAAGGCCTCACACATCGTTGAGGGGAAAAGCGTTTGAACCGGCTCGCTATGATCTTGTCCCAGCCCGCCCTTGCACTGACAAAACATGAAGGGTGTTGAAGGCGTGTGGCATATCAAATTGTTCGTCACCCATTCATGGTCATCTTGACCTCCAGACGCCTTGATCAGACGCTCCAAGTCTGAGAGGCAACTTGCAATGTAGAACTGATTCTTTGGTAAGTCCGCCCAGTACTCGCACAAGCCTGTGTCTGATGGTCGTATGATATCACCAAAGCCGCGACCAAGCAACACAACAGCATGGATGTCTCTTACAAAATCAACCCACCCCTTGCCGATTGGTTGTATAGTGGCTACCCTTGGGCGCAAAGGGTCGCAATCGGTCACCAAATCTTCAAAGTCCCATCCCTCAAGATATCTCCGTGGCCTATCGGTCAGTTGAAGATTATTGTCTGATACGTCGGCCTGGTGATCAATGAGCTTCTCCAGGAGGCTATAAAAGTGGTCGATCTGAGTTTTGAGGAGAATATACCCCCCATCCTCGTCATCATCCTCGTAGAGCCTGATATTCCGGTTGTGTTTACTGATCAACACTTCCGCGGCAGAGTTGGCAGTAAAGGGTGTTGCTGCTTCTTCCATATCCGTACTTTTGAAAAGAAAAGCCGACCGAAAGGGATCTTTGCTTGCGTGAGATAACGATGCTCGCACCACGTGAAGGAGAGCACTTGTGCCATTGACCAACCAACCTCGTTCATCAAGTGTATCCCACAGCAGAACGAACTTTGTGGATATCCATTTCAATCGGGGTATCGTGCCTTTTAGGGATATTTGTACCGGCCTATCCTTAGATCCAATGGAAAATTCAGGACCATCCTTGACCATCCGCCCGGATAAGACTTTTGTGCCTGCCAACGCACATCCAGGGTGGGCTCTGGGGAGCCCAGAGTGAGCAACCGGATGATGCGCTTCAGACGATCCTGCCCATGAATAGTCAGCGAGCTATTAGAGACGAGAAGAGAGCAGAAAACAGTTACCAGCATAGAACTTCGCTTCAGAGCACCATCCCAACACATGGCGAAGACTTTCTAACTCTGATTGTGCGATATCCTGAGCTTGGTCGACTTTATATTCATCCGCGTCCAGGTAGGATATACGACCTCCGTCCTTGTTATAAACCAAGTGCCAGTAGAGACTGTCCTCGTTCCGCCTGGTTAAAATCAGCATAGTTGAAAATCCCTTGATATACATCTTGTCTTTGAAGCGATCAACTTGCTGAGTTTGGACGAGACCTGCCATAATATTCAGTGGCATTTCCAGACCTGTACCGTATTCAACTCTTTGCCGAATGGGATATCCCCGCACAATGACAGGATTTCTAAAAACGTCATGCCAGCACCGGCCATTCATAGGCTCGGGAGACCCTGGAATATCTTCTTGAAGGAAGCCGATCTGGCAGAAGAGGAGGTCTGCAGATAGTGGCCGTGACTTGAACTGGTGTAGAAATGTGCTGTCCTGTGGGAGATCCAAAACTTGAGGCGTGCAGTAAACAACGCCTTCCTGCCTCTGCGACGTCCTCAATGCCGCTCCGAGCCAAGCTAATTGTTCTCCAACTTCGATCACAGATGCTATGTCGCCACAAATCTCCACCATTAGTCTTGGTCTCGCAATCACGGTCCGCAAGGTTGCCTTGCCAGATGAATCAACTATGATGAATGTTAACATGATAGACAATCCGTTTCGTTATACAGCACCTACTTTGATATGACCCATCTTCACTGCCAAGGACCCCTTTGATGAGTTCAATCATAACATGTCCTGTTGAAGGCCAAGTCTGGTCGATATACTGCGCACAAGTTGCCGCTTGCGCATCCAGGGAAGATCCAGTGAGAGTAATCACGGTCTCGAGCGTGTCTTCGGGCCGGTTAGAATACTCTTGATTCTCGAAGAACGCATGAATATCCCAGTCAAGGTCAAATACAACCGTTGAGCTCTTCGGGGTCTCCTTTCTGCTAACCCTTTGGGTCCGTGGAAACAAAGTCGCAATCTTCTCACGAATGGTCTGAATACTATTCGGCTCTGTTTGAACGAGATGGAATTCTCCGAGAAGTCGATTGAGTAGCCATTTGTACGCCTCACTGCCGGAGAGGAGGTTTTGGTAGGCTGCAACCCACTCAAATGGTGCTTCTTCTTCTTCGTCCATCTCATCGAATGCGAAATCCTCGGTCATCTCATCAACATTCAAGTCCCCCATCTCATTCTCCAGAGGGGTCTCATCTTCAATTCTCATCTCGTACCAAAGGCGCATACGGTCTTCCAGATCCATTGCATCTGATGAATCCATATTTTCATCAGTGATTTCTGGATCTTCAGCGAAGGCAATATCAATAAAGGCTGAAGCAATGTCGCTACCAAGAGAGTCTCGTCAGTTCGCACGGATACCAAAGAGGCAGGGATTTCAAGGAGACTGACCGTCTGTTTCTATGGACAAACGACATAATGTCTCGATGCATTTGGGATGATGCCCTGTGGCCAATCCTCAATGCGAAAGCTTTTAGCAGCTCGGGCAGATTGGCGGATACTCTTTTCCTTCATGGCTTCATTCGCGATGGATAAGTTAAGCTTGTTAAATAAATCGCTCGCGAGCTCCCATATTAAATTATGGCTCCTCGAAAACGAGAAGCTCGAAAAATTAGAATACTGGGTAGCTGTGTCATCGGCGTCACCATTCGCCAGTTCGTCCCACGATGGTGCAGGAGTCTGACTATCCTGTTTTTTCAGTCCTTCAAATCCTCTGCCAATTGGATTCGTAGATGCGTATCCCGAGTCTGTAGGAGGTACTGCCTCGGCCAAGCTAGGCAACTGTGGAATGTCTGGCACACTCGGAGGTGGCAACAGAACTGCAGTTGGCGAGGGCGAGTCACCTTCAGGGAGCTCTTCAAGGCTGACTTGATGGTCACTACTCAAAGAAAATTCGAACAGACTGTGGTTATTCTCACTGGAATCGGCACCTTCAGTGTGCTGTTGTTGCTGCTGCATCAAGACCTTGCGTTGCTTCATATCAATGAGCATGGTACGAAGCTTGTCGTCGGACATGTGTACTAACTGTGGCTTGGTGTTACGCACTGTTGCGATGTCTGCCGCAGTCACTGTAAAGGGCGGTATATTTGTATCAACTGGTTCTCGTTGCTCTGCACCTTCAGGGTGCTGTTGTTGCTGCTGCATCAAGAACTTGCGTTGCTTTATATCAATGAGCATGGTACGAATTTTATCGTCGGGCATGTGTGCTAGCTGTGGCTTGGTGTTGCGCACTGTTGCGATGTCTGCCGCAGTGACTGTGAAGGGCGGCATATTTGTATCAACTGGTTCTCGTTGCTCTGCACCTTCAGGGTGCTGTTGTTGCTGCTGCATCAAGAACTTACGTTGCTTCATATTAATGAACATGGTACGAAGCTTGTCGTCGGACATATGTGCTAACTGTGGCTTGGTGTTGCGCATTGTTGCGATGTCTGCCGCAGTGACTGTGAAGAGCGGTATGTTTGTATTAACTGGTTCTCGTTGCTCTGCAAGGCTGAGATCTTGGTCATCGCCCAAAAGACCATCATTGTTGCTTAATATAACGCTGAGAGGTTTCCTTGCAAAACTAAGCCTTACTCCTCCGTTGATACTCTGAAGCACAAGGACATTAAGAGTTTGACCATAAAGTGCCGCTGCAGCGAGCGGGATGTCTTCAAACTCAACGAAACACATTGATCCATCTTGCTTCGTACGAAAGCAAAGTCGCTTGTATCCTTTTTGTTTGGAAAACAGTGCCTTAAGCTGTTCCTCGTTTGTATCCACTGACAAGTTCCCAATATGGAGCGTATTGCAGGGAGGGTTTTGGTCTTCGGGGTGAATGGGGGGGAATTCGTCTACTTGATTTCGATCAGAACGTTCATCAAGATTCTCTGCCTGTTGTGCCAGACTCTTGGCACTGATACGCTCATGAGGATTCGGTGCTAGCATCTTGAAGATCAGTTGCTCAAGCGGGTCATTGACATTGAGGATGGCCCTAAGAGCATGGACCTCTGTAAGCCATTGAATCATTTGATCGACGGCCGATCCCCCGTTACCAATTGTGGTATGGGGGATGCTCTTGTTGTTCACACCCGCGATCAGCCAATATAGCGATTGGTAGCGGCCGCGTTTCGCGCGTCCATCAGGGAGACCAGTTTTACGGAGCAGATAGAGCATGGTAATGCCGAGTGCCCAGACATCAGAAGGTGGGCCACGAATTTTTCTTCCAATAAATTCCGGGGGAATATAGTATGGCGTGCCGCCAGTGAACGGCGAAGTCTTGGTTGTGGTTGAACAGCCGAAATCGCAGAGCACTCCCCCTCGTGAATGTGAGTATAGAATGTTTGCAGGCTTGATATCATTATGAAGCACGCCATGCTCATGCATATAGCTTAGTGCGCTGGACATATCCTGCGCAATCCTTGATGCATCGGTTCTCTCTCCTGTGAACTCATTTTCATTGGTAACGGCGCGCCACTGGCGACTTGCCAAGTCTTGGGCATCGACTGACTCCATATATATGGATAGAAACCGGGCGTCATGGCCATAGTGTTGAACAATGGACTTGTGCTTCAGGCCTTGGTAGTTTTTAACTTGCCTTTCCCACCTTCCAGACAGGCGAACGATGTCTCTGTTGAACACAACAGAAACCGCTCTTTGCGGGTGAAGGACCTTTATAGCTATGAGACCTCGACGCCTTGAATGTTCCGCAAGATAAATGGTGGACTGAGCAGAGCTTGAGATATTGGAGTGCTTGAGAATACGATATGGATTAGTAGCTCCCCCTAGAACATAGACGGCCTCAGTATCGTTGATATCGAGCAATGGATTGTTTTCGCTGAAATTCATTGTTGCAGGTTCCCGCTCGCTGGGAATGCCCGACCTTAGATCTAGCGCCATGGCTTTTGCGAGTTGTCGTTTTGGTATAACCCTGAATTCCGCAATGGTCATGATCGTTACAGTCATGCGCCAGGTGGCAGGACTCAAACTCTCCGCCATCCCTGGGTTGATGATCACCGTCGTGCGAGAAACTAGGCTGTGGCAACTGAGCTGAACATCTGACTTATTCATTAAGATGATGTTGTCATTAGTAGGATTGAAGTACGTCTCCCATGATAGGGCAGGTCGCAGAGAATCATTTTGAGTCTCTGCGCGAATTCGCACAGAGAATTTAGTCTGGTTGGGGCTTTGACTTATGGCGAACAGTTCCTGCTTGGCTTGTTCCTGCATCAAAGGATCTTGAGGGGTTATAGCAAGTATTTGGACATTTCCAATTGGACTGAGCACAGTTTGAGCCCCAACGTTCTCGGAAATTCGCATAATAACGCGTATTCCATCCTCATACTGGGATTCTTCGATTTGAAGAGCGTCGAGAGAAACGGGCCCGAAATCACCAAGAGCAAGGTCGACTTTTTCAACATTTGTCTCGTTGGCGTCATTTTCGGTGTTGTCCCTGGACAATGGTTTGGATAAAATACTGGGAGCCGCTTCTAACAGGGGATCGTTGCTCTTGTCCATTGTGGAAATTCCCCCTTAGACTTGCGACGCGGCGGCTTGGTCATGAAAAATGAAGATATTGTGAACAAGGTTGTCAAAATGGCGCAAGGGCAAAGCATAAAAATCATGTGACCGATGTACAAGTAAGCATCCCCAGTGATTGCCTCATCAGCTGAGGCGACAGTCCAAATTTCCAGGAAGGCGAACCATAATCTGCTGCGCCCCTGAAATATGAGCCGCCTTTCCTCGCCTTAATAGGGCATATTATCAGATTGCGAATCTTGAAAGCGTGGGGACAATCAGTCTAGGGTAGTTAGTTGTAGTTAGGACAGTCTTAGTCTGTCTTTCAAAATGCGGGTTGTTTGTGCTTGAAGTTAGTAACTTGGCCCACCTGGATTCTCGTCTCCTATAACCTCTTCCCCGAATATTATTTCTGTGCTATATTGGGGTAGATGCTCCATATGTGATGTGAAGAGAACCGCCGGGGTAGTTCTGGACTTCTAGTGCTATTTGAATTCCGCATGGATTTGGACAACTGGGAACTCTGTCTCGAATCTTGAATTGGAAGAAGAAGTGAGTAGATTCAAAGCGACATTTCTATTGCCCCGCGGGAATACCAGTAGTGGTAGAGCAAAGTGTACTAATAAATACCGGCTTCTCGAAATGCCCAAGTTTGCACCAAAGTTCAGCAAGGGGTCACCAGAGAAGGACGAGTGTCTGTGAGAGATTGAGGCTACGTACTACAGAATAGACTCTCACCTCGATGTTAATTTCGGACGTATCATCTCCTGTTTGGACAAGTTTGACATCTAGAAGGACACTGCTCTCGGAAGTGAAGCTCGCATCCCCAAGAGACTGGCTGGAGGAATGAAAGACGATAACCTAGCGTTGCCAGACAACGGATTTAGCCTAAAGACAATAGAGCAAAGATGACAATAGCCTAGTCTGGTTCTTGACTTTACCCCGCAATCACCTGATCCCTGTCTCTGTATCCGGAACCATCCCCAGACTGTTCGTTCGGAAGATTCCCCCGAAATCTCATCCGAGGCTCTCCTTGTCCAGCTCTCCCGGTCCGCAGACTGCGTCCAGATGGATGACGCCGATGACAACACACGCCCTCCCAAGCGTCGCAAGATCCGGATCGCATGCCAACAATGTCGCGAGAAAAAGACGCGATGCGACGGGGCGCGGCCCGTATGCCAGGCCTGCGTGCGCAAGAAGCTAGGCCCCGAGAACTGCGTCTACCTCGACCCCTCGTCTGAGCTCTCGGACACGCGGTACGTCCAGGGTTTGGAAACTCGCATCAGAGAGCTGGAACATGTCGCGCGGGGTGGCTTCGCAGTCGCAGCAGTAGACACAGCTGGTTCGACGAGCCGGCTGAACAACACGCGGCCGCCGGATCATGGACTAACCTCACAGCCCGCACCGAATCGATCGAGTCGCGAGATAGCTTTGCCTCGTAGCGAAAATAACAATATGCCGAGATATTCGAAGCCGGTGTCCCCATCTGCGCAGACGATCGAGTCGACCCCTAATACAAACGATGCTCATATTGTTGCGGCTCACCTCCTGGGCCTCAATGGCTACCGCGAGCAGCCTTCGCGCGTTTCGGACAACTTCCAAGACTTCCGTCCTCGAGATGACGCTTCCGATGCCGCAGGCATGTTCCCGGCGGATGATCCACAGCCACAAACCCCACGAAGCCATCCTCAACTTTCTCATCGACAGCAACATCGGGTCTCCGAGCCGCCAGCAAGATCCAACAATGCGAGCTATTTCTTGTCTCAGGGTAGGACCGGCTCGTATGCGCCGCCTACCCAAGGGAACCCTGATAACTTCGAGGTCGATGAAGATGAGCAGCCCAGTGACGCGATGGGCGCTTCCGAAGGAACACCAATAAACTCGAACAGTAGCCTCTTCTTCGGCCCATCAAGCGCGGCGGCCTATATGAAATCAGTCCAAGAGACTCTGGGTACGGGGGGCCATGGTCTTCATGGTGCGGAAGACGGTGTGAGTTCAACCGTTTCGCGCGCCTCCCACAGGCGGCAAATGAAACTGAAAAGGGAAATGGAAAATCTGCTTGATGGATTGACCCTGCCGACACGGAGGTTAGCTGATGCACTCCTGGAAGTGTATTGGGACAACATACACCCTTTCTACCCCATACTACACAAACCATCATTCATGCGCAGGTCAGTCACTCGGTCTTTGAACTTCACCTTACGCTATGCCCGTCAACGTTGAGCTGGAACGTTATTGAGCTGACGATCCCATGCCGACCTAGGTACAATGAGATCTGGTCACAGGCTGACAGCAGTCACGATGAGTTGCACCACTTCGACGGAAACGTGCAGAAGCTGAGAGCGTTCCACGCAACTCTCAACATTGCACTTGCCCTTGGATGCATCCGCGCCCGTTCCGACGCCTCCTCTTTGAAAAGCGCCAAAACCTACTATGACAGATCCAGCCAGTTACTTCGGGACGCGGATATGGAACAAGGGTCAATTCAGCTCGTACAAGCTTTGGTCCTTACCGCACAATACCTGCAGAGCACCGATATGGCCAACAGATGTTGGATAACCATTGGCAACGCTATCCGAATAGCTCAGGGAATTGGAGTACAGCTGGATCTCCCATCCGAGAGTCAGGCTGAGCGTGAAGAGAGGAGGCGGACGTGGTGGTGCTGTATTCTCATGGATAGGTAGGTCGCGCTATCTCCATCTCGGCAGGCTAGATACAGCTAACATGTTGCTGGAGGGTGTTGAGCATGACCTTCGGTCGACCAGTAATGGTTGTTTGGCGAACAGTGGTCCCGAAACCAGAGCCTGTAGACGACGAGTCCCTGTCTGAAAAGCCCGGGAGTTCTAGGGAGCCGATGGAAGTGCAGGAACTCTCGACGAATGCCTTCTTTTCTCAGACACTCAAGCTTACGGATGTTCTGATGCTGGTGCTTACGTTAGTAACCCTGTTGTCAACCTCTGTGAATGTCAATGACTAACTCCAAGCCAGGAATTTCTACCGGCCTGTTGAGGAAAGAAGAATTAGTACCCTGAGCAATGACCCAATCTCTAAATTAACGCTTGTCGTTGAAGTAGATAATGAGTTAGCACGGTGGCGACAGCAATTGCCTCAGCACCTGATATTCCAGCCATCCGAGCTGTCTGGCGAGACTAATCCTATATATACAAGACAGGCGGCTCTGCTTCATTTCCGGTAGGTTGATGGAAAGAGGAACTCCGACTTGATTGATGGTAACACACAAGAGCTGACCCCTGGCTTTTTAGGTATCTGCACTTAAGAATACTCCTATTTAGGCCCATCACCATAGACCTCTCTAGCGGTATTCTTTTGGCGGCCACGGAACCCCAAAGGTCGACCGACTTCCAACAGATGGTGATTACAGGATGTGTCCGCTCATGTGTTTCGGCTGCTCAGGAGCTAGTCGATTTGCTTCACATTCAGCTCCACAGCGATTGTGCCCCTCCGCGTTGGTATGCGGTGTTCTGTAAGAATCCCTTCTGAATCATTACTCCTATATGCCACTAACATGAAGCTTTCAGATCTCTTCAGTGCCGGGACCGTTCTGCTTTCGGTCTTGGTCTCGCCGAATCTCCAGCGGGCCTGTACGGAAAACTTAGAGGGACTTCTGAACACATGGTCTCGTTGTATGGAGACTTTGACGTACTATGGGCAGATGGGCGATATGTTCGCCAAGCGATGTCACAAGATTCTACAAGCGGCTCTAACTCCCCGTTCCCGGCTAGTCTACGATCAAGGTAAAGACTATCTGTATGCATCAACTTCACAGAAGAAACCCGCTGACCTGTTGAGATCAAGACCCTATTCCGGTCGAAAACAACGAACACAACCAAAGAGAGTCAAACGAGAGTAACGTGGACCAGCCATCCACAATGGATGAATTCCAGGCGTTGCTACAAGATCCGGATCTCGCTGATGCCATGGCATGGCCGGCAGGGAGCCAAGACTGGCTCAACAGCCTACCAGAGGAGAGAAGTGGTGTTTTCGCCCTAAATGACTACGTGACGTCCATCTAAGCGCTTGAAGCTCCGTTTCATCGACCTTGTTAGATGTACAAATTAGTGAACCGGTATCTACTTGTAAATCTACCTGCAACGCTCCAGTTTGATTAACTAAACTCTTATAATCTCTCCCGTGAAACTACTACTTGTCGTCAAGATATTCTCCAGCAACAGCTTGTTATTCGCTGTAAAGAGATAGTTCATGCGTGATTACCCGTTATTTCCGTCTTCTAACCAATTCATTGCCGAGCTCGCTTGATCCATGGTAGAGTATGAGGGAGGGCTGATGGAGAAAGGGAGAGAGCGTGTAAACAGAAAGGAGAGGTAGCTCTCGAACAGTTCGGGGGATGATCCAAACGCGAAAAGTCAACGCCATTAGAGTGAATCAAATTCACCGTAACGCCGGGAGAAGTCTATTGTTCAAGTTGGGTCTACTCCTGGAAGTCCAGTACTGGCGTCGGGACTGTTCCAGGCATTTTGCTCCCTCGTTCTCTAACTTTCGATCGGACATGATAGGCCAATATCCTCTGATCCCGCCTCAGACAACGCAATTTGCTCTTTCCCAATTAGAATACTTGAGAAGGAAATCGTTTCTTCCGACGGAAGTGTCAACCCCAATCATAGTTTGGTAGAAACCGTATCTTGTCTGTGCAGCTGATGACTACGGATCCGAACTGTAGAGCTTAGAGTAGCCTAGGTTTTCCAATGAGAGAGAAAACAGCCGGAGATATCAGAGAACACCGGCTATCGAGCGATATCTCGGGCTTTACCCTCGATCTCGGTCTTTGCCCGGCGGGAATCATGAGAAATGCCTACTCGGCGGCTAGTGAGGATGCCCCTACAGGGATGTACCTCAGCCCGGAGCCAGTCCGCGAGAGTATTCGGAGCATTCCCCGGGTTCAACGACTTCCTTGGATACACTTTGGGGGCCGCTTAGCCAAAAATATTTGGATCTGTCCAGTAGTGTCTTTCTTCGCTAGTAGTAATGGCGGTATGCAAACGCTACCTAGCCACTTGGCTATTGGAAAGTCCAGTGAGAGCGTGTACAATGACTTAAGGAGCTTGATGGAGGCACTGAGCCGCGCTAGCAGCTGAAACTTATCGCTGCTTTGACCCAAAGTACGACAGCTCAGTGGAATGGTCCACTAAACCAAGACAAAAATTAAGCAGCGCGCGGTGTCCATCTTACCCCAGCCAACCTAGTCAGTTGGCCCAGTCCCCATGTGCCCCAGATTTTTCACTTGGGGAGTCTTCTTCCCAGTTGATCCCACCTATATAAGAGGTTGACGATCCTTCATGGGGTTGATTATACCTATCCTCACTCCCACGGACTATATTTCATACCTCCAACCATATAACAGTCACAGCACTTGGTTTTCGACTTTATCGAGCTTTGCCTTGCAGCAAAGCCCCCTGCCGCAAAACATGTTGACCTTCTTGCGGGACTATAATTACAAGGTTACTCAGTATCTGACCACAAACCTAATGTTGGCCTCGATGGTCATGATGACTAGTGCCTTCTCCTATGGCTTTGAGAACTCTGTCTTGTCCACGATCCAGGCCATGACAGGTTAGTAGCTCAGACTTCAATTTGCTTTGGTGATGATTCTAACGCCAAGTGACCGGCCAGTATATGAATGCTGATTCGGAGAGAAGAATGCGAAGATAGGTGAATGGGAGTTCAGTGCGACCCGGCTCGTCATGCTGAATTCTTTGCCCTTGATCACATACGCCATCGTTGTCGTCGGTGCTTCCTTCATTGGTGAGCGCTACGGCCGCCGGATTGTCTTCGTTATCATCAACTCCTTCTGCCTCGCGGGTATCGCTCTCAGCTACGCGGGTAAAAGCTTTGACTACGCTATGGCCGGTAGAATGATAATCCAGCTTCGTGTTGGTGGCGAGGCGTGGCTGGTGCCTATGTGGATGGCTGAGGTTGTCCCTGCCGCTGTGCGCGGCTCTAGTAAGTCGACTAACATGTCCTCCCTTTTCCAGGACCCCCTGGCTGATGACTATTTATTATTACAGTGGTCGGTCTCTACGCTTTTAGCGGCGTCCTCGCAGGTTTTATAGCCTCCGTCATTACTGATCAGACGGGCAAGATGGACGATAACAATAGCTGGAGGATTCCTGTTGGCTGTATGTTCATCTTCCCTTCCTTCGCCATACTTACCTCGTTTCTCCTCCCAGAGTCACCCCGATGGCTCTTGCATCAGGGCAACCATGACAAGGCTGTCGAGATGATCTATTATCTGCGCAGCGCGGATCGTGACTTTCCGGCCGAGGCTGAGATTCAGCGCATCCAGGACACCATCAATGAAACCCCAACCAAGGGCAAGTGGTCTAAGCTCTTCAAGGGAACTAACGCGGTATGTCATTCACTCCCCATACCGAAACAGATAAAAAGAGACTAACTAGGTTGTGATTCAGCGCCGAACTTGGGGTGGCCTTATCGCGGCGGGCGCAGCGCAGCTCACCGGCCAGTCGTTTGCATCCAACTACGGCACCATCTTCCTCAAATCGGTTGGTGTCATTGATCCCTTCACGGGCACCATGATCAAGAGAGCCGGTCTTCTGATCGGCTGCATCTTTGTGATTTCGTTCGTCGAGAAGATTGGCCGCCGACGGGTTGCGCTCGTCGTGGGCTCTATTTCTGCTACCTGTCTCATGGTAATGAGCGGCTTGGGCACAGTAGTCACCCCTCCCAACCCAAGCGCACAGAAGGGCGTGTTGGCAATGTCGATCATCTTCCCTTGCGCCTACATGATTGCATTTGGCTCGACGTAAGTTGCAACATCCACTCAGATCTCGCATACAAACTTGAGACTGACAGTGCCGTTCTTCAACATATAGCATGACTGTTGTCAAGTCTGAGATCCCCCATACGGCACTCCGAGACAAGTCAAACCTTCTCTTTTGGTCGTTTCCCAACGCTGCGAACTTCCTGGCCAGTTTTACCCTTCCGTATCTGCTGAAGGCTCCCTATGCCAACCTCGGGTCAAAGGTTGGCTTCATCTATGGTTGTACCAGCACGCTATTTGTCGTCTTACTTTTCTTCTTCGTGCCGGAGATGACTGGAAAGTATGTACTTTGCCCATCGATATGAGAAATACTTTGAAAGGCTTAATGTGCTTGATGTCGCTGACTGTTTCTTTGCAGGTTACTCGAAGAAATTGATGAAATGTTCGAATCCCGGATCCCAGTGTGGAGAAGCAGAGGTAAGATAAACTCCCAGGCTCGACTAGCTTGATCAGTATACTAAATTGGGTGGATGAGTAGGTTTTAAGGCTACTGGCGCAGCTGTATCTGTGATGGAAATTGAGGCGCACGGGAGGACCTCTATCGACTCAGCTAAGGTCCGAGGCATTGAGCATGTCGAGTTAAAATAAGATTGAGAGCCAGAGGTTGAACTGAGCTTGTGGACTACAGATGGATGATTGGTTGTGTATGTAGCTACAAGCACAGGCATATGGATCAGTTGATGAATGAGGACTGGAAAGGTATCTGCGTGTTTCAATAGCAGATGTGCTTATAGCCCGGCTTTGATAAAGTAGCAGATTGGGAAATTTAAGTCACAATTATCTTTCAAGTATATTCGCTCAGTCTCAGCACCATAGCCCAAGTTTTTTTTATCGTATTTTGTCACTATAAAAACTTGATCACTCGGCCGTGAAGGTATCAACACTCACCTGCCATCGACCAAGTGATTTCTTAGTTGTCAATCTCTGTCTTAAAACTTATTAGAAGGTGGAACAGAAGTATCTCGCATTGTGTTCGGCTCTGTAAGATGAGGCATGAAGTAACGCAGAATATATGCTCCGAGTTTAAGCGAACTCGAATATATATCTATTTCATCTCAGGGTTACTGGTGAGAGGTAGCTTTTTCCAATAACAAGGCTTTACATTTATAGGCCGTGGTCAAGTTCAACAGCCCTTTCCTTAATATACATACAGGCAAATGCTTGCTCTTGTCTTGATATAACGAAGAAAAGTGGTTTCAGAGGTTGTCTGCCAGGTATTCTACCCAAAGAGGAACGGTTCAGCTGTGACAAACTAACGAATTATACTGTCCTCGGCAACGACCAAGATGCGGAGGTGAAGATTGCGGGGGTGAAGATGCACTCGGGGAGTGTTCCGAGCTCTGTCGGCATCCTCCGCCTAGTCACTTTTTGCTTAAGAGCATATCGAAGATGCTAGAGTATATCGTCATTACGAACACCAAGATTTGTTGTATCATCGTAAATTCGAAACGTTCACTTTCCAGTGCATCTGGGAATTGCAGCTTGTTAAAGAAATTACTTCGCGACGGCATCATTTAAAATCAAAGAAACTAGAGCGAGCTTCGTAATTGAAGCTAGCATTAACATTCCCGATTTCTTCTCTTGTTAGTTATCATGCCAAAAGACGGTAGACCGAATTTCCTCGTCATTGTCGCCGATGACCTCGGCTTCAGCGACCTCCAACCTTATGGGGGAGAGATCGAGACTCCTAATATCGCCAAGCTTGCCGAGGAAGGCCTGCGCATGACGGGCTTCCACACGGCTGCATCATGCTCACCCACGCGCGCCATGCTCCTATCCGGAACAGATGCCCATATCGCAGGGTTGGGCGCCATGGCTGAATGGATAAGAAAAGTGCCAGAGCTGTTCCAAGACCATCCCGGATACGAAGGCTATTTGAATCATAGAGTGGCCGCCCTTCCGGAGATCCTTCAAGATAATGGTTACTGGACTATGATGTCCGGAAAATGGTATGCAATTTCCTATCTAGGGATATTTACTTGACAAGGTGACCTAACGCTGACTTGTACTGCGTAATATCGACCAATAGGCATCTAGGTCTCAAGAAGGAGTTGTCACCCTCCGCTCGAGGTTTCACAAAAGTTCTCACGACGCTCCCAGGAGCCGGAAACCACTTCAACAGCGAGCCCCAGCTATGCGGTCACGAAGACGACAAGCCCAAGGCACTTCTCAGGGGCAATGAGGGTTTTTGGATGCGTGACGACAAGTTCATCAGTGGGCGTGACGATTTGCCTAAAGACTTTTATTCTTCCAACACCTTTCCCGACTACTTTCTCGACTTTATGCGTGGGAGAAACGAGGAGGAAAAAGACAAGCCATTTTTCGGGTACCTTGCGTTTACTGCTCCTCATTGGCCACTGCAAGCGCCTCAGGAAACGGTCGAAAAGTACAAGGGGTTTTCGACGATAGACCAGAAGCACTCCGGGAGAGGCGACTTCGAAGCATGATTCAGAAGGGGCTGGTGCCGGCTGATGTCGAGCCCGCGCCCTTGCACACTGCAGGGACGAAGCCATAGAGTGAGATGAACGAGGAAGAACGTAAAAAGTCCTCTCGCGCTATGGAGGTGCGTTGAAATATTTTCACCTTCATCTGAAGATTCGATGGTTCCGTTGCTGACATTATTCAGATTTTCGCTGCCATAGTTGATCTTATCGACGTCAATGTAGGCAGAGTAGTTGAGTATCTGCGTGAGACCGGTGAGCTCGATAGTACCTTCATTGTTATCATGTCCGACAATGGTGCCGAGGGCCAATTACTGGAAGCCGTGCCTATCCTTGCTGGACACACACTCAAAGACGTCATTACCAAGTGATACGATAACTCGCTGGAGAACCTGGGCAAGCACAATAGCTTCGTTTGGTACGGTCCTGAACCGAGCCGAGGAGTCAAGACATTCACAACGGAAGGCGGAATCCACTGTCCCTGTATCGTGAGATATCCCCCTCTCTTACAGAAGCAGGGCGTGATCGCGCCAAACTTCACCACCGTCATGGACGTACTCCCCACCTTCCTCGAGCTCGCTGGCATCCAACACCCAACACCAACGTTCCGTGGGAGGCAGGTAGCGCCCGTCCGTGGTAGGTCTTTGGTCCCGTTTCTTAAGAACCCAGATGATGAGAAGCTCCAGATCTACAACTCTACGGATGATATCGTGGGCTGGGAGCAAACTGGAGTTGCAGCGGTGCGGCTGGGAGATTGGAAGGCCTTCTTCATGCCTCCACCTCGTGGAAGCGGTAAGTGGGAGTTGTACGATTTATCAATGGATCTTGGCGAGGTCCACGACCTCGGTGAGTCTCAGCCTGAGAAGCTGGCAGAGATGATTGCCCACTATGAGACGTACTTCCAAGAGAGGGGCATGTTTGACTCACACGCGGTATACCAGTCGGCTCCAAAGAAGACTGAGTTCCCAGTAGATGCGCATATGAAATCATATGAGCAGTCCTCGGCATAAAAATAACGGTTTAACTTATTATCACTAATAGCTATACCAATTCTTAAATAAATAAATAGGTGTACTGGATATCAAAGCATGAAACTAGTCAAGACATCTACACTTGCAGTGATAGAGACAAAATATTCCATAAGACCGATGCTTTTTCTCCTTTCCGTAGGTATTTTACGAGCAGAGCCGTATAATCCTGCCTATCCACACATAATAATTAGGTTGAGATGTTTAAAAATACAACTGATCATCAAGGGTCCTTCCACGTCGTCATGAAATGGTCTGATAGAAGTCCCAGAGCTTGGCCGCCCCATCCTCCCACTGGATATCGTTCTGTAAATGGTGTCCAGCCCCTTCCACAAGTTCCATCCGTACAGAATCCGCACCATTGACGCCTTCTGAAGCCTCGCGATAATACGCCGCAGTTTCTGTAGTGATTTGAGGCGTCATAATTTTGTCTTGTGAGCCGGCCATTACCAACATCCTGCCATGGTGAATGTGTTGCAACACTGATCTGGCTGGGGCAAACGGCTTCATCATACTGAATGGCCACAAGTAGCTCTCATAACGATTCATGCGGCGCTGGAATTGGATGACAGCAGACAGCGGAAATTTATCTCCAAAGAAGACTCGTTGCGTCAAAATAGGATGTGAGAGAGGCGAGTTGGAATGATAGCCGTGAAAGATGAGGCGCAGACCGAACCAGGGATCCAGCTTCATCCAATTGATGTACACACCCATACTGGAAAGATTTCCAATGTCAGCATCGTAACAAAATCAATCCTATATCCCGGTTCGAGGGAGGACTCACGATCCATAGCCCGGGACGGCGCCAAGGAGGGCGAGACCTTCGACGTCTACTCTCCCTTCAGACAGAATTCCCTGGCTCAGGCCACCACCGCTCGAGTGGCCAACAAGCACAACACGCCGCTTCTCGCGCCGCTCAACCCATCTAAGACCAGCAACGAGGTCATCACTGAGCATACGGCGGCTGGTGCCGAAGAGCATACGGAAATATGAAGGATACCAGGAATCGCCGTGCCCGCGAAGGGAGATGGCATAGCTCCGCACACCGCGAGCAGCTAGATACTGCATATACTCGGTCCAGACCCAGGCGCAGCCCATGCCGCCGTGGCAGAAGTAAATGGGAGGCCCATCACAGGCTGTGACGGCTTTGGGTGGCGTCGCTGAGAGGATTTCCAGTTTACCTTGTGGTGTATCAATCCAATGCCGCTCCAGGCCATCAGGGACAGGAGATGGAGGGCCTGGAGGTGGTCTGGTGTAAAAGAGCCATTGATAGCTGAGATGGAAGTTCATCATTTAGAGGGGCGTCGAAGAGATGGTTCAATGTCAGGTGGTAATAGTGACGATTGATGGCAGCAGTGAGGGCAGTAGAACCTTCTACGTTGCAGGCGAAGCATGAGACAATGAATTGAAGCCGACTTTAATTACGGGCGCGAGTCTGGCTTTTGTATGAACAAGCGCATTCAGCTCTGAGTCAAATGATGCATCAGGGCGGCATTATCCCACACCCAAAGCATAATTTCAGCCATTCACAGGTGCAAGCTAAAGCTCAGCCAAGCAGCCACATTTGGCCCGTGCAATCATTTGGTGTCGCGTTGCGGGTGAAATAGGGACCAAGCCCAACCAACGAAAAGCGCCTAGAATAAGCTCTGCTCATCACGAGCCACGGTAAGATGTGCTAGGTAATAGATCGGATTGAGCAAGTGCAGATTCTAGTCATATCTGACACTTGTGAGCAGCCTGACATCACAACGCATGAGACCTCTCTGGAAATGTTTCGTTGATGCGTGTGTGGTGGCTTGGTGGGTTTCTCCCGAATGACGAGTCCCGATACTTGGCCGTAGTCTGTGCCCCTAGCCAATCGAATGCTCTTTTTCGAACTGCAGTGATTCAATAATGATCCTGCAGACGTGCCTGTATTGGGCTAAGTTCGAGATTCGTCTCTCCATTCACCCTTACTTACAGACGCCTAGCTCTTCCAACACAGTTCACCCAAGGCTCGGGCTAATCCAGAAGCCATGCCTACATCGAACCAAAGAAACAGATCCTGGTACCCGTAGAACCTAAGCTAAGACAAGTCGCGTAAGCGCAGCAAAGCAAAACAGAGGATGAGCTCGAACATGGCTCCATCTTTAACCTACCCTAGACCTAATACACACTGCAACCAATCGAGGCCAGTTTGAAGTGGATGAAGGAGATAAATGTTTTTAATTGAATTATCATTGTGCATCCTATTATATATAGGATGATATTGAGGACATGGTATGTTTTATGGTTGTTGTTTCACTTCTTAACCACTCAATAGCTGAAACTAAACATGAACCCTTCTTCATTGACCTAAATTTTCATGGTCTTCGTGAAGACCTGTGGCAATAACTAAATCTAATTAGTTGACATTTCATAGTTCTAGGCAAGTAAAATGTACATATATTCCCAAGAAGAGACCTTTCAAAGAAAAATTTCAAAGCACTAAGATATTCCTACTCCCAATTTTCAATCACAGGAAATTCTCTACTGTTGCACGGATAACAAAATCCAACACCGAAGGATAAAAGCCCAACAACATCGCTGTAACTATGTGCTAGAAATCTCCTTTTATCATGACCTATATTTGCCCTCTCACCCACTATGCAAATGCTGATGGAAATAAAAAAACCCGTATTCTCGCGTAACCCCCTGTCATTGAACCGGCGAATCGTGGAGGATCGGGCAATACTAACACTCTCTAAGCAGTTATCAATCCTCCAATCTAGTAGCCGTCAACATCGACCGTAGATTCCATGTATATCTGCAAGCTTCGCTCAGCGAACGTGCTTCTTTTCCGGATCCTAGCCCCCATGCGTATGAAAAGCGGGGGTATAATACAGAAAACAGTAGACACAGCCGCCAAAACAGATGTTGCAACGTTGGCATTCAGATCAGCGTACATTTTCTCCGTGAACAGAGGAAATATAGCCGATAGAATGGCGCGAAGGAACGACATGGCGGCGAATCCACTGGAAGCGTAGCTTAGATAGCTGTCTGCCAGGTAACCGGCAAGCACGGTGTCGATCTCATTGAGAGAATACCCAACTGGCACGAGAGCCGTGGCCGAGACGATCCAGTGCACGTTTGGCACGAAGGGCGGGATTGTCCAGGCGAACCACCACAGCCCAAGGGCAAGCACAGGCGCTCCAATGGAGAAGCCTATCAACTTTGATTCTGGGGTGATTGGCTTGCCTTCCCGATAAAGCTTGTCCAGAATAGCATGATCGAGGACTCGTGTGAGGGAGCTGAGTAGAAATCCACACCCGAGAGCTAAAAAGGGCAGGGAAGATGTTTGAGATGTAAAACCCATGTCGCCATATATAGTAGGGAGCGCTTCGGTGAAAAGATAAACCATCGCAAAAGCAATACTGGCTATAGTCGATACGAGAAATACAATAGGCTCTGTGACGAGGAATCGCGCCGGTCGAAAAACAGCCGATTGAAGGAATGTTCGGAGGTCGGGAACGTGGTCTGGGTTGAGAGCACGTAGTTCCTGCATTCCGGTTACTTTCCGAAGCTTGGAGACTTCGTTTTCGAGAAGAATAGTGTGTCTGGACTCTTGAAGATTGAAGAGGAAGGCCGTAGTGATGCCAACTACGATTGCTCCAATGTAGAATATCCACCTCCTATATGAAGAATAAGTAAGTTTCTAGACGTCAAGGATAACCCTATCACGGTGTAGTACAGGTACTTACCATCCAAGGGTGCTCACAACGTAAGTTCCCATTATTGGTCCAATAATGAGGCCTGTGTTTGCCAGCATGGCCCAGAGGAAGACAAAGACAATTCGATCTTTGGCATTATAGAGATCCTCAATACTGCCAGGCACCACGGCCGTGGGAATGGCTGACGTGAAACCACTGAAGAAACGGCCAACTACCACACCTGAGATTGAGGGGACCAGGCCAGTGATTAAACAAGAAATGCAGTAAACCGCCATGCTAATGATGTACAGCCATCGCCTCCCGAAGCATTCCGAGAAAGGTGGAAAGACAATGCCACCAATACTCTGTCCAATGAGATATCTAAGATTAGGCCAAGTCAGAACACGCGAAGCTGATTCCGTACAAAAAGGGATGAGCGATACGAACATAGAAATAAAAAGAAATACAGATAATGTGTGAGAAATGCCATATTCGTGCTGGGCGTCTGCTGCTGCTGAGGCCTAGTTGTGTGAGCTGACTGTCATGATCACCGTCTTGTTGGGTTCACTCACTCCACTTGCACTAATGGCAGTCCTGAATGACAATGAATCATTAGCCAAAATTATTTGATAAGAGATAAAAGGCCAAATGCAACATACGTAAAGAACTCTAGCCATATAATGATGGCGGTATCATAGACCTTGCGGTTCGTCGTCCAATTTCGGGGGTGTCGAGGATTTGCATTCGCCCATCTGATGAACTTCCGGTCTGTGGTGAATTCTAGTGAGAGGTCCTCAAGAGATGACTGGAGAGAAAGAGCCGAAGTATCATCGTCGCTAGAGGAAAAAGACATATTTGCAAAGTTCGATGATAAGCAAGTGTAAGACTCAAAATTACAACATTGCGGCCTACGGGGAAATCACAATAGACGCACAATGGTCGCAACTCAAGTGCTCGCGGTTAAGCTCATATTACCCGTAGTAGGATTCAACTACAGGAAATAAAAGGCTCAAATATACCTAGGCATTGCCGCTCGAGGGATGCGCTGGAACGAATGGCATGTGAGGCAAAACCAGTCGCGGATCGGCCATTACCTTCTTGTGAGACACTCTCAGCCCGCAGTTCGGCCATATTTGTTTCCGCCGCTATTCTTCCCGCTAAAGGGGAAGCCTTTTTGCCTGAGAATATAGTTAGCATTGTTGGAGGTTGGTGAAACGTGATGTCATGCAAGACTGATGAAAGGGAGCGCGAAGCATTCCAGACGGCTACCGGCAAGTGTACGAATGGCGTCCGTTCTTACTCTGTGACTGGCTTCAGCCAACAAATCATGACCCCGGTTATGTATTAATTCGTCAATTCAAACTTTGATGCGCGATGAGTGGTAATTCTGATTGCAAAAGTAGTGTTGCAAGTACGAGTTGAAGGCGACTGCAGACTGATGCCAATTCTTCATATATGATCGCGATCACGTGTATCCACCCCCCGATCCACTCGCTAGAAGATATGTTCATCTCACATCAAGTTTCATATTACTCAATATCCCGTCAGGATCGGCGTAGAGAGCTTGCTCGCTAGCCAGCCGATGGAAAGCATGAAACTGAGCTATGGGGCCGAGGTCAACAACAATATTGAAGAGACATGGGATAAGCCAACTCTCTCAACTCTATTATCTTATTTAAACCCATTTTTCGTCAAGAAAAAAACAAGTACCGATTCTAATCACCGTATCCCTCCAAAAAGGGCAGTGAAACAGGTACAAATGCAAATAGGACTTTACTGAAGTTTTCTTGGTATTCGTAACATTCTCCACTCATGCATTGACCATTATGATAAGACTCTGTGACATAGAGGGGAAAGGAAGTGAGGATTCACTCTAATTAGGTAATCAGAGGGTTTATATAGAACTTTAGCTCTTCAAGTTGCCGAGGCACGCACGATGCTGTTGAATCGCACCACTTATAAGAATCCCAAAGTCTCAACGGCCCATAGTATACTCTTATTCTCAAAGCTGAACGGACGAAGGAGTCATTGAAAATACAGCTTGGGGGATGAACCATTACCATGAAAGGATCATTACATGAGGGGCTCGTATTGAACAAACTCAGGCCCTGACAGTGGATCGCTCACCATGCACCTCGAGTAGAGTAAAACTGGCGATCTCTCTTCCATTTGATCATTCTCTCTATTCTATTCATTTGGTGATGCAAAGAAGAATTTGAGTATTAATCAGATGTAAGTAAATTAGCTTTCAATAATTTTCATTCCTGTCGTGCATGCATGCATATCAAATCGTCCACAACGCGGAAACTTGCCGACAATAACGTCGCCAAGAGAACATAGCTGCGCTTCTCACTCACTACACAATATCCTCGCCTCTGGCCCCTCCAACAGCCTTTCTGGGGATAGTTGGCTGCTCTGAGTGGTGAAAGGCGCTATTGTGGTGTGGCTTTTCCCGAATTCCACCATGTGCACCCCATCCTCCTTTCCTGGTAAATACAGCATCAAACAATTCGCCACCCTCAGCCTGATACATGAATGCGCCACTCCGGTTGAGGGGAATGTGGTTGAACCTCCAATCCCAGACAGCAGCATAAGTCATGCGATATGCTGAAAAGGCCATGACGGTACCGATGACTGCTCCAGCCACGACATCATACCAGTTGTGGAACTCATCAATGGTGAGCGCACCTCCGATCAAGGTCGCGCCAAGGACAGGAGCATACACCGCGATGAGCTTCCACATGGCGGGGTGATAATTGGAAAAGACCTTGAGCTTTGCGTTCAGGTAGAGATATAAGTAGATGAAGCCAGCGAACGCAGCGGTGGTGTGGCCACTGGGGAAAGACTCCAGGCTGTCGTTGATTTCTTTCTCATCACCAGTGCAGATTTCCTTGGTGTAGTAAATGTTCGTAAAACCTTTGCGGTTGTAGCCCTGATCGCTTGCGAGACTGATATCTGGCTTACAAACATCCAGGAAATGGGGTCGCAGTCCACCGATGAGCCACTTGAGGAAGACCTGGAACACAGCCGCGACAATGAGGGAGTACAGCAGACCGATCACGGCGTTATTCACGTCCCAGAAAGAGCGGACGCGAATCTGCATTAGGAGAATGATGACAATGGGGACCACACTGGCTAAGAACGCGGCAAGCCAGATGGGGATGATTTCCTTTCGGAGAGGATAGCCAAATTCGGGCCACACAATTTCACCGTCCGAAAACGTGACGGGAAATGACCTGGAGGGCGCTGGCTTGGCCATGTAGACCTACAATTAAGCTTAATTAGTTCTTTGCTCTGAGTTTTCACAAGTAGATAGGGTGACATACACCAAGGCCAATCGCACCCATTGCAATCATGGTGACAATGTCAAGCCATGTGCACTTGAGCCACTGGCCAAAGCTAGGCCGTCTCTCCATGCTGTACGGATCATGATGGTGGCGGCGACCGTGTGTTGTGGTTGTCGCGGGAGTGTGGCCGTTCCCGTGGGTGTTGGTATGGCCGTTGGCGACGTGGTTGGTGCGATTGAAGAAACGCATGATGCCGACAGTTTTCCTGGCAGTTGCTCCCAGGTCTTTTCAAGAAACTCAATTCTCTAGTGGTGGGAGAGTAGAGTTTCTCTGTTCCTGAGGGCAGAAATAGGTTATTATAGGCAACCAAGCGCCAGGAGCCGTGTATCACCACCATGGAATTGTTTGGTGATGACGCGACAATTATCGTTTACGTCATGTTTCGAGCAAAAAGCTGCTTTCTTGGCCATCGAGATTGGAGGACAAAGCGCCAGGCTTTTCTCCACGGCGATTGACACACAAGTCGTCATCGTTGCCGTTGTTTAGTCCGGATCCAATGATGCCGCACGGCAATAACGTGCCGAGCCGGCGAATGAGCTGTGCCCCTGACCAGCTCCACGTAGGACAATGTGATGACAGGCTGCCTTAACCCGTCGACGATTTATGATGAATCCTTTTTGTTCCCTGGTTTGAGGTAAACTAAGCTGACTAGGCTGGTCTCGCGAATACAGCAGCTGGACAAGCTCAATGATGGGGATCGCCTCATCGTCTCATCCTTGAAATATCTAACGGCCTGGCCAGGAAATCATATCCTTCAAGCCTGCCACATAAGTACTACAAGGTCATGAAACTGCCTCTAGTTCATTTGAGCACTATACATTGCTTTCTCTGCCCCTTGTGGCCCATAAGTATCCGTCGCCCATACACCTCTTTGAGTCATCCAAGGCTAAAGAAGACTCTATGCGATAGAGGTAGCACCTCTATCATGTAAAGGCATTGCAAAAATACATTTTTACACAAGACGGCAAGTTGGAAATGCCAAAACCAGCCTGAATGGTGTTTTCGTCTGGCCCCGGATTAAGATTCTCTCGTTAATAGGTCATTTTTAATGCTTATTAGTATGTGACTCTCACTACTCTTGCTACAGTAGTATGCAGTCAAGTAATTATTCCTCCCGGATTCACTTGTACATCCTGCTGCTACCTCGTTCCAATGCTCTCACTCGCGAACAATGCAATAGCATAAGTGTTGAATCCGAATCGCAACAGCCAGCACGCCAGACAATTGCCGAATTTCTCCTCCGGTGAGTGTAAAGTGAGTCATGTTCGTGAAAGTCAAATGACCCGTATCAGCTTCCAAATCCTAGATGCTGAGTCGCTCCATAGACGCTTTGTAGTTCAAAATGTGCGCAACAAGCTTTTCCATCTCTCGGATCATGCAAAGGTCTCTGTTGCTGTCTCGTTCTTCATTGAGTACTTCAGCCAGCTCCTTCTCCAGGCTGAGCCTGCGCTGCTGCCAAGCGTCCTTGAGGAACTTCACATGCTCCTCCATACCTGGTGTTGAGGTCTCAGGACGCCGCAATTGATCGTCAAGTGATGACATAACCCTTGATTGAACGTCCGAGAATGCTGCAATCTTCCCACGGATGCTGTCGGAAAGTTCTTTCTTACGCCTGATGCTGGTTGTGGCAAGTTCGGCCTCGGATTTCAACTCCAGAATTTGTTCTTCAAGGTCCTCGATGGATGAGATTTCAATCAATTCCCAGAGGCGAATCGATGCCTCATTTGAGGAGAGGTGAGCGCTTGTTTCTTGGGATTCCGCGGTGCTTCCATCCTCCATTGGCTGGTCCTTTGTGGCAAATGCATCTCTTGGTTTGTCTTGATCGCTCGCTTCAATGGTCTCGGCCAAATTTGTTTGATTCGTACGTTCTCTGGATGGGTTGGTTTCAAGCCGTGGCGCTTCGAGACACCAGCTCTCATCCTTCGCAACCTGGGTGAGGGTTTTGCGCCAGATAAAACCGTTCTCGTCGTATGACTGGCGTAGGATTCCGCCGGGCTGCCACAAAGAAGGAAGAATTATGTTCATCGATACGGCCTTGAGTGTAACCCTCCAAAGGGGTCTCAGAATTCTCACGTCGGTTGGTTTCAAAAAAGAGGGGGGGCAGTTGCGAATGTCATCGGGAATCCATCCTTGCCCGTCCCAGGCCAGTGAAAGCGACCTTGTGAGATCTTGCTGAGCTTTTTCTTTTCTTGCAGCCTTCATTTCGAGTTTTTGTTGTCGCTCGTAAGCTGAGAGTGGCGCTCTGCGCCTTGCCATGCTGGGCAAAGGGCAAGTCAAATTGTTGTTTCTGCTAATGATGTTGTCAACGAGATGATCTATTCAGCATCACTATCCAGGGGAATGGAACAGCTTACTTTGAGGGATCACTTTGAGGAATTGCTTTGAAGGAAGGATGAGAAGGAAGAAGGAGAAATCCTGTGGGCAATAAACAGATACCTGAGGCGGAAAGATTGAGGTGATACACGTGACGCGAACCTGAGGAGAAACTGAGGAAAGCACACTCGCGAGGTGAACGCGACGTGATCACGCAAGTAAACAAACGACAGAGCTTGACACAAAAACCAGTTCAATTTTGAAATTTTGATTCCTCCTCGTTCGGGATGCACGCCTTTCCCGCATCTAAATTGCAAAAACTGGCCAGATCCCACCACTTTTGCTTGCGGAACCAAGCACAAAGGCGCCAACTCAGCTCACATGCTTTCTTCAACAGAAGCGAACTATGATTCGTATGCCATGTTTCAATTTGAATTACCTTACACTTTGATGATATTGAACTCAAATGCTACTTAACATTGAGGCGAACTGGATGGTAGACTAACAAGTCGCAACTCCCTGGGTTTAATCACCAGTTCTCAAATAGTTATACGTACATTTTCTATTATCTCCTCCATTCTGTCAACTGCAGAATTATTAATTGACGAAAAAGTGTTTCTTGATGCTTGGCATGAAAGTCTAGATGCCTCGTCTTCAACTTAGCTAGAGGCCAGCCTAGTTCTCTGCTTTATTCTCCCTCATGCAATGAAAAAGCATAAACACATGAAGGCCATGAATTGAGTGACCCTGAATGAATAATGTTGAGGCCATCGCCACGGCTCTCCTCACATTATTCACGCTTATAACCAGTGGCTTGATTAATTCGTTAACACATCAGAATCATGATATTGAGTGAATAGAAGAGGTAAACTGAAACTGTACAGGCAAGATCAAGCCCCTCAGTTATTACTGAACTCATTTCCAACAGACACCAGCAAACTAAACCAGCGATGCATCTCGCCACCTATATTTTACTCGCCAAGAAATCAGCGGCAACCCCCTCCGCCTCATCATCATATGAAAAGTGAGGGGGGGCGATTGTTAGAGTGCCTTCGCACACAAGGTCTCCCTCGGCGCAGTAGATCGCAGTTCTATCTGCAGGGTAGTTCGGGATTCGGCCATTATTCTGCTTGTTTTTGGTGTAGCCAAACAGAACGGCGCCTTTTACTTGCTCTCGCACCGTGGCGCTCAGATCGCTCACGGCCGCAGCAATAAGAGCGGCGCCTTGGCTATGGATGAAGACACAATTAGCAGACGGACATGTGTCAGCTGAGGTCATTCCTCACCTGTAGCCACCAGTTACAATGGCAGAGTTGGGACATTTGGTGTTTGCCAAGTTAAAGAGTCGGACCCCTTCAGCAATTGCAGCCGCGCTCGTGCCCCTCGGCAACAAATTTTCAATAAGCCCGGCGGTATAAGCTCCTCCAACGCCTTGAACCCACAGGCTGGGGGCCTGTTTAGCAACGTTGGTGGCAAGTAAAGGGCCAATTCCATCTCCCTTGATTTTGTTCACAGTCAGTACACAGACACACATGAGCTGGAAGACGAGATTAGTTACCATGTTGCCGGGCTCTGTTGATCCCCGCGCGAAAATTAGGATTCCATCCGGGCAGCTTGAGCTACTACCGCTCTCAAGTTCATTCCTGGTGGTGCTACTTTGTCGCGTCTTGAGAAGCGGACTGTCCTCCTGAAGAACGACGCTTGTTGGGGCTGCCGCAACAAGGGCGATGAGAGTGCTGCTGATTGTCAAGAACTTCATTTTGGAAGCAAAGTTCACCACAAGTTTTACTTGATAATCTGTTGAGTCCTTGGCCACACAACCTCTGATCGTCTTAAAGCAGGGAGGTCATGCCATTTTATCCGTGGAGGGGGAAGTACGTGGAGGGGGAAGTACATAGTTATAACGAAGAGATTTAACTTAGGAAGGTCAAGACAGGTTGTGGCCGCGAATGATAAACATCTCCGAACGGTACCCCTCAATTCACGGTTAGATTCGCATCCAAGATGTTTTTCTCCACCTACTAGCAGAGTCGCGTCCCACATCTTAATGTAGACAAACCCCCGCGGGCCTCGAATCATTATCGCGATTATCAGGAAACGCTGGATGTTGCTTAAGTGTTGAAGGCCACAATATGTTTACATATTATTCAATGAAAATTATGACTAGGTAAGTTGTCGCAATTTCACCGACCTAGGAAGTGCCCTCGCTCTTAATCGCTTCAAATATGTACTAGAAGATGGAATTAAACAAAAGGCTTAGGTCTGTGTATTAATATAGCTGGCTCGTTGTCACAATGCCTGATTCTTCGGCCGTTCGTTCCTGTTTAGGCATCTTCCTATCCTCCTTCCTATCCTCCTCGAGTAGTTACGGACCACGTAACTTATTGAGGGTATCCAGCTAAGGTGCAATGCGCATATACGGGAAGCGGGAACATGCAGAATGTCGCTACTTGTCGTGTGATACAGCGTCCCATGACCAAAATACCCACGGACCATCACATTCCGTCCAAAATCTTGCTCATGCCCGCATTTTAGTTAACTATATCTTGCTACCAAAGTGCCGATCCTGGTGGGTATGCGGGGTAGACATAGATGTGAGCCCAGAAGCTCCAATCAAACAGCAAAGTTAAGCGGCGATCTCTGAGAGATACGGTAGTATCAGCAGGTTACCTTCCTTTCCCGATGCCATTTCCTTGATTCCGGCTAAACTCGAGTTTATCTTACATCGAAAGGTTTGTTTTACATGTTTTTCTTTTTCTCAAAGAATAAAGTCGTGTTCGTCAAATAAGGATCAAAGATTTTATTTCCGAGTTTGCGAGACTTAGTTCGCCAAAGCCTTATAGACTCCTCTGAGAAACGAAGCGGAAGAGGGATATAGTTCTCCATGGCTTGATCCCGATCTCTTCTTTACCAGAAGCGGCTTTCTTGAATGTTATTGTCTACTTACATTTTGTCGCGTATCTAGCTAGGTATCAGGCCACACGCAGTCTTTTTATCACTGTATTCCTTCCCTGTCTTAGGAAAACCTTCGATAGAGTTACAACCTCTTTTCCACAAGTCACAGGGAAGCGACCACATTCTCTTGGCACGTAGGATAAGTTAGCTAATGACAAAGTCGTTGATGTTTCTGAGCCCTTACCTCACACCACTATTCCTCACAAACTTATAGGTTAGAAACACCATTAGATGTTCCGCCGGGTTACTGTAGGTTAGTTTAATAATAAGAGCGCCAGTCTCGTCTTTAAGCTACAAATTGGCCTTGAAATTATTTGTTCCAACCTGGGTTCAAACCTGAATATATATTGATCCTTGCTTACAATAAGTAACCGAGTATTGCTCAACGCTCGTGGTAGAGCCCCAACTTGGCATTCATCCCTCTCACACCACTCAGGATGCATGTCAGAAGATATTAGGTTGAATCTGGCTTTTAGTTCTAAGCAAGGATCTGGCTTTGGCCACAGAATTAGTCAGAATAGATGACCACGGATTTTCTTCCGAGTGAAGTTGTATGTAACACTGGTCCTTGAAGTTGACTCATCTGTCAAATCCTTGGGAACCAATCCATACATGTGTTGATCCGGAAATTTATATAGCGTCGTAGGTTCCCTATATATAGTTTAGAAAGAAGGAGCCTTGATGTGCAAAGAATTCGACAATTTAAAGACTCTAAAATTATCGTCAGTCAAACAAGGCCAGTGTAGGATGACTAGAATTGTTATTACCGCTTGCATTAGGAGCTGAATAAATGAACATTATTTTTTTGACTATTGATATCTAGCATTTGATGTGGTGGGTACAAACAATAGTTGTGGCTCCCCATAGTTATGGAAGATTGTGAGGGAGACATAAGCTAGATGCAAGTCGGGGATCATGAAGCATTTTGCATTGGTACTCGCATTGAATCATGATGATCATACCCCCATCAAATGAGGTATGCCTCATGTTTCGAATGCAAAGTTCTAGAGTAAATTGACATGATCTAACATCTAGGACCGATTGGCTTGTCAACCAGTTTAGCTGCTACTATAGGGAATCATGCGTTCTTTCTAAGGAGGCGTCTGCCTTGAACAAACACTTTAGCTGTAAAAGCGGAGATCCTTTACATTTCGCCTTACCCTTCTCCTTTTTGTTTGTTTCTTCGTGTTCGAAATCCACTGCCGGAAGATCCCAAGTGGTTCAAGATTGCTGATGTTGAAATAGATGTTACAAAGTATTTCGATCACACAATATGGCCTACAAGCACCAATAGTATAATGCTTATACGACCTAGCGTTTGAAAAGGATTTGAGTATGGCAGACTTGGACAGCAACCCAGATCTAGCATATTTGATCAGGAGGACCTCGGGATAACAAGAGCAAGGTCGGGTCCTGAGTGCCCCATGACCAGTTTATCAGCCAGCCTTGATCAATCTGGCTTGGCGTGAAAAGTGGCAAGGCAGCTGGGATGAACGAATTCTAGTCTCAACCCCACCATTCAACCACGTTGTTGGTAAACCCATCTCGAGCTAGCATGGGGTGTTTACCAAGCCTCGGTTAATTTGTGGTTCCCCGCGATGCTCTCCATTTTCTGAATCGTGTCGCCTCTCAAGATCAGAGGTGGGTGAAGGCTGAAAAGTTCTTGGTATTGGCTCGCCGTTTAGTATAGCTAGGGTATATTCTCTTACAAGGGGAGAACAACGAGCTCGTTGCTGGGTTAGGTAGGGTAGCAACCCCAGCCTGCCAAGCGCAAGGATTATCAGATCAAGTCACTTGGGGAACGTGAGCAAGTAGTTTTGTTGTACCTTTATCCCCCGCAGTTGGGCGAGGTGCTTTCCCGCTTAGTATTAGCTTATCCGGCTTCACTGTGGCATCCTTCGCCAACGTTGCAGTCTGGGGTGATCTTCAGCGGGGGAACATGGGGAGATCCAGCCTGGCAATAAGCTGCGGGGGACATGAAGCCTCGAAAAAGCGAAAGATCAGATAGTATCTAACGGGAAGAGAACGAATATTTTTAAGTTCTCTGGGTTGTGTCTGCAACGTCTCGGCTGCTCGCATCCGAGCTAAAACCATTGCTCTGAGGCAGCCTTAGATTGTCTATATCCCCATGGAGCCTTGATAAGTTCAATCGCTTGTCCGCTTTGCCTTCCACTCAATCCAATTTTAAAAGCCTTTCAACCTCTTCTAATCCGGATACTAGCGCATTGCTACAATGAGGTTTGCAAACCTGCTTACCGGCGCTTTGGCGTCGGGAAACCTCTGGGCCTCTGTCGTAGCCCAACCGCCAACCGCCTCTCACGTTGAGGTACAGCTCGTCGAGCTGCTCGAAAAACATGGCTTGGCTCTAGTTCCGCGGTCCGACTTGACCGATGTCATGAAGGAACTCACACAACTGCTCAAGGAGACGAGATTAGAGCGTCAGCAAGCTGCAGCTCTGTACAGGAGGCAAAATGGCACAGACACCATCTCGACATCCGCCATAGGCATTGCCGATCTTGGCGACATCCTTGCGGAACTCAAAGAATTCATCAAAGCCCTCAGTAGCTTGCTAACTGCTGACTTCTTGAACGACACCCACGACACAATCACGTATTTGAGCGAGACTCTTCAACCACCAACCGCATCTCAAGTCAGAAACATTCTTACCAAGGGGGGGCCTCTAATTGATACACTCGGCGAACTCGATCTTGCTGGATTGATTGACATAATCAAGGATGTGGATCTTCCCACTTTAGTCAAGTCGATACTTCCGCTCCTGAGCCAGGACAACATCAACAAGATTCAGAATCTTCTTAACATCGCTGATGAGGAGACGATCAATAGCCTAAAGGAGCTGCTTAAGAGCGCCAAGCCACTACTTGACAAGCTTACGAATATTGATCTAGAAGGCATTATTACCGCTCTAGAGCCCCTTCTTACGAAGGAGTCGGTAGAGGGAATAGTGAACTTGGTCAAGAACGCCGGAGTACTCCTTGACGAGGATACCGTCAAGAGTCTAAAGGAATTACTTACAAGTGCCAAGCCACTGATTGATAAGTTGGTCGGTCTTGATCTTGAGGGAATAATCACTGCTCTGGAGCCGCTTCTTACAAAAGAGTCGGTGGAGGGAATAGTGAACTTGGTCAAGAACGCCGGGGTACTTCTTGACGAGGATACAGTCAAGAGTCTGAAGGAGTTGCTCACAAGCGCCAAGCCACTGATTGAGAAGTTGGTCGGTCTTGATCTTGAGGGAATTATTACTGCTTTGGAGCCGCTCTTAAGCAAGGAATCAATTGAAGGAATAGTGGCATTAGTCAAGAATGCCGGAACGCTACTTGACGAGGAAACCGTGAAGAGCCTGAAGGAGCTATTCACAAGCGCTAAACCTCTCCTTGATAAACTTGTCGATCTTGATCTTGAGGGCATCATTAATGCTTTGGATCCACTTCTTACTAAGGAGTCAATTGAGGGCATCGTCGCACTGGTCAAGAATGCCGGAACATTGCTCGATGAAGAAACTGTCAAGAGCTTGAAGGAATTATTCACGAGTGCCAAGCCTCTCCTCGACAAGCTGATTGACCTCGACCTTGAGGGTATAATCAATGCCCTCGAGCCCCTTCTAACTAAGGAGTCTGTCGAAGGCATCGTCGCACTAGTTAAAAATGCAGGGACGCTTCTCGATGAGGAGACAGTCAAGAGCCTCAAGGAGTTGTTCACGAGCGCTAAACCCCTCCTCGACAAGCTGACTGTCCTTGATCTTGAAGGTATCATTAACGCACTTGAGCCCCTTCTGACCAAGGAGTCGATCGAAGGAATAGTTTCACTCGTGAAGAATGCCGGCCTACTTTTGGATGAAGCCACAGTCAAGAGCCTGAAGGATCTTCTTACGGCAGCCAAGCCTCTCATTGATAAGATCATGGAAATTGATATTGCAGGAATAATCGACGCGCTGAGTCCCCTGCTCACAAAAGAATCAATCAACAGCCTCGTTGGGCTACTCTCCAATGCACAAAAATTGCTCACCGCCGAATCTGTAGACCAGCTTTTGTCAATTCTAAATGGCGCAGGCCCATTGCTAGATTCACTGAGCAAGATCGACCTCCCGAAGCTGCTCGACCAACTCGAGCCACTACTCAATTCATTGAGCAATATCGATCTCTCGAAGCTGGTGAACCTGATTACTCCACTTCTAGAGTCGCTCAGCAAGCTCGATATCGAGGGAATTCTTGCCGCTGTGGCCCCTCTGCTCACCCCCGACAGCGTGAAGGGTCTCGTTGGATTGTTGCAGAATGCAGAAGCCTTGCTTACAAGCGAATCTGTGGACCAGCTCAAGTCGATTCTCAATGGTGCTGGGCCATTGTTGGAGTCATTAAGTAAGATTGACCTACCCAAGCTTGTCGACCAACTTAAGCCTCTGCTCGACGAGTTGGCGACAATTGATATTGGCAGGCTTCTTCGCCAATTGTCACCTCTACTTGATTTGTTGGGAGAACTCGATCTCAAAGGCATGCTCGAGGCCGTCAAGCCTCTCCTTACACCCGAGAGCGTCAATGGACTTATTGGATTGGTAACCAATGTCGAGGGTCTGTTGACCGCTGAGTTCGTCGACCAGGCGAAGAGCTTGCTCGGTGGAGCAGTACCATTAATTGAAGCTCTTGGTCAAATCGACCTAAAGAAAATCATCGGGCAGCTGACGCCACTCTTGGATATTCTCGGAGAGATTGATTTCAAGGATCTTATTGAGAAGCTGAAACCCGTCCTTGATGCCGTTGCCCAGATCGATGTCAAGAATGTTGTTGAAAAGCTCTTGCCTTTGATTGACACCTTAACACAGATCGATCTTTCTGCGCTTGTTGAGAAGATTATCCCGCTTATCAATGCTCTTACAGAGGTTGATATTACCCAATTAGTCAAGAAACTTGTTCCTATTATCAATGCCCTTGGCGATATTGATATACAAGGGTTGTTTGATGCTCTGAAACCCTATTTAACCCCAGAGACCCTGAAGAGCGTTTTTGGTCTACTTGATGTTTTGACGAAGGTTGATATTGTCGGTCTTTTCAATGCTGTCAAGCCTCTGCTTGATGAATTAGCAGGCGTTGACCTAACTGGCATTGTCGATGCTCTCAAGCCAGTCTTGGACGCCCTGAAGAAAATCGACATCCAGGGCATTGTCGATAAATTACTGCCATTGATTACTCCGGAGAACATTGAAAGTCTCCTAAAGGTGGTTGATAATGTACAGACACTTGTGACCGGAGAGTTCGTGTCTAATGCATCCGAGCTACTTGGTGATGCTACCCCAGTGAGTCCCTCCGTTTCCCTCTTACTCTCGATATTGACTGACAATATGATAGCTCGTCGCGACCGTTTCTGACATTGTCCGTGCATTACTGAAAGAGTTATTAGGGAAAGAATGAACAGAATTTCCAGTCTGAGCTCCCTTGTTGTAGCCTCACACTTACAAGGTGTGACCAAGCTAAGTTGAAACATGGCATCACGGCAGAAGGCAGTCTTGGGAGTTAAACTTTGGTTTACTTTAAACTTAATCTTAGTTATTCTCATCCATATACAGGCAACTAGCACCCGTGACTGGAATTTCCCAACTTTTCTCGCTTGTGCAATCAACTACTAACGCACATCCAAGTGACTTCTATAGAGAGCATAAACCTAATTCTAGAGGATTACTACTCTCGTGACGACTTGCCACAATTCAGTATTGCTCTGTCCTACACTCAGCTCGAACCTACTTGCTCTCAAAATCTATCACGTCTTCATGCACGATTTGGGCCTCGGCATGGTTGTTGAGATGGTGTTGACTAGCACACTCGATTTCACCTTGACTCGTTCACACAATGAGACGGTAAACGGCTGAGGTCAACCCCGCCTTCGCCCCCTCGGGATACTACCCTTGCTCTAACTACCTCTCCACGAAATATTTCTTTCCGAATATGGCCACTCTCGCATAAGTTCTAGCCGTGCAGCACTCAGTAAAGGTTGGGAGGGGTATTGATTCGGGATATTGAGCTACTTGACGTCACCCCGTTCTTATTCTTTGATGCCGCTGTAGACAGGGATCATACTTGAGCGAAGTTATCACGCATGTAACCGCCTAAATGTGCTTGTTTGCAGGGGGGTAAGCCAGGATGGGTGGCATCTGCCATGTTCCCTGCCCACAATTGTCCGCACCCCGCATACGGTAGCAACTGTGATAGAACAGAGATGTGATTGAGCTCAATGTATATGCGGGTCAGGCTCAAGCCGCTTCCCTGGTATTCCCATGTATATTGAATCTCATCACGCGGATGGGGATATTGAACCGAGTCATATGGTGTGCCCTCCATCGTCTATGCACCCCACGCTACGGTAGTATTGCATAGGGCCGACTGAAGAAATGCTGCCGACCCAGTGACTCAAATTGGGATGATATTGAAAGCTATTCTCCTTCCCCTCACTGACAACCCCATTTTCCGTGTCTATTTGGTTGGACTGAGCAGTGAAGCCACCAAGAGGAGTAGAGTAATGCCCTACCCAACATGTGATGTGAAATCCAATAATTCTATACCTCGGCCATTTCTCATGGGTGCTCATCTCTTTATGCTCGTATTCTCTTGAGCTCGGAAGGATCAACAGCAGCGCTGGCCATCAAGTACGGCCGCCATCGTGCTTCCTCGTCCATCTCCACGCGGACTCTGAGAAGTTGAGACTTGTTTCTTCGTCAAATCTTCCCGAAAGTCTTTCCAGGATGGCGACGGTAGAAACTGCACAGGCAGTTTCCATGGAAAGGCCCTCAAGTCAAGGGAGCCCTCGGCTCTTCATGTTGCCTTTCCATGGTACGGGTGAGGATGCCCAGCCCAGCAGGGCACCAGCTGTGGCGGCGGCGGCATCCAATCATTCCAACGATGATAGCACCTCTTCAATCGACCATGTGATTGATAAGAAACCAACGGAGACGATCACAAAGCGACAGAAGGTTAAGCGCCATTGTGCCAAGTTCAAGTGGTGGTACTTGGGAGGGTTGCTTATATTTCTCGTAATCTTTCTCCCAATTCTGTAAGTGAAACTTCATGCGCCTGCAGATTAAAAGTTCCACACAGACTAACTGTTTGAAGCTTCAAAGTAATAGTTCCCGTCATCGTCCAAAAAATTGTCAACAATCAAAGTCTGCCGGTGGAGAGTGGTGTCATTCGAGCTGTTTCACCAAACGAGCTTTTGGTCACTCTGAAGACCTCACTAGACACACCGCTACCAGCCACGATCAACCCCTTTGAACTGAGCCTCTACAACAAAGATAGCGATGATCCTTCCCCTTTCGTCCAAATCCAGCTACCTGAGGCGAAGGTTAATCACAACACCACTATTACGGTTGAGGAGCAGACAGTGAACGTTTTGAACGAAAACCAGCTAGTTTGGTGGTTTAGCAATATATTTGATCAAGCAGAGACGGAACTCTCCGTTTCTGGGAAGCCCAAAGTCAGTCTCGGGGCCCTAAACTATGAACCTAAGATGGATGTCACGGTGAAGGTGCCAGCGTTAAATCGCCTTCACGGTTTTACGGTTGAGAAGCTAGAATTCACTGGGGTGCAGGACGGCAGTAGCAACAACATCAAAGGGAAGCTCAACCTCCCAAATGCGGGAGTCCTCACACTTGGTCTAGGGAATCTCACCTTGAACATCATCTCCGGAGACATTACCCTTGGTGTCGTTAATGTTTACAACGTGGAGCTCAAACCCGGGAATAATACAAGCGATTTTGACGGTGAGATCTACCTCGACCAGCTCATTCCCAATCTAGGCGCCCTACTAGATAGCCAGAAAGATGCCCTGGCTGTTGGGGCTATCGATCTCACCGTCACTGGAAACTCAACGATTGTCAATGGCCAACACATCAAATATGTGGAATCAGTTCTAAACAAGAAAACTATTAGCACAAGAATTCCCATCTTGACACTAGCAGGGGATATTCTAAGCGGTATCCTCAGCAGCGACTCTCAATCTTCGCTTGTTAATGTCATCGGCAATGTGTTCGGTAACTCGTCGTTACTTGAGAGCACTTGGAGTCACTGGAGTAAAGATCAGACTGGAGATAACTCGGAGTCTCACTCAACTAAAACGAAGAGGGATGCTCCCCGCTTCTCCCTAGTGAAAAACCTGGTACGGGTGAGTGTCAGAGCAAGCTTGAAGTCAAGCATCGGGTAACTACTTGTGTGGAGATAATCTAGATAGCTACTCTGCCGTGGCCCGTGGGTTTGGAATCGGATGGTATTTTATGGTCAAATGATTATCAAGTCAATTAGTTAATAAGTTATTGTTCCTTAATTAGCTAACCAGAATATCATCAGTGTCAGGGTATCAATGTTCGGGGTCTCTCAGATAGCTGGTGCACTCATGATGTATGGCATTGGCCTGGCCAAAATGTCTATCCAGACCTGGAGGGTTATGTTCATCGTCTGCGGTGGCCTTACCATTCTTGCCGGTGTGTTGTTCATCCCGTTCATGCCGCGAGACCCATCCTCTGCCTGGTTCTTAAAAGAGCATGAGCGCAACATCGCTGTGGAGCGCCTTGCACTCGACAGAGACACTAGAGATCGTTCTGAATTCAATGTTTCTCAAATAAAAGAGGCTTTCCTCGACCCCCGGACATGGCTGTATTGTTCAATGGCTCTCTTCATCTGCATTCCAACCCCAATCATCAAGGTGTGTGCTGGATTGCTGGAGTGAAATTTCAAATGTATATATTCCGTTAGTTACGATGCTGGTTGGCCTTCCCGGAGGTGCCATAGCCTTCACATGATTTGGATTGGTGCCATCGATCCGCTCTACTTCTCCAACAGTCGATGTTTCTTTGGCATGTTCTTAGCCCTGATGCCGATGATGGGCAGTCTGCTGGTTTTGTTTCTTCCCCAAACCCAGCCCTGAGGGATCGTGGCTGGCACATGGCTCGCCGCAAGCACTGCACCACCATTGGGGCAGGCCATGGCGCTCATGGCCGCAAATGTGAAAGGAAACACCAAAAAGTCAGTCGTAGGGGCCTTTTTCTTCATATTTTATTGCCTGGGCTGCAGTGTTGGGCCGCAGCTGTGGCAAGAACCTGATGCCCCTCGCTACACTAAAGGCTGCATCGCCAGCGTCGTCAGCTGGTGCTTCCTTGTCTATTCCTTCACTCTGTTCTATATCACAGGGCGGAGGAGCAATGCAAAACGCGAAGCCGCTTCGCATCAGGCTCTTGGAGAAGTTGCAACTGAAGGATTGGGGGTTGCAATCGATGATGACAGCACAGAGCGCCAGGACAAGCTCTTCAGGTACTCGCTTTGATAGTTCTCAATGCAAAGCAGTCACGTATTTGCGCCTGCATTCGGGAGGAGAATACGGACTCCGACCTTGCCTTCATCTGCTGAGAATCATTGAAAGACAAATAGTGAAGGCAATTCCGAACTCATGATACGCAGGCTCACCGTTTATCTGAACAACGTAACCAATCGAACGAATAGATATGGCCCAATTAACATGTTAGACGAGCAGGGGCACCACAAATCTTACGTCCAAGGGTTGCCTCATCTCCGTGAGGGTCCAGACTGGGAGTAAGGCAACGGTCTGGGATTCAGCCCTGATCCATGTGGTTAGTGACAGAAAGTCGAAACCTCACTAGGCCACAAAAGGAACCGCGTAAATCCGTGGCTCTGATTGGCGAACTGGGATTTTCAACCAAGGGTCCCTCTTGATTCGTCATCCGCCATAACTTGACACACAATAACGGCCAACCTCTCTTGATCAGCAGATTGCCTGCTGCTCTTTAGGAGACGAGAATCCCGAAACATGTCATGTGCGTAGCTATACCAATATACTGAGACATGGCCGCCTTCCAGGGTACCATCATTGCGCCGAATCAGGATCAGCTTCTTCCGATCCGAAGTGGGCACTCCTCATCTCCCGAACGTGAAGATGGAGGGTCGCAATCGTAAGTAACTACCTCCTGCGCTTTGCTCCGAATACATGCATGAGACTGCACGCATTACGAGTGTCTCGGGTAATATTCGTCCGTGTTTATCACAGCCAGTCACTGATTTACACGCAATGAGTAGGAAACTCCTCGTGTTCTCCTTGAAGAACCGTCCACGGATGACAAGGACTAGTACTCCGAGAACACGCAATGGCTGTAGACAATGCAAGTGAGTACTGATCAACTCCTCTCCACAGAAACCATTGCCGATTCGCAGGGCGCTACCCATGTGGCTGTTCCCCCTCCACTTGGGATGTAGACAGGCCACAGAGCTCAGCTGACCCTTGCCAGACGCCGGCATACGAAATGCGACGAAACGAGACCATCTTGTAAGAAATGTGTGGCAAAGGGCCTGGTTTGCGACGGATTGTGGGCGGTATCTGCCGCCAAGCCACAGCAAACTGCCGATGCTCAACCCGCCGTCTTGGTATCGGCCGCTTCCGCTTCTAGAGTACCCGCGATGCCGGGATACGAATCGGCTGCGTTCCGGAGTGCAGCAGACTGGGACTACTTTAAAGCATTCATCACCATGTCCACTCAGCAAGGGACACTCCCCGTGGTTGAGCTGATTGAGCTCACTCCCCAGGTCTCCCGGCATCATTCTGCCTTGCGGGACATATGCTGTAGCATTGGTGCAATATCCACCTCCTACCAGGTTCTTGATGGAGCCGAGTTCTTCGAGGCAACTCAATACCGGAAATCATTGATGTACTACCATTCGGCCATCAAAACTCTTCAGTCGATCAAGATTACGGGAAGAGAGAGTATGAAGTGGATCATTCTCGCCTCCTTGCTCTTCCTCACATACGAGTTAATGCATGGTGACTTGGAGGCCGCGTTCACCCATTTCAATCATGCTCATCACATGCTAGAGCAGTACTTCGCACGGAAATGCAAAGAAACTGGACTGCCATTCTCTGAGCTCCCGCTTGACAGGTTTGAGACGGCATTGTGCGATGTTCTACAGCGTCTCATCACTTACCCATGGTCCTTCGACATGTCCTCCACTTCCAAACCCAGGCTCGATCCAGCCGTGACATTTTGCTGCCGTGGCCGCAAGCACAGGTATCGGGTGGACGACATGCCCAAGGAGTTTGATACGGTTCTTCTGGCATCAAGGTGGTGGGATACTACTCAACACTTCATCCGGCATCATATCCATGGGCGGGGAAATGGAAACGGTGGCAGAGACGGCAAGCTTCATACTCCCTCCTCAGACAACTGGACCAAGTGTCTTGACACTGTGCTGAAATGGCGCTCAAGTTTTCTCCCTTTACTCCGACGAGGACGAGAAGGCAAAGACACCGACTCTGCCCTGTATCTACAGGTCACTACTCTGGAAATCCTCTACATGGAGAACGTAGCATTTGTGCACAGTTGCCGGGAGAACGACACCGCTGTGCAGCCGTCCCTCAGCCCCCTTTACCTTGACCTCGTCAAACAGACACAAGTTCTTTGCAAAGGCATCAAGCTTGATGGGATCGAGACCAGGACGCTAGAGTATTCCTTGATGCGGCCTCTCGCATTTGTCGTGTACAAGTGCCGAAACAGCGAGGTTCTGGCGGAGATAGAGGAGACACTCAAATACGTCAACAACGACTCGGGGGCTGTCGTGGCACTGAGAGCTTTGCTGAGCACGACGCAGAATAGAGAATTCCGTCTGAGGGCTGTTGAGCGATCGTGGGCGTGGTATTTTACTTGTGTAGGGTGTGGTTCAGGCAATCTTGACATGCTTCGTTATTAGATTCATGGGAAAGGATAATTACAGCTCGAGTATTATCCCACTCCAATGTATATGTATTTTATTCATCAATTGTAGCAGAAATATGCGGAGGTTGTGAACAATGGCCCAACTTTGACAGCTAAATAGATACGAATATCAAATAGCCTGCCTGTCTACCCCAGGATCGGCTTGGGACACATATTGATACTTATAATGCCAATCGCGGTCTGAAGCCTGGTCGTTGTATTGACGCAGCAAAATCAAATTGAACTGGGAGAGTGCTTAATCTTACTGATTCAAGGGAGGCCTACACTTTAGCACCAGAACCATTTCCATTAGTGCTGACGGCAATTCTATTAGCGCACTTAGCTTTCCCCATGGCTTGTGCACGCGGCATTCTCGGGGCGGGCCTTCAGTCAGGAGTAGGGAGGCAGTTCTGGAGAGCACTTGGTCACTGCTTTGTGTGGGTGCGTGTTATTGGGTCTATTGATTAATTTATTGATCAAATTGAATATGCTTTATTAGTCGTCTGCTCATCCAGCCATTTCGGGCATCTTGTGGCCTGGTGGGAGCTCATACACGGGCGGCCGTGCAATCTCTGGCTGGTACGTTGGAATTGACGATGATGATGGCTCTGTGTCTGCGCATTCAAAGCTCAAGTTAGCATCTCGAAAGAGAATGGGGAGGCTTCAATCTTCATCATCCCACTTACCTTTCCTCCGCCGTAGCAACAAGAAAGCGAGGGCGCCCAAGGAGGCAAGCAGCGCCGCGCCCAGAACACCCCCTACAGCACCACCCACGACGGCTGATTTATCCTGTGGGCATTCGTTGCTCGTGTTGTTGCTCATCCCGTTCGCGGCGCATACTATCGAGCTTGCCGTCGAGGTCGCAGAGCTAGTTGTTATTGTCGCAGAAACGGAGCTGGTGCTCGCAGTCGTAGTCGCCGTCGTGATGATCGAACCGATGCTGAAGCTCACGGTGCTGCTACAGCAGTTCTTGCTGTCGCCGAATTTCCGGCAGCAGTACTGGCTACCTGGAGCACATTGGAGCACGTTGTAGGCTGTCACGGAAGCGCTGGGCCAGTTGTCTAATGTAGCCAGTCAGTCAGCGAGCTTCATTACCATGAGTATGATGGTGAAGAAGCCTCAGGTTGATGGACGTACTGTTGGGACACGGGTTAGGGCAAGAAGAATCTTTCCCCGTCTTATCGGTGCATCCGTTGGCATAGATGAAGCCTTGGTAGCCCTCATCTTGGGACATGCACAGGCCCGAACCGAGGCAGAGATCGGGGTTGGACTTGTTGATTGCGCAGCACCCACTCACCTTGGCGTTGGGATTGCAAGGCGCATATACCGAGTCTGCTTCGGTGCCATCGATGCGATAGCACTTTAGCTGGGCGGCCACCAGGGTCGTCAGCAGTGAAAACCACAGGATGGAAGGTCGTATCATGGCAGCGGAGTGTTGATGTTGCCCTGTAAGGAAGGTGAGAGGGAGAAGAATCGTTTAAGCATCCGAGGGACGCCGAGACCACGTTTACTACTTCTTAATCCTTGTCTGATCGTCGGATCCCCCCAGTGTGGACGACTGGCTGAAACTGCTTCAAGTGGAGGCATCATCAAACGGCGTTGACGCTATAACCAGTCCATCTCGAACCAGGTCAGCAATAACACTGCAGTCCGATTGACCCCCCGGTCCGACAAAACCACACCAGTTAGTATATATCGGGATATGGTCCTGCTACCTATTTCCCTTACAGTTAGATCGCTAAGAGAGGTACCTTTCGGTATAACTATAATATACTCTTAATAATATATTATAGTATAAGAAATATAATAATACTATAATATTATAATACTACTATAGTATATTCTTAATATCTATAATATATAACTTTCTAATACCTATAACTTTATAAATATTATATATTTTTAAATTCTGAAAAGATAAGTAATATAGGGAACTCTTTATTTTTATATTATATAACTTTTCTAACTTATTAAACTATATTAGTAGCTCTATAGTATTATTAATCTAGACTTAGTTTTATAGTTATAAAAGTATAAAGTAAGAAGAATATAGAAGGAAGTATTACTCTTTTAATAAAGATATAGTATTACTATAGTAGCTAAAAATATAATCTAAAGAGAATTATTAAGTCTGAATATCTCTAGAGTATTTTTATTTAATATTATTATACTAACTGAGCTTTCTACTTTAATATAGTTAGTAATATTTATATATATAATACTATAGACTTTAAATATAGAGCCTTAAAGTTATACCTTCTTTCTTAATATATCTTTAGTTAAGAGAGAATAAAAAATATTATTAAAGATTCTCTATAAGATTCTAATTATAAATTATAAACTATTATTTAAATTATTAAGAGTATATATAATTTCTATAGTTAGTTAGAGCAATTTACTATATACTACTTAAGTAGTAAATTTTTACTGCTCTAAAAAAATAAAAAACTATCTTTTACTCTTAAATTATTCTTTATTTTTAAAATCATGATCTTTAACTTGTTACTCTGCGGCCAGTTTGGCTCGTATGATAATCTGGATAGTCTTATTTAATTAATCAAATACAGGAGTCCCTAACCAAATACTAAATATATATACAATTAATTATAGTTATTAGCTTTAACTATACAGCTTAGTTGCAATTCCTCTCCTTTAACTGATATCGACATCACAACCGCGGACCTACCCGGTCTTTGGTTATAGTATTATTAGTTGGAAAATTCTACCGGCACTTATTATTTATTATTATTATTCTAAAATCTTAATTAATACTCTTAATATTTATTACTATATAGTAGAGATTCAGAATACTAAGTATAGAGTAGCTTTATTAATCTAAGCTTTCTTTAATCTTTTTAAGTAAGATAATAATATCTTCTTCTTTTATATATTATAAAAAATTAATAAAAAACTTAATTAATTCTTCTGGATTTATAAAGATAGTATTAAGGATTAGTAATAGAACCCTAAGATACTACTAATAGACTATATCTATAAAGTTAATTACTTTAATCTCCTGTTTATATAGATTATTAGTCTTACTTCTCTTTATATAACCTTTAGTATTATATTTACTCTTATCTTAAATAAAGATATAGGAGCTTATTTATAGCTACTATAGTAGTTAAAAGTATTGAATTTATAAGGGGTTTACAGGGCATTTGCCCTTATAAGCCTCTATAACGCAGCAGGGAAGTTCGCTATAACTTACAGTTCTCAACTGCTAACTCTGCTATAACTCAATGAGTTTTAGTGCTAGAGGAACTAAATATAATACAAAATATAGCGTAAAAGAATCTTATTTTTATAAGAGAGACCAGAAAATTCTATCTAATTTCTCTCGTAGGTCTGCTAACTAAATACTACTCTAAAACCTGCTATAGCAGCTTCCCGGGCTACTTTTGATTTTCCATAAAATTTATTACTATAGGAAATCGAAAAAATTAACTTATAACTACTAAAACCTTCGATCGATATATATAGCTTTTATAAGACCTACTTTTATCTGAAAGAGGCTCTTAAGCTGATTAGTTAAGTATAGATATTAAATACCTTATCTTTAAAGCTGAAGGAATTATCTAAGATCTAAGACTTAGTCTAGGGTAGTCTAGCTATAGGGTAGCCTTAGTATAGGTTAGATTATCTGAGAATATTATAGGATTTTTCCCGGATTTATTAGATCTTTATCTGGGCTTGATAAGCCCGATAACCTAATAATAGCTCTGTTGGTGGCCCGGACCCCTGAGGGTTCCTAGGGCCTGCTAAGCTGTAGCGGTTATAGCGGTCTGTAGCCACTGACCTACAGTAGCTGCAGCCGCTATTAGCTAGTGATTGTTATCGCTAAGAGATAGCGATCTCAATTGCTATTAGCTAGCGTTAGCAGGGGGTTATTAGCGGTTGTGGCCAGTGGCTGCAATTGCTAGAAGCTAGTGGTTACGATCGCTAGCAGCTAGTGGCTGCGATCGCTAACAGCTAGTGGCTGCGATCGTTAGCAGCGATCTCTAACAGCCAGATTGATCGCTAATAGCCAGTGGCTACGATCGCTAGCAGTTAGTGGTCATGACCGCTATAACGCTTATGACCCTACTAACTTATAGTGGCTATAGTCTCTTAAAATCAATACTCCCTCTAAAAAGGGATATACTGTGCTTATTTATAGAGATAAAAATCCGAAAAAA